GTGTATGTTGATATCTTCTCGAGTTGGTTACCGAAATCTCTCGTATTTTTAACCGAGAACAAAGTAAATGCGTCTTATACTTTGAAGTTATAGCTTTTAAGATCATTCGAATATATTAATTTTAGCCTAGAAATTTTTTTATGATCTAACATCTAACATATAATCTTCTGATAGGATTTGGTACTATTTTTCTTTATTTTAAATAATAAACTAACCATACGCTTATATTGTAATAAAGTTATGAAGGAAAGTAAAAAAAGCTATACTATCAATTTAGCAGTCATTCATTTACACATGCGATATGAGCTGAAATATACTCGTAAACAATTATTTCATCAAAGTGCTCTTAAATTAATACTGAGGTTAAATTATATGACGATATAATACGATAAAATTGCAGTTACCGTATAATATCATATCATGGACGATGTACGTTTAAATTCATGGATAGCAATTAGATAAAGTATTTTAACAGCAGGAAAAAAGATAAGAAAGATATTGGTAATGTCTAATTAACACCAATAGTATACCTGAATTTTGAACCTTTAAAATTTAGTGATAAAATTGGAGACTGATTGATTTCTCAAGTATATGTTAGCTCTGTCTATATCTTACGAGTTTTTATCTATCAATTTATAGGCCTTTCCGTACTCGTTTATGTTGATTATCTGAGATCGGATTGCTATACAACGGAATTTACAATTGCAGATAGACTTGACGATCATGAATGATGTGAGTATCTTTAGTTTCGCTGAAGATACTATCGATTGCAGATTTTTCGTGGTATACTACGTATGTTTCCACAGTATCTTCGTTTTCATCATCGGACTGATTAGCCTGATGTTTACTGATGCTACCAATCCTTTCAATTTTGCCATATCTTTTAAAATATTCCCTAATTTCATCAGTCGATGCTTGAGGATGTAAACCTCTAATCTTAATACGAAGTAACTCTTGCTGATCTTCTAAAGAGAGATTTTCTTGATCTGAATAACTTTGCTTTTTTAATACTTCTTCTTCATTCTTGCGCTCTATTGGATCTCCACCACTTAGAGGTTTTTGATCTAGTTCGCTATCGGCACGACTATCAGTATCCGCTAGGCTATCGTTCGTTTCTGGTAATACTGAAACTTCAGGAACTGATAGCACGACGAAATTTTCTTCACACGATTCAGGGTTTATATTTTCCTGTTTCATTTGTTCCGCTGATGTTACGTTTACAGATTTTTCGACGTCTGTACTGGTTATTATAGATGTTTTTTCTGTTTTTACGTTGCTAGTATTAGATGAAAATAGAATAAAATCTTAATTCAAAATAAAATAAATATCTGTTGGTGGTGACTAGAGCATAAATGCTTCCGACGAAGCTAAATATTTAGTTCCATTTCTCGTTGCTACACTATTTTCGAATTTAAATATACTAGATTTATCACTGCTATGTAATGATTTATAACTTGAAAATTTGCAAATACTCTTGCATTCCTAACATGTCAGATGGTATACATCGCAATTTAATTTTCTAAGCTTCTTTACTATAGGTATTTATAATTAGAATTTACTTATAGAATATTGTCTCGCAAAGTTTTACTGCTGCTCTCCGCGATTACAGGGATACTCTTATGTGTATGTACGCTAAAGAGTCAGAAATTGCTTTGAATTTATTATATGCAGCATAGTAGGAAGACAATCAATAACAGTGTCTTAATTAACTTAATGCTGTTCTGTGTTATATTCGATGTAGAACTCATACAAAATAAATTTTGTAATAAAATAATAACTAAGCATGTAGGATTATTCGTACGTAGTGATCTTTCAATATAGCCTACCGCCAATACTAAAACACTAACTGAACATGATTCGTAATCTGCTTCAAAACAGATAGGAATTTATATATATAGCTTCCTTGCAAAGTTTTCACTTTAAAGATATTTATTACGTGCCATTTTAAAATCTGATCATGTCCCCTTTGTTTTATCAAAGACCAACAGAGCAATCATTACTCAATTTGATAGCTAACATACCCAACTTTGGAACTTGGATAAGAGGAATCATTCGATTTTTCTTTCGTGTTGCTACGGAACAATATTTAAAAAAATTATGTAAAGAAAGGCATTAACTTTTTGATTCTGGCGCTTTTATAGCAAAAATTGTATTTCGTACCCTTCGATAAAGGTAAAATATATATCAAGAGTAGCGACTTTTGTTACCTTGGCTTTTCTTTCATTATAAAATGTCTTTTTCCCTGTTTCTTGTATTTACCATAGGCCTCTTTAACCTATTAGTTCAATTAATAGAACTCTATCAGCAATATTACCTACATCCTTTAAAATTTCACTTTGGAAATTGCTGCAAAGCAATTATTCTATGGTAGTTACTGAGTAAGCAAAGTAACCTTCTCAATCAATTTTTAAATTTTGAAGGTTAGGATTGCAATCATAACTTATATCGCTATGACTGGATAGAAATTCTAGGCTACTGCTAAACTTGAACTAAAAGCAAAGGGAATAATAAATTTTTAAATTTTAAAACTATTACGAATCCAAGCGGAGAATAGAATCCCAATAATATTATTATTAACGATTATTGATAAGTTTCTGGTCAATGTTAAGTTATTATTGAAATATTCAATGAAATTTTACTTTATTTGTAATAAAAAATATAACAAACAGCGCTCGTTATTTCTTCATGAATTGTACAAGAAATTATAATTATTGCTTCTTGATAGAATTTCTGGTCATTTAAATTTAGGTCTACATTATTTAGTGAGATACAAATTAACTGGCCGCTATTCTGATGATTAACATAACAAAACGTTTATTTAAATGAATGATTGATAGAATCAAATTATGCTGTTAAGTATTGCAGACGATTTGGATTAGTAACATGAGTCATAAATTTTTATCGCTTACCTTTTGACTGAAGGCGCAGTAAGCAAGGAAGATGTATAGTCCCTAAGGTTAGAATTAATAATAATAAATCCTTGCTGTTAGTAAATGCGAATATTTAGAATGATCTTCTGTTATAAATTATACCTACCTGTACCGAATTAGTAATTGCAAATAGATATTGTATCACAACATTATCAGATATCATAAGAATGCAACCAAAAGACCAGGTTAAACCTAGGATGGGGGCTAAAATACTCAAGCCTCTCAACGCGATTCTTAAGAATGATATTAATCATATGAAAAAGAGATCCTCACTTTGTTTATCTAGCATTTGTATGAAACAATTTTAGTATAGAAAGCTATTAAAACAAACTTTGTTTTCTGCAGATCTCCGGTCTCCTGAGCTATTTTTTGTGTATTGAGCATAGTGTAAATTGCCATACCACAAAATACAATGTTTGTCTACAAGATTTAAGAGACCTTTAGTTGGGAATCTTACATTTGCTAAATTAATTTAATATATGCAATACAGTAGCTTTAGTATTTATAGCTATATATCCTGGAACTTTGTTAAAGATGTAATATTTTGATAACTATTGATTACAAACTTACTACAAAGATGATTACAAATGGAATGACAAATGCGAGAATAACCCAATTTGTAGCTGATAACCAGCAACTATAGAAAATTGAAAGAATAATATAAATTAAAAGGAAGAGTAAAAATAGGCTGTCCTAAGTTCAACGGTTTTATTTTCAAGGCTTCCTTGTATTTAGAATTGTAGGAATCACGAGTATGATACTAGACATATTAATATTAGTCGGACCCTTGTGAACTTAAATAATATTCCATTCCTGCAGCTCCACACGTAATCGCAGCGGTTAAGCCAGCTATCAAAGCGGGAACACCTGGTACCAATAAACGATAACATCATCATTAAATTTACTTATATTTCTGTAAGGTAAATTGACCTATTCTATATCTGTTTGAATAAAACAGACCTATTGATGCTAATTGGTAGTACAGGAATTTTTCATTGACATCAAAAACTTTTATAAGCACAAGGTAAATATGTATGCCTTCTACCAACATCCACATAAACGTAGCCAGTAGTGAGAAATGGAGTACGGAAGCCAGGATAGTACATAGAACCTATTATATTAGATAGATTACATATTGAAAATATATGTCTTGATCGTTGCAATCATGCTTTTGATAGCGAAAATAATTGAAATTTTACTGAGTTCAATAATCGTCATATAAATTACCTTGATATGCTTTGCTAAATCCACAAACATGATGATTAAGTTAGCAACTAATAGCCAAGCGAATAAATTCATATGAATTTTGTTGGTTGGATTTTTTAAGAATCTAATAGTTTTACAAGTAGGAAAAGCAACAGTTTCATTTATTAATAAAACAGTATTTAATAGGTATAGGACTAATTTTATCTATCATCGATATTAGCAGAAGTTAATGAATATCCAGAATAATTACTTCCATAATACAGAGTAGATAACTAAGGTGGAGCTCAATCCAACAACAGAAAAGCCACAACCAACATATGTAATTATTTCAAGTGAGAGCAGGATAGGTTGGGTAAGCTGTTTCAAGAAATGAAGAAAAATTGAAATTAATTGGTATTAGTCTTATGACCATATGCATCTTTATTTCAACAAGGAATACATTAAAAGTAATTACAAAGTACATTTCGTTAAAAATTAGCTTAGAAGAGCTTACATTTCTTTCTGATAATCTTAGGAGTACTGCAAAATTCGTTAAATGATCGCATTCACAAACTATGTGGCTGGCGTTTGAGGATTTCGTTCGACATCCTAGTCTAGACCAAGCTCCCGTGTGGATAGTCCTTAAGATATTTTGATTAAAATAAACAACTTTAGTGCAAAGAAACAGCTGCTAGTTTAAAGCGTTTTGAGTAGCAAATCATGTACTTGATGGTATAATTCCAGAATGAGCAATTGAATTCGTCAGTAACTTTATATAATTCGCGATTGAATAAAAGCTATAATCAAGATGAATATTAATTTAATTTAGCAAATGTATGCAAGTTGAAGCACTAGACAGAAATAACATTATAGCAATCATTTTTTAACTCAAAACAGGTAACAGAATTAAATTTTTATGCAATGGAATGACCTCGCTGTTTGACACTTTTTGCAAAGTATAGTCAATTGGCTCAAGTAGCTTTTTATTGAGTGGCGGATAAAGTGATGTCGAGATTACTACTGTTTGTGGAATCCATCGGCTCGAGTTAGTTCTATAAAAATATTTCAATAAAATTATTAATCTTTCTATGTTCTATTTAGAATTGAAACATAATCTATAATTTATATTAGAAATCAGGGGAATCGCATCTGTCTTCATAGTATTGAAAGAAATTCCATTTGCAAATAATGATTATAATATTATCGATATCAAATAGATCGCTAAGTTAGCTTACTTAAGAGTCTGGTCGACTTGTTCGGGTAAAAGTTCGTTTAAAGTTTTATAAATGAAGCTTACTATTTTAATTGTAGTTGAAACATCATAGCCTACATTTAGGAATGAAATAAAATTATTGATATTAATGAATTAACTCAACGTTTACTCAAGTATTTTATGGAATATAGTATCCAGCCTATTCTTTGCTTGGATAAAATTACTTTGAAATACAGTTGGAGGCAAATTAATCTGGTTCCCCTTGAGCCATCGCCTAGAACTATTAGTTTGAAGGACAATATTGGTTGCCGGCTGATCTACTCTATTAGTGAATTCGCTAGGAAATTGATATGGCTGTTCTGTTTCGGTACTAAGGGCGCTTATTTCCATAACTATTGGTAAATAAGAATTATTTTCAGCTTCTATCCACACTTCCTAGTTGGAAATGGTGCAATTTATTGCTTATAAATATGAAATTAATCGTAGAATGCTAGCTAAATCCATGTTTTAATAGAATCAGAAATTGAAATGTTTTAGAAAAGCATTTTGTTATGCTAGGAGCTAGACAAATTGCTTCCTATGCAGGCTATCCTACTGATGACTTTATGAATAAAGTATCAAGTCAATGAAATATCAGGATATGTTTTTGAAATTGATATACCTATATTATCTGCTGCCACAATGATTGTCTCATTGCTTAATCCAACTAAACTACCATATCGATCTAAGTTTTGAGCTAGTTCCGTTGTTCCTGGTTTGGTCTATTAGTATATAATTGATCTTATTAATATAAAAGCGTAAAATTCATAAATTAAGGGTTAGAACTTTTAATGATCGTCAAATAATGCGCTATGCAATGATACTATATTTTTGCCATCAGCAACTTAAAATCAAATCTATTTTTGAGATCTCTACCTTTTGTATCTCGATCCACTGATCTCTGTTTTTTTTCTCTATCAAGTTACTTCCAGTTCTCACAAATTCCTAAATGATAGTTATAAATTTAAATATATCAAATCTATTTAATGGGGATATATGAAGGTTTAGTGAACTCTAACCGCATTAATCAGTTCTACATTTGAAACTAGTCGTTCAGAAATAGCTATCTTATAATAATTAATGAATGGCTTCTGTAGTACAGTTATTCTATTTTCAATCTAATGATAGACTCACGTAAAGGTCTTTAATTTGGATAGATAGTTCATCGCTTATATTAGCTACTTTTTCTAATATAGAATTGGCAACTAAAATATCTCCTCCTGTCAGGCTCTGATTAGATGGAGTATTTGTGATATTTTGTAGCCTAGTCAGGACTTCTGTAGCATTATTATTCTTATCAGTTAAATTAGAAGCCTAGTTATCACATAAAATTTAGGAGATTGACGTAGTAAATTAGTTTTTGTTAACTTTTGATTAAGTTGATGATTACACTGAATGAACATTAGGCTGTTTATCTTGACTAACCTGCTGTTGAATGGAAATAAAAGGTTGACTAACGCAATTAATACTGGAAACGCTTCCCCATCTAGGCAGCTGTTCCACAGTATCCAGCAAGCAAGCACGAGTAACATTGCCTAAATCAAGGTGATATAGAAATAAAGAAATTCAAAAAATGAAATATTGAATTAGTAGCTAGCTTTACTCCAGTAACTTAGAAGGCGGGCATCATAAATAATGTACTCTTGAAACTGACTAAAGCAATAAAATAAGTTAAATTTTCTGTTACAAACCTGACGATAACTGTCCGCAAGGAATTACGGCAACAGCATCAACGGGTGTTTCTGGCCATGAAAAGTCATTTTGTTGCTGTTTCGGACATGTAGATGGTTGCGGCTGAGCTGGAAAAATTTCTATAGTATGATGGGCCTCCTTTATACCCATAACGCCATCATAACTACAAGTAAAATGTGTTAGACTTGTATTAGAAGATTGTCGCTGTATATTCCTTAGAGTTAGTATGGATTCTGAGCCTTGTCTTTCAATTTGAACATTTGAATTGGCACCTGTATAAAGGATTGATATTCGAATATCAATATAAAGACCCTATTATGTGTAACTATTTATACTATCTTCAATTGCCAATTAAATCCATCATTAAAGGATTAATCCGATGCTGACATTGAAATAAATCTCATCATATATTCAATACAAGCACATAGATTAAATTAGCTTACATCAAGTATTATCGCGGGCTACAGTTTACCATTAAATGGAACTAAAACATTAGAATATCAATATCAAGCTATATTATTTGCAATGACTATTTATACTGCCTTCAATTACGAATTTAAAGCACTGTGGAGTATTGTTGCCTGTTATAATTTACTAATAAGTTGAACTGAATACTAGAATGTCAGTATCGAACTGCATTATGCATAACTATTGTACTATCTTCAATTGCCAATTAAACCCATCATTGAAGGGTTAATCTGATATCGCCATTAAAATAAATTTTATCTTGTATTCAATACAAGTACTCGGATTAAATTAATCTAGAATACTGGAATGTCGATATCAAATTATATTACAGTATTTATACTATCTTCAATTGCGAATTTAAACCCATCTATGAAGGGTTGCTCCAATGCCGGATACCGACATTAAAATAAATCTCATCATAGATTCAATACAAGTGCACAAATTAGATAAGCTTCCAATAATTAAACTTGCCAGCTATATTTTAAAATTAAATTGGACTACTAACCTGATACGATCGGAATTTGTGATCGATACCATATGAAATTTTCAGAACCACTAGCTATGCCCGACGTATAAGTGACTGTGCATTGCAATTGCAATGTATTACCTGCAATGACCGTATAATCTCCTTTTATGTTGACTCTATAGTTTGATATCATCAACAAATTTCCTCCAAGGGATATATCTTGAGCAGGAGTAAAGATACTACACCCATAATGGCCGTCAAATTTGAATTCTGTGCTGGGAAACACTTGCAAGATTACCATGTTTTGATACTGACTCAGTTGAAGACGATAGAAATTGGAGTGGTTGAAAGTGGGCTGGCTTGGAGAAATAACAGGGCCTAGGGTTTGATTATTAAGATACCACTGAAATTTCGTGCCATTGAGTACGGGTAAATTTTTATAGCCGCAAGTTAATTGGATTTTATTACGTCCGGTAATTCGTAAGCTTTGGTTGTTTAACGATATTTCACGAATGGGATTTGAAATTGGGTCTTGATAGGTAAATACAGTGTTATTTTGATTTACATCTATAAAAAATGTGAATACTTCAATTTTAGCAAAGCTTCTTAGCATAGATTTGGACTTGTAATCGTCGTATCAGAGATTAAATTATTTTACTTACATAAAGAATAACTCATTTTGAAGCCAGTATAATTTCCAGGTGAACCTCTTTGTGTCGTAAATATAATATGTATGTTCCGACTTTGAAAGTAGACATTCTGAGGATAAGTACGACCACAGTATGGTAAACCTCTAAAATCAGGTTCTACACCGAACGAAAAGCTTACAGAATCGCTACAAACTCCTTCTACTCGTGGACGAAGGTTAAAATCGATTACTTTAACGATAGCAGTTCCATTCTGTCCACTTCCCACTGACCAAGAGCAAAACAGTGGTGAGGAATAGTTATAAGGATAATTTGGTGATATAATATAGCCAGTATACAGAAAAGCTGGCATATAATCACCACAATCTAAAAGGATATAACAAAGAAACTGGTTTGATTTTATAGCTTAGATCGATGCAAAATATTTTCTCTAGAAGAATAGCATGACTTCAAATATCGTTCAATTATTACAATAACAGAATACAGTATTTTTCCTACCTTGCATTGCAATTTTTCCAGGTATATCGAAAATTAACCACTTGGAAATAATCATACAATCAAAAAATATCAGATTAAAATATGATTTCCGATGTTAACAATTGGAGGTAGAAATTGATATTATAGGTTATAAAGTTACTATTATCTAATTAAACGGCATAATATTTAAAAGTAACGTTTTTTCTCGAGAAAATTCTACTGATATTGGTAATATTTTAATGCCTTTCCGTATTTAAAGAATCTTTTAATATTGAATGATATAAATATTTTACTAGCATTAGTAACTTACAAGGTTGAAGTTGTAGATGATGAAAAAGAAAAGAGGACAAACTTTGGTAAATACATTGAAATGCATGGTTAGGCTTGTAGAGCAGGTAATTGCCGGCTAATTCTCTCAAATATAATTATTAAAGAGGTTGAATGTCGCTTGATATTACAGAATTTGAAGACAAATTAAAATTTTTATGAAACTAAATGCAATTTTTGACTTCGGTTCTTCCTCTTCACTATTATCATATTGCACCGATGTGATGATGAAAAAGTTCATAACAAATTGATTAATCTTACGATTAATTTTATACTATTGACCTATGATGCAATGCATGTCTGTGTCGTACTAGCTACTATTAGCCCTGTTAAAAACTGGAGATACCTATGGCTAAAAAATTTGATTGTTTAACCATATGGTCAATACCAATAAGAAGACAGTAGTTTTAATTATTATGATAAAATAGCATACGGACCCAAATAGAAGAAAAGGCCAAAGGTTATAGCTTACTAAGCTGGTATCTATCAAATTGCTCTTTCACTCGCTAAATATTTTATTTAAGTATTATAAATCTACTGTGACACATATCGAATTATGCCCATCACTGACAATGTAAATATGACTAAGCACGTCATAATTCTATAGAAGCTTTGTAATGCTACGGTATGTTCTGTTACTATCTTACACAGTGCAAATAATGACTGGTACATGTCTTTCACCAGCATACTTAGCTTTTAAATTAACATTGCCAATAGGCGCAATATATTTTAATTTTTGGATAATGAAAATAAAAGTTAAGCGCACTTAAAAGTTGAACTCTTGAACACTTGTTTTTTTATACCTTTAAACGCTTTAGCGTGAAATAAGACTACGGTGTAATGTCCGGCTATAATGTCATTGTGTGAATAATCGGAAAAAATAAGTAAAAGACTCAAATAGACTTGCGTTATGTTCTAAAAATTTTATCCATCTAAATAAAATTAATTTATAGTAGTTAATGCAAAGTGATAGGTAATTTTTCTGGTATTGTTAGGCATTACTAATCATAGCATGGAGTACGATCATTATATTTAACTCATATGTATGTATAGGTAATACAAATATTGTAGAACTTTAAGATCAAGGACTTTCTTCTTTCAATAAATTATACATTAAAAATATGCTTATAGGAAGGCTGAAGTTTCGATATTATTATAGTAATAAATTGTTTATAAATGCTGGGAATATTAAAGAAACGATCTCGCAACATGTTCCTGAAATTAAATTTAATTAATTAAAATAAAATGGTTTTTAATATCTGGCGTGATGGATATGTCTGCTGGGATGCTTATTAAAGGCTTATTTATGTTTTTTTTCCATAATCGAATATAAGATTAAAATTTTAGGATAATATGTGGATCTTCGTAATCTCATTTAATAAAATTGAATTAATGTACCATATGTAACAACTCATGATGGGTATAATTTCATTAAATCTTCTATATTTCATCACTCTACGCGATCGCTGGGGTACGAGTTTTATTTTAATGTAAGAGCCAAAGCATAGATAATTACACGGGGAATAATGCCTCTCTATTTTTATTCTCAAAATTTGATTATAAATAAAACAAGCTACAGGGTACCGTGAACTTCGGGTGTGATTTTATGTTGATAGCCCGAGCTACATGTAGGATAGTTAAATGGAATAACTTTGTTAAACCTCTTTTTTAATACTTTTTTCTCAACGCTGAAACGATTTAATTTACGATATCGTACTTAACATATGATAATATATTCGACTTGTGATATAGTTGCGTTAGATTCATTGGGATTTGGAATTGTTCTCATTACGGCTTTACCTATTGAAAAAAATATCCATCCATACTTGAGATAAACAGTGCACGCGCTGTAAGTCTAATTAGTACAGATTATAACTGAGATTGACTGACTTCAGTAAGGTATAATTTTATAAGTGATCGAATCACGAATGTTTGTAAGAATCTGAGCATAATAAATTCATATAGTAAAATCTAAGCTTATTAAAGGACATACTAAGCGATAGAATAAAGTAAAGGATTGAAAGCTTTAATATTTTCTAGTAATTAAATACTCTAGTACCTGATTAGGTGCTGAACTATTTTCTGGTATCGTCGGTAAATTTTACGACTACTTTTAATTTAAGACTATTTTAAATAACAAAGTATTGAGCTACTACCCGTCCTCTTATTATAGCAAAACTGCCAATAGTAAACAAAACAATCGTTATAATGTATTAAGGCTTAACATAACAGAAAATGCAGATCTATATCCATAATATGATAAGATAAAGACTGCAGGACTGTAATAATCGCGCAATAGAATCCTACTTTTACTGTTGCTTCGTTTACGTAACCAAAATTTTGAGTAAACAAAATAGATACAAGGCAAGTGCACCATTTTATCCTATTAGCCACATAATGTACTACTATAATTGGCTGAGATCATTACATTATTACAAGGATATACTGCTAATAGAGTATATAAGTAGTCAATTAAAGAGTAGATAGTTATCCGAAGTACTTAAAAGAACCATCGATATAGTAAAATTTGTGGTAGCTATTTGACACATATCGCTATCTTAAAGTAATAAATATCTTTACATTGTTTAATTGACTTTATTCTCTAAAAATGCCAAAATTATGAAATGACCGATTCCTGGCACCGTAAAAGTTAACTGTCAGATCAATAGAACAGCGTAGACGTTATTTAATCTCGTATATTTTTTTCTTAAATTTAAATGATAATATTGCAGTTATAATGTGAAGGTCAGTATGAAAATTTACCATGTTAAGCTACTTAATCCATCTACCTTATTGGCCGTTCGCAAACTTTCGCATAATAACTAACTGTCAATTAATTCTGTTGGGCATTCAAGGGATCAGGGAAAAGTTGTAGTTCCTTATGCTAATATGGATGGTTGGATAAGTATCGCGAAAATCAATTTTCGTGGCGTATACATACTTTTATGCCTGTAGGGTTGATGATCTACTTAATTGAACTTTAGTAGCGCTAAGCAGTCGACACTATGCAATCCTCTATTTAGGATTAGGATTGGGTAGATTGAAATAGTAATTACCAACTAGTTTAACCAGATTATATTTATCACCTCGAATAATATTAAGATTAAAAGTACAGCTTTAAGTTTAGATGAGATATCTTAGTAAGATAACCAAATGTATATTTTCTAAACTACGAATAGAAATTGATCAATTTAATGTCGGCACAGGTAATTTAGCAGGAATAGACTGCATTTATTCTATGCAAATAGAGACTTTTAGGTCATTAACTTGATTAACTTCTAAATGACGAGGTGACTAGTGCAGTTTGATCAATTTTAAGTACCTAAAAGTTATATAAGCTGCGTCCTTGCTGAGAATAAAGTAGATTATGATCATCTAGCTAGATTGAAGGCCTAACAGGGCCAAGTCTTGATTCTATCTACATAGGAATATCAACTGATTCGTATTCTAATTTACATTAGCATAGATTCGAAAACATACTTTCAACCTATATTGCAAGCTACGACTATTCCTAGTTTGTGACAATATCATAGCAATTGTAGGTGTAATTTGTATATCTTATATCTTAGACTAATCGAACTATAACCATCATCGTATTCCTGATATTTACTGCAGTTTGTAGCGACTTCTTAACTATAACTTAATCCTATAGGAGAGTTGTATGGTCAACTTCTATAGCTGCTTTTGATTTCCTACCACAGAACAGAGGTTAATCAGATTGACTATGAAGTACCAGTAGATTCTAAGATGATGATAATTGTTATTATGAGCTAATAGTTTTATAGAAGCTAATATATATCACAAATTGATATTACTATTTGACTAAGCGAGTTATTAATACTTTAATTACAGTATCGGTGTCAGGAATCACAGATAATTCAATGACTTCCCTGACGGTGTTCCTTACGCATACATGAAACATTTCTAAATTGGAATACATATATTGTTTTGACTTATGAATTCGTGCTGATATTTATCAAATGGCAGGTAAAATTTGGTTAAGAACGCCATTTTATTTTTTTGATAAAGAATCAATACAAAATCAGTTTGATAATGAAGCTGGTGATATTAATTCTAAAATATGTTGGCAATTAAAAGTAAAGTTCTGATAATTCGTTTCACTATGAAGTTAGTTGATCGTGTGTAGCATTTTCACATATAAATATTAAAAGAATGCATAAATAATTAAATTTAACGTATTAGATTTAAGTTAGGCTAATAATTATAATCGATGTTTAGATTAGGGTATTGCCCTCCCTATTTATAAATGTTATTAATATGTCTTGTTGAAATAGTTAAAATTTATAAAACAAGTAATTTCACTTGAAAATAAAGCTGTAGGAGAGGAAATCGCTTCTGGAGGAGGCAAGTTTACCGTTAAAAGTTCAAGTTTTATTCTTAAATAGAAATAATATAACTGTAAATATCGTAGTCAATATAAATTCCATGTGAGCGAAATACTTAAAACTGATTAATAACCGGCTACAGTAACATCTCTTCATCGAAAATATCCGTTTTACTGACATAATTCGCTGTTGTATTGTCAGGATTCGCTTCTGGTTGATATTTCAAATCGTGATTAAGTAAACGTTGATGGTCGCTATTTTTCAACTGGTCCTCACGATTGGGCCGGATATCAACATCAGGAGCGGAAGTAGAATTTGTATATGGCGGTGAAGATGATACGTTGTGAAAATGATCTTGATTATTTGATAACGATTTTTCTGTAATTGCATCCACTTGCGGCTGAATTTCAGAATCCTCGAAAGTTTGATTGATGATGCCGTGATGGTCAGTTCCTTCTAGCGAATCTTTAACATCATCCACTTTATCGTGATTATTCGCGGCGCATTTTTCAGTAATTGTGTCTTGTTGTGGTTGAATGTCGGAGTCATCATAGGTATGATTGATGATGCCGTAGCGGTAATTTTCTTGTAAATGATCATCACGTTGTGGAATCTTTGCATCAGCGACAGAAACAGCAATTGCGGTCGGTTGCAAAGATGAAATGTCTTCACTTTCATAGTCGGAATAAACTTTCATTGCAGTTAATACAACGGGTTGCGTAGAATCCAAATTGTAGCTTTCCAAGGTAGTCATTTTACTGAATTTAGGGCTGCTGACACTAGAATAATAAAAAATTTGAATTGAATCCGCTTGTTTTATCATGCATTTAATGAGCTAAATTAATTACAATAAAAATCTAGTTTTGCCGTCAATGTTAAGAAGGAAATAGCGTAAAGGATCTTAAAATCTAGAATTGATAATCTGCTATATAGCTACAAAAATTCGACATTAATAGAATCACTCCAAAGCGAACCATATATACTAATTACAAATAATACGGTTACTTTTAGCAACAACATGTACGTGATATTAAAATTCGTTACAATCTCGATCATGTTCGAGTCTAAATTACGCAGATGATGCAGTCTATGTTAGTTTGTTGAGACAATATCTATTCAGAAGAGTCGTTAAGGGTACAAATAGTCTAATAATAACAGATTCATATTTATTTAATATGAAAATTAAGCTGCATATTATTTTTTGAGTATTCTCCATACTAAATTAAAGTATTTACGTCTCGTAATTGTTCACCAGATAATAAGCAAGAACTAAAGCTAAATAAATGTTACCGCCATGAAGATGAAATAACGTATATAAATAAATAAATCAAGTAGATCTTGCTTTTAGTGAGTTACTCCACGTCAGAGATCTCATTATTTCATACCTAGGCCTTGATTGTGAATGTGAAGATTCTTGGGCGTTATATTTTTTATGGCTATAATAAGGAGATAAATTGAAGTTATTAATTTCAATCTTTCAAAGGAATAAATAGGCCGATAGGCCAATCTTAATAAGCATAAAATCATTTCACGTCGAAGACATCCAATATACCTGATTTTTTTCTTACTGAGCATGAACCTCCTTCCTTTTCTTTTCGATTTATTGTAGGCTTCTTTGATCTGTGACAAAAAATTATATAGCAGTAATTTCAGTATTTTAATTTTAAATAATATTTTTAGGTTCGTTTTGGGAGTAATTATTCTATACGCGAGATTTTATATGGTCAGCATTTTAGGTGCTGCTGACAATATTCGTAATTACTAATAAAGAAATGAGGACAGCATTTTTAGAATCTGCAAATAGTTGATAACGTATTGATAAAATAAATATTCCTGGATCATCTAAAGATCAATATTAGCGATTCGATTTATAATACTCGGCTGATGTGATATATTACTAACACATGCAGAACTAGACGTAATAACGCTATTTAGCTAAAGCTTTAAAAGTTAATAGTAGTATAGAATACGTATTTTCGAAACCAGTAAGGATTAATGCCTCAATACACGTGAGATCGTCGACTAAAGTTAAAAAGAAAGTATTACGTCTGAAGTGACGGTAAAAATTTTAAGCCTGGATTTACTAGGTTTATATTTCGGGCTATATTTTATAATGACTTATTTAGATTCTAATTGAACTAGATAACTTTTAGTCAATATGAATTTGAGATCTTACCTTTTTGCTTAAAAGGCAGTGAGTGAAAAAGATATAGACACCCTAAGATTAAAATGTTATACATCATTTTTTAGCTTTTACAGAATAATAACTTATAAATCTGATTAACTTGCGGTAGGTTATTAAACGTCAGCTATGTGTTACATTCGATTTCGTCTACCTGAATTGAGTTAGTAATAGCAAATAAATATTGAAGTACAACGCTGTCAGAAACCATGAGAGCGCAACCGAAAGACCAAGTTAAGCCAAGAATTGGCGTTAGAATAATTAGACCTCGTAAAGCAATTCTAATATGAAAAATTTTTTTGAATAAATTAGCATTTAAAGCAATTATGTGATTTATGATAAATTCTATCGCTTAATTTACCTGGCTTTTTGTAAATCTTTAGCTTCCTCTGCGACTTTTTTCGTATGGAGCATGGTATGGATGGCCAAACCACAAAATATTACATTGGCCTATAAAAAATAATATACTGCGATTACTTTTGGGTACATGCTCATTTATTTATACTCATCATTACCAAAATAAGTAAAAAGCAGTTGAACAATATCGCCAGTATATTACGTTACTTGCTGTTGGCATTTAATAATTTAAACCCAAAATAATCGTTTTAGCCAATCAAAGTAACAAATGTGAAGTAGAAAATCCTTATATCTTGACAATTTAACTATTCATAATTGAAATAAAATTACGAAGATAAATGAAGGTATTCATACCACAAAAATAATTATAAATGGAATGATGAATGCAAGAATAACCCAATTTTGAGCTGATAACCAGCAACTGTAAAAATAAATACAACTATTAGTGATAGTTCTGAAAAGATTATTATAGCAATCACATGCTGCTATATTATTTTATAAATTAATGCTATTCTAACCCTTGCGAGCTTAAATAAAATTCTACTCCTCTAACGCCACTAGTAATAGCCGCAGTAAGAATTGCAACTATAGCTGAAAAGCCTTTAGAAAAATAAGAATTATAAATAGTGATTATCGGAAATATTAAGCATAATTAATCCTAGAATATCTCATTAAGGTTGTAGTTTTTAGAAAGGGGAATTTAGATTGATAAATTGCTTTATATCCTAAGTAAGCACTTAATTATATACCTATGGATGCTGCGTGATAATAACGAAATTTTTCACGGACGTCGAAAACTTTTACCAAGATAAAGTAGATGTGAATGCCCTCAATTAGCATCCAAGAGAAAGTGGTTAAGAGCGTAAAATGTAATAAGCAAGCAAAAGCAGCGCACAATGGCTATAAAATCAAAAAAAGAAGTTGATGTATTGGTTACTTTTTGATTGAAAACGTTTCAGTACCTGCAACAGTGTCATAAAACTTGAATGAATAAAATAGAGGGCAGATAAATGAGAATAAATACCAGTAGCTACTAGCAATAAAGTCAAAATGGATAATATACGAGTATGGTATTGCAAAGAAGATAAACTGTTACATTATAATTATTAATCAATTAAAAAGGGAATATATTAGGATAGGATTATCCAAAAAATATCACTAGCAAGATTTATATTATTTATCTATTAGATAAAATAATTAGATAGATAGAGATAGATAGAATAGTCTATCACCAAGTAGGTGAGGAGCTGTGATGTCTATTAAGGACTATAAATAGAAACTTAAAATTATCCAAGACTACTAAAGTAGGATTTTATGCCGTGGTATAGGTTAACGGGAATGAATAGAATAATATATAATATTACTGATTAGTTATAAATTAGAAGCTGATAAAATACTAAATACTTAATAGTTTAAGGCATATCGACAATTTATATTCGAATAAACGTACGGTAATAAAGTTAGATCGAAATATTATTAATTATTTAACACCTAAATCGGCTGTTAACTATCAATTACAATTAATGATGTATGGAATACCTTGACATTTTTTGCTAAGTCGACGAACATTAATATCAGATTGGAGAGTAAGAGCCAAATAAATAGGTTTAAATGTATTTTATGCGTTGCATTTTTCAAAAATCTGTTATTAATTAATACATAAAAAAATTAATCTTTTAAATAATTATCATTATTGATAATGTTGAGGTGATTAATTGCGATAATTTTGGATTCGTCATATAATTTATTGCAAATTTCATCAGAAAATTTTGGATCAGTACAGAATTGATATTGAGATGATTTGCTTATACATATATATATCTCACTTCCATAAAAAGACGTAAACAGCAATAGTAACAGATAATCCAGCCACTGAAAGGCCGCAGCCAACATAAGTTATTATTTCAAGAGAAAGTTGGATAGGCGCACTAAGCTGTTAAATCAACATAAAATAGAATTAGTTTACCGATCATATTTTTTCATTCAAAGTCGTTAATTACGTCCGTTTTGTATAGTTCGCTAATCCCCATTTCGTATTGGTGCAGATCGTGTTTTTAAATCGATAATCTAGTCAACAGTATTCTAAGACATTCATAATACTTACGTTTCTTTCCGATAGACGTATTAATACAGCGAAATTAGTTAAATGATCACACTGGCAGACAATATGAGTAGAATTGAAGGATTTACTACGACATCCTTGATTTGACCAAGCCCCACTATGGATAGTTCTACATTATATTAATGCCAAGAAAAAAAATTAACAGACACTTCATGGCGAATAGGAGCGTAGATGATATTTCTATCGTGAAAAAGAATTATTCCGTGAATAGAACACACGAACCTTATAGAATAATTCCAGAATGAACAGTTAAAATTGTTAGAAACTGCGTATAATTGTTGATTGTATATTAGCTGTAAATGAGAAAATAAATAGGACTATATATGAATTTAATGTGTTAATACCTTCACGTGCATCTCTTCGTATAATTGCATAAGCAGTGTCAAATCGACTTAATTAAAATAATTTTAATAATGGCGCAAATAAAGCTACCGTTTCATTCGATAGTTTTTCCAATATATATTCAAGTGGTTCTAATAATGCTGCGGTAAGGGGCGGATAAAGAGAGGTAGAAATTACCAATGTTTGCGGAATCCAATTTCTTGAAGATGCACTACGAAATAATGTTTAAAGATAAATAAATAATGATAGAATAGAATTTGATCGAATATGACTGTAAATAATTAGTTAATAAACACAGAAACGACGAATGAAATAGAGGGAGATTTTACCTTATACTTTGATCAATCTCATCAGGCAAGAGCTCACTTAACGTTCTGTACATGAAACTGACCACCTTAATATTTGTATTATAGCCTATATGATAAAGAAATCCCGTTCAATTCATGTAGTAAAATAATTAATATTACTTTATCCTAAAAATGTACAATGTAGCTAAATCATACTTTGAAATGTAGAGGCTGGTAGTTTGATTTTATTGCCTCTTAACCAATTCTGTGAATTATTGGTCTGGAAAATAATGTCGTTCGATGGTGAATTAGCCAGACTAAAAACTCTATCGGGAAATTGATAATTTCGGTTCAGTTGTGGGCTAAAACCATAAACCTCCATGACTATAACAAATAATAATGATTCATTTAGGCATTTCATATTATCAAGCAGGTCTTGGAGATTGCCAGTCATTCAATATACTAGTCTTGTTTAAATTTTTTATATTACTAGGAGAGATAAAACATACTATGCCATAAGTGTACTTAATACCAGAAGAGATAGATAACTTATTTAGATAGAAATGCTTATAGCAACTATGAAAAATAATAAATTAACTCTTTTAAGAAGTACAATTTAAACAAATATCTTATTGATATATAACTTCTATTTCATGGTATCTCAAGTACTGGCATACTTTGTAGATAAATTTGCAAGTAAAATTAGTAAAATATACGATCTGATGAATTAATAAATGCTATAAATCGGGGAAATCAATCACTTATAAATATACCAATATTATTGGCTGCTACAATTATGGTTTGGTTAGGATTAACGCTGACTTGGCTACTAAATTGGTCCAAGTTTCGACTCAATTCTGTTGTTCCTGGTCTCGTCTTTGAATAAAGAGCAAATGATAAATAAGCAATACAGTGTTAACAGCGTAATATTAACGAGATTTAATGATTGTCGTTTTTAAATTACAAGTGGAAAGAAACTTAATTGTTACAACGAAAAATTTCAAAATTTTATTCTTTAGCAATTATTCTTTTACCTGTTGTATAATATTCCACTGATTTCGATTTTTTAAATCGATTAAATTGCTTCCTGTCCGAACAAATTCCTGTTACCAGTTACAAATAAAATATTTTACAAGATTATTTACAAGACCTCAATCGCTGGAAAACGCACAATTCAAAGGTCTAGATTCATTAAAAAGACTAATAATATATCAAAATAAGGATATATCATTTTTTCCGTATTCTTACATAAAGATCCCTGACAGAAACTGTTTGATTTTTGCTAACGTTAGCCACTGTATCCAAGATCGAATTCGCTACCAAGATATCACCAACACTTAGGCTTTTATTAGCTGGCGTTTCAGTGATATTTTGTAATTTACTTAATATGTCGGTTATGTTATTACTGCTATCGTTTAATAATGATGCCTATTGAAGTGTAATTTGGGATTTAAAGAAAAAATAGACACTGTTATCTACTTAAGATAGCGTTTTAATGCCATTACATCAATCACATAGATCGAAATGATGTACACTACCTCTTGTTGCAAAGAAATGAAGCTCTGACTAGGGCACTGATTAGTAGATACTTGATCCCATCTAGACCTATTTTCAGCCTCAACGAAAATGCATGCACGGCTAGCGTTTCCTGAAATAGTCCATACAATATTAGTTCAACAAGATGTTAAATTTTTATCTGCTATCAGATTAGAGAAGGATGTAGGATCTGTATGTGATGTTAATGCCAGAAAGCTAAATTGATTTTCAAACTAATCAAACAATTCAAATAGATCTATCATAAATTATTGATATCGTACAGGATTATTTATCTTGGAATTATACGATGAGAAGAATAATCTGTTTGTGCAAATTCTTAATTGGGGAACTAATTAATGAATACCGAGTCTAGAACTGTTTTCAGCCTCAACGTAAAAAAGATGCTCAGCTGGTATTTTCCGAAATAGTCCATACAATATTAGTTCAATAAGATATTAAAGTCACCACTGCTATAAGATTAGAGAAGAATATTGCATCTGGAAGTACTGTAAATGACACGCTTAAGCTAAATTAATTTCAAACTACACAAACAACTCGAATAGATCTATTACAAACTACTGAAATCGTACAGGATCATTTAAATTTGGATTTATGTGATGAAAAGAATAATATGCTTATGCGGACTACAGCTGGAGTATCAATTCGGGACTCAAAGTTACTAAGATAGTAATGATTTTGCTTTCTAATATGAAGGGAATATATACTATTTCATAAGACTTAAGTAATTTTTAAATCCGTAAAGATATTACTGCATAGAGAAGTAAGTGTTAAATCCTTATATACTTGTACGGAAATAATTTTTGTGGTGATGTTGATGAAATTTAGATACAAACCGATGGTAGATTGTTGGCATGAAACCAATGCCACCATACCAATAGATGTTTCTGGCCAAAGGTATCCATTTGCTAATTCACTTGGGCATGTCCTATTACTAGATGGTGCTGGTGCCAGAGATGGAGATGGAACAGGAGGTGTAATCGGAATTTGAGATGGAGTCAAAGATATAGATACAGTTGGAGTTTGAGATGAAGGAGCAGCTGGAGATGTAGCTGGAACTTGAGATGGAATCGTAAGCAAAGATAGAACTGAAGTTGGAGATGGAGGTGCAGCTTGAGATGTTACTGGAACTTGGGATGGAATTGGAGACGGAAATACAACCGGAGTTTGAGATAAAGTTTGAAGTTGATCTACTGCATTTGATGAGACTAATAATTGAGATGCAACTGAACCTTCGGAAGGTAATATAGACTGCAACGTATTGGAATATCGCGATGAAGTTGTAATAGTTGATGATATTGAAGATCGAGAGGAAGTTGAGGACAGAGAAGAAACTAGGCTTTGAGTCGAAGTGGAAGATTGGGATAAAGCTGTAGTTCGAGATTTTGCTGACGATGCGGATAAAACTGAACTTTGAGATAAAGCAAAGGCACTGGATAGAATAATTGTTTCGGAAGGAAATAAATTTTTAGAAGAAACTAATCCTTCCGGAGAGGATACCGTTTGAGATGGAATTAGAGTCTCAGAAAAGACCGAATTTTCCGACCGTGACAGCGTTATAGAAGGTAGCAGAATCTCAGAAAGAAATGGAGTTTGCGATGAAAGAAGGGCCTGAGATGGTACAAAGGTTCCAGGTGGGACCAAAGGCTCGGATGGAGCCGTAGTTATAGATATACTTTCTATTGAAAGTTTGGTTTCAGATGGTAAAATAACCTGGGATGGACTAATTGTTGGAAATGGAGTTAAAGTTTCCGATAGAACTTCAGATGGCTTTGTAGACTCTGATAGAACAGGAGTCTGAGAAGGATTCCGACTTGCAGGTATTACTGGTACTGAAGCTTGTGATGGCGGCGCAGTTTCCGATCGAATGATAGTTGGAAATGGAAATTCCGGTTCGATTTCCGATGGAATGATCGGTCGAATTGGAAATTCCGGTTCGACTTCCGATGGAATGATCGGTCGAATTGGAACGACCAATGATTTAGAAATTTGTGATTGATCGATAGATTGGACTGGAACTATAGTTGGCGATGCAAGTGGAGCTTCAGATACTAGTGTATCTGCCATTTTCGATGAAGCACTAGACTGAATTAAAATTAGAGTTTGCCATGGACCATTAGATGTTTCCACTACACCCGAAGGAATAACGGTCTGAAATGGAAGTAGAGTTTCCAATAGATCCAAAGTTTTAGGGGCCGCAGGGGCTTGCAAAATTTCTACCGTATGATTTTGAGATTTTATGCCGTTGTCTCCATCGTAAGAACAAGTGAAAACGGGCTTGCTGGTATTAAATGTTGATTGAGTTATATTGACTAGGATCAGCGTTGATATGGTAGCATTACTGATGATCTGAATGTTGGCTTCTTGATCTGTAAGTTATAAATTTATATTATGATAAAATTATGACATGATATAATTAGTTATCTTCAAATTGCTTAATACTTTTATTTAATACAATCTAATAATAACTATATAACATGGCGCTAACTTGTTAACGGAGAATTATCGAGAAGCCACGTAAATGTTTCCCATCCACTTGCATTACCCAGGGTATATATTACCGTACATTCTAATTGCATCGTCTGGCCTTCCAAAATACTATTTTCTCCTAGAACCTGTAGTTGATAGTCTGATATCTTGATTAAATTACCTTGTATGGAAATTGTTTGGGCTACGGTAGTAATATTGCATCTATAATTGCTGTAGACATTTAATGAAGTTTCCTTGAATATCGTTAGTGTCGTCGATACATTATCTGAATTTAAATTTAGTGTAAATCCTCCGACTGAGGTAATAGTGGATGAATTTGCAGATATCGTGCCTAACTGTTGGTTATTATTAAACCAAGTAAAATTAGTGCCTGTTAAGACGGGCATTCCGGTATAGCCGCATGTGATTTGAATTGGATAGCGTCTAGAAGCTGGTACATTGGCATTATTTAGAGATAGAGTTCGAAATGGGCTCGAGCTTTCTATATACGAAAAGTTGACCAATCTACTCTGGATATCTATAAGATATAAATTCAGATTATGTTATCCTAATAGCCACTGCTAGTGCTATACCTATTCTCTATAGTGTGAGTCTAAAAGTAAACCTTAGCAAAAGCATGAAATCTTACATAACGAATATCCCAGTCGAAATCCATGATAACCACTAACATTTACTGCAATTGGAGTAGAGAATTCAACGTACAAGTTTCGTGTGTTGAAATGGATTGAATTGGGATAAGTTTGTCCACAATAAATGGAGACATTTTGTGATAAAGGTTCTACACCGGCTGAGAATCGAAGATAATCTGAACAAATTCCTTCTACACGAGGTTTGACATCGAAATCATAAATTTTGGCTATAACTGTGAAGTTCGGTGAAGCTGTTAAACTCCAAATACATTCCAGCCCTGCAGGATAAGGATTTGGATATTGTGGAGACTGAATAAAACCAGCTACAATGGGAGATATCATAAAAAAATCTGCTCCTATAAAATTGAATCGCAACAAAACAATCGAGATTTTAAGTTAATACATAGCCAAAAATCATGCATTATTTTAACTATCTTCGAAGCCAGTTATGCTGGAATATTTAATGCCAGCATTACTGACAAGCTATAAATATTTGATGAAAGTAATCCTTGTTAAGAATTGAATAACAAGTATAAAAACAAACAGAATCGAGTTCAATTTAGAATAACTAATTTCATGGTAATGCCTTATAAATCGTTTTTAATTAAAATCATTATGACCCTATAGCGGAATGATTTTGCGATTACAGCAAGAATTAAGTAAGGATAATTATCGTATGAAAGAGTTATTAAAGATAGATTAAGGATTAAATATTCATACCATTAACTCGATGATGAGAAGACTAGAGGAGTAAGTTCAATCCGAGAAGAAAATAAAATGGATAAAACCTTAGTCCATATCATAGGATCATTTAAAAAAATTATTATGATGATTTTACTAAAATCACAGATATTGTTGATAGTTTCTTATGATTACTAAATATTTGATAAATTAAAGTTGATCTAGTCTTATATGATTAGAATGAGATGAATTTTTAACTTACCAAGAATAACATCAACAAGAGGAAGGAATAAAAATAATTTAGATTTTTGATAGCCATAACGATTAATAATTTTTTTCGAATTACTACGGTTAAGTAGTAGGAGTCAATAAAAGCAATCCAACTAAGCCCTAATAGAAAGGTGATAATGCGTTGTTATCCAAAATTCTTTTAAACAACCATTTAGGATGAATTGCGTTCTAGGAATAAGTTAATCAAATTCTCCTAAATCATAACATGATTACGCACAAGAAGAGAATCTAACAAATCATACTAGTCTGTGCAAAATAAATAAAGAAAACTAACTCGTAACGCTTGGTGTATGGAGATTCTATTTCATCAAATGAGTAACTCATGTTCTATTTATGGTTGAAAAGCATATCTATAGTGTAGAATAGGCACTGCAATGATAAAAGCAATCGCATACTACTGTTTTATTTAGAAGACATATCGTGATGAAGATCCAACAATAGTTTTGCTAACAATCGTTAACTAATTAATAATCAAAATAATTCTACTGTTTAATGATGGCACCATTGATTTATTCATGTATCATTCATGTTATTGTAACTGTTACAATTAGAAAAAATTGTGTTAAATGATATCCGACTGTCACATTGAATAGCTATAATTAGAATGAGACAAAGTTTAGTGTAAGCAACTTAGAGCAAAAACAACGATCACCTACGTCGTAGCCACTACCCTTGGGTGTGATTTAGAGAAGGAATTTCATAGCAATATAATGGCGTCATCGTTTCCATGATCATTATATACTGGGCGTGATGGAAAAGAAAAAATGGAGATTGCTATCTATCTTGGGTTAATAAGAAAATAGAAGATCGATCGATCCAATCGAGTATACTTGAAAGTTTACTATTAAATTATTATTAAAGATTTCAGTCGATTTGATCTAAGGTAGATCGAACGATTGATTTCAAAAGTTTAAATTGTAGAGATTTGTGCTGAAGTAACAAGTCAATTCATTCCCAATGTATACAAGAAAGATCAAAATGCTTTGATAAGGCGTTATTTCCATATTGAGATTACCGTCGTTTTAACATTAACGGAAATTAAGTCTGGTATATAGTAAATAGTTTCTATGTCCCAATATGACTTCTGTTCTAATTCTGCTTGATATACTTCACTCTTGACTGCTCAGCTTTGAAGGACTCATGTTAAAGTTCTCACAAATGACGATAATCCATTGTAGGTAAGCTCCTAAATACTACTGAATTACTGACACAGGGGCTTTTCTACCTCTATGCCTGTTGACTTTAATCTGCTAACCTCTATTAAGCTACTTGCCAACCTTTCCAAAACTACCATCTTTCCAACTGTCCTGCAACTCCGTAATCTAGTACTTAAAATATATAAGCGTGGGTAATGGCATTGTCAAATTCTGTCATAATATAAAGGTTCCATATGATAGTTCTCTGTCAACATTAGTATCTTTCCATACTATATAACTATGCCTAGCTAAGTCCTTACTGATGTAGTAGACTACTGTAGGCCATGGCCTTATAGTGTTCTATCCTGATATACAAACCGTGATATCATTTATTTGTCAACTCCAAAGTCCTTACAGATAATAGCATAGCTATAATTTTAATCTCATCTCACGCTGCAAGGAAATGGAACATGAAATCGAATCGACTAGTGCTAAGAAAGCTCTTTGATTGATTTACTACTGATCTAAATAAGGTTTCTAAGCTTGGTTATGTGCCATACTTTTAGTTTTAATTAATGGCACAGTGGCTTTCTATTAATTCTATGTATTTCTTTAATATGTTACAGCTTGTATAACATTAGATTAAAATTGCAATGCATCGTAACTACGTTATAGTTGTTTTAATACTTTGCCAGTTAATGCCATGTCTTAATAATTACTGAACAATGTTATATCCTGTGGTAGAATAAGACCTTTCATTCTATTTTATGTTATTGAAACGGTTTCTGTACAACTTAAAATTTCGAATCTAGGATATGCTGATTACCATATTCAATTTGAATATATTGATTGTTCATTTTATATTATACTTGATGTTACTAAATCGGCTGATGAGTAACCTAAAATATCGAATCTAGGAACTGGAGCTTTAGTTTTAAAGTAAACCTAAGACAAATTTTCATACACCCTCATCACTAGTAAATTATACCGCGTATGATATAGTGTATAGTAACTACTCTTGCTGAATTCGTAATTTTTGATAAAACTGCAGAGTTTTAAGTTTGGTTTACGACATGTAATTGGTTGCTAATTGGCTAGAAATATTGTTATACTGTCCACTTTTTAATGTTCATGAAGATTTTCAAGATTAATTAATTGGTATTGCTTACTTAAACATGTTTAGCCCTGCTAGAGAAGGGGTAAGTTTAGCAAACTTTGCACTTACGCGATAACTACTTCTATAACTGAATTCCATTATTTCCAGATATGTTTATTAACATAGCAATAAATGAAAGCATGAAAATTAAACAAACCTTAGTCCTAGCGTAGATTCTGTTTTTAAAATAGTGTTTGTTATGATCATGGTTACATTCTATAGAAATACTCGTAGTGTTGGGCTGTAGTGGATATAACATTATGATCTTATATAGAAGATGCCTAGTATAGTAATATCCTAATATACGAATACTTATAATATACCGTTTAAGTACTGTATTGTATTATATTCATAATGTACGACATCATGACCACATATAGACAACATGCTATACATATAAAGACATTATCTCAACCCCATCTAAAACCTATAAATACCCTTGTACGCTAACTCGTTAGTCAGTTCCTACGTTCCTGCTATCTCAAATACCTTATCTATAACAACCATATCATTGTTAGCCTGTAACTTGTATCTCAATAAAATCCTTTATACCTTCTATCATCGTCTACCTTAAAATACTTACGCTACTTAAAGAAGATATTATTACAGTGGATATGATTTGAGTCATGTTTGTACTATTTAACGTAAATAAAATAAAATAATTATAACTTGTTAATAATTTTACGTAACTATAGCATCGGGGTACTTTAAGAAATCAGCAGGAAATCGTGGCTGTTGGATGGTATAAGATTGTCATCCCATGACGTGTATTATATTGAGTCAAAATCTTTTACTAAGTAATTTCATATAGTCTATAGTATCAGTTGGACATTACCTACGTATTCTAGAATTTTTACTATTAATTTATACTATCAGCATTAAAATGCCTTCTTTCGTGTCTCTTACGGTAAAATAATCACAGATAGTAATTTTGTTAATTAATTGTTAAAATTAATTCGTTTCTTCATCATATACCGTTCTAATTATCTTCAACACAATATTGTTTTTACTACTGTATGTAATGAATAATATCGCAGTAGTACAGATCTTCTGTAATAATATCTTAATCAAATTCTACATTTGATGAATAAGTAATCCTTACATGACCTTTTTGCAAACATTAACAGTTTTTAATAGTAGAGATCAAGTTCCTAATACTCACCTATAACCTTTATGATACTGACTGACAACGCATGTTAGATTTTGAGCTACGACAATATTGCTAGCATTTGTAAACTTGGTATTAAATATCATTTCTTAATGTGTATTTGGAGTTTGCATCTGCTCTGTTAGTCACAAGCGTTGAAGGATGAAAGATCATGTGTCATAATCTATAAAATCAATTTACTAACGAATGACTTCCTGTTTATTCCGCATTCCAATGCAATATCATCAGTATCTTCTAATTAAACAGAAATAACAATTATTTTATCCATATTTTCCCTACAGTTTTTAATTATAGGCAGAAGCGTAATCATAAATATGATAAGAAGTGTGAAATAACTATGAAGGCGTAACTATAATTTTGGATAGTTGCAGATACTAAATAGCTGAATAATAAAATGAACCTGATAATTTGCCTGACATTTTCTGTTCCTGCAATTCCCGAATTTTCTTTGAAATTTGGTGATGCAAATGCAAATAATAGAATATATACTCCACATATACGTATATAACATGCACTAGCAAGTTACAGTTTAGCTGCGGCTTGGATTTGATTACGAAAATTGTTGATCTTTAGAGCGTTGAAATTATTGCAAAGCGATCTTGTCAACGTAATAGTAGAGCCTTTTGATGTCATTTGAAACCAATTTTATTCAAGTTTGTTAGAACCTTGGTATGTCATCTTTTCCACATTAAGTACGATTGAGATTAGAAATATTAAAGTGCTATCATTTTTTATTTTAAGATATCAATTTGAAATAAATTTAGGTGAGTTACAAGAATTCTAACGGTTATTGTTAGTAAAGAGTGAAAAGGAAAGAATTAGTAAACTAGTACGTTGGAGAATCATATAAGAGCCCAATGCCGTTATTGGGATTAGGAATAAGTAGATTATATTATAATCAGAAATGCAGTAGAATTATTATCCGGTTTACTAATCACTCATATTTTTGTTATCAACTTCAATTTCAGAATTTAAAAGGGTCATGCAAGTACAAATAGTAGAAGTTTATATACTACACTTCTAGTGTCTTGTTATGAAATACCGAATATGTTATATCGTTAATAAAACCGCATATTAATCGTAGAATAGTTACTTCCTAAGAGCTAAAAATAATTACCTAACATAGTTAGTTAGAAACTGTTATTTGGAAGTGATTAGTAGCAAAACATTTGCGTTGGGTAAACTTGTTGGGAGATTTCACAGGTCCGAGATCGATGACATTTATAAAAACTTAGCAATAAGCTAAAATTTCATCTCGGGTACAACCAGGAGGATTACAACAATCATGGTTCGCGTCTCGAAGTGTTCGCATCAAAACATCATGTTGTTTGTGAGTACTGGTTGAGGATTTGGAATCTAGAATAATAAACAAATAATAGTAAATGATCAATTCTGAAAGAACTAATAACTATTGGTCCGGGCTTTAGAATGGCAGCAAGGAGTTGCAAAATAGATGAAAGCACTGTAACTGTTTATGTTAAATGCTCCTCTTACCTATAATAAATCGTTTCCGCCTTGATGTCGGGCAATTATTAATGAAAAATTCAAAGACTTCAGGTAAGCAGTATAATTTTCTTTCCTTGCTATCATCGTCATCATCATTTTGGCAAATGATACTAGCGCTATGAGATACCAACAGTAAGGCAATGATTACAAGACAAGGATTCAGTCTTACCATCGTTGCAAGCTGTTTGCAAGCTCAGTAAATCACCCGTTGTCCAAGATATTTCAATAGCTCCTAGTGATCAAACAATTAAATGGAAATTCTAATACTGGAATCATTCGCTCTGGTATTAGACTTTTTTCTGTGATTTTATTGGCTTGATAGTTTATTTTACCATCTACAGTATAAGAGTAATGCAAGTTTCTTTTCACTTTAAATATCATGCAGGCATATTAGCTGATTGAGTTCTAATATAGCGAAATATAATAATTTTAGAAAATTACGATTTCCTTCATTAAAATTTTATACGTACAATCCTGAATTTGTAAAATTTAACACTAGCATATCTAATCAGGTGGGCTAGTATCTAGTAATGGATTGAAATGAATTTTTAAAAAGTAATTTCAGCAAACTAAACTTATAAGTTTGGATAAGGAAACTTGTGGAGCTAAAACGAGCAGCTAAATCTACTGCTGGTTAGAAAGATTAAAGTTATTACGGGTATTCTTCAGGTTTTATTTGTTGTCATAACTGAAATAAACAAATGAAAATTTAGCTATTTTTAATGTTTCTAATATAATAAATAGATTTGAAGTGAAAGTTAATATCTTCAGCTATTACTCGTATGAATAAGTTATTAATCCATGAGCGTTCCTATAAGGAATCCTATCGTTTTAATGTAACAGGTCGAAAAATTCTAAGGTAATGAAAATGTTTGAATTCAGCGGTACGATGATTGTGATTATCTTGTATAATGTAGATAATTTAATAATTACTGGCTTGAATTTAACCATTATGATTTTTCTCAGAAAGTCTGTTAAAAAAATAGATTAGGGTTTATTGTTTTAATTGGCTACTTTTACCAAAATGGTATCTGGAATTATTTTACAGTTGCTACTTTACCTGTAAAACAAGTTCATGCACTACTTTATTCGTTAAGTAATTTTCTGGATTAGATTTTCCATAGTATTTGTATGAATTTAATGAAATATTTTTAATGAGAAATTTACCAACAGGCTTTCTTTACAAATTGATGCTGTAGCTACCCTACACCAACCTCTTCAAAAATAAATTTTGAACTCCCAACCGATGAATCGCGGTTTTTATTCTGACAGTCGACTACAATCTCCATCTAGCTGAAATTTTCCTAGTATTATGACATGTAAAACTAATTGCTTTTGAAAAAGAAGTTTACTGTACTATTTCTATTACGATATACCATAGTTTCTACATCAGTATGGATCTTTTGCAACAGGGAAACTACATTAAAAGGTATAATATTCTTACTATAGGTCTTTAAGAAATGGAATCGATGCTGCAGCATTGAAATGTCCCTTAAAAGTATTTTATTTTTTTCTCCTCCACCATATCACTCAAACTCAACTGCGGTGGCAATTTATAACAGTTCTGAATATTTAAATTAATAGGAAATTAGGCCTCAAGGAACTTCATTGGGGTAGAATCGACTGGAAATTAATCAAAGTGTGGGATATCAAATTAATGTTGAAATTCAGAGGCAAATTTTAATTCTAATGCAGAGCAATTGGATACCGTGAAATTTACATTTCATTACCCAACTTGTGATGCTAACGTGATTATGTAAGTGCAAATATCTTACACTATCAGATTTTGTCAGCTCTAGCAAAAAGTTGCTTTGCTTGGAGGAAAACGAAAGATCGTGCATGCACGTTAAAAAACATACCTGGCAATTAATTCAGTAATTAACTTAGAAAATTGAATAAATAGTTTAATTCAAACTAGGATGAGCTATTAAGTACAGTATTATCGCCAAGAGTATCTAAAATGAAAGACTTGCAATTTACCTTATGATTATGCAATACTTACGGATGGTAGAAATACCGATTAAATTGGTCTGATTGCCGATGAAATGATGAATTAAAAAAATGAAGTCAAGTTAAATAAAGATCAAAATTTTAATAACCTTGTATTTCCAAATCAGGAGAGAGTAATACTTCACTAATAAATGATAGGGATTGCTGTAAAAAAGTACTTTTCATTCTATTTAGTCTTAATTTCAATAGATTATTAAAGCATAGAAGGCTTTTCCATGAAGATTTAGGTAAATATTATTTATGTAAAAATATTCATTGACATATGTTAACATGGTAATTAACTAAATACGTCGTGATTCGTCTATTGTAGAAAAAATTTTAACACTATGCGCTCCTAAAAAATAACATTGGCGTTACGGTTAGATGCGGGGATTCCATACTTTATTTCCGTTATGGATAATAACTAATAGACGCAGGCTCTGGTATAAACGGCATTTCTTAGAAATGTGGACTTTGCAGCAATATCTAATATTATGATGCAACCTACGATAGAAGGATTAATTACAGCGGAATTATATTGATCATATATGATCTACGATGGGTTACAGAGGCACACCACATTTTAAGAATCAAAGGTGCTAAAAAAATTTGCATCTTAAATTACCCACCATCTATTTTATATTGATAGCTATGTTTGTTGATAATATGTTTACTGAATGAAACTTAAAATATTAGTAATAGTATTATTAGGGTTAAGCTTTTATATTTATAAGGTATTATATAACAAATGTTATTTATTAGAATTAGCACAATTGATTGGTGATTGAGTTCTTATTTATTGCCTTTGCTACTGAAGAAGACGATTTTTTAGTCTGGAATTAAAATAATCAAGGCGCCAAATCTGTAGCTTGTCAAATATATTTATCAATAAAATTGAAACGCTTTCTTTACCCTTCTTGATGTTGGCTGTCTGACACTAACTAAAACTAATTATTTACAGATCCACCATCACACTTTTCATTTATAGATGAAATCAGTGTACACGTATGCGATTTAGTTGATGTTCAGGTTGCACGTAGTAGTTTTACGAATTGTGATTAGAGAGTTGAATAATGTAACTATCTGCACATGGTGCAACATTGACATTGAATAATTTGCATAAAAAGAAGTTGTGTCTATTCTGCTTACATACTCGATCTATGCAGAATAATTAATTAGTGATATTTAGTATAATAATGTACGTGCGAATAATTGCTGTAATTAGGAAATAATATATGATATTACTCGATTACTGTGCACAAGCAATTTTTACAATTATAGTAACGTATAGACAACCTAAAACATCGGGCATACTGCTTCACTCTGTTTAAATTTGTTTTGATAATAGTAAGTTCAGGCCTGCTTTATAAGTAGCGATGAAAGCCATATAGAAAATGAATGTCTGTTACCTTTGATTAATTATGGTATCACTTTACTAAATGGTGCGCAGTTCCGCGGCATAGTAATTACCTATCAGGACGTTGATTGGTTTTTAGAAGAATTAGAATAGCGTATTGAACAGGTTAGAAGGTTCATCCAAAATATCTGTGCAACTAGTTCTACGATCATTTCTCTAACAGAAATAGGGCTAAGTTCCGATCCTGATACAACACAACGACACCATTTATACCGTACAACAAGTATGTTTTTAATTGGTAATGATATATGCACATGTAAAAAAGAATGCTTATCCTTCGTATTAACGAAAACAGGATGAACCGAAATAGCTGTAGCATTCCAGCCATTCATTTATATACACTTTCGTCGATTATACCTACATCGTAGATATATATAAAGTGTCTTTGTAATACATCATAATTTAAAAACACTATCAATATATTAAAACATGTTGTAAGATAATATTCCTTATTTCCTTGGTTATGCAGGTATGTAGTAAATTACTTCTTTTTAGCCAGTTGCGATATGTACATACACTGCATTAAGTGTCCATAATAGTTTGATTAATAATTGATAAAAAATTTTACATTTGGCCAACAGCATACAAATTATTTCAGAACTTGTATAGTACTGGTCTATCCTGTACATAATTATTCCAGCTTTGATACAAATTTTCGTAATTAGGTTATCCTAATTATAAATCATCATATAAAACTAGTATATAAACGCACTATATCGTATGGAATCGATGGTCATTACGACTGTACGATTTATAATTATTAAATCACTGTACTGTACAGTAATTGGCAATCATAGTGGCTATAACCAAGTATTTCCTGATCGATTGCCGTTTTATATCGGCTCAAATTGATTAATTAATATTGTTAATAGAACCAGTTTGATTTAGTAATTTCATTGGCCAATATTCATCCTCCATAAAGGATTTCGAGTGCTGTTTCAAATCTAATTCCCATTTATTGCTGACCAAACGGTACAACTGCATTGCAGTACGAGCATCTTCTACACTACAATGTTCTCCAGTTTGTATAGTTTTGTTTAATATAATTCTTGCTAAAGTTTTTAACGAAGGTGTTACACACGGCCGCACGTCAGCTAACCGCCTGAGCCAAAGGTAATTGGCTGTGTCTCTTTTCGAAGTAGAAGGTAATTGAAACTGTAGGACTTCAAAGTCGAATTTAAGACCATGGCCGATAACAATTTTATCGCGAAGGATCGTTAAAACTTCCTGACGAGCTTGCGTCATTGATATAGCTTGTTTCATATGTGATTTACGAATGCCACTCCAACGAGTTCGATAGTCTGTTATTTCTTCATCAGGCCTGACATATTTATCGTATACAATGACGCCATCATAGCTAACGATACTTACACGAGCTAAGGCACTGCGCTTGCTTTTGCCAACGCCAACCATTTCACAATCTAAGCCTACAAGTTGATCAGCACTAGGTAGGATATCAATGCTATCGGTCTTATCTTTGCGAGTATCATCGCTATTTCTCCTATCGTTACAACAAGGTACTTCTTCGTCTGTGTACTCTGAACTAATTGAAGAGGACGTTTCCAGGCGATGATGGCGACTTAACTTCAATTTGTGTTTCTTTCGTTTAGATGTAGTAGTCTTATTCCTTTTACGTGGCGAACACGATTGATCTTCCATTTCATCATAACATGTCTTGTCGTTGGCCATTATAACTATTATGATCTATAAGATGAATGAATAAGAGAATCACCGTCAGTCTACCGTTATTTATGCTAGGACATAACTAAGCATGTATACTGCGTTGTCTATCCAGTGTTCACCCATTAGCGCAAAAGAATACTATCGAAGGGCTGTTATATGATCATGGTGAATTTATTAGCATAATCATTCGTTCAACGCCATGACTATTATTCTGCTGACTGATAGAACTCCTCCAGTCAGCAAGTCAGTCATTCATTGCCTCTCTATATCTTTCTACTCATCTTAGCTTACTCTAGAACGATCCAGTTATGCCTACGTTCATGTCACCAGAATAAGACCAACGAACGATTCACTATCATTGCATTCCTCTATGCTAATGGTCACATTGACTAGAATGGATATTTACCTTGCCAATGGAATATTACTTGAATGATTTGAGATGCGATCAATCAGCAATTCTATCGAGAGAATGTCCTAATTGGTTGAACAGTAGATTTCAGTTTTCGATTCCAAGACGACGACGATCACTCGATTACTGAATTAAATTGAACTCTTATGGTTGTAGCCAGTTATCATGAAGCATAAGTTTATACTGATACAGTATCAACTTGTGGTTAAATAGTAGCGATGGTAGGAAGATTTTAATTTTGCAACCTCAGGATTTCCCAAAGCTCGAGCTGGAGAATATGCTCAATCAGCGATTTTGATCGTAGTGGTTGACGTCTTGTGATGCTTGATCGCCACTTTACCACGTGGTGTTGTTATATTTGATACAAGCTCCTGTCCCATCGATTCACTTACTGGACTGCTAGGGCTGACGGTGGGCGAGGCTTGATGGTTACAGTGTACAGTGTAATAGTACAGTAGCGAGTACCGTAGACTTGTACTGTACACTGTACAGTACCGTCGAACTATGGTTTTGACAAGCTTGCAGAATGCCTTCAAAGCTGAGTCAGCTTTAATTTTGCAACCTCAGGATTTCCCAAAGCTCGAACTGGAGGATATGCTTAATCAGCGACTTTGATCGTAGTGGTTGACGTCTTGTGATGCTTGATCGCCACTTTACCATGAGGTGTTATATTTGATACAAGCTCTTGTCCCAGCGATTCACTTACTGGACTGCTAGGGCTGACGGTGGGCGAGGCTTGATGGTACACTACTGTACTGTACTGTACAGTGTACACTAGTGTACAGTACACTCCTCTACAGTGTACAGTGTAACATTACAGTGAGGAGTACTGTAGACTGTGTACTGTACACTGTACCGTCGAACTATGGTTTTGACAAGCTTGCAGAATGCCTTCAAAGCTGAGTCAGCTTTAATGGCTTGTATGAGCTACTCTGTTTATAGCGTAAGCGTATGGCCGCAGACATTGAGTACAGTATATAAATGCCCTTCTACCAACGATTTTGACACATCGCAATTTTCAGCTTGGTGCTTTGGTTGACTCCCTCTTCATATTTGCTAACTAAATTGAAAATGCCCAACTACAAGTTGATATATTTTAATAGCCGTGGACGCGCAGAAGTAACGCGTTATTTATTCGCTGCAGCCGGTGTAGAATACGAAGATGTTCGTGTGACTGGCGAAGAATGGGCAAAGATAAAAGCTGGTTCGTTAAGTTACAGTTTAAACAAAAATGTTGACCTACTCTTAGATATCTATTATCATAGTACTATGATCGAAGAATGATGAATTACATGTAATCCTTACAGTAGGTACAAAGGTAGAGACTAGAGTTTCTATCTGGTCTGAATTGATTTTCTTTGCCAGTCGTGCCACTGTATGTTTTGCAGCAACCTTGATTACCAGTGTAGATTCTTTCATGTTTTCAACGTCTAGGATTTATTGTAAACACTGCCCATGTCTTACAGTATATGCAGTAAAATAGTATCGTAAATCAAGTCTCTCGTCTACTGATCGATCCATCGTACTCTACCGTATAATAGTGAATGTACTGATTCAGATACGATAGTTACTAAGCCGTAGTTCTATCACTTTACTATGGAATTACATGGGGCAGTCTAGGAGAGTTGAAATTGCTGTAGCTTGGTTGGATAGCTCGTAAGGCTGCCTGATTGAGTGTTAGCATAAAATATACAGCACCTTGGCACATCGTATCTTTAGATACAAGAGTAGTTTGTAAGTTAAGCTGAGCATTTTGGGCATTTTACGTATCATGACCACCTATTTCTAGATTATTCAACTATCCTATCGACTGTGATTCGAGTTGATTAATTAATTATCGAACATTATCGTTACAGTATATGGCAACAACGCAGTACAGATACTGTCTTAGCCACATTACCTTAAGAATTGATGCTTCAATGGTACTAAGCTTAATTTTCTTGAATTACAGATTGTAAATCACCTTTCGGACAGTTGCCAGTATTGGAAGTTGATGGTAATACTTTTTACCAAAGTCAGGCCATTGCTGGCTATGTTGCTCGTGAATTAGGTATACTTTCATAATGGATTATAAACAATGCTACAGAATGCAGTGTATATAATAGTTAGCATGACTGAAATGGACTCGAATGTTAAAGTAGTATTACAATATCGTGCTAATTTACTGCGATAACAAATTACAAATGAAGAAAATTATCGATGCAAAATGGCCCAAATTATGTTCGTTAATAAGCGAGTGAGTTATTCGTCATCCTCTATATAGGGCACTAACTGCCAAGTATCATGAGTACGCGATATAGACTAGTACTATACGTATTTCTTATAGACGATATTGAAGTCCATCTTTAGCAAAATAGGATTAGTGAAAAGTGAATTAGGCGTAATATAGCTTTAAATTGTGCTGTAAAGTTATTTATTACAGTAGTAGCCTTGTAAAATTGGATTACCTTCAATGTTGAGGTATTCGATGAACAATAGTCATTCCTTTTATCATAGACTAATGTTTACAATACAGAATAGAGGAATGCAGATCTATTTCGTGCTTGTATATGTAAATATCATGTTGAAGTTACACATCTTGAAATGCCGCATTTTTTATTCTAGGATTACATGGTAAAACTAATGAAGAGGAATATCGAATTTATGTTGTTCAAGGAGCCTTTACCGATTTGATACAGAAACTTGGTAGTGCAGAGGCTGAAAAAGATCCGGAAAAAAAGGTTCACTTCACTAATGATATTCTGTGATGTAGCGATAAGTTCCGAAGTACATCTTAATAGTTCAACCGTGTAGGAAGAGCGATTTCTCCGATGAATTTATTTACTAATTAATGAAGGAGTCTTAATAGAATATTACAGTCTGTTGACATAATGTTTGCTAGAAATCGCTAGCGTATATTTTATGAGGTTTAGGGGATACTTTTGCAGATACGCATTCAAAAATTTATTATAGTAACAGTACCTTACGCGAAGTATCACGAGTGGGACATTTTATTAGAATAAAAACAGGACTAAAATTAACAACTTACTCTTAACATCACTAATTCCTATTCGTGTTAATATAGGCTGAAATTCAGAAAGATGTCTTTGAAAATTATATACCAAAATGGTTAAGTTCAATGGAGGAAGTATTTCAGCAAGTAAACGGCGATTATTTTGCTGGTGACCGCGTAAGTTGTAGTTACTATTTTGACAATTTATATCGCATTACTGAATGTGTTATACTATATACTGACAATTTCGCAACATGCAAATATTATGAATCGATTAACTTTATGATTCGTTTTGCAGTTAACGGTTGGTGATTTCTACTTCTTCCATGCTTGTGAGTACCTCAAAGGTATCAACCAACAGGCACTGGATAAATTGCCAGGTCTTAATGGACTTTTCGATCGTATTGTGGAAATGCCTAAGATTGCTGCTTGGAGATCGAAAAGACCTGTAACAATGTTCTAAATTTTTTCCCGTATAGGAATAGAGTTTTCCCTGTAGATTAAATCTAAAGTACGGATATGCTCTATTGTTGCCACTTAGTAAAGTCATTTTTGGTCGAACTCTGTGCTACTCCTAGCGTTCATTTAGTATAACCCTTATGATTGGATAAGCTCTCATACTTGCTTTCAATAAAGTTGTTGAAAAAGCTCTATATATAGTGGTATTGCTATCTGGGGTTACTATGCTTTGTACGATTGAGTATGCAAGTTAAAGTCTAAAGTTTAAAGATTGGTACAATATTGGTATTATAGTTACCCTAATTAGTTGGAAAGCATCGAGGTACACATATTTTATAGTGGAAACTGGACTTTGCATATAAATGCTGTTGCACATCCATTTTTACCCATTAAAATTGCATGCACTGTCCGGTCTAGTTTTCTTAGAGTTCGATTGTACAAGTTTGTTCTAGGGGGCTTAACTCAGCTCTAGCTATACTCTACTGAGTGTAGATCGAATATTTTGAATTAATTATGATTGATTAAAAGTGAAAAAGAGGGGTTTTAACCTGTACGCTATGTACTCTATTTACGGTGAGTATCATTCCTGAATTACATTTCTAGTGGTTACGCTGAGTCATAAATGAATCAACTTTTGTTATAGTTACATCATACCCTACTTTACTATCTTCCTTTGGGCATGTTAAATGGCAGCTACACTGTTCACGTATAATAGAACTCGGTAAATTAGTATCAATCGCTTTCACAAGAAGATCTTGCAGCGTCGTAAGTCTCGCTATTACTTCCAGATTTCAAAGAATACAATTATATAATGCCCAATTACAAATTGGTATACTTTAATGACCGCGGCCGTGTTGAAGTAATTCGTTATTTATTCGCTGTAGCTGATGTAGAATACGAAGATGTTCGTGTGACTCGGGAAGAACGGACGACGGTGAAAACCGGTAGTTTAAGTTACGGCAAGAAGGATTGTTTTCTTTTGCTGCGTGGTTTAGCTCACAAAGTTGTGTTGAAAGCTACGTTCTAAGTACAATAATATACTTTGCATAATGGAATAGTTGCATAGTAAGTTGCCATTTTACCGGCTATTAGAAATAATAGGAAGGGGGTAATTATCCATTAAATTTGCTTAAGTGTTTATTTATCCAAGCTGGGGTAAGTTAATCTAAACATAGTACAATAATTTACTGAGGTCCTAGCTTTACCATCAGTTGCTCTTATGGATATTGACCGTAACGTAAATAAATCAAATTAATTATCAGGCAAAGGCATTGTACGAAACTGCCTGGTATAGCAGTGTAATGATATACATAGTCAGCTTAATAAGCCTTTCTGCTACATTATACTGATAAAATAAAAATTTAATTAATATGTATGGAGGCTTTGCGCTAGTGCTGGGCACAGAACTAATTTAGTTTAGACTTTTAATTTGGTTGCAATCCTACAACATGCCACACATTCGTACACTTTTATATGTGCGATGGGATATTACCGAGCTTTAATGCGCTGATATCGTCAATGAAAGCCATTCTCAGGTGATTAGATTATCCCACTGACCTTATCGAAAATAGCTAAAGTTAAGCGTAGTTGTCTTCACTATATTGCGTTAAAGTATTGATTGCACTAATTTCTAAACTGCAGGCTTTAATTCACCTTTTAGACAGTTGCCTGTATTGGAGGTAGATAGTAAAATTCTATGCCAAAGCTTGGCGATTGCTGGCTATGTTATTCGAGAATTAGGCATACATACATGGTAAACTGTACGCTTATATAAGTAATATTAGACCAGTCTTGTCGAAGGCTAGAGTTTGACTGCATACGGTAATATGGTTAATTACGAGTTGTAAATGCAAATATGTACGTGCCAGAGCCTTTGTACAAAGTTAAGATTCTTAGATTCTTTATTAATTCTTTCAAAGAAACTCCTCTTATATAATCTTTGCTAGTATGAATCGATTATGTTGGTATTTTCCATTTTGCAGATAACAGTTGAAGATTTTTACTTTTTCCATGCTTGTGAATACATCAAAGATATCAATCAATTCACAGGCGCTGGATAAATTACCAGGTGTAAATAATCTTTTCAATCGCATTATGGAGAATCCCAAGATTGCCGAATGGAGAGAGAAACGACCAGTTACAAAGTACTAAATTGTGTTACCTCGGGCAGATTAGGTGCTTTTATTGAAAGATAAATCATCTGCATACTTTTATAAATAAATCGTTGTTAGTCGGACTTACTCATTTATAGCATTTAACAGTGTTCAATCAATTTTTCGGTCTTCTAAAGACACGAATCAGTTGGTGTTGCATGCATATGGGATTTCATGCAAACATCCTGACTCACTACAAACTACCACAGTTGAAAATTGCAATCTACTGTATATCTACTAGCGCTCAATTTGCAGCTCCATTTTAATGAGCAGCTATCATACTTACCCTATAACAATTAAATCGCTGTGAGTCGGACTTTACTCATTGATAGCAATACCAGTTTTCAAATGTACAGTACTGTACATTGTACAGTATCAGGAAAAGGATAACAGGATTGAAGACTACAGTACTGTACAGTACAGTACTGTACACTGTGTCGTGACGCGTCTGTGCACTGTACTGTACTGTATACAGTATACTGTAGTGTACAGTACAGTACAGTACAGTAGGCTTTGCTATTTAAGCTACTGTACTGTACAGTACAGTACGGTACAGTACAGTACAGTACAGTATAATAACCCTGATAACTCAGATACTGTACGTACTGTACTCAGTGACTCAGTGTACTGTACACTTACTGAAGAAAGGTTTCCATGATAGCGAGTGAGTGAGTATGCGTACTATGACTCAGTCCATTGTGCTGTACTGATGCCACGTTGTTTCCATACTTGAACAGCTGTTACGACGACATCCGATATGCGGTACAGTGTACAGTATGTACTGTGCACTCATTTACAGTACTGTACTGTACAGTACAATACAACTGGTAGTGGGTCAAAATTTGCAACTCAAAGTACTGTACGTACAATGCGTACTGTTACTGTACTGTACTGTACTGTACTGTACTGTACTGTAGTACGGTTGGATTTGTAGTGTACTGTACACTGTACAGTACACAGTACTGCAGTAACGGTCCAGTTGTGTACGGTACAGTGTACAGTGTACAGTGCACAGCTGGAAAATCTACAGTACTCCGTCCGAATCCATTCCATTGGCATCACACTGTACTGTACAGTACAGTGTACAGTACAGTACAGTATTGCAGGAACCGTCCAGCTGTGTACAGTGTACAGTGTACAGTGCACAGCTGGAAAATCCACTCCGTCCGAATCCATTCCATTGGCATCACATTGGATGGCGTATCCGTTACTTAGAACGTTGTCGTCATCGCTCAATTGAAAAGGTGCCCTTTAAATTTGAAATCGAACGGCAACTGCTGGATGATTGTAGCTGACATTATTTTGAGAAGGAGCCATTCAATCAATCAATATCGGTCGTGGCTTTAATTCGTCATTCTATTCGCTTACTAGCAACAACGTTGATGGCAAAACCTAGTGTTGTATTTGTTTTAGGTGGGCCGGGTGCTGGTAAAGGGACTCAATGTAGCAAAATTGTCCAAGAATTTGGTTACGTCCATTTATCTGCTGGCGATTTGTTAAGAGCCGAAAGGAACTCAGGATCAGCAGATGGTGATCTCATTGATCGTTATATTAAAAATGGCGAGATTGTACCTGTTGCCATTACGGTACGATTGATCGAGAAGGCGATGATTGCTAGTCCTGTTCAGAAATTTCTAGTCGATGGTTTTCCACGTAATCACGACAATTTAAATGGTTGGAATAGTCACATGGAAGGCAAAGCCAATGTCAAGTTTGTCCTCTTTATGGATTGTCCCTTTGATATTTGTATTGAAAGAGTGAAAAAACGCAGCCAGACAAGTGGTCGAAAAGATGACAATGATGAAACATTACGAAAGCGTTTAAATGGTTATAAAAATGATACCGTACCAATCATTCAACACTATGAGAAACAAGGCTTAGTACGAACGGTCACCAGCTCCGATAATGTTGATGCCGTCTACGATCGAGTTCGACAATGCTTTCTACCAGATTAATCCATTTCTCAACGTAATCTATACCTTGATGGCATCCTTACCTTCTAACCATGAAAATACGAGTTATTTTAATTGAAAAATTGGACTGTTGAATGACGTTTTGTACTGGATCATTTGACAAGACTTATTAATCACCATAGGTAGTAGATAGACTTTCATGATTCTTCTTAACAGTGAATGAATTCATTTCAATCATGTAATCAAAATCTTATCATGCTACAAGCTTGACTAGATAGTAAAATACGTGAAATTCATGTATTCTATTAAATTCAGTCTAATTTCTCGAAGCGATAATATACGTAAATACGATAACTGCTTGGATACTTATATCACATTTAGCATTTGCTTTTATCAAATTATCATAATCCATACTTTAGACTAGTTGAAGTGAAGTACTGCTGATTAACCTACAGTATATAAGAATGACATAGTATGACATTGAAATTATTACTCAAAATTGCATTCGTTAATTGATACATACGATCTCATCCAATATTATGTACAAAGTAGGATATAATACACTGATGTTATAGTGATAGACGTGATCAATTTTTAACTTTGGATAAACGTCATCTATTGCAAGAAACTATAGAGTTTATCTTTGGATACACTGCATGTCATAATCTTACTATCAAAAAATTATTCAACGTAATGTTGAAAATTAACTAATAAATGTAATATTACCTTGTAATGATTAGCGATTAGCTTTCTTCGCATGCTGCTCGAGAAAGAAATGATTCGTGATGAAGCAAGATGATAACATGTAAATTGACTAGATACTTTGCCACTATTACCTTTCATTATACATTTATCATTGCTAATACTACTCTGATTAATTGAGCATAATTTTATTACAGCTGGTCGCTCATAGAGATATTCTTTATCAAATGTTATGAGTGAATAGACAGTGTGTGAAATCCTAGTACATTAACAGCTTATTCGTTGTAATACACATTCTCTCATAGCCTACTGTAAGGTAATCGTGGATTTTTAAATTTCACTGTTCAAGATCATGGATTTATCCATCAAAGTATTGATATCAACTATTCTAAGAAAATTAGCACTACAGTTATTATATTTACCGATGATGACAAAATATAATTCTACTCACTCTCTAGATTACGTCTTCATGAAAACCTTAATTTTCAGACTTTATTATCATATTAACTTATATATCCATATCGTTGTATGCATATATATATTAGATAAATAAAGGCGTGCACTACGATTGTATCGTTTATTCTCTAAAATTGAAAAGGGTTTTGTGGTTATACATTATCATTATACACATTATACACTATCCAACGGCAGTTTTGAGGGAAATCTTCATGTTACGGACGTTGAATTGTGTTATTAGAAAGGATGTGCTCATGCATGAAACGTTGAAAAAAAAACTCCTCAATAAGTATCAAAAAGGTAAGTAAGGTGCACTATTACATAGAGTATATAAATTGGGGCTTGATATTGATATGGAATGCGATTAAGCAACTGCTGTTAAGGAGAGTCTTAAATTTTAATTGGTTATATTATAAGAATACTTAAATCCTAAAGCATAATGTCCATTAGATTTCAGTCTAAATTACTTTCAAGCTAAACTGAATAGCATAATGCCATAAAATACTAATACTGTATAACTGTTCGTGTACTCGGTAAGAATTTGTCATTCCATTACTACTTGTATGTAGCTAATTATCACTTTCATTCATAATCAAGGGGATTTAACATTTACAATAAGAATGATCGGATAAGGAATACACGAGTATCTGGCTCGATTTGAGTATCACTACAGTCGATTTGCTTTTAAATGCGTCATGAGAGTTAGAAACAACTTCAATTGATGGTGGTTAACATTTCTTACCATGTGATTTTAAAATAGAATTACTGTGCATGTTTAACATAATTAAATCAATTTTGGAGTTTCTCAAGATTTTATTTTATAATTTTTTGCAGCATATTAAAGTTGAATCCGCTATAGATTGTGAAATCCATTAAGACATTGCTTCACGAAGAACAAAGTGATGCGATTTTTATGTAAGAGTGATGCGGTATACGATCACATTTTGTATATGTCATATGTCAATATACACTCCGCTCAAGTGAAGAAATACTATCAGAATATTTATAATCTGATTATCCTAATACTTGTCAATCTATGTAGAGAGCATTCTCAAGTTATCAATCACAGGTAATTAATATTTACGCGTAAATATTGTCCTCAATATTAAGCGAAATCTGCTAATATTATACAGTAAATTTCTCTTTGAACGGGATACAATTCAGGTTGATGATGCTCGTATCGTATATCATTTTGGTCATTTCAGCTTGCAATTGGAATCTTAATCTTTAAATCGCCTTTTTTCTTATTAAAAGTTGCCTTTGCTAAATCATCCTGCACTTTCTGCGGAAATTTCAGCAGTAATTTATATTTACTCGGTACAATTAAGTTTAAATCCACCTAAAAAGCACAAGATAGCAAATTATAAACATGTTATTATTAGCATGATATGGAATAAGTATCAAAAATAACTGACACAAATACCCATTTGAACAAACAATCTAAATAGCCAAAAGTGTATTAGATACCTTTTATATGACATACCTGTGAAATGTCTAATTCGCATTCTTGAACCGATTCAGTTTGGGGTAAATTGATTGTTATTATCATCATTGGCGGATCATGACCAAACACTTGGATCTGATGTTGGGGCGTACAGTATGTATCTACTTGATTTGGATTTTGTATAACAGTCGAAGATATCTCTTCAATAAGATTTTTGCTAGTTGGTTTATTTTCACTACCAGTACTAATTTTACCAAGCAAATTAGATAATTCTGGGAGTGGATCTGTACTTGTAGAATCGTAGTTATCGCTCTCTCGCGAAATCGAAAATAGCTGATTGCGAAGTGTATCATCATCTTGACTTGATGGTTTTGCTTTGCTTTGCGGATTGGAGCTCTGTCTGTTACGCATGGATTGATCCAACGATGTCAATAACTTGGTCTCATCACCGTAATATTTTTCTTGTAAAATACTATATTTATCAGGCATTAGATCCCATTCTGTAGAATCGTTAATATAACTCATTGCTAGTAAAATTAGCTCCTCTTTAAATTGTTTATCACGCAAACTATTCTTAATAACATTATCGTTAACAGCGACATCAATATAGTGAAACTGTTGCTTTTTCGTTTCAAATTTATGGACTATTCCAGCTTTAATTGGTACTGGATGGGAATCACTTTGGGGCTCAGGAATTCTAACCCAACCACAGATATTGATGTATAAAACGCGACGATCAAGTGTCTAAAATGTAAAGACATACAAGTATTAGTAGCATTTTACTATCTCGTCAATATTCTTAATAATATACACAACTAACGAACATATGAGCAGGCCAGAAGATTAACTCGTTGGAGTAAGCCAGTACGAATCAGATTAATTTACATTTAAATAAGCTATGAGATTTTTTATACAAGTGCTATTGATCTTGAGTATTGTATATTTGTTTACTGTATCTGCCTTGTTAGCAATCATATAATCTGACTGCCGATATTTCACTAATATGTATTAATGCACGTTTTACTTTTACTACTGCATGATGTTTCTAATAAAATGCGCAGCTTCGTTATATAATAATTTTCGGAATTACATTGAATGTTACACCATATAACAACTATTGAAACCTTCAGGCTTTGCTACGAATACGTTAAAAATTGAAAATTATTATTTCAAAGACGATAAAGTACCAAACTAAATGATCTAGCAAAATATTAAATAAGCAATTACTATTATTTGCAATTATTTTCTTTCTAGATCTGGTAAGCGTTTATAAATTTGTCTTTAAATAGATCATTTAAATACTATTGACTTTCAGTTTGTCTATCACAATGTCTTACCGGCTATGAGAAACTTTAATTAGTCATAACTTAAGATTGAGATTAAGTACTAAAATAGGCAATTTACTCATCTGCTGCATCACAAATAAAGATACTTACATTGACTTTAATTGAAAATGCAGGCTCTGGCGATTTTATATGTTGCTTAGCATCCTTCATTTGTTTCTCCATAAATCGTCGATAACCATCCGGGTTATTTTCAGCCATCTCATCCAACATAGTCCAAACATGTTGGGCTTGCTGCATTAAGTTATCCTTATTCATCACAACTTATTTTAACAGAAATATTCCAATACGATTCGTATTCTATAGGTACACGGAGACTGTTCACATAATTTGTACTTAATTGGGGAGACAGCAGAAGTAATAGGAAGCAAAACGATGAAACTTACGTTACCTTGGTAACGTAAGCCCCACCTTCGTTTCCGTAGGAACTTGTAGGGTAGCAGGACCTTCGCTGGCATTAATTGTCGTTTAGCTCAGTAATATGTTAGAGGATTACCATGTCCTATTTAATTCTTTATGGAATGCTAGTGATACAAATAATTGCTGTCTACTTGTAGTTGTAATAAATCTTATAACTTGAAATGTAGATATGAAATATACGATTCAAATATTGTTAGATAATTCTGTACATTAAATAGCTACTTTTACTTAAAGTCTATATGCGTTTTTAATTACACTCACTGGCCTTAAAATAGCTAAATTTTAAATTTTATAATCGGAATTTCGAATCCAGAGCATTCTAAACTATTCTTCTATGAAGTTCCGCTACATACGATTAAAAAATATTATATCGTTATGTCATCAACAAAGAGCCATGGCAATGAAAAATTTTCGTATTTTATTATTTGGAAAAGATAAAACTTTAAAAATACCAACAAGATTGGATGAATAATTTAATATAATACAGTCATTTTATGTTACATTTTGATTCACTTACAGTATATGATACTATTAATGAGAAATAATTTACAATAAAATCATTTATAATGGAATATCTTATCAATTTATTTCGTTGAGGCTGTCCATGATTTAATTTCCGGAAGAACTGGTAGTGTAGCACTAACTTCTCTTAATTTTTTAACATCATTCGATTTTGTATTAACTGATAATGCATCAGCATATACAGATGTATCTAGTTTTACTTTGATTAATTGATCATGCTGTAATTTGTTACCGTGTTTACGATTGAGATCAACTATTTGATTGTCATTAATGTCTAAATTAGTTTTAAGATTATGAAGTAGTTCTAAATCTTTCTTTTTATAATCTCGAATGATTTTTACGTTTCCAGGTGTAGATAATGTGGATTTCTCTTTAGACTCTGAGATTATAGCAGCATCGTCAGTATTTGGGTCGCAATCGCTATCAGGGGGAAATGTCTTCTCCTTATAATCCTTACCAATCTTAGATTCATCTAATTTCTTTTGATTTTCTAGGACTTGCCATTCAACTGTGTCTTCATCTAATTGGGCGTGTAACTCTTTACGCCATTGCCTTTCAATAACTTGATTAAAATTAATATTTGCTCTAGTTTTAAAGTCCATAGGTGGTTTATACAATGCCGATGATATAAGTAAATGCTCTCTATGTAACGAATGAAAAAAATTGCAAAGAAGACATCGTTAAAATAAAATAGTAATGTATTCTTGTAATAATAATACATAAAATTTTTATTTTGTACGTTTCGATTTGTCAAATAGTAGTTAGTTATTATGACTACTTCATACCTAAGGGTTAACCGATTTGAATCTGATTTGGCAATATTGTTTCGTTTCGGCACTTTATTATATATCCGACTTCGCTTTTTAGGTTTCTGAGGACTGATCGAACAAGAATAATTTTTAAAATCTTGGAATCGACAATTTTAAATATCAAGTAGGTATGCTATTTTTATTAATTAGTGAGAATGAAAAGTGATTACTTTAATTTGACAGGAGGCGGTAACTGGTGTAAAAAAGTCTTGCTAAATAGGAAAGCCACATGTTTCACAAGAGCGTTAGAAACATATAAAGGGACGATACTTAAACGCTTTTTATCCGCGTCTGCATCAAACTAGGCCAGATTGAATAAAATTTTAGAATGAGAAAAAATTTAGAGGAAGATAGGTTAAATTTAGTGCGTCATAAATGCAATTCGATACCTGGCCAACTTTATATGCCTCTAGTACACGAATATCTATTTCCTTTAATTTATGTTCATTTAACGCAGCCCAAGCTACATTGTAGAAACCTTCACGACTTGGATCATGATGAAAGTATTGGCAGACTTTGAGTAATCCATGAACTGCAGCAGCACGAATACGCCAACTCCGATCTCTCGCTGAATTATTAAAATGCAGATGAAAAAATGGTGATCTTCCTATTATATAATTAATCGATCACTGTCAATCGTATATTTGCTAGTATATTCATCTCTAAGGCAAGTTGACTATTGCCTGTATTTAAGACTAGCAGTAATCTTACGCTAATTTATAGCTGTATTATATAAAACTTGATTAGAATTTTGATTATAAAGTTAAAGTTGTCAAGTAGTAGTATAGTACACATTCAAACCTTCAGCTGCTTCTTGTGTATCATCTATATATTCAAAAGTGAGCAAGTCTAGTAGCCCATAACTTCCAGTAATCTTTGATCCTCTCTTAAATTCATCTCTATTACCATATAATGCCAGTTGCTGAATATCGGATGTTTTACCGTATAAACATATTGATGTTAGTGTTTCAGCGTAGACATAGCCTAATTCCCATGGCCACCCTTTAATTCCATACTGATTTAAAACATTAAAATCATCGCAAACTTCCGTAGTCTTTGTTGTATGGCTGTAACTGGTAGGAGATCTATTTCCGGATCTACTTTCATTTGTATGTGATTGAGTTTGACTGGATCCACTCGAATGTAATCTGCCTTGTCGATTATTATTAGTATCATCTTGAGAACCTAATTTAATGTTAGAAATAATGATTATTAAGTATAGTATTGAATCAATGATATTGATGTTAGTATATTAATTTGAGTGCTAAAATTTCGTATTTGTCCTATAATTGATTAGCAGCGAGATTGCTCTAGAGATTTGTAGCATTATCGCTAGCAAATAAAGAATGAGAGCTTACCGGCAGCTGTAGTAGGTGTAAACATTTTATCTAGTGATGTAAATGAGTCGGAGCTAACGACCCCTTCGGCAAACGTATCGGATAAATGATGCGAATATTGTCCGGTTGCCCTATCGGAGGACCCTAAGTTATCATACTGTCGCGGTATATAGGGTAGAGCCTCATCAACCGGAATATAATCTTCAGGTATATTCCCAATAGCAATATCATGCAATACTTTCAGAACGTCAATATCTGTTTGGCAAGCATCTCCAATTATTTGTAGTGCAAGCACAATATCAACCCTGAAAGAAAAATATAGGTTATAAAAAAGTGTAACGGAGTGCTTTCGGGAATGCGAATATTCATCGATTGCTGTCTGTGTAGAAAATTTGAGCTAAATATTCATACTGATAATTTATTTTACTTACCAAGGCTCAGTAGCGATGCAAGTCGCACACACTTGTAGGGCTTTTAATGCTTTCTTCTTGCCACCACTGAGATGAGTGATACACCGCCACACATCTATAGAGTGCCATAATGTTGGAGAAACGTTGTGCATTGCAGCCATGAATGATTCTCTATTCATTATGTCGTTACTACTAGATGCTTGCTCTTCAATTTTATGATTATATGTTGAAATTAGTGCCTTACTCTAGATAAAAAATATACGCGTATATCAAAGATAAACACAAACAAGGTCATCTGTAGATGCATTCTTAAATTAATAGGAAGTTTGTCAGTATATTAAAGATAGCATGTGATCATAACTTACGATATCTGCAATAAACTTTAATAGCATTCGGGATCCAGGAAATGCTCTGTATGCTTCCTGACATACTTCAAATCCTATCAGATATAAGGTACAGCAATCTTTAATATTTATATAATAATTTAGGCGGCATTCTTTAGCTAAAAGAAGCATTACCTTGAGCGTACTTTGATAAATCCTTGGCGTAAGCTGACAAGTCGACCTATTTAGAATATTAAAGTCAGTGGATTTTTAATTTTGATATAGTACAGATAGTAAAGATGAGTAGCTGCCAGCATTTGTTCTAGAATAGAATGGATCAATATCTTATGAATATCAAATTTTACCGTGAAACTATTCTACTAAAGTAGTTACAAGAAAGTCGTGGTAGTTAAAAAGCAGCTCACCTTCAAGCAATAGTAGCAGAAAATTCTCAAGAAAACGGAGCTAGCCAACTGTAATAAAATAAACCGTTGATTTAAGGCCTAATTACTACGCAACATAAATATGGAGTATGCTCCAATGAGATAGATGATATATAAAGTAGCTCGAAATATGTCTACGATATATTACCTTCATGAGTTTAATTTCGGCACTTCGTAAAAGCGGTTTAGATACCGCCGATTTTTTAAGCCAATATATTGATACTTCTGCCAAATAAAAGAGGCTAATTGTGCCAAAGTACAGAAATAGTTAAAATTGGATGATATTGTAGCAGAGATGACTATATTCGTAGACTATAGTGTCGCTTCCATACCTAGATAAATGATCTTCATTGAGAGGAGCTTGATCTAATGAAGTAATAAGTATTTCAAGGCTATCTGCAAATACGAGTGGTAGTTTTTAGTTGCATAGTAGGCTATAAAGGGTTTCAGTAGAACATGCAGAGGGGATTAAATGATTAAGTCATTATCTTACCTTCTCGAACTCTACCTTGGCACTGTGCTAGCATAGATAATTCACACCATGCCCTTGGCAGATTAATGTGCTGTCCCATACCTCCACTCTTAATACCTGCTCGACGCTGTAGAATCATATTACGTATGATATTGATGTTAGAGCTTAATATTTACATACATCTATTTGCATGGCTAAGATATTCTTAAATATACTCACTATTAGTCTTTGCAGAGCTTTGTCAGCAGATTCTTCATAATTTTTATGTTGTGGTGTGCCGATAGAGCTATTAAACTATTTATGTGAAAAATTAAGATTAGATTTCTTTTGTAATCTGAGAAAGTTTCGTAGATATATTTTCATCCATAATAGTTCTTAAAATACCTTTGAAATGAAGTCTTCTTCAACATCATAGTCAAACTTCCTGTAAATGGATCAATAAGAAGATTTGTTTTAATACATAAAGTTCTTATTACATGGAACAGAAATTTATTTCTAAGCTACTAGAATCTTTATGATGTAATTTGCATATTTCTGTTGCAGTCAGCTACAGCCCGCTTAACTACATTGATCTGTAGAAGTATTTCAATAATAACATTTTAAGGTACTCAAATTACTTATTTAAGAGTGAAAATCTTGTTAAGATCTAATACAATTGATAACAACATGACATTACTTTGGAGATTTCGGCAGCGGTTTAGTAGGGATCTCAAGATATCTTTTGTTTATTCGCTCTTGTAATTCCTCACGATGACTGAGTGAAACAATCCCAAATTTGTGTACGATGGGTATCTATGATTAAATGAGCGCAATTTATCAATACAGCTTTAAAAATTTAAAGATGACATAAGTATTTAGGATATTTATAAGATGAGTAATGCTTTTATATGTAAGGGCCAAAGGAAATCATGTTAGAATCACCGAATATCAAAGCAAAACAAATAATTATTTGACTATGAAAAAACGCGCTAGCCATCAAAAAAAAGTTTTACACCATCAATAATTTCCAGTCAGAGTTGATGTGATTCTTCAGAATCGTAAAGTTTTACCTTATGAATTGGCATCCTGTAAGGAATTATTCGGGATCCAAAGTTTACTATGGCAGGAGTTTTCAGGTTAATTTGTGGCAAGATCTATCCTACATCAGTACTAACTATGGCCATATGTCATTCTTAGTATTTGTAAAATCGTAAAGTGGTGGCGTTGCAGTCTATGTTGTGTATCAGTTGTTAAACCTATCCTCGGCAGAAGATCCACTGTACGGTAATAATTCTAAACTCTTTAATCACAGATTATAAGTATTGCTACCAATCATTTATACAACGAAATAAACCGAAATCTGATGATATCGAAAACCAATAATAATATGTGAAATAGCCCTCTCTAAAATTTTAGGATATAGTAACGAAATCTTAAACGTTTTCGAATATTAATCTACGTACCAGTTACTTCGAAGGCTTGTTTCTTTTAACAGAGACGGATGATCAGCTACGATATTATTGCATAAAATTAGCTGTTACGACGTCAACAATTCAAATTAGTGCAATGAGAAGTTGTTCAAATAAGTTTATATCGATCAATTGATCACTAGATGATGTCAGGTCGTCCTATAGTTTATAGATTTGCCTTATATCCCGGAATCATTTAACGTAATATCGATAGTCAATATGTCGTAACTAAATTTCCTGTACTCTATGCAGGGTTTATCTTAAATAAGTCAAGATCGAGTACAAGATCCTCACAATTTACAAGTGAAGGAGTATCTAGGCAACCAGTACCAAGCAAGATAGTATAGTGACCCAAGCGGCAGATTTTGTTCATACCGTAAGCATTTACGTGCAATTACTCTGTCCTGTACTATAAACTCAATACATTCAGTATATCAAGTTGATTATCAACTATTCTGATTTCCCATCCTGCTTAGGCCTACTTGCATAAACATAAGGTGGCACTATACAATCTCCTGCGACTACATGAACGTATAACTGTACTCATTATAGATAGGATGCTGATTCTATTATTCGACTATACCTGCAAATTAGGCGTGATACTGTGTTGTGGAATACACTTCCAATCAACGTTGCAACAGTATAACCTTGTGTAGTCAATCTATAATTTACTGTATGAGCTAAACTACTGTACAGGTTGCAATATTAAAGCCATGCCACTGCTGTTTGGTTCTTCTATACCAGAAGACTACAGAAAGCGGGTGTTCATAGACAGTTACTGTAATATCATTGATGGTTGCTTAGCAACAAACAAGCATTTAGGCCATTGTTGAAAATGCTGACGTTACTTGATATAGTAGAAATAATTAACGTGGGAAGTGCGAACTTTAATATTATGGGATTATACGGATAGATATAGTATGTGGATAGTCCACACATTGGTCGTCTATGGGCATGATACTTGATACTGTATATTGCTAGAATTATTCGATACATTAATTATTACTGTGGAATAAGCCTTCGCACGAATCTCAATAATTGAAATTTAGAATATTCGATGCAACCAATAATCTGTCATTTTAGTAGTTCAAAATTAATTTTTCACTGTTGAAGCAAGCTATAGATCATTTTAGAAGTGGTTATAGTCATAGTTTATGACACTTATCAAAGAAATCGCGAAAACCCGTCTCACAAGATTGAACTATAAAATATTTATTAATTTATATTAGCTTTGCAATCATCAAATGTTGACAAATTTTAAAGATTTTCAAAGTAAGTAACTTTAAAACGATTCACTATAAGATTAGATTTCGATCTCTTGCTTGCATTATATAGTTAGAATAGATTCAATTTTTATCAATTAAGCATCAAATATATATATATATATATACGAATGTGCTTAATTCAGATTAGATTATCAAACTTTGATCTATTCACCATTATTATTCTCTATTGGTGGTTATATAAAGTTGCATACAAATTTACTTATCACTGATGAAATTAGAATATTTACTTGTTCGTTAGCCAATCTCGCCAATCTTGTTTGAAATAAATCTTCACCGTATGTGCTGTGTCCTTGAAAACTGAAAGCTTTATCTAGTCTTACTTGCATCTTCTTTCATCTACTATTTATTCTTTCAAGATATTAATTAGTACTTGATTATACTTGTAAGTCCTATAAGATCTACTATCGACACTACTGTTTTTGAAGATAAAAGAAGATATGAAGAATGATTATACTAATAATTCGTAATCAGCTTCCAATCTATCTTACAAAAAATGCGGTAATATTTCTACTAGCGTATAAGTAATGCTATATATTAATTTTCGAGCATACGAAAAGGTAACTACGAAATGTGCTCTAAAGATTAAGATTACTTTCAAGATCATATTTAATGTCAAAGTAATAACAGCAAAAATGTAAAGTCAGAATTACATTTTTAAAACTTTAAATAAAACCAAATGCTAAATTTTATATGAGATATAACATCTTTAGCAATACAGATTTTCAGAATTTCTAGATGCAGCATATCTTCGAACGATTAATTTTACGATAATATCACTTCTTCTAGATGATTGATTTACTGTCGTCAGGATTTACTTCTACTTTACGAGAAGGCAATTCTACGAAAAATAAGTACCAAGCACGAGCGGATGGCCATTCTCAAAATGTTTTGGCAACCGTGGCCAAAGCTCGGACACTGCGAAAAGTGGAAGAGACAAAAGAAGAGCTAACAAGAATTACTCAGAGGATAAATTCGGTAAATAATTTTAGCGCCCCTCAATACAATAATACTATATTTATCATAGTTTGTTCGTCTTTCCTAATCGCAATATTGCTACTCAACAGATTTATATTACGAAGGTTAATGTTACTTGAGCTAGTTTTGATCAAATGTGTCTGGATGTAATCCAACTATAGACTTTAGCATCGTATGAAATCGAGAATGCTGAAAATAATAGAATACTCAAAGATTCTAATAACAATAATATGGAGTTTGTGAAAGATCCTGAAGAATTACTTATTTTACTATCGGATTCGGTCAAAAAGAAACGTTATCAGCAGCAAGTTACAGTATTTGTTGTCGGCTTTGAGAGGGCATGCGATGATCGTATTAAGGTAACGTGACTTCTTTAGAATAGGCGACATTTTAAATGGTAATCCTGTCAGCTAAACAGATTTTAATGAAATCAGTAACTTCATAACATGGATTCATTTCTTCAGTAATGATAATTTTACTCGTCTATACTGAAATTTACTAACTTTAGTTCCTTTTAATTAATTTTACAGTTACTTCATCAAATCAACGAGGTATGTAGATGTTAATTCTAATATCGAAATGTGATGGTGACTATTATATTTTCAATATGCGATTACGTAGAAATGCTTATATTGCTTATCTAAGTAGAAGTTATAGGTTAGATTTAATATTATTTCAGCAGTATCTTATTATTCTTAGCTTGAGCATTAAGTAAAATCATAAGCAGTGCAATCAATTGTAAAGTAGTCATATGTGATAACATCATATATTTTTATCTCGATGACTAGTTTTTTCAAGAACACTCGACAATACCGATATTACAGGATGGCCAAGATTCTCCTCGTCCTGATATAGATTTAGAGGAAGTTTCCACACGTATTGCAGATGCTTTAACTTCAGCTAATGCAGCTGCTGAGAGACTATTAACCATTAACCATGATATGATCAATCATTTGGCGATACAAAATACCAAAGAATCGAAAAGGTAATCTGCAACTTTTGTCTTACCTTTTTGGAATAAATATTTAGACTCTAATTATAATTGCAATACTTGCAAGCCTTAAAAAAGCTATAATTTCATTTAATCTGATCTTGTATGTAAACTTATAGGAGTAAGAAAAAGCTAGAGAAATCTTTAGCCCAAACTCGTGATGATCTTATTAGTTTAACAACAAGACTCGACGATACGCAAATAAGTAATATCTCATGATAATAATTTAGTTAATTAATTAATCAAAGACAATATGATATCATTATACGCACTTATTCACTAAATACAATTTGCATGATCACTTAATTGAGTATAGAAGTCCAAGAGAAAGAAAAGAAAATTAAGGAATTAACATTAGTAACTGATGCTAAAGATAAGGAAATTAAAAAGTACGGTAGACGTATTGATTTTTTACGGTATCAATTTTGAATAATTTTATCAAAAGTAAGGATGATTAAGATATGAATAACATGATATACAATTTCCGCCATAGATTGACTATAATGAATGACACATTAAAGGTAATTTAATTTCATTAATGATTAATTGAAGAAATGGAGAAGATATAATTTTGAAAAGATCTGGCTTAATCTTTTAATTAATATACAACTATACTTATGATATATTATTAGAGAGATGCAACTGCGGTGGATGATCTTCGAGAGCAAAATGAGGTTAAAACTATGGCGCTACAGAAAGCCCGACAGGTAGATATTATAGCATTCTTAGTCTGCTTTAATCTCAATCCTCCATAGTGCATCTATGTTAGAAATATGGTACTGATTTCTTAATTCGTTTAATAGCAAATTGAGGATATGAAGGCTGCGAGTAAAGCTGAAGAAGCAGCGGAAAAATTCCTTGAAAAGAGAAGATTAAAAGTGAGATTATCAAGTCAAGCATCAATGGATGGTATCAGTACGCAAATGACTTCTCCAAATCAAGATCGCCAAACAACGATTAGAGATCGGCAAATCTTAATAGATGAAGTTAAGGAGAAAACTAAGAAAGGTAAAGATAGAATTAACTACTTATATTATCTAACTAGCTTAATCATGATTATTAAATCTGTACCAAAGCATCGTAAATGGTCTAGGATCTAGTTAAAGCCGTTAATAGTCCTATTAACTATAGCGGTTAATTAAATTACTAGCCGTAATTATTAACAATTATAAATAAAACTTGCATACTTGTTTGGTGACTACTAGATCTAGAAACAAAGCATCAACGCACTATTGAAGAATTAAAAAAGGAGTATTCGCAGGAGCTGAAAAAGGTGCAAGATGAACATTCAAAAAAGTTGCACGAGAGTATCGCTGTAAGTTTATGATAGGTGCTTGATGACGGAATGACGACTTATTACGATGATAGAAGCTATATTAGCTTGTGAATAGGTTCTAAAGTTTTCTATATCGATCGAAAACTAGACTCAAGCTCCAAGCCCGGAGAAGCATAGCACACCCAGAAAGGATAGTGAACCTGAGCGCACAAGGCGATGGATAACTCCATCGCCTGAAATGGATGCCCGCAGTGAAAGTCCGTCAATGAATGATCCAAATAGACTCTCTCCCGAGCCTAGCTCCCATCGTCGTCGTAAATCGTCATTTAACCGTAAGAATTCTGCCGCTTCTTCTACTACTAGATCCAGAAAATTATCACGAACGAAATCAATGGCGAAAATCACAAAGTCTACAGTTAAGGTAAGCAAATACATCAAGGACCAATACCTATTTTCCAATACCATGTGATGTACTTGCGAAAAATTTGCTCTTTTTATGAATCTAGCAATTATACTGTAAGCAAAAAATTTAGAAATGCTATACCTGATCACTTATTTTAGTGATGTCATATGAATACTGTATAAGCTAGTAATACATATTCAGCTGGTAACTGATAGACACTACCCGAGTAGTGAAACGAATTTCTATATGGATAGATTGCTGGTTTTGTACTATGATTAACATGTGCATTATTTTAATTGCTACAGAAAATTAAAGATGGAGATGGAGGCAGCGGCAGCGTTGCAGATTCACGCCGGAGTAGTTTAGCTACTGGTATTGTTATCGATACAAATATTGATCCCAAGAGTAGAGGTTCACAAGCAGATACTGGATCTGTGGTCGAATTAGCTCATAAATTGAAAGGAATTGGTAATAAAGAATCTAAAGGAAAGGAAGGTAAGATGTAATTGTCAATCGCACTTTCAGAAGATTGTCGGTATGCTTCTAGTCTACGGTTTGCTCATCAATTCATTTTGCTAGACTTCATTATAGTTTATCATTAATGTTGCCTATACCTGCTATCCACTGGATAGAGACGTATTCAATACAATAAACAGAAGAATTAATTTATTTATGCTTGAATTTTACTTGGTGAAAAGAAACTGGCCAACAAGAGCAAGCCCAAGTTGGTGACACTGGCGATAAGAAGAATGTTTCAGAAGAGAAAAGTGTTGAGGCAAAGGAATTGCCGCAAATTAATCGACGTCAGTCTCAGTTGGAATCGATATTGAGTGATTTGTTGCAAAATAAGGATAAAAGCAAGAAAAAAGGCGGTAAAGGTCCTGATGGATCTTTAAAGGGCAAGAAAAGTAAAAAGAATCGACGCAATAATAGCAAAAGTCAAAATTCATCTTCTAATTCTTCGTCGCCTAATACCTCGCCAACACCAAGCCAACCTCGATCAAATTTCTTTCGGCGGGCTACTTCAGAAAGTGACTTAGATTTAGTATCGGAAATCGATGAAGAAGAAGCCGAGTGGGTAAGAGTCGCTATGATACTGATAATTAATTATAGATATTAACTGCATACCCATCGTAAAGTGCTAAGCTAATTGAATCTATGATCTTTTTCTTCAAAGGATGATATTAATCCTGAAGAATTACCCGAGAAATTTAAAGAATATCGCACTATGGTATTGGCAGATTCTCCATTTAGCTCTTACAATTAATCAGTTTCCTGCTTTCTGTTAACTATAACTAAAACTAATTCCTTGCTTTTTATCTTAGTCGGTATCGAAGAGGAAAGATGCGCTAAAAAAAATGGAAGCAATGAAACAAAGGGTAAAGTTGTTTATGCGACATAGATGGTTACAATTGAGTTCAAGATGATCGCCAAAGTTCGGTGAATTTATCTATCTATTTAATATTTTCTAAATTATAATCAGTAAACTAGGTTTCTAAATCATGCAGCAGGTGTCTAACGAGTTTTATGCAGCATTACTAAAAAGTAAATAATATTACCACTTAATCTTTTATGATATTTTAGTATCAGAAACAAATTGTAGCCCTAAAAGCGCAAAATCTCAATGATAGAACTAAATATGGCAAGGTAAGAATTAAATACCGCTATTTATTGAAAGCCGTAGTTATAAGGGGCTAAAGATCTCAAATTGGGAAATCTTAAAATATTGGACTTTCGAAAAGTTAATGGAATAGACATACCCAGAATTTATAGGATTATATCAAAGTCTGTTTATTTGATGGCTTTTACGTTTTATTTCACCTATTTGCAATACTTTAAGCTATCGATTACATTCATCTATTAGTCATTGAGAGACTACATTTACCTGGCAGTGATACCGTTATATTTCTTTAATTTCATCTTTACTAGAAGCGTGATTGAATACGTTGCTAATTGCATTTAAATCTAATTGACATATACATCGATAAAGGAAAAGCATGATTTAGAAGAAAAATTGAAAAAGAGCGTGGAGATGTTATCCAAAGCAGATCAACTGGTAAATTTAGAGCGTAAATTATGTTATATATTGCTTTTAGAGCTTACAAATTGATCAGACATAGTAATAAAGTAAAAAAAATATTATTTAAATATTGTTCGAAGTAGAATATATAACACCAGTAGAGTAGTCTCTTAACATGAACCAATTTGTTCTAATTTACACTTTTATGTAGGCCGGAAATGAGGTCCAGAAACTGGTATGCTCAGAATCTTTACCCTCAAAATATATTAATGTTGATATAGTCTTAAGATCTTCTTTTTACACTGTTTATGATTGGCTAATATACGAGTAGTTAACTCCTTTTTAAAATGATATTTAAGGGGTACGCTACTGTCAATTGGCTTTAGCTCATAGACTACCAAGCAATCGTAGTTTTGTACCATAGTGAATATCAATTCCTATTCTGTGATCTAAAAAAGCCTTAGACATGTGTAAAAGTTGAACTTTCGTAATAACTCGATGTATTTCTTCATTTAGGAGGAACGCTTACAATTAAGAGAGAAATGGGTTAGTATTTCAGCCGCTAACCGGCTACTTTCTAACCAACTTTATAAAAATATAGCGCTTTTATAATTATTTTACGCTATGATTTTATACTCATTTTTAGAGAGCTACTGTCTCTGATATGCTGTATGAAAATAATCCAGGAAGCACGAATATCGATGATATCATCAATCAAGGAAGTAGTATTCTAAGTCCAGAGCACAGCTCCAGAGCAACTCCTCATCGCAGTGCTGGAAGTAACGCTACAGCTAGTGATTTGCCATCTATTCCTCCAGGTAGTGCAAGGAGTCCACTGGTAGGTAAGCAGGAAGTTACAGTTAAAGGCGCTGGTGAATTCCCTAAAGTAGAGAGTTTAGTTGCTCTTCAGCAAGAAAAAGCGACTGAAGCTATTATATCAAACCAAACAGGTTATGACTTATTACTAGGATATCTTGATCACATCCACGGTTTATCTCATTATAGCTAACGCTTAACGTGTTTGCATTGATGTAGGATTTGCAACACAAATGGCTGGTATACAGCCAATTGCTTCTATGAGTACATTTGTTCCGGGGATAAACGCAACTAATTTCCAGACAGCAGGGAATGGAAATGCAAATAGTATGACTAAGCAAGCTTTAGAGTACTTTCAGTTTCCAAAACCAAGCGGAGAACTTCAGGACGATACTGTTGCAAAGTACTCTACTTATTCAGCAAAAGATATTGAATCGATCCCTGCTGATGTGCAATTAACTGCTAGTCAGATTTTACGTGAAGCATTACGACAAATTCCATCGAATGTTCCAAATGAAACTGCAGTAAAATTAGTTTCTCAAATGACAAGCATTCCAGTAGAAGTGGCAGTGCAAATTTTAGCTCAGAATTCATCAGTTTTGCAAAGTCGACCTCCTAGTATTCCACAGCAAGCGGAAGCGCAAAAAAATACATCGCAAACGCAGAATAGCCAAGTCATTCATACTAGTGATTTACCCAATCACGCTATGAAAATTAGTAATAGATTTGGTCAATTAACTATGGCAGATAGAGGAATCATTGGCGATGCACGGACTCAACTTGCTGCTCCCAGTCAAAGTAATGATCCTGATAAAATAAATCAAATAAATAATATGACTTTAACAGGAGATAATTCGAAATTGCTCGAAAACATTGGACGCATTCGTGCATTTGAATTAAATCAATCAGTTGGAGGTAATGCAAGCGCGTTGGGACAGGCAACCAATTCGCAGCAAGCCAAACAAAATGTTGCCCTCCGTGATGTTAACTTACAGTTTGCACGATATATTGAGGGTATGTCTAATAAATATGCTCATGCTCAAGCAAGTAATCAAGGACAAGCGTCGACTGATGTTTTTCCTGATGATTATCCTCGCAATATTGATGTTGCTCAGTTATCACGAGAATTACCTCCTCTACAACGTTCTCCTCGTAAGCCAAGTTCTAGCAGTTCTCATCGGCGTTTTGATAGCAATAGTCGTCGATCGCCTCAAGAGCACCGCAGAGCTGCAACTGCCGATAGTCCAGGACGTTACGGGACGAATAATCGAATGAATCAAATTTTAGTCGATCCAACAACAGGTTTACCTCTTGAAACACCTTATGGCGGTATCTTAGATAGGTCGAATATGCCTTATGATGGTGCTGCGGATAAATTGCGTAAGAATGATCCAGGACGTCCATCCAGTGTTCAGAAAAATAGGGTTGCATCTGCAGGTAAACCAGTTACAGCAGTTGCATTTGATTCCTCAGCTGGCCAAGGTAGCCTGCCTAGTAGAGCATCAGGCACAGAGGATAGCACAACAGGCAAGCCACTGGAGACATTTTCTATTGGCGAATTTAATCTACCTGAGTATAAATTACCTTCCTATGAACATTACGTTCCACAATATACTGAAATTGATTACAACGTTTCCACTAATTTGAACTTGGATAACAAAACTTATAGTGGTATTACTTCTGTACCAACACGGTATGTTGTTTTAATTTTGTCATATTACTGTAGTTTGTTATTAGTAAGGTAATTGATTTAATTCTGAACATATAACTACTTCAATAGGCAAATTTCTCCCTTACTTTCTGAACATCCTGCCGTAGACGAGGTTTATACTAGATGCATAACAGATTACTATTACATATTGTACAGCACCAGTTCATCTCATGTTTAGTCTTTTTTTATTTCATTGCTCCATAACAGCTATTGAAAAGCTATCAATTCGTCATAAAATTTAAAGATAGCTTAAGTGGTTACTTAAATGATCAAGGTATGTAGCATCTAATATTTATTCATTGCATGATTTAACTATCTAAAGATATTCTCGATGTAGTAATCTATCGATTTTTTTATAGACTTTTACTCTGCTGCACAATCACTTCGAGATATTCAACCGGTTCAGTTTAGCAAGGTACGAGTATATTTGCAGAAGTAGTATATCTGAGAATAGTATTTTCTAGGCTTCATTCTGCTTTCACGACAATACATATGGAGATTTGATTCTAAAAAATATCATGATTAGGACGAAAGAATTGGTGAACAAGTTACCGTTATACGTTGCCACGTAGAATTAGGTATGCTTACAGTATATTATTTATTCGTCGTATACTAATTATAAAGCATAGCTAGATTGATTTTGGCTCAAACGATTTGATGTCTGATCTATTTTCTTATAGTACTAAGTCAAATTCAACAAATTATTGTTGATAACTTGGTTAGCACACTTTCCACATTGGTAAGTTATTGCTACGTGATGATTTGTTTATTACTGATGGAATGAATTATTTCAATTATCATTTCTATTGCAAATAATTAGAAACAAAAAGCCATGGAGCCTCCGATACTAGTGCCTCAGATTCCTGAAAAAGCTGATGAAAGTGAACTGAGGGAATTAGCTGAGAAACTGTATGTTTATTTTTATACTGTGATTGATAGCTAGACAGAACTTGAAATTTTATAATTTTACTTGTAAACAAATGGATTTAATTTCCTTGCACTAATCAACCTTCCTAATACGTAAAATTTCAGTCAAAATGAACTTCTAAATCAGTTTGACCTCCGTCAAAAAGAGCTGAATGCAAGTTCAACAACGATTTCAGAAATGCAACGTGTTATAACTCAATTAAAAGCGGTAATTTTACATCACTGTTAAATAAGCTATCTATTATAAGTTCCTAACTTACTTATAACATTCCTATAATTAGCAAAATGATTATAAAATAACTGATCCCTTAATTGATTGTAAATTTGATAAACGTATTGTCTAAGACAATTTTCGGACGATTATTCTAAATCATAGGAAATTAGAAATTCTGAATTACCTCCCAGAGCAATTACGCCGAAAGAAGCACGAGCAATCATTGGAAATCGAAAATCTAGCACGCTATCATTATCACCTCGAACTAGTCCAAGTGATCATAAAGAAGCACCGGTAAAAAAATTAATCTAGTATTATTATTAATAAAATTATAGGATTGCAATTCGAGGGTTGCATTTATATCCTATTATTACCGCTTATACTATATATAATTCTATTAAAGCTTCAGAATTGCAATTAAATTAAGGCATTGCTTTTGAAATTTCAATTCTATAGACTACTTCTGCTTCACCAATTATGTTTACTCGTAAAGATGCTGAAAGAAACGCGAAATCGTTAAAACGAGCTCTTAATATTGGTAGTCTATCGGAAAATGCCTATAAGGTATGATAGCTACGTACGTAAATATACAAGATACTCTATTCGAACGTCTAGTTGCTTATTAATTCCTTGCTTGATAAAGGAATCTATGAAAGGCATGGATAATTATACATCATTACCTGGAAAGCTACTAGCGTGTCTTGTTAACAAATACACCCATCATTGTCAGATGAAAAACTTAGAAGGTAAGGAATTAATGCTGTATTCAGGCATCTTGAACCAGATACAACTTTTTGCCCTGCGAAATGAAGCATGGTAGTAAGAATACATGTGATATTCTTACATATGATTTAATTAACAAATTATTCACTAGCAAACGATAACAATAGTACTTTAAAGACTTTTATAATAAGACGCTCTATTTATTTTATCCTAGAGGAGAGGGGGTGGGATAAATCCAATTAACCAAATATAAATTGTTTCTGTTAACGCCTAATGAAACACAAATCTATCTAATCGCTCATAAAACTTTCTTTTAGGTACTTTAAGGCGTAAAAAGGAACTCGATGATAACACTTTATTTCTCTTATCCAAAATGGAAAAATTTCAAAGCAAGGTATTAACTTTAAGAAGAGGCCAAACGATTCTATTACTTAAATAAATGAATCATAATGTATATTAATTTAATTAGAGTTTCAGTGTAAAGTGTCTATATTCTAAGTATCTGTAATATCCTATGTGCATTAATTGCCTATACTCAAAGACTTATGCCGGATTTGTTTAATTTTAAACAGAGAGCTAGCAAATGGAGCGAAAAGATAGAAATTATGACATCACAAAGGCTGCAACTGGCGGAATTGTTAACATCAACGTTTGACTCCATTGAACAAAATAATAGCATATTTTTAATCAAGCCTGCATTTACATATAAGAGCAAGTCAGTTGATAAGATCTCTTTTATTCTGCGACAAACTTATTTACTAATTCAAATAGTCTAGATCCTTTGTTTTATTCCAACTAAATATAAAAAAAGAAACTTCTTTTCTAACGTTCAAAACGGTTATTTATATTTGATGAATTTTCTAGATTAAAAAGATTTGTAGCCGAAAAAATTTCCGACAACATTGCTAAAACTAATTACGAAACTGACCCACCTGTTGCTATAATGGGAGCTAGATCACTGCCAGGTGGCTCACGAAATGCTGTTGCCAATATGCCGTTTGTAACATCGCAATTAAACATTCCTGTAGATAGCCAAAATGCTTCAACACTGACGAGTAAGAGTGGCACATGGCAGGTTAGTCAGCTATTCTGAATAATATGCAAAATACATTATAATAACGTATCAGTAATTAGCAATTATAAACAGTTACGATCATAATCTTAGTAAACGAATTTTAATTATTTTACGTAGGCATCATCATCGCTAGTTACTTCTGATGATTTAAGTACAGTAGTCAGTAGCGTTCCGAAGCTATTGGAAATGGACATTAAACGTTCTACCTATGATACGATTGGAGTAAAGTAAGTCTATTTTGTATGCATAACTACAAATACTACCGAAATCAAACGAATTTTATTCAAGATGTGGGTTAGGCCGTATTAAATTCTTTAAATTAATACAATGTCACAATGTTTTAGGGAGGAAATATCCGAACAACGAAACGAAAATGGACAGAGACGTTCTAACCTAGCAAAATCTCCTGCTGCACCCTTAATACATGGCTATCATTTAAATCGATCACAGGGTAAGGTAGAATTGGTAATTTTATGTCAATGATTATTCCAATTTGATAATTCAACAGCTAATAGTATATAGTTGTTTGATAGAAGCTGTCGTTGAATTTATTAAACACTTTACTGTAACTGATTGCAACTTCTACACATAATTATTTAAAATAACTCTTTGTTTACCTATTGTGAAACACTACAGTTTTACCTGCGGTTGGTATGGAAAAATCTGCCCAGAATAACACAAGAGATATTGTCGATAGTCTCCCTACGATTATTAAAAATCGTCCAAGCATCACTAGTAGCATTAACGAAAGAATATCAACAGGTACGTCAGTGAATGCTCCTCACACTGCAGGAACAACTACTGCATCGCAATCAATTGATTATACAATGACGGAAGAAAGTTCAGAAGAAGAGGAAGATAATGAATTGATCCACTCAGCTACTTAAATTGTTTTATTATGATACCTATTGCGAGCGAATATTGATAAATTCTACGGCTGCTTTGATACAAATCCTCTCCATTGAAACAATGATAAATGTTCTTTTTGCTGTTATACTGTATGAAAAAAAGAATACTTGTATACTCACTATCGTGCTAAAATTGCTTTCCATAATGTAACATAATTTCTATCGTTGCTATTATTGCATGTTGACGTTAATTCCTATTTCCGTATCAAAGCAGTTTGCTTTAAGAGAATCAGTATTAGTAAAATTTCTAATTGATATTGGTCGGTGTAATATGAAGCGACGAAAGCGAGATAAAACCTTTTATAGTGTTTTCGTGATTATGGAGTAAAGTTTTGATTAATATTGATTTAAATGTATTAAGTTTTATTTGAGATTTCATTTTTATGAGCTGATTACATTTTAATATTATATCCGGTAATTGACAAGCCGAATTCGATAAAAGTAATAAGATTTTAACTTAAATAATCTACACTTGTTCAAATACAGTGGCAACTTAATTATAAATCATAAATTTTGGTATGCTATCAGATTTTATTGAATATCATTTTAATTTAGAAAAAATGACGTAAAATATTACGCCGATTACAGTTGTAAATTGAATTGAATAAAGTATGAGTCAGCTGCTGGTCTACATCAAATCATTTTGTTGTTCATTTGATATGAAAGTTTGATAATAAAGTGAGGATCAATTTAGTAGTAGCTGTTTTTAAATAAGGCGATGCATACGGTAGCCATTTTGCACACGCAGATGATTTAGAGAATATCATTTTCTATAGTATTAACCTGTCAGTCTATTAGGTTTCTGACTACTACCTTCTGTGTAATAAAATTCTTATTACTTTTCTAGTAAATTAGACTATCCTGATAGTAGATGTAAGCGTTCAGGATACATCATTTGTATTGGGTCTACTATTTCTATGCTGAATATGTTTGAAGTTGTCCTATCATAGTGAATTAGAAACAATGTAAATAATGGAAAAAATTTAATGACAGTTACTACTAAGTAATCCTACTTACTGCATTAGCTAGTTTTGATTCATAAAAATTTAAACTTTTCCATACATACATGATTTAACGTTCTTGCCGTTAGTATAGTTGTTTGCCAAAGATTTTTTATTATCGCTCAGTAATTTGCATATTAACCAATCTGTTACACTACTTTTGGAAAATAACGGCTCGCAACTGGAAAATCATGATCGCTAATGTCATTACTGGATTCAAGTTGAGAAGTCTGACTAAATTTTTAACTAACATTTGGATGAGTTCAACATCGCTAACGACATCACTTAATTAGTAACTTTCGTAAGAATGTCATAATGTTTATATTAATAATCAAAGTTCATAATATAATTCTAGATAATTAGAACGCAACTCTAGAGGCACTATAATTATATCGAGTTTTGCACGAAATAGTAGAGTTGTGATTAAAGCTTAATTACGATTCGGATATCTTTTCACCATTATCGATATCAGTTAATTAGCAATTTTTATAAGAATGTAATAATGTTTATATTAATTATTACGGGCAATATAAAAACAGCGGGTAATGTATACAATGCCCGCGGGTAAGATTACGGGCAATGTAAAAGCAGCGGGTATATACAACGCCCGCGGGTAATGCACATACAATGCCCGCGGGCAACGTATAAAATGGTAATGGCCTCTCATGCCAAAACTAACTCTGAACCTTACCCGATCTGCCCCCGAAGTCGTCTCTAATCCTAAAACAACACAAGTCATCTCCAGAGTTTGCTGTAGACGAAAAACCATGCTGCATTGCTTCTTTAGTGAAAAAGAATGACATTCCAAGGAATCGAAGGCGATGTGGCTGTGCCATTTTTCAAACTATAATAAGAGATATAAATATAGGCATTACACATTACAATATTTGTTTTTTTATAACGTACAAATATAACTTTATTGTTAATGTTTTTTTGTATGTATTAACGTTTTTGATTACATATAGAATGTAATCAATAAATTCATTTTGTTTCTGTAAAATCAATTGGATTATTCTTCTGGTGAATTTCATTTGTGACATTGCTAAATTTCATATAAGATTAAAAGTTTACTACTGTTGAAAAGAGTTGCTCAAGTTTCAGTTCAGAATCAAAGTTAAAACTTAAGTAAAACTATAAGATAATCACTTTTTCTATCCTCGGCAATTCGAGTGCCTACATGCCGTTGTAATGATATTTCTTCTATAATATCCAATGCTTGTTCTGGAGTTAGTAACACAGTAGCTCATCATATGACTTCCTTCAAATACTATAGTACCACATCTATTTATAGTTAGCTATTCTAATGAGACTTGCAATGTTTTTGGAACATATAAAAAAGGAAGAGTTTCAGCTTTTCCTTTTAGTCCTTCTTTAATACGTTTCATGATCTTCATATTTTTAAAAATAACTATATTGATAGAAACTATGGATTCGAAAATGTCTTATAGAAAAGCTTTAGGTCGTGGAATAGTACGATAGTTACTGTACTACAGTAGGGCACATTAGTTCTAAACTTAATACGATTGAAGTAGTGATCAATGTAAAAAGGCGACCGCTATTAGAGTGCTTTTTGGAGGTATTTATTGTGACTCAAGATCATTTACTTTAATAAATGCTGGATCTAGTAAGGTATACTGGATATTTAGCATTTAAAAATGAAAGAGATGGATAATGCATATTGGGAGAGCCGCTTCTAGTATTAAATATTATAGAGTGTAAATCATCTAAATATTTCTCTAGCTCATTTTACTTACAACTAACTATACACCCCTTTCTTAAGGCGTAGACTAGATTAATTCTAAGAGTAAAAATATTCTTGATATTAACTGCGATAGTTATTATCGCCAATTACTAGCTAGATTTGTACAGAGATTCTTAGTAGTTGACACTTTTGCAATAAATTTGTAGTTCCTAAAGCTGGTTATGTTATTTAGATTTCAAACTTGATCGTAAAATAGTTTGTTTCATAAATTTTAATTTGTGTGCAGCTATCTATTTAAGACATCTGTTTAAGCTACGACATGATTAGGCATGAATATTAATTTTAAAAGCTTTAAACAAGTATAGATCCTCCTCACAGCATGGTGTCCGATCGCGGGTAGTTCCCTTTTAAAAGTACGATTATACTGTTATTGTATGATTGTTAAATGGATTTAGATTAAGAAAATTAGGAAGGTGAATAAATATGTATGTAAAACATAATGAATATGTTTAGGATTATAACATATACAAGTTTATTTTGCAACATCTTGTGGTACATTTGGTTGGCTTCACGATTGTATATTCTAACTAATTGTGTTGATGCTAATCTAGACGATGAATGCTATATTGCGAATATAAAGATAAAGTTGATTATGAGTTTTAATTATATACTACCTGCTGATCTATTACAAGTAAAGTTCATTGAAAACAATGCTATTTTCCATTAATTTTTTCTGCAACAGAAATATGAATAATCTTATGCTTTTTTGTTATGTACTTAACGACGATCAGCATGTAGTTAATAAAGTTGACAGTAAGTCAAATATAATTCACTTTATCCAATCTGGTAGCTATTGTGATTGTTCATAATGTGATAAGGGAGTGTGAATATATTAAAGTATGATATTGATGACTCATTTGCACTTACTGTAACTCACATATTAATGCTGGTAATTTTGGAGATTATGAATGTAAATTTTACAGAAAATGATCAAAAATTTACTTCTTGTACAAGTATTTATGGATTATTTCATAATCAGATTCGGAACAATTTAAAAATGGGATATCGGATCTATAGCAATACTGTTTATATGATAGATTGAATGCTAGCATACAAGTAGAATGTGAATAATTTTTTATTCCAGACGAAGAAAGATTCTTACAATAGAGAATTAAAGAAATCTCAATTTTATTTCAGAATCCAGCTTCGCTAAAAAGAGCAGTACGTTAAACTTACAATAATTCACGATTTCATCTAACGGCATCTTCTACAGTATTTTATCCCTATCTTTCAGTTTATGTTGGCTTCAACCAATAATGAAACAATAATAATCTACACATTCTGAATTCTGAAGTCCGTAAAATCGTTAAACTAAATTTTCGATAGTATTCATATTTAAATTTTTGAAACTTTTAGGATCAACTGAAATCTCATTTTCACAGCTGATCCCTACTTTATATCGATTCTTATCATCAAATGTAATGCAAATTAACATCCCTGTCTTTAAGGTAGCCTAAAGGAAACACCTTTATTATTTTACATTCATAGAGCTTTATGGAGTTTGAGGAGCTATTAGACAATGTTTTTCAAACAACAAGCGAGCAGTAGTCGATCGACTTTGAAGATTTGCCGAAAGATTACTTCTTATTTTTTGATTTTAAAGAGAAGCTCTAGCAAGTTTTGCATTAGCATCAATGCAGGCGGTCTTGGAGTAGAATCTACTTGAAGAATTAGTATGCACCTATACTGTAATTTGAATCACTGCAAAGATAGTCGGATTTAAGGCATAAATTACTTTAAAAATTTTTTATAATCCAAATAAAAGCATACCTGCTAATAATGTGAACTTTTCATGCATGTTTTTGTAGCTTTCTGTCAGGTATTAGCAGTATGGAAAGTAGTACATAAACTGATTATGATTTTAATAGAAACAATACGCTTGACGATAAATACAAGTTAAAGCTATTATTTGAACGCAGTAAATAGGATATATTTAGCAAGAAGATTAGAAGAGCGACTTAGTGCAGCACAATACAGGTCACGCTATAGGAACCATGCTAACATTGGAATTTAACAACAAAAAATGCTTTTAAGACAGTAGATAATAATTATTCGAACAGAAACAAAGGACTTACGATTGCTATTGATTTGATTGTGATAGTCGCGATTAAAATTGTCTATTATCTAAATAACAATATTGTACTTAAAGCTAGAGACTTTAAATTGGATATAACGAATTTTACATTGAAATTTTTCTTTTCTCCTAGAATAGTATTAAGGATTTTTCAGTTCATAATATATTACAATTCTACAAGATTTCTCCCGTTGAAGAGATGAATCGTATAATTGCTGATAGCGGACCTGATTTTCTCTAAATGTATTTAAATTTCGATTTAGATACTTGCAAGAGCATTTACGTCGATAATTAATTACTTTATTTTGCTACGTAGTAAATTTAATCTTTGATCTTCGGTAATTCTATTATAATGATCATTTTCAATAAAGTGCTTTAACAATGTTCTCAAAGATGAAACTATGTGATAAGTTACTATATAATTCTTTCGCATAGCCCCTTCTAAAAATACGAGAAAGGGTAATGTAATCCTTTTACTTGATGAAATTAAACTATATTCCTCTTTCCTCCATACTTACAAAGTTTCTATAAAGGATCCGTTTTAGCTAATTGCAATTCACAGTATGAACCTATAGAGTGGATCAGTTCTTATTTTGAATAGTAGTACTAAATTGGAGTATACTAAAAAAATCTAATCGGTAAACAAGTATGTGAAAGATCACAAATAATGAATTCTACTACTGCATATAATAATAGACTATCTATCATACAATATACTATTATTTTGCTTATTTACGCGTATGAGCTTGCTTTATACAGGAATAATCTTGCTTTTAAAATACGTATAATGCCAGGAACTATGCTGAAATGTCTCAAGCTGTGTCCAGTCTAGATTTACATATTCACTTATCATACACCGTACAGTAGTATACAGTGCAGAACCTAGAATTTCATAACTGTGTACAGACGTAAAGACTAAACAGTACAGGACTTGATTTTCTCTAAATGTATTTAAATTTCGATTTAAATATTTGCATGAGCATTTATGCCGATAGTTAATTATTTTATTTTACTTCATAGCTAATTTAATCTTTGATTGTTCGGTAATTCTATTATAATGATCATTTTCAGAACAGTGATTTAACAATGTTCTCAATAATGAACGTATGTGATAAATTGCTACGTAATTTTTTGTCATAGCTTCTCCTAAAGCACAAGGAAGGGTAATCCTTTAACGTGATGAAATTAAACTATATACTTCTTTCCTTTATATCGATAAAGTTTCTATAAAGAATCCGTTTGAACTAATTGCATACACGGTATGAACCTATAGGATGGATTAGTTTTCATGCTAAATAGTAGTACTAAATTGACTATACTGAAAAATTTAATCAGTAAACACATATGTGAAAGATCACAATTAATGGAGTCTACCACTGGGCTCTATAAATGAATTATCTATCATGCAATACATTAATATTTCGCTTATTGATTGGCATGAACTTGCTTTGTGCAGAAATGATCTTATTTTTGAAATACGTACAATATCAGAAGCTGGAATGCAATTTTTTCACTCCTACCTATAGAAAAAGTTATTGATTACTAATAACTAATTCCAGGCTCAACATGGGTCTGTGGGCTGTGCTAAATGAAACAATAATAATATAATAATTACGGCATCGAACACAACTATATTCCCGTATTAATTTTTCACTTGCGTACGAACTTGCTTTATGCAATTGTACAGAAATTCTCTTATTTTTAAAGGGCGTATTATGCCAGGAGCTTTGCATTTAATTTTTCACTCCAGTTCATGGAATAAAGCTACAGCTTGCTAATAACCAATTTTAAACACAGTATGCGTCTATGGGTTGGACTAAATGGAAGGATAATATTATAATAGTTACGGCATCGATCATACGATATATTAATTTCTCACTTGCATACACCTTGATTTTATATAATTATTCTAGGATATAGTTTGATTTAAATTAAGCAACAATGTCTGGAGTCATAAACATCTAGATCTGCCTCTTGATATAAAAAAAGTTAATAGATCAAGATATACTTGCTATTGTTTAGCAACTGTTTCGTGCAAACAATGATGATGATCGCTACTCACTTTAGTGAATGTCTACTTCTTAGTAGGCCTAGCAACATATAATTGATTATATACTTCATAGTTTATTACACACCGAGTTAAAAGAAAATATATAATTGCATACTTTTTTTATTTGCTGTACCATCTAGTTGTGTTCTAGTATTTTAATCAATCGATTATAACTCTTCAATCCAGTGTACCTGCGTACTTCGTTCTATAAATTAATAATGCGTAACTAGCATAATATCTATATTTCACAATGAAGCAAACGTTAAAAATACAGTTACTGTAGCGCTTAGCACTTAGTCTCTTTGCATTTATAATCTGCTCCACTTTGCTTTACTGATATTATTAGAGATTAAACAATAAATTGAATTAACGGATAAAACAGACCCGGTATGTATCAATTCATTAATACAATATATTTTAACGAACTGAATTCATAATTCGTGCTTATAAGCGGACTAGTAACCTAATTTACGTAGCCAGTAATTGTATAAGAAAAGTATATAACGCCAGCAATACATTATATTACTTTTGCATTGTTAGAATATTATTTAAGGAGTCTAAGTAATTTATTGGCATCAAGCAGTGTCTAAACCTTTTTATTAGCTAGTCACGCCATCATCGCGTTTGTTACATGTTTATAAGTTCCGATTTCTTCGACTTATTTATTTCAACCTAATTAACGCTTACAGTAATTAGTTTCTAGGCACTGTATGTGACCAAATTTCTTACTAGCCTCAGGATGGCTTTACAAATAATCATTTTAATTAGTGTGGTGGTTATTATTTAATACTCCACCTTTCATTCTGATAGAATTTATTCCGTCAGGTAATTGTCACCGGAAATAGCTAATACGGTGTTCGACTGGCACTTATCGTTGCAAGATGTAATGGCTCCATAAATTATAGTGCTTTTCGTAAAATATCAATTCAAAAGTCTCATTTTATCAGGTTATATTGCAATACCTAGATGAAATTTTCCGTATATAACATTTACATACATGATTTTAAGTTCAAAAACTACGCTCACTTGGGCATGTTGATTCCATTATTAATATACTATACGTCATTGACTACTGAGTCGCTATTTCTCAATTAGCTTGTAGAAGTGCAATCATGATTGAATATAAGAATTTAATTAAGAATAAATAGACGTAGACAGACTGATTGTAACGTAACCACTTGAGAGCTGAGTCATAAATGGGAGCCTGCCTTATAAGCCATGATTACTGAACTAACAAGAGCTGTTGTAATCTCAATATTACGGAAATTTGATTATATTTAAGTAGTATCATATGTGATGTATAATAATATACAGTATACCTAATTTAATACCATGTGGAACCAGGTAGATATTTCTGAGAAATACGTAATTGCGTAAATTCTATGATACTTTTAAATTGGGTACTCTAGTAACAACATAATATCAAGCCAGCTTTTCAGGGTCAAAATATATTGGCATTCATTAATTATAAACAGCAGGGTATTTTTATTAGTACGTATTAATTAAGTGTACACAAAAAGATCGGTAGGTGTTTTATTCAAATTTGTTTGCTTGCTGAGTACATTAAGAGCAATTAACTCAAGTTATCAATCTGCGGTATTATTTTGAATAGGTTTAGTTCCATAACAGAACTGTAACACTTTCATTAGACGCAGGTATAAAAGGCGATCATTTTCGATCATTCGCCGCACACATTGCTACCTTCAGATTGAAGAATTGTTGTGATACCGTCAAAATGTCTAGAGCAGAACCATCAGAACATACCATTGCTGCTAACCAAGAAGTGGCAAATACCTTGCCCTTTCATAATAAGCAGGATTTCGTTGATGCACTACGTGGAAAGATTAAAGAACTATTTCCACGTAAAGTTTATAAAGATGGTACAGGCGAACTGGTATGGGACTTGACACAGTATGATTTTCAACAGCAACTTGACGATAACACCTTTCCGGCATGTCCAGACTCCTGTAATCCTAGTCTGTGGAGAGTAGCATTACTGAATGCTGTATCGGGAGTATTTGAAGTAGTTCCAGGCAAAGTTTTCCAAGTTCGCTGTTATGACATCGCTAACATGTCTGCAATTAAGAGCGATAACGGCTGGATTATTATCGATCCGATGACTGCAACAGAAACAGCAAGAGAAGCTTTAAAAAATCTCAATGCAGCTTATAAAGAGCGTTATCCAAACGTTACCCAGCAAGAAGGAGATCCACCCATCAGAGCTGTATTTTTTACTCATTCTCATACTGATCATTTTGCTGGAGTTTATGGTCTTGTACCAGATCCTAACGTAGATACTTTACCATTTCCTGTCTACGCTCCACCAGACTTCTTGCATGAAGCAGTTAGTGAAAATGTTGTTGCTGGCACAGCCATGATTCGTCGTGCTTTGATCCAATGTGGTAAGTTATTACCCGTTGGCGAGCGAGATCACGTTGATGTTGGCATCGGTAAGCAAAGTGGTGGTGGTAGCGGCGGTATCTATGCAGCTGAAGAAATCCAATTTGATGGCGATTTAAAAACAATGAACGTTGATGGTGTCGTAGTCGTGCTTTTAAATGCACCAAACACGGAAGCTCCATCAGAAATGATGATCTACTTTCCACAGTGGAGATCCTTTTGCTCAGGTGAAGATATGACGCATACCTTCCATAACCTTTTGACTCCGCGTGGAGCTAAAGTGCGTGATCCATTGACGTGGTCCAAATGTCTGAATAAAGTCCTTCGCTATTTTCCTAACATTGAATCAATGTTTGCATCTCATAACTGGCCAACTTGGATTAATCATTTCGAGAATGGGCCTTTTGAATCTGGTCGTATCACCAGCATGATCAAAAAACAAAGAGATCTTTACAAATATGTCCATGATCAATCTATGCGATTAGCCAATAATGGTTATACTATGCAAGAAATTTCAGAAGCACTTCAATTGCCACCTTCTTTGGCAAATGAATGGTGTAATCGCGGTTTATATGGTACAGTCGTGCACAATTCCAAGGCCGTTTACCAACGCTACATTGGCTGGTTTGATGCTAATCCTGCTTCAATGCATCAACTACCACCTGCTCGAGCTTCAGAAGAATATCTTCGATATATGGGATCACTTGCAAATATTCTGTCGATAGCTACTCAAGATTATAATGACGGCAAATATCGTGCTGTTGCTATGGTATTGAACAACGTTGTTTACGGTACCCATCGCGCTCACGACCAAGGAACACTTTCAGCAGCTGATGAACAGCTTAGGACATCAGCAATCAACTTATTGGCTAATACTTACGATCAGATGGGTTATCAAGCAGAATCGGGCGCTTGGCGAGGTTTCTACTTAACAGGTGCTTCAGAACTTCGCAATGGTGGACCACAGGGCCAAGGAACTTACCCTATATTTAATTTAAGGACTGTCAGAGCCATGAACTTAGAATTGATTTGTGACTATTTATCGGTTTTGTTTAATCCAGAAAATGTCAGTGATGCTCAATATACTTTTAATGTCACCATTACTCCTACCTTTAATCCTAGCGGCAAGGGAAATTCCAACTTTAACATTCCCGGTAGCAGTTACATGAAATGGTATGTGGAAAATTCAGTTTTTAATTCAGATACTGTCCTTTCCCACTCAGGAGCGGATGAGAAAACAGCTGCTATTGTTATGTCTCGCTTTACATTGGATGAGTTGGTTGTAGGTACTCCTGGAAATCAGCTCATTGATGAAGGCAAAATACATATACTGCCGGGTACAGGTGGAGAAGCACAAGTCAGACTTTTCTTTGCAGCATTGCAGTTGCCTACATTTTGGTTTACCACCACTTTCCCCAATTACTTTTAAAATAATGCGTAATGCCATCGGTTTAATGCGTAAAAATAGCTATTGATAACTGCCGATGAAATATCTTTGTTCTAGTTCATTTAATCTCTATATCTTTGTAATTTAGTGCAGTGGCTACAGGAAGCGATCATGCTTGATACTCGGAATTTATCGTTTGACCAGGATTAGTCGCTAACGTATTATCAGTAATAAAAGGATATTATTTCTGACAATTATCACGCGAATTTACGACCATTTATTGGCCTTATTTTACGATCTCTTTCTTAACTATGTTGATCGTTACGACCAATTTTGAATGGGTTAATTCGTATTACATCTTGTGAGATTATTCTAATTGGTCTAGTGTAGCATTTCTGAATTGTTTACTTAACGGTGCTGTGCCTAATAAAAAGTAATTTTAACTTTATAATGGCTTGGAATGTGCTTTAATATATGTATGAAGTAATATGGCGATAGACAACACAGTGATCGACGCCTATATTACATGATATACGCGTCTATATGGATGCATAGAAAGAACAACAATAGATGCATGATGTACTCTTAGAGGGATATTTCGAATCTTTGCTAAGCTACTACATAATAATTGAGCAAAATTATTCGAGTAATAATGTCTCATACCCTGGCAGTAAAAGTTGATAACTTAATGTACAATACGCGATACAGACCTTTCATTGATTTCAATGGAAGCGCCGCTTTAGCTCCTCTGATCTTTCCTTCATCACTATGATAATGAAGTTCTCAAATGGACGTGTAATGTATCATATAGACATCCACATAAAGCCTATTCCCAAAGCGCTATGGGGATAAGAAATAAAGTTATCATTACAATTTGTCGATTCAATTAATTCCGGCTAGATTACACATTCAGTAATAATTCATTGGAAGAATATTAAGTCAAAGTAATGGATGCTGAAGAGATTCCAACACGTACTCGTACACCTAATCCAATGTGCGATTTATGATAATCAAATTGATGAAATGCTACTATCAGCATGAATACGGTAGTAGTCATCCTATCATGTTGGTATGATCAAAAGCTTGATAATGAATAAGAAGAAACACTAGAATGAAACTTTGTCCCCATAATGTAGATTAAATAGGCCGTTAGAGATGGACTAACTGAAGCTAACGATAAAGTTTAACCAACAAAAATGTTATCATGAAGAGGATTTCACAAGTTCAGTTCGAAATTATTTCAAGGCCTGTTTAAATAACCTTACTAGAAATTATAATCAATTCGTTCATTCTACTACTAGCTATCTCTACTACCAATGGCTTTTGTATTATGTATTTATTTTATCTCTCTATTGATGTTAATTCGATCAGAGTTGATTACCTAAATCGTTGATCGAAGCGGTTAATGAGTATTATCAGTTCGCAGTTATTGACCAAGTTATCGGACAAGTCATTAGCTTAAGCTACAGCGACTAGTCAATGCCCGTTATTGCAGTATAATTTTAACTATCCGTATCCGATAATTAGAAGTTCAGTGCCTTTGATGTCCGTAGACTTAGCATCAGCTGACTCTATTTTTTACATCTAAGTGTTATAGACTACGAATTGAGTCCAGTAGTCATGATGGTTGATATGGATAATTTCTAGTACATTATACTGAGTGATTAAAAGGATAATCGAGATTCAGGCTTGAATAGCTGTTACAATTCACGAAGATATTGAAAAATGTATTTTAACTTAGAAAATTTTTTGAAAATGGACTGTACTACTGTATACCGTCAGTCGTACACACTAAACTAGTAGGTCATGGACTACTTCTGTAGATACACCTGAACTAGACCGAAATACCGAAAAATCAGTTGCTCAGCATGAATCTTCAGCGTCTATTTATCTTCAAATCATTTCTACGAATTGAAAATCATCAATGACCTTGTATACCTGCTTTCGAGTAAAAACTTGGTAAAATAGAATAGATTTCAATTCAATGTACGTCATATTACTTCCAGTAATTTCGATCGATAGGAGATGAGGCAGAAATGTCCGACCGTCCGAGTCAAACATCTATCAAACTGTAGAATTTCTGCTTTTACCTCGGTCCAGATGTATCTTGACGTCCATAACCATAGACATATAAAAGTAAAAGATTTTTCTTTATCAGGGCCTACTCCACTAAAAATTCTCCACTCAAAGCCGTAACCTATTTTAACTATAGGGGAAAATTGTTTAGTTGCGGCTTTGAGTGGAGAATTTTTCGTCGAGTAAGTCCCAGTACAGTATGTCGATGTCCATAATTGGGTACAGACGTGCAGTACTGATTTAAATTTCATGTTGAGAATTCGATGGTGAAACGTCTCCAACGATGGTATTGACTCAGGTCGAACTCATCAGTAAAATTACAGCTAGTTATCCAGATTTTTAAAATTAGCTGGCATTTTGGCATATGGAGTTCTATGCAGTAAATACCATCGTTGAAGATGTTTCAGCATCGAATTGTCAACATCAAGTTCAAAATTGGAACGATCTACAGCAGTGTTGGCTGCCAGTACAGTACAGTACTGTACGTCAAATAACAGGGCAGTAGCAACGGATTCTAACCCAAGTCAACAACCAGGAATCACCAATAAGCCGTAACCATCTATCCATCTGTCCATAAAGGTGTTTTTCTCTTTACCACTACAGTACTGTACAGTATGCCTGTGTCCAACAATGGTCGACGCTACAGTGTACAGTATACAGTCCGTAGTAAAAACGTTTTCTTATACTGTACTGTATGGTATGTCCATCTGTCCACAACGGTGATAATAATCCGTGTTCGGCTGTCCATGTGTCCGGTGTTTTCTTCTTTACCACTACAGTAGTGTAGTACAGTATGCCTGTGTCCCCATGGTCGCGCTACAGTGCACAGTGTACTGTATACTGTAGTCCGTAATAAAAACGTTTTCTTCTACAGTACTGTATGGTTCGTCCATCTGTCCATAAAGGTGATAATAATCCGCGTCCGACTGTCCACATGTCCGGTATTTTCTTCTTTACCACTACAGAACTGTACAGTGTACAGTGTACAGTACACTGCACAAAGTGTATGGTACTGTACCGTACTGTATCGCGTAGCGTTCGACGTTGATCACAATTTGTTTAGTCATGGCGGACGGCGGCCAATTCTCTGCTGCTCCTTTTTGGCAAAATGGCCCTTCTCCCGGTCAGTTCTATAACACTCCTGGCACCAATTTAGCTTCAAGCCAATTACCTCGAACATACACTCAGTAAGTATTGCTCAATAATTCGTATTGATCGTCTATCATCGTCGTATTTTCTGACACAAACGCAGGCATCGTTGCTTGCGTGTTGGTTCTTACTTGTCCTCCATTGTAAACTTTCATACCTTTCGACTGTCGTGTATCATACTCTAGTATTGGACAATCATTATGACGTATTCAAAATTCGAGCTGGTTTAAAAATGATCAGCCACTCTCTCCATTCTAAAAGAACTTAAAAGTAAAATGTTTTTATCCATATCTTAGGCAGCCAATCGTTACGGGTACTTCAGTTCTTGGTGTCACTTTTACTGGTGGTGTCGTTATTGCTGCTGATACATTAGGTATTATTCAAACACGAGGATACAGGCGATAGATGAAAGCCTTTCATCCAAACGTAAAATAATTACAATTAGAATTGGAGTCATGATATTGAATCATGTCTTGTCTACAGAGTAATAGCTACAAGATGGGTGAAAATGGCCCATGCTTATTATTTCAATGATTCGCCATGGATAATCATTCATCTCTTATCAGATCATAATCATTTACAATTGATCTTTTAATTTAGGGTCTTATGGATCTTTGGCTCGATTTCGTGATATTAGTCGGTTATTGAAAGTCAATGAAAAAGTTGCTATTGGAGCATCAGGAGATTATGCTGATTTTCAATTTATACGAGACATAATCAATCAAAAAGTGTAAGTCTACTAGTTGTTAAGGCGTTAACGCTGTCATAGCTAAATCTTATTCAAGGTATCAAAGTAGCTTGACTAATACTATCTATGGCTAATAATCCCAACGTCGTTATGTTCATAATTTTACTATTCATCTATAGGCTAGACGGAAAATGTTTAAATGATAATTATTGTTACTCACCAGTAGCCATTCATACTTGGTTAACTCGCATTTTGTATAATAGGTTAGTTGCGATTGGTTCGAATTATTCTTATTGACGTAATTCTCTTACATGGTCATGCATTGGAATGATGCTATTAATCAACATTCATTTTCATAATAAATATTTATGCTGTATTTAGGAGGACTAAAATTAATCCATTATGGAATAACATTATAGTTGGTGGCTATGATGAAAATGAAGGAAGGTATGCTGATGATCGATATCATGAATATGAACATACGTCATCGTGCTATTAAATGTGTATTCTATATTGCGTTATATGTTGTGTAAGGCCTTTGGATAACACTGTATACTATCAGTTACTCTTCTTTACTTAAGCGTATTTTTCCTCCAAATTTCTTACATCTGTTATTTGTAATAAATGTACATAGTTATTTAGGATACGTTGATAAACTAGGTGTTGCTTATCAAGCTCCAACGATTGCCACCGGTTATGGAAGTTATATTGCTCAGGTTAGTTACAGAAAGTACTTGCTTAGCAACTAATTACTTGATACAAATCAAAATATGTCAAATTGATTAAGTTATGTTTTAAACTTGGATTCTGTAGCCATTATTGCGCCAGTCGTATGAATCAAACAATAATAACTTCACTGAAGAACAAGCTTTATCAGCTATTGAAAGATGTATGAGGGTATTGTTGTACCGAGATGGGAGATCTGGGAATCAAGTGAGTGCGGCCTGGAAACATTATGTTGCAACTTATTCTATATGAAGGCATTTTCGAAATCCTACGTCTTAATATCTAAGGATATAATTATAACATTCGACACTTTTCTAAATTTTTAGTACGAAGTAGCAATTATAACGAAGGATGGTTGTCAAGTAACTTCACCTAAACCTATCTCGACCAATTGGGATATTGCCGAATATGTAAAGTATGTATAATAGACGTTCAAGCTACTATTTTTTTTAGTTCATACAGTATGTGCAGATTGTAAACTAATCCAGTGCATCATTATGTTTCTGATAATTTCTTGCAAAATAGGGGATATGCATAAATGATTCCATCCCTTCTGTTGCTAATATGGTACTATCGCTCTTTCCATTAGCATTTTGCCATGAAGTTAATGGTTATTGATTAGTTAATAATTGTATCCTAATAAATACTTCCTTGATAACTGTATCTAGGACACGGTAAAATTCATGTTTATTATTGATGTTTTATATTTAGTAGTTGTTGGATTACTTTCCCTTATTGGTTTTACTCCGTTATTTTAAATATACATTTGTTCCTGTACACAAATTGTTGTAAAATGGCATATACTTGATAACATCCACTTGCTAAATGAATCTGAATAGCAACCAGACAATCATAAAATGCGTAGGATGACTTTATACATGATATTGTGTAATAAATTTGGAAAAACTACCTAATATATTGAAAGGTGTGCTTGGAAATCACTCTTGATTTGCAAAACAAATGACAAAGAAATTCATTATAGTAGAATTACAGGATAAGCTAGAAGTTAATGTTGTAAATACCTTCAAATAGAGCAAGAAAAGCTTCATGCGTTAGAATTGTTTGATCACTAGTTTACTAACTGCTTATATAAATATCGACGCAAAAAATTTCAATCTTGCTAACGGTGAAGTTTGCGTAAAGCTATGTGAAGTTGTCTACAGTATAATCATAACAGCAAACTAGGTAATAGAATGTATTCTAAACATTTTAAACATGCCGGGATTGTCAAAGATACAAGTACAATTAATTAAATTTACAGTACTTGTCACAAAAAAAGAACAATACGGTAGAGGAAATTATAAATTTGCAAGTAAACCAAAATTTCATTTTAAGAATTAATACATAAAATAACTTGTTATTTTATAAGGGCAAATCTGAAGTGTATCGCTTTATATTTTGTTCTTTTGGAGGGTGGGACTGCATTAATATATACGACTAGATCTTGAATTTATTTTCGTTACTCTTATTTGTACATCTCCCGTTAGAGTTGAGAAAGGCAAACATTTTGTAGGATTCTTTCCAAATCAGCAGACATACTCATCTTTTTCAGTGTATTTCTGACTTGGCTCGTAACTTAATATCTATATGGAAATTTGACAGTGTTCAAAATATACGGCATCAGCTAATGACATTAAATACTAAAATTGAAATATTGACAGTTGAGCGAACACTTACCAAATAGATCCATACAAATAACCACAAAGGGAAGATGCAACAAATAAGGAAATGTAAGCAATGATTGACTTTCGCCGAACTAAAATATTTAAAGGAGAGAATTTTTATACATACGTATTTAAGCATATTTATTCAATATGTAGGCGATTATATTTATGAGAGCTACTAGAGCTTGTCATATGAAATATTCCAGCATACTGAATAATTAAAAATATTTACTTATGGCTACTGCAGTCAAAAAATTTGTATAATATCAGAGTTCCAAGTAGATTTTGAAATAGGGTTTAACTACTTAACCCTTATTTCTCTTTTTGTGGGTCAATTTTAGCAATTATATCGTAAGCGAATGCCAATTTGCAAGACAGAATACAGGCAGGTCAGCTAGAAATATTTTAACGTTTTATCGAACGGACTCTAACAATGTGCTAAACACGATATCTTCATATTCATTTGCCATATTGAAATCAACTATGTTATATGATCAGGAAGAATGTAGTTCTAATATTTAGCAGTTAGTTCATAATCTATAGCCTGATCTAGCACTGATTATTAACTTTCTCAGCAGTTACTAGATGATTTCAGATTACGACATGTATATTTATATAGATTAACTGGTAACGCTAAGCCACTAACATTCTGCACATTATTTGTAATTACGATTAATTGTCTGGATAAACTAACCGTTTAGAATTGGTTCTAGTGATCTTCTGTTTGGGTACATACGGTTTAGCCTCAAACATAGCAACTTGATTCGAGCTCATTTTAAGAGAGGGAGACATCAATGGATTAGTAGTTGGGCTACTTGGATGATCACTATCTGCTGCGGTAATCAATGAATCCGTCCGTGAAAAGACTGAGTCAAATTTTAGTTTGTCAACTCGATTAGTATTTCCATTTTTGGTAGTTTCAGAATAAGATGAATTACATTTTGGAGTCGCAGCACTAAATGAATCTTTGCATATATCCTGTTCATTTTGATTTTGTGAATCATGACTTTTTGTATCTTGTAAAATTGGTGATTGTAAGGTATCATTAGGTTCTGTTAACTCTGGACGTTCATCCGGATGATCGAATTGTTCCGATTTTCTTATACGATGGTTACGATTAAACGAAGGTGCTATTGAAATTATTGGACTAGAATTAGGGCTTTGTCCTATTATTGTAGGATTTGAAGATCTTTTGCTATTATCACAGATTTCAGTTCTATAACGATCAGGTGAATCAAGTACTTCTGGATATTCTACACTACCGGGGAAAGAGAGTGGGCTATCAATCGATCGTTGATAGTGGGCTACAGTTTCTTCGCTATTTTGATTCATATCGCGCTGTAAGACATCTGCAGGTAAAGAGCTTGCATTTCATTTATCGCTGATTGTGACAATTGCGCTAAATCATTTAATAAGATGACATGGAAAAATTAGTTAAGTTAAATAAGATGCAATCACGAAAGCGTTCTAATTATTTCGGCATTATAGAATAGAAATTCATATACTAGAGTCAGTTATAATACGAATAGCGTTAAAATTTATATTCAGATTATTGTCAAGTCAAAGCAAAAGGCTAGACTGACAATATTTATTTTTCACAATATGGAAAGTAGGTATTGCAACTAAGAACAAATTTATTGAATGTACGGATTTAGCTGTGTAAAATTCTGGATGTGTTAAATGTCTGTTATGCTTCAATATTCTTCTACTAGCACTTAATTTACCATCTTTTAACTTGATATCATGAGTTTGATCTATTTTATGAAGTCCACAATTTTATGGTCTTTACTTAAATGTATTCTATTGTACTACTACTGTAGCAGACTAATACTTGCTATATATGACATCGAAATACTAGCTGAACGAGAGGTTTAAATTTATGTGAGGGAAGCTGATCTAAATAAGAGATTGTGAGGTATAAAACTTAGGGGTGATTATGGCTTCCAGCAATATTCAACATATATGTATAGCTGCTTACTATATTATTGCAACACTTTTAAAATTTAATTGCAGATCGTATTTTTAGGTAGCTTTCACATCAGTTACCTACAAAATGCTAAGAGTCAGAAAATAATTTATACCAACAAATTAAAAGGTTTATGTTCGTTATTAAGTCAGTTACGACCAGAAACATATTGTATCTCTTATCCTAAATTATCAAGACGATCAATCCTATGAAGCAATAGAGAACGAAATACAGTACGGAGCATTTAAAATTACAGAATAAATTATTCTAGGTAGATAATATGGTATAGCCGAAAAAATTGAAACTAAGATTAATATTGTTTACGTAGATAAAGCGAAACTAATTAATTTATTATCGCTTAATATGCTTCACTAGTATAACCAAAGCCTTCCCGCGATGAGCATCCTGGTAAACTGATTACTCTTACAAACAAGTCTTGCAATATTTGCCCTCATTATTGTACTAATGCAGATATTATTCGTATTCTTTGCCATTAAGTCGCTATCAATATCTAAATCTGGTAGCTACAATGAATATACGAGCGAATAAACGCGTTAACAGTGAGTGTTAAATTGCTGTATTGATATCGGCATCATTTTAATATAGAGAATTGTGTTGCTATTTACTCTAGATTACAGTTATCACTGGAATCGATCAAGTATACCTATTGAAATGGATATGTAGCGAAGAAATTTACATATGTAAACGTAGGTTGAAAATTTGCTGAAACATATTCAACATTGATGTTTAAGGCTGCAGCAAAAATATAGAAAGATTTAGTATTAAGTTATGTTCTCTCATGATCATACATTGATGTAACTAATACTATTAGAATAGTAATGCTAAACTAAAAATTACGTCTCTTATTTGGGATGCAGTAATTGTCTAGTAGTACTGATATGTGCGCACAGTCTCTAGAAATTTTAAAAATGGTTAAATTTTATTTTTATTATCGATTTGAATTGACGTTAAATAATAATTTTTATTCTTTATTCTATTTTTTGATCGCGACTTATCGTGCTTTATATGATTTTTGCCCTTTACATTGGGAAATTAAAATCAGATCAACTTGAGAAACCATCAACTGCTTACGGTTAACCAGTGATTTTTTTTCGAGATATATACGAAGAATTTATGAAATAGATTTCATAACAAGTCAACATTTCAAAATTAATTTTAAGCTTGTTGTGCATGAAATGTTCGTATTCCCTGTTTTGCAACATCAAGGATGATAAAACTACAGCATAATGATATCGTTATATTTTTTTAGGCGTGGAAAGTTCATGAATATTTAAAAGTATAAAAACATCTTAAATTTATGCTTAATATAAAGTTATTACAGAATATTGTAGCAGGACCTCTAAAATGATTAGTCTAATTACCTAAACTCTCGGTTAATTTATCAATCACTACTCTTATATGAAATAATAAAGAAATTTAATTCTCTTTCGGTCTTTTGATCGATAAACTATTTTCAAGATTTTTAGATTTGGCGATATCAGTATGTAGTAGCACGCATGACTTCGGCACATGATACTTTGAGATTACACTATTTTGTTTTAATCAATTACTAACAAAGGTACAACATAGGTAAAGGATAATTAATTAAGAACAATGATTAACTTAAACCCTTTTAAATTTACCAATAGCCGATATCGATTCACTACATTTACAAAGTGAATCCTAGTACAATTTCGAACTGCAACGATGGTAAAATCTTAGTCTAATCTCGATATTACTCCAAAAAATATTAATTAGAGGCATCTTATATACATACACATGTAGGCTACGATATAGTTTCCAAAAGCCTCATTTAAAATTAGTCCTAACAGGGAATAATATACTACTTCCGACATGACTTGCGTTTTGAGTGCAATTCCCTAAATATGATTACATTTCAAGTAGTTATAAACTTCCGACGTTTTGCTCCGACAATACCAAAGAATTTTATTGATAATGATAAAAGTATTTATATTACTAATGTATAATAATAGTGCTTTGTTGATCTATTCGTTTTGGTATAAATTGGATGATTTTCTTTTTATGAAACGTATTCAATTTAGAATTTCTAGTTTTTGGTGGTTAATTAATATCGGCTTTGAATGATTTGCTAGTCTTAACAAAGAAAAATTGTAGAGAATATTCACAGATTTCGATGGCATAATTGGAACAGATAAATAACCGGAAAATATTGGTAAACTTACAATAAATTAAAACCGATTGGGTTCTACAGATTACACTGGTAGCAACAATTTTGCATGAACGAATTACTAGTTTAATAAGAAAGTACCGGTACACAAAGGAAATTATATCATCAACTTTCTACTGTGTTATAGAAACCATTTTGTAGGTTATTCTGTTTATTAAATTTGATATTTATATAAGAAGACTTCATGCTCTTGAAAAGTGATCAAGATACCTATTAAAATTCATCGATGGAAAAGAAATGATAGGAATTAATATCGTTCATTAATCGATTTCATCTTGCTGCGCACTCTCGATATTCAGTCTTGACAAATTTATGGACTTTATTATTGTCACAATAATGTCTATTAATTGATTGCCAACTAAAATTTGATCAAATAGATTGAATGCATCGTGGCAAATCATAAGATACCAGACATACATGAAAAAAAAGAAAAATAAGAAAAAATTGCTTACTGCCGTTTTTAAATTAACTAGACTGAATAGGAAGCGTTATAGTAATGATATCTATGGTAGCTTGACTAATTCACCAAAATGGCATTATATGTGATACATCATTCTTTATGTAAAATTAGTTTAATGTTGATTAACTGAGAAAAAAATGTGAAGAAAAAATGTTTGTACGGCTGCTAGTGGGGTCTAATCGTCAATTTAATTACTCTTGATATTGATGTCCCTAGTATTAAATTGAAATTTGTGCTGAACTTATACTGCAGTGCCATGTTTCCATTTAATCATTTTTTTAATCATTTTTTACACTTTGTTAAGTAATATGAAGCTGTCTTATTCAACTGAAATATTATTCTCCCTATTTTATGAGTAATTATCAGTTACTTTAGCCAGCAAAGACTATAACAACATTAGATTAGGTGATTTGCTATTCTATTCAATTTACAAGTAAACATGGAACGTCTTGTTAAAATTATTTAGTAGAATAAATAAAGTCACAAAATGCGCCTAGAATTCACTATCGGGACGGTAAGGATCGAGAATAATTGGTTGTTCATTGATTGATCAATGAATCATATCATATTTTAGCTACATTCATTAATCGTTTAAACGTTAAATCGTTGAATCAGCATTATCAACATCTACCCAAAGCTTAGAATGCATCGAGCGATTTAGAGAAGGAATAAGTAGTGGGGTAAAAAGATAACATTTGCAGACATTAATAATAACTATAAATATGAATTACGGAATAGAAAAGAGTTAAACATTATTTAGGACGCGCATTTTATGTCAAGGTGAAATTACAAATGATCTATTGACATGATTGGTAGGATATTGGTTGATAGTAAAACATGGTAGCATCAGTTAGCAATAAAATGAAATTGAGTCAAGATTGATTAGCTCTTTAAATTCTAAGTAACAAAATAACTAGAGTAATTTATCGGTCAGGAAAGTGAAAACTCTTTCTAGTAAGTAATATTTAATCTTACCAACGTACAAATGACGATAAAATGTGTTGCATTATAAAAACTCTCTTTAAACTATAAATGGCAAAAATAATTAGAGCAATTTATCTATGAGGGGGTGAAAGCTCTTTTTGGTAAGTTACAGTTAATCTTATCAACACATAAATGACGATAAAATGTGGTATAATATAAAAACTCTTAGGCAATCCTGGCTTATAAAGAACGATCGAATAATGCAACGAAAAAGATAAACGCTGATTTTAATTTGATGCTAATTTATACCGGTATTAAATAGAATAAATCCAGAATACATCGTAGCCATAACGTGAATGTAGTAGAGAACTGTTAGCATATTCTTATGATCACTGACAATTTGTGTTATTTGTAATCACCTATAACTAGATATTTAATGAAAATCGTCAGAATAATTCTTAAATCATTGTCATATTATGTCTGGAGTTAAACCCTGTGGAAAATACCCTAAAATAATTTTAAAGTGATTAAATAGGCTCAGCAATCCTCTAATTCCCGTTATATAATAGAGGATAATTACAGTAAAACAGAGTTTAAGTATTAACCTTCACTAAGTATATTATTACGGGCCGTAGCTTTCTTAATAACTTTTAAAAACTTCATATAGTCACCAATATTTTACTTCAAAACTCTTAAAGCATCAAAGTAATTCAGTAATAAGTTAGAAAATTATAGTTATTATGATGCTTAGATGGGGAACAAAATAAATAAAATTGAAGCAATAGAAGGAACATAAAAGTTATTGAAATTAAAAAAAGTCATCAAATCCGCTGTATTACTTTAATCAATCAATTAATTATTGCTAACGATCATCGAATCGGGCTTTGATGATTGACTAAATCAGACATAAGCCTCTTTAATATTGAGATTATTAAGCTACTTAAATACCATTTTCTAGAGAGTAAAAATAATTATTGATGTCCAAGTAAATCATATAGTAGCACGATCATATTTGCTGTTAGAGCAGCTTATGCTGGACAATAATTAAAATCATCTAACTTATATTCTTTAAGGTATGGACTGTGCTTAACATTTTACTGACTCTTAGAAGTTGATCTAAATTATCTTAGTCATGTAGTTAATTATTCTACTGTTTTATTAAGATATTAGAAAGTCATAAGTTTCAAATTAAGACTATATATTATTCTATTACAACATTTCATAAATTACGAAATAAGACTTACTATTATCTATTTTACCTTTAGTTGTAAGTTTGAGCAAAAGTGAGTTCGATAGAATATGGCTGCTTGATTTATTCAATTTGTAATTTTTTAATGTTTTTGGCGATGGATGACAAACTTGTTTTTATAACATCAGTTAACGTCTAGACGAAGGATTAAACATCTAGATAATAAAAGAATCTTTAAGGTATTAAAATATTTTATATTCTTGCAAGGATGGAACAGTCTTGATTGACTATTATACCACGAACGTAGGTTGTCTTCAGGTATAGCATGATATCTTGATAAAAATCATGATCAATATGAATGATATATTTTCTTGATTTCAGATTACCAGAGGGAGAAAAAAATAGCCAACAGTAAATCACTTTTTTAAGGTACGTATTTCTCTTTCTATTCAATATAACGTTGATTATGATATCATTGGCTTAAAAAAAATAATGATCATCATTCTTTATAGAATGAACATAATGGACAATGAATCCATGGATATTGTATACTGATATTGACAGAGTCGGTAGTTCTAAATTGGAGCCTTTCTACTCTATACTTTCATCTGTTATTCATTGTTCTTGATTTGTTCCAGGCTATCCAATCAATATGATATTATCCATAGTCAATAATTTTTTTATATCTATTGAATGAAAATGTATTTTAGATAGAGCATATGTACTAGTATGCTGACACAATACTTGGAATTGGTAGGATTTGAAAATATAGTTGTCATAGTTGGGCTGGTTTGAACAGGTGCACTTGGTTACTATAGTAACGCTGTATCGCAGTATGAACGATGATCTAAGAATTATTAATTTTTGACAGTAAAAGAATACGCCTTGGTCTGGATCAATTGGATCATGAGAGAAAAGATACCGTTAATGTAGAACTTCGAAACTATGCTCAGGTTTTGCAATTGGGAAAAACACATTAAAAGTCTATTTTAAAACCTAGCGACCATTCATTGGCCGCATATACGATAGCAGCTTAGATTTGAAGAATCGTGCAAGCTCGTTATGGTATTGCTAATATGTAATCATTATATGGAATATAAAACGATTTAGTTATGAACTTCTCCTAATCGATTAGCTTCTTATTATATAAATGTAATAAGCAATTCTCATCTAAAATAGTTGATAAGATCGGAAACAAATAACGATGGTGATCGTCTATTACATAATATAATGGAGTTATATAACTGTCAATACTGCAACGGATCGCGATCTAATCTTTCTAGATAGAAATATAAATTGTTGATGTATTTCATGGACAACATAATAATCATCACGGAAACAACTAAGAGCATACAATCTAAACACATGTAATCCTGTAGTGCCTATAGAAGTAAATTGAGATTATATAACTTTCTTACACCTTTATAACCACTAGCAGATCACTAAATCTGGATATTGGTATTCTATAAGTACGTCGTCTATCATTCAATGCTGATTCATTGTCTTAAGGCACGTTGTTTTATCTAATTAAAAGTTCCATTTTTATATTCTCTGATAATAATACTCCTCTTATTAAGTAAATGATCGTACGATGACTATGTTACACATTTTAGTGTTAATATCATACCTTTGGGTAGTTTGAGTTGAAACTATTCCATTTTTCTTAAGTTAAATTATAACAGTCGACGAATTTATAAATAAATTATGTAATCATACCGTAGACTTGAATGAGCTCACTAATTTTTGCCCATGATAAATGTGCATAAGATGCTATAACATTTATTTTCCTGATCAGTTAAATTTTAGTATTTTGCATGTTTGCTAACAGTAAATTTGATTATTTGATTAAGTAATCAATGTACCATAGGTATCGCAATATTAGTATTAATATTGTTGCTGTGTAAGGCATTGTAATCTTGCTCATAAAGGATAACTCATTAAGAGAAATAATAATTCCAGATCTACAGTATGTAGACTATCGATTTATTAATTGTCTTTCAGAGAAACTTTAAAGATAATAATGAAATAGCAAGATCTTAAATGCGCATCTTATAATATTTATTTAAGAATATTTTGATTCAGTACGGTACCAGTAGCCGCATCTTATTGAATTGAAAGATATAACGTTCATGTTTGGAGTGCTATCAGAGCTTCCTTATCGAGCTATACAAATTAGGCATTAAGTTACGGGCTACAATTGTAAAACGCAATAAGTTCCCGTGGGCTGCAATTAGCGCCTTCTCACTATAAAGGCCCTTTTGCTTCTTATAGCATAAGATACGATGCACCTACTAAGCCATTGCTCTTCCCACAGCTTTGCATCTTGAAATAATGTTCTCTCCCAGATGTTATTGCAAAAGATAATTTTGTTGGTGATAAATGCATCCATTCTTTCGAAAAAATAATTTTGTAGGACAATTCCTAACGATTTAGGTAGTCGACAATCATCGTCTACGCGTAAATTATTTTTATTTTAATATAGATGATCCAATATATCTATTCCAGTTATAGGAATGGAATGTACAACGAGCTGACGGCAGGAGAAAATAATAACAAATAATAATTTAATTTTGGAGGATACTCGTAATAGCCAATCCAGTATATTGAGGCGCAAAAACGTGTTGCAACAAAGAATCGGATTACGAGTAGTGTAAATAGATCAATTGAATTATGGGATTAATCTCTTGAACCATCTCTTGAACAACCCCAATAAATTTTTCCCACTTTACAATTCTATCCTGGATAAGGTTCTATATCATGGCTTCATGATTTCGATATTCATATAATTAAATTTGTTTATGAGCAATATGAAATCGATAGAATTGTTTTAATGAGGCAATTTTTCATTGTATGGTAGTATTTGGCTTAAAACATTTTAAGTATAATTAAAACAAATATTGTAAAATGCTACTATTTTATACAGTTATTTCTTCATCCCACATCGATGGAGCAAATATCAAATACCGGTAACAGCAAACACGCAATCTATTTATGAAGCTTTCTATCTCATTTATTATGCATAATCCAATAAATTACAGATCAAAGCTATCTCTTTATATCAAACAATTACATTTTGGATATAGTACATTCTGAAATTCGCTTAGCATCATCTGTCGCAAAGTATTTCTAAAAAGTATTAATCATTAACCAAAAATGTTTTATTGTTTTATCATCTATAGTAATCGAAGCTAATGAGATACACATTAGGCACTCATTCACAAGTTTACAGGTCAATATATCGTTCGCGTTCGATTACAATGTACATCGCATCAACTAATTATTCAAGCGTTTGACTTTGGTTATCAACGTTGCATTGTACAATTATGATTCTTCGATTGTAACTATATTAATAACTACTTTACCAATACAGTCAACAAACTTTCAAACATACATGTAGGAAAAATGAATCAACTTTTCGCAATCTATTACCAAAGCAGTGATTGATTGAAAAATAAAAGATTCCTTAGTTTAAGCTACGTACTCTTTGTGTTGTAACTGACTTGGTAATGTAAGTATAGCATATAACTGTACATTACGTATATTACAATAACTTAAGTATCATCAATACAATATAGAACCTAGTTGAATTGAGATTTCGATATTTTCATAGTTCACAACGTAAGCGAACAGCAGTGCCACTTCCTCGTTGATAATTAACGATTCAAGCCAATGACTATTATTTCTACTATGGTTGTTGACAAGAGTAATAATATGGCATCAATAAAGCTATGATATCTTGTATAACGGAAAGGAGAAAGTGTTTCTAATTCAATTCTGGGCAACAAAGTTGCTATTGTGCGCCAGTATGTAAGCTAGCAATTACAGGTTGTATCTCTTTCGTTTCCTCCTTGATAGTATTAGCACATGATTGAGCCGCTTCACGGATAATTTTGAAAGCATCCAATGTAGCATAGGGTATTAAGGTTGCAGGGTCGATATAACGAGCAGGTAGGTTCGTTACTGGGCATATAGGTGGTTTTGCTTCGGTCGATAACGTAGCAACGGGGAAATAAGTTGAAGGATATTTGCTGGTATCGGTAAATGTGATAAAATTACGAGAGTACTTTTTGGTTGTTACAGGAATAACGTATTCCTCTTTCTTGATTGATTTCTTGTTGTAATTATGATCATGACTATCTGCAGTAACTTCTACATGATTTTTAGATGACTCATTCAATGACTGGTCAGACTGTAGTGTGTTATTATTGTCATTCTGATCACCATTCGGTTGGAGATCCACATCTGGCATAGTGATGGACTGATACCGAACGAAGGGATAAAGTAGTTTCCTTCGAATAACTTTGGTAGCCCTTTTTTCTTTCTCAGATTCTTGATATTCACGTAAAGACGCAAGATTAGCTTTTTCTGTTTCTTTAGCTTCTTCCAGTAATTCCTTCTGAGTTAAAGGTCGTGAATCTTGTGATTTCTTAATAGATTGTTTGACTTCTTTGCCATCACGATCTTTCATGCGTTTTAGAAATTCTTGGCTTTGCACCATGGTTGCTGAACGCTTTGACTTTCGTACAGATCGACTGGTACCTTCGTCAGTATCTACCGTACTAGTTGATGCGATGACTTTGCGTTCACGTTTCTGGCCGACCTTGGTTGTGTTGTTTTTATCACGCGCAACAGCAGCAATGACAATCTACATTTTATTGGAAGTATTTGGAGATCGATAAATTATAATGGTGATGACACACAGTACCAATTGAATATGATTGATAGATAAAATTGTATCATTATTTTACCATCATTCCATGGATAACGATCATCATGAATTGTACATGCATTACCGTTAGTAATATTATCTCCTTGGCGTCAAGATAGACGCATACAGGAAATGATTACAGATGCTATAAGGTTTTTTTTACCTTTTTGCGTTTTTTTCGTGGTTGGGAATCGTCACTACTAGCATCTTCTTGTTCTGAGTGTTCACTAGCATCAATGTCGGAATCGGCAACATCTTCCTCTGATTCCTCAGTATCATACTTTTCATCATCAGATTCTTCTTGGAATCCACCGAAAGCAGTTTCATAAAATTCGTCCTCTTCTGCTTCTTCATCGATTAACCTTGACATTCGGTTACCAGCATTGCTGCGTTGGCTACGGTTAGATGCCATCACGACAACTGTCTATTAAGTGAATACATATAGAGTATATGGTATCATTACTTCTCGCCTAGCAATGACGACAAAGCGTTGTTCACCGCCTAGCTGATATCATTGGTCTACCCAAGAAGTAAGCAAGTAGAATCGGCAAGAGTCAAGTATATTGATAGCTGAGAGGTGAAATAGTGACATCGATCACAACGATTGACAATAATAACACTACCTACTCGACTATTCTACTTATCATGCTATCACGATCTAAACTATTGACACGTTACTAGAATTGTCTACTCTATCATGTCCTACCATTGGAATGGCAATGGATGTTGTATCATGACTCCAGTCATCGTTAGCAAGTGATGGTGAAATAGTGGCATCGACTACGATTGACAATAATAACACTACCTACTCGACTATTGTACTTATGATGCTATTACGATTTAAACTATTGACACGTTACTAGCTAGAATCGTCTACTCTATCATGATCTACCATGGGAATGGCAATGGATGTTGTATCATGACTGGCGTGGTAGTTCGCAAGTGATGAGAAAATGTTACGAGCCACTTGGATGATTGTGATTGATGAATGAATTAATGATTAGTTTACGATAGACAATGGAAGCACTAACGTTATGTCAGAGTCAAGCTAATGAATAGCTGAATGCTGCAATAGTCCACTACAACATGACAATAGAAGACATTATTGCGTCGTCAACTATTGCCACTGTTGGTTTGATGCCATTGGAATGGCCACGAAGGATAAGATTGCAAAATAACCATTTTATCTCGGTCATGGTCAAGTGGTGCACTCTCCAACACGATTACGAGTACTGTACTTAACACTGCATGGGGATAGAGTGTACAGTGTACACTCCTTGTATCTCGCTGTCCAATTGAGTTATGGTTGATGTTTTAGAGATGATTTAGTGGAAAACACCAACTCATCTCCTTGTCCAAAGTGTTGCAGTACCGTAGTAATCATGATGAAGTGAATGATAATCATCCTCATAACATGATGATCGTCAGTCATTGTTGATCAACTGAGGTGAAAGTCAAAAGTGCAAGGTCAAGTCAGTGAGCAAGGAGTCTGGTATCATTTGCAAATGCAACCAACTTGCTATCGTAGGCTGATGACCGTCCTTGCAATCTGCTCCATCGGGTCTTCAAAACAACATTTACTCTCTATCCTACTTACTTCCCCAAACGGAAAGGCGCTCAGTCCACTGCAGGTAATGGCCAACTCTCCTTCTCCAGGTATTGCGGAAATTGAATGCAACGCTTGCCGGGCCCTAGTGATGTTTTTATACTTTTTTCCTTTAGGCCCGTTACGGTACGGTCCGTTACGGTACAGTACGTTACGGTACAGTACGTTACGGTAAAGTACAGTACGGTACGCTTTCTTTTACTTTCCTTCATGACTGTATTGTACGGTCTGTACGGCGACGTGAGACGGACAGCCTGGAGTCTAGGGGGGGGGGTTGCAAGTGGTTCTGCACATGAAAACCGTCATGTAGACTATAGTAAGTTATGTTGGCGTGGAGACAAGAATGAGACCAGGGTTAGCGCGCCAGGCGGTTGTGATTTGACCGTCAAGAACGGTATTGTACCCAGGCATGTCGTCTGCCATTGGTATTGTACCAATGGTAATCAGGCGTACCGTACTGTGGTGTCATGGCGTTTGTGACGTCAGCATGTACTGTACCAATGATGGGAATCTACTGGATGTCATTTCCAAGTCGGCGACGGTCCATTGGATTCGTACTGTACGCCAGTGCCATTCGCTCGTCAAATTGATGTCACTATCAGCGGCCTTGGAATGCAATGGCTACACTGGCAAAGAGAAGACAGATCAGTGACTTTACTTTTTCCAACACGCAGTGTGCGGTACTGCAAATTCTCTTTCATTCCCAACATGTTGCCCACCGGTGCCTCCTTTACGCTACAATACTCACTACAATACGGTACTGTACTACGCGTATAGTTGCAAGATATAGCGTGTACTATACGGTACAGTACTCGACTTCTATGGTAGTGTCCAAAATGGATCACCCCCCCCCCCCATTCTCTTTTCCTTCCTCTCCCTGCAAAACAACTTACTTATGCCGGTGACCAAAAGAGTTTCTCTTAACCTGTTCGATTGGGCTTGTATCCTTGTGTGTCCCTTCAATACCCAATTCTGATTCGGGAAACCCGCAGACATCCCAGCCTAAAAACCCTACCACGGCACCGTACTGTCCATGGGTGTACTATACTAGACGGTGTACAATACTTTCCACTTGCTTTGTTGCTAACTAAGGAAAAGAGTTTCTCTTTATTTGCCTGTTCGATTGGCGTTTTACCTGTGTGCCACTATTCGAAACTTCTGAATAGGGAAACCCGCAGACATTTCTGCTTACAGTACAGTCCAAACTGTACTACGGTACAGTACGGTAAACTGTAGTACTGTACACTGTACACTATGGTACAGTACTGTACAGTGTAGAATTGTTCCCACCAACGAGCTAGTCGTACTGTACACTGTACAGTACCACGAGTAAGCGTACGGATCGACGCCAAGACGACTGTCACTTCTCAATAGGATACTACAGACGATTGAAGACAACATGGAAAACCAAACAAAATGGACGATCTGTCTGAGTGGACAAGAAGAAGAAGAGTTTGCATCGATCTCACACAAACACCTTACAGCATCCAATGATGATTGAGTTCATATTGAAGTGTTGAAAACTGTGCAAACGATTTTCTACATCAGTGGATAGAAAGCAACTATTGCATGCTCCTATTTTGGCTGAAACCGGCCTGAAGGAAAATCAATCAATAATACCGAACATGTTCCATGCTTGTTGTACTGTCTACTGTAGAATATGGCACGGTCCATGAACGGAATCGGCCATTCCCAAGACTGATTTTGTCCTTCAAAGATTGGTCACGGCCAAGGCGAAGACTGCAATCATCAATCTGAAGGACAAAATCAGCCTAAGGAATGGCCGCAACATAGACACACTATGAAGAATGTCGACCATATCCGATTGCTTGACAGCCTATTGCAATTTGAAGGATATCGGCCAAGCGTATAGCAAACGCTAGCCAACCTTGAAATTGTTCTATCAACTACCATTTTAAAAATGGGTATATCAAGACCAAGAGTCTATTTACTGTATGCACAGTATACTCTATATTCTACTGATTCACAAATTGAAATTGATCAAGTCTATCTTACTTCTCTATGCAATAAGAATTGACTAAAATCCATTTGTCTATTTACTGTACTGTATGCACAGTACACTCTATATTGTACTGATTCTCAAATTGAAATTGATCAAGTCTATCTTGCTTCTCTATGCAATAAGGATTGACTAAAATCCATTCGTCTATTTACTGTATGTACAGTATACTCTATATTCTACTGATTCACAAATTGAAATTGATCAAGTCTATCTTGCTTCTCTATGCAATAATAATTGACTAAAATCCATTCATTGATGGCATACTCGGATTGCGTTCAATACGAGATAAGTGATCCATTGCATTCCCTATTCTAGATAGTTTATTCGTCAGAGGTGATTACAGAGATCATTTCTTGTATATATAATTATGATTAGCAATCTGGCTTGACATAGAGGATGCTGCTAACGTTATGGATAGAAATTTTCTTGACTAAACGGCCACATAAAATAGTGGAAGATTTTTTCAACAACCAATAGCAAACAACAAACAATGATACCACTGTCAAATCGTCCACAAACTGTAATTATCTGGCATCCTGCATACCTTCAGCTTCCCCCCCCCCCCACCGAATCTCCTAGCTGGTTGTTACGATTGTACTCTCTATTTTAAAGGCTCAGCTAATATCGAAGAAAGTGGTCCATCAATAGGATTCACGTAATCGATGCAAATTACAGGATTTTTTTATCATCCTACTCCTTCACAGAATATTGTGATGCATGAATTCTAATCCGACGTGAAAATAGGATCGTTCACAATTGCTCTTGCTGATAACGGATTCTTTGTGGCCTGACAAAAACAGACTATTCTACCAAACTGATACTATTTATTTAAAGTAAAGTCCTTCCAAAGCTTTATTCGATAATTACTTGTTAAGAGTCACTTTCAACATTGGTTATGCAGTTAATAAGATGACTTCAAAGTCGGGTCATGTTCTGTTCATTGCCAGTGTAATAACCACTAGCGTAATTGAGTTATTTCGGGGCCACATCTACCACCAGGCGCGAGTTAAATAATCATTGCAGACATTGACAAAGTTATGAAGTTCATTGATAGATTGCAAAACTACCGAAATGGACTGTATTGCAGTTCTAGGTTTACAATGAATGAACCATTGGATGATCTAAGGTTGAATTTGATCTACATTATAATCTTCTAGCGTACACAGTTTTATGACGTCGATTTTGTACGATATGATCGAGATCTTTCAACTACAACAGATGGATTACATACGAATACATGGAATACATTTATGATCTACGTTTCGTTCTAATTCGATCAATAGATCAATCGTACTTTTTAAACCGATTTAAGCATCCCTTGATTTGGGCTAAAATGATCAGCTCCTGATGAAGCCTATTGATTATTTTAATGCATATCATCTCACTCAAAGGTGTAATAACGCAATATTAGTCTAGCTTCAGCACGGTGATCATGCTGACCTTTGCTATATCAAAAATAAATCAAATATCGCGCCTTCAGTTAGATAGACCGCTACAGCTGCTGTGAAAATTCTCGTATTTCTTATTTCTTAACTAGACCAGTAGAATAGATAGAGCTTCAACAATGCTCAACGATCGATATGGCTTAATTCATTCTTCACTCTATAGCATCTTATAAATATTTAATTTCCGTGAGGTGATATGATTTTCATAATTGTTACTTAATTGTTGTATCGACATTTTGTTTAAAAATAGCGAGATTTGATACTGCAATCATGATTCCTCCGGTGTCGCTCATTCAATCGCTATCTTTTTACTCGAAGGCGATATCAGGCAGCGTAGTTTCAAAGCCAATAGCCCGGCAATAAGGGGCTAATTCAATGAATTTAATCATCAAAAATTCTTTGTACTTAAAATTGAGGTTATAGCTACTTTTAGCAGTCAATTGGTTATTACTCGTATTACTTACATTCATTATAGTCTAAGAAGCCTAACTATAAAAAAGTGACGCAATATCTGCTGATTTACAGTATAGCTTTATAGTCTAATTTCACCTTGACCTTTCTTACTTTAATTGTGATACTTCGAATAAAAACTATCGACGTAATTGCAAAACCATATTTGAAAATAATAAAGTAGGACTTTAAATTAAAAATTTTAAGACACATCATTCGACTTGTATTTACAGATAGGTATAAAAATAGAATACAATATTGAAACTTAAAGTTTTCCCACTTTAATCAATGAAATATTATATAAATAAAGTTTTGAGACTATAGAAGCTAGGAGTTCATTATCAACATGCATTTTATCTTGCAAATAAAAACGAAGAAATAGTAATAAAGGTAAGAATTCTAACCGCAATAATGTGTACAAAGCGTGGGCATGTGATACTCTGTTATGTCCGTGTACAGGTAAGTAAATTATATTAAAAAAATATATTTTCTTAAAGATGCTGAATAGACAATATACGTACAGTACAAATTAAGTTTACGGGTTATCTTTGGCCCACATTGACTAGCTCAAAAAAGTTACTTTTATTAATCAGGTTGGAGTAAGAAAAGTATCTTCAGAATGACCTGGATCTTGTCAATAATACGATAATAATTATGTGTTGTGGCAAATCAAGAACTTAATATATTACGCCTTTGATAGCAAAGATACATCCAGTGTTGATCACAATAGCCTAATTTAAATTATCCATGGTAACAAATTACCAGCAGTAAATATTTTAGGCATAAATGTAAAGCCATGTTGATTATTACGATATTAAAACCAAGCATTCTACTAGTTGAATACTAAGATTCAATAAAAATATCCCTTTTTATCTGCAGTGCTATGCTTTAAAATGTATACATGTACTGCTTTATGACTCAAAGTTTATGCTTTAGGCCATTGTGAACAAATAACTTATTTTCTGTACCTTAAATAAGTTATTGGGTGCTAATATTAATAGCGATTACGTCTATAGAATTGTGACTGAGGTCGGTTATTTGATATATTATATTAGATAAACTAAAATATCATTCTGTAATACGAATACATAACGGAAGTTGTTTGTTCGATACATACAGGCACATAAACTAAAATATTATTCAGTAAACTAGATTATACCACTGATTACGATTGATTCAATACCAAGCAACATCATTTAAATAACATTAGGATTGATACAAAGTCATGTATGAAAGATAAGAAACGGAAGTAATTATACGTTATTCAAGGCTTTTATTTTAGCCTAAGAGACGGTTTATTTTAGTTTTAATACTTTTTCTCATGAAATTGTTTGATTGAAAATATTCAGTATAACAATATTATGCATATACTAGTTAGTAATACGACGTTGAATTAACGAGAAATGACAACATAGCTGTTTATTGCGGGTAAGAAATGAATGACTTTTGGCATTTCTTGTTCTTCCATCGGAAACATTACTAAATACTTAGCAGGGCTTTTCTCTACGTAAAAGTAACAGGGTATTCATATCACTCAAGAAAATTGGTCTGCTAGTGGCTACGAAACGGTAAGGCTGCTTTACGTTGTATAGCGGTTAAAAGTACTAAGTCTATAGAAAAGTTACCATGTTGAAATTATTAAGCAATCTCCGCCACGTTTGAAATCGCAATCTGTAAAAAACATCAGAGCGCAAACTTGCATAAACACTAGTGGAGAATTTGATTGCATTTTGTTTGATCAACGTTATAACCTAAAAACATTTACGGAATTTTTTCATAACAAAAATTTAGTGGTTATTTAACTTTATATCTAGCTAGTTTACTTTAGTTTAATGATCCCAAAGATGATACTATTTTGAATTTGATAATTCAATAAATTTTTAATTTGAGAACACTCCATATTGAAATTTGCAAATTGATGTACATAAGTTGGAAAGAGAATTAAGAATAAAATACACTCTGAATCTTCGTCACATATGAAATTATTATCCTGGCTACATATGAAACAAATTTATTATAATGCACTTAGCAGTGTTTCGTATCGACATAGCCTATACGCTGGACTATTATTATTCTACCTTTAAACTGTATTTAAATCGACTTTGCTGTATAATAATCTCGAGATTGCTGGCTTGCTACTACGATGATTATATTCTTATGACACATTGAAAAGACAAATTTTCAACGGGGACAGTTCAAGATTAGAGCAGAAACGGTTAATGGGAAAGAACCATACAGAAAGCGTTAATTGTTGAAACAATATTTTGGGACTGCTTAACTACATGACTTTGCAGAAATTTTCAATAAATTTTTGGATGAGACATCTACTTATGCTTGCATTATTTTTATAGTCAAAAAATAAGAAATGACGAAAAAGATCCGGTAATTACTCTTCATATTTTTTCAGCTTCATATAACAAACTGGCTAACGATAGTAACAAAATTTAGTTCTCTATGATTGAGTCTTGCACAACTTCAAATTACAACAAATGAAGCTTTTTCACTTGATGTCCAATTACCATCTTCGACGTTAGTTGTGATAGTAATCTATAATCATACATTGTATTAAGTACTGTAAAAATGCTGTGCTATATTCTTAAATCACTTCTATTTTGAAATTGCTTACCCTCTAGAACATAAATGATCTTCAGCTGTACATACGAGATTATTACAGGCCATATCTGACATACTTGCTTACAGCTAATTACACGGTATATATTAGATCGCGACTCTATTAACAGTTAAGATTAATTTATATAAAAAATTCAATTATAGCTTTAAATACGTAAGTATAGTAATTCATATGGTTATTCTATTTGTTCGCCAAAGTACTTGACTTTTCCTCAAAAGTTTGTTAATTATCCAATCCTTGTATTAAGCAGATAGAAATGATCGTTTGATTGCCAATATGTAACCATGCGTGCATAAATTTCCAACAAAAGTGTATCTGATGTTATTGTTATAATTAGTAGACAATCACTATCTTTTCCTACTTTATATACACTCGGGTGCATTAGATTAGATTATCTAATATAGAAGGTTATTACCCAATAGACAAAAGTTGCTTTTGATTATGTAAACTTTACCCTCATGTTTCCATAATTTACAGTATTTCAAACCAATTTACCGGTGTAATTATTTGTACGGGTCTTTTCCATGTAATGATAGCATATGGTATAATGGAATACTATTTGTTACGTAGACTACTAGACTTTTAGAACCAATTTCTTATGAGCCAAATTAACAGTAGCACTTTTATATAGTATTATGCACCGAAATCTAATACGATGATGCCTGATTGATATCTCATCGTTTACTATAAACGTAGCAGTTATACTAAGTAAAGAGTATTAGGAGACTAATTCGATATTAGCTTACGCAAATCAACATTAAGACATTAAGGCTAAAATATCATCCCATGTGCTGCTCTATTTGAGCAGCGCAGTATTAAGATTTATTCTCACTTCTGCCGGTTGCATAAGAAAAAATTTAAGTGAATAAATTTCATGATTAGAAAACATTCTAGGACTAGTGTATTACTACTTTATGATGAAATCCTTGGTCCATAGTATAATATTAATTCGGATATCGCGTATATCTATAAAGACTGAAAATCAGAGTTAATTAGGTCGCTGAATTCAAGTAATTTCAAGTGAAACTGTAAAACTCGATATTTTAGTAATAGTAGTGAGATAATAAAATATCGTCAATTCACATGCTAGCTATGTCGGATCTTGTACATTAAGCGAAAGCTAGCAAATCTAGATACTATGAAGAAGAAAGTTCAAGCCAAATTTATTCCAGAGATCGAGGCAGTAGTCTAAAAATAATAAGTAATTAGAGCTTTCTGGCAATGAAATTTATCTATCAATAGCCGAGATGCAAAGACCGAAGTTGGTTAAGTTAAGTGTGGCTTTAAACTATATAAATAAGGTACGTCCCTAGTCTCAACTTTAAAGTCGCTTTAGTCGTTTCTCCTATCAAGTAATGAGTGTATCATGGAGATCAGTAAACTTTAATTACATCACCAATTAAAATTTATTTAAAATTTCGTTGGCTTCCTTTCATTTTAATATTAAAAATATACTAATATTGAGCAAGAGAGAAAATCAACGCGAGTGATATCTTTCAATATGCCAAGTAATCTACTGTCCTTAGTAGCAATAGGGTTATATTTATTTTGTTGTAGATCTGACTCAGATAGGTAGGGAATTATTCACTTTTATGCTCCAACTACCGCTAATGTCAAGATATTAGATATTCAGGATTTCCAATACAATTTATGCCCTCTAATGCGCTCTTTCCAGTAAATTTCTACTTTTCCAGAACCTGCCGACATTAATTTAGCTTTTAAGTTTACTTACATTGAAGTTGAGAATTTACAGTAAACTTAAACTACTTACTAGATAATTAATAATAACATCGGATAAAACTATCATCATACATACTCAATCCATTAATTATAATGCTAAAATTTGCTACCCTATAAACTATAGTCCATCTATTAATAGAAAAGAGATTAAAGTTAGACAATTTATGGTGAAAGCTTATCGATCTAATTTCATAGGGTACGGTACATTATGCCATTCATAATGCCAGCATTTTTAATTTTATATTATTCTATAGATTAATTTTTCAGTTTGCTCCATAGTGAAATGTGTAGCTAATGACGAGTAGATTTTCTTCTCCTCATTATCACTACCTATACTAAGATGAAGATATTACAGAACTAGCTTCGCAAGTTAATTTTTAATACTGTAGTTTGATCAGTATTTCAGACTAGCAGTCGAATGAAGCCGTAGATTCTACTTAGCAATCATAAAAATATTAAACAGTAGCATCTGTTCTTTTTTCCAAGCATTTGTTGCTGGCTATCTATTGCATCGAAACTATTGTCTATAGATGAGAATAAATAATATTTTAATGTCAATAAATCAATCAGTTATGGCACTTAATATGTCAATATATTGTTAATAGTTTTGTAAGCTAAGATTATAATTAACATATCGTTCCGTTAGAATATGATTTTCATTTAATCTTACATTTCAGCTAGGTGTAATAGGTGTTTAGTTATGTTTGCGTTATATAAATAATTCATAATCTGATAGAAAATTCAAGGGGATCACTTTCATTCATGGTCTTAAATTATTAATGAGCCAAAGAATTAGTGTCAGACAATACCAGAAATTTTTTTATTCTCTTTTATAATTAAAATGGTTAACATTTAAGACAAAAGATTTTATCAGAGGTGAAGAACATAAAATTCATCGAATATGATCCACATTTTACATTTGATGGATAATATTTCTATAATAAGTCCACTATCCTCAGCATCGATTGACTGATTTTAGCATAATTTTAATATTAGAACTAGAGTCTTCCTTGTTTAGCTGGATACCTTTCCTCATATGCTCGTGAAGCTATCTTTCATTAAACTTCCAGCAAAGTGGTAGCAATGGTAAACCGTCTTAATCAATACCCTTAGCTACTTTTTACCAATCGATCCAAGTCCCTGATGATTCTAAATTTCTGTTTAAGATCACAGTAGACATACCATTATATCGTCGGTTACCTTTTCTTTTTTTGTAAATAAATATGCATTCCTTGTAGGGTGCAATAAATTACAGTATCCTTCCCCAAGGGAATGTATATGAAGTAACGCAGTCACTCTATTCAAGACCCTCTTAATGATCATAACGCTGATTATACTTACTTATCTTGGTCGTTTAAAATGATCCATTCTTAAATTTATCTTTCATCTAACTTATATTCTAAGCTATTGTTCTTCCTTTCATATTTTAATAAATTTATAATGTGGCCTGACTATGATATCTTTGTTCGTGAATGAAAATACATAGTTAAAGCGACTGTTACATTTAATGACATTATGAATATTAATCATGTTTATAATTAGTTGCAGACTTGGTCAGTCTATTATTGCATCCAAAGTCATCGCAGATCGCCTTATAAAAGCCTCTACCTTATGCTCACTCTGCTTTTGAATTGTGGGGTCAAAAATTGTAATAGCATACAGTAATCTTCAATCAGCTAATGTTACATGGTATTCGCTAATATTGATTCACTATGAATGCTTTTCGTCGTTATCGTATGCAAAAAAGTCCTCGATGGAAGTATCGGTAACTATTTTGACTAAATTAGAAGCTTTAAATGATATACTTTCAGAAATTTCAATGCCTTTTTTGTAACAGAACGTGTTCAATACAACTTATTTATGTAATAAATTGAGAGGATTAGCTAACCCGAAAGAGTGGTTACTGTTAATGTAACAGAAATGTTATCACATTATATTACTAAATCTAGACTGGTTTATTCTACAAATAGACTACTACAAAACAATTCTGGTCGAGGAAATCAAACTATAAAGACTCGCAGCGGTTGCGGTGATGAAAGTGAAATTGATTGCTGGGCTGTCGTAATATCAATTCTTCTGATTATTATTATATTCATGATTGTGATTGTAACAATTTATATGACCGTAGTAAAGTACCAACGAAAACATACATCGACAGATTGTAATTCCACTCAAATCGATGGTCAAAACAAGATACATAATATAACAGCAACATTAAATTTATCGGTTAATCCTTGTGAAAATTTCTATCGATATGCATGTGATCGCTATATAGAAAATAATCGTTTACTACAGAATTATACGCATTGGAGTCCATTCGATGAAATCTTAAAGGGAAATTTTCTCCTCGTTCAACAATCAATTTTAAACTTAACTGAAGAGAAATTGAACAGTAGTAAAGCTAATTGTAGCCATCCTACCAAAAATATTTCCCTGTATAAATTGAGACAGTTTTATGATTCTTGTATAAATTTAACCACAATTGACAGAATGGATTCGTGGCCTCTGTTAGACTTAATACAGCAATTGCTTCCACATAACCATCGCCACGGAATTAATAGCACCCTATCCAAACATGGATCTCATGTCAAGAAACAATCTCCTACGAAACATTTTCATCGAATCTTAACGTTGTCTATGAAGTGGAATGTGCCGACTTTATTTCAATTTGTTATTCATACTGATGGTCGAAATTCCTCAAGAGAAATTTTACAAGTATGATTGCCACATCGATAGAAATTTATCTTATTCGTTTAATTATTATGATAAAATCAAGCTTGTAGATAAATATGGATTTGATTTAAGCTGATTCTGCTACGGATAGTACGATTGCGAAGTCAATCTATCTATATTTTATTCGTTCAATTATTATGGCAGAATCAGGCTTGTCGATAAATTTAGATTTGATTCAAGCTCATTCTGCTACAGATACACTACAATTCATTTACGTGATTTATGTATAAACATATGACTAATTTCATTAGAAGATTGAAGTATTCAATTTAGGCGAAAGGCTTGAATTTAAAATTGAAACTAAAACGTCTTGTTTTGTATCACTTACCGCATGATAATTTAGTCTTTCTATTAGAAATAAACAGGATGCTTATTGTTCATTTCTTTGTCTACTATGTCTACTATCTTATTTAGATCCATCCACCGAAATTAGAATTTTTCAATTTAACATACTACGATGACCCCGGCAAGATACAAGTCTATCGCAATTACCTAAGACAGGTTTGGCAGCATTTACAGTCTACTTGGCATACATCGATATCTTTAATGGATCTAGATGATATCATCCAAATTGAGCAGACTATTGTGAAAGTAAGTCCAAATTTTTAAGCATCGACAATTTGATTCAGAAGAATGAATTCGATAATCCTTAAGGGAAAACTGAACTGATTGACAGTCATGGGTAAAATAAAGAATTACCTCTGATGTTACAATACTATATATAAATAAATTTGAAGGGTTCATCCGGCAAAAATTGACCTGTATGAAGGTAGTTTGTAATGGTCATAATTTCTAAGTGGGATAGAGAGTAATGTATTTAGTTTTAATTTGGTTTAACCTAGGTTAGAAGTAATAATTTTAGTCGCAATATATTATTTAATATAATTTTTTTTATCAGCATTTAGTAACTACTATAAGTCTTCTTAACGTTAAGGAACGCATTTTTGGTGATGATTATAATGAATCTAAATATTGACAATTAATACTTTCAATAATGTTTTCTTCATTAAGTTCAATGAATATTTTAGTATCCTAGTAAGACAAATATTCGTTTCAAAAACTAGTATTTACTTGATCAATTTACTGTATTTGTTGCAATACCATGGTACCTATTTCATTGAGTCTGCTAAATTCTTTTCTATTACGGACAATCTATTCAGTAGTAGAATTGTATCTCAACAGAGAATTAATCTAATTTTTATTGCTATTGCACTTGGATGAGATATTTTTAACAGAAATATATCCATCTTAGAGCCTCTAGTTTCGTTAAAAGCCCTTAAAATAATTGTTATTTTGAAGTAAATTACATCAGAAAAGCAGAAATTGGTTCTATTTCAACTTGACATTATCAAAAAAATTCAGCTAAAACAATGTCAGTGATATAAAATCTTTGGTTTGCTCTTTTATAGCTACATAAATTGGCATTTTTTTTTCAACAATTGATGGATGGTATTACTTACAAATACATTATTGATTCTTTTTCAACTAGTATTGTACGTAAGCTGATACTAATTTTAATTCAACATATTGTTATTCTATTTCAAAAATATAATTATAAGCACTACGTCACACACACATTTATGTAACCTAGTTTTGTTTGTAAAGACGAAAGATTCTATTAAATTTTATTTTATTAAATATAGTGCTGAAATATGGACTTATTAGACTAACATTAAAATTTTAAAACAGAAAAAAATTCATCATGATACCTTTTATACTAACGGTGTATTATTCTAAATTATCCTTAAGGCAATTCTCCTCATGGAGAGCGTTGACTTAGTCTTAAAGAAAGATCTATGCAAATGTCTAAATAGATCATCATTTGAAATAAATGGTATTATTGGGTTAAGATAGAGAAGAAACATCAAATAGATATTTACTGCAGTTAAAATTCCTCATTATCAAAATAATTAATGTAATTAAATAATTTCTAGTACTTGGCCAAATACAACAGATGCGTCTGAATTAGTTTATTTGTCGGTTGGCTAGTAATATACGCGTATGTTACGCAGTTGCTATTTACCAGGACCAAGCCATAAGCAATTCCTACAATTTTAATTTAAAGACAATGAAATGCAAAAATTGAGGATGTGCAGTAATTTTCTGTTTTTATCATTTCTATATCGATGAACAGTACTATATTGTTTTGATTATGATCACAGTTTTCAACCTCATATTTTAGATGATTCTTTTTATTTCCACGTTGCAAAAAATAACAGCACAGTGATTGATTGATTGTTTCCTTCCTGTAGCTATATTGACGGCTGAGAATTACTAGATTTTATATAAAAAATTCTAGAACATCTGCTTTTGATCGAACCCAGTTGTACAACATAGATTATTATATATAACAGTGGAAACTCGAAAAGAAAAAAATTCCTATCACTGATGCATAACTACATACAGCTCATCAATTATTTTAAGATCGATCTTACACCTATATTATGATTATTGCCGTAAATGTATGTAATTTACTCATATACTGTATGTTGGATATTTTTTTAAATCAAGTATTCAGCAGATACATAGTACTTAGGAATATATATTTAGTGGCTAGGTATTGCCTGTACTAAATTGTGCTCGAACGGATAGATCTTGCGATGATTTTATAGCTTTAGCTTCCTATTTTCGTAGTTAATGAACAATGAAAAGAAAAAGATTCAACGTATTCCAATTATTAAAATTCAGAAAGAATTATGTAGCAAGGTAACTACAATTTCATATACCAAATACTTATTTGACTAAAAATACGATTTAAAGCATTAAAGCATAATCCAATGAACTATTTTAAGAGCGATTGCGGTTTTTAAGAAATTAGCCAGGATGATTAAATATTTAAGAAATTGATATTACCTATGTTTCATTCATGATTACGATCTAGGTAAACTGGATTGAAGTATTAGAAAGTATTGCACAAATAAAAATTGCTTCTCACCTTGAAGTTGAAATATATAACGAAGATTATTTTAGAAATATGTGCAAACTAATTGAAGCAATAGACAAACAGTAAGAAATGACTATATGCCCATATAATGTGCAGTGCAAAGTCAAGTTTTATAATCCCTTCAGGATACTTCTCATACATCATTAACATGTTGAATGCAGATTAATGTGTCATTGTTAAATTTATATTATGTATTAGTCTATGTAACGAGTATATATATATAGTATATATAGACATCTTACTACTTTACAGTCGTATAAGTCTTCGAAGCGATTCTATTATTGAATAATTTAATTCTTTAATACAGTGTCTTTTCCAACTTTGTCGTCTGGCGTTCGATATCATCTTTTATTCCTTACTTATCTACACCATTAGTAAAATTAAAAGATGATTTTACTACAGCAATTAATGGCTACCCTAAGTCCATCCAGCCACGATGGAAAATGTGTATAAAGTGGTCTGATGAGAATTTTGGGGTTATTACTAGTTCACTCTTTGTTCAAGCAAATCAAGTTAAGCTGGAAAAAATTAAAATGGTAAGAAGAAATGGTGATATTAGCTCTTAAGCTTATTTATTGACATAACTAAGGCTGTTGGTGTTGTAAATTCCGAAAATGTATTGGGATTAATATTGGATAAATACGGTATCACTCTGGATATTAAATTTTCTTATTTGACAAGGTTGAAAAAATAGTTAACGAAATTAAGACCCTTCTCTTATCCAAAGTCGAAGAATCTCATTGGTTGGGTGCCAGACTTAAAGGGGAAATGCTTACCAAGGTAGAGTTGTGCCGTATTATAAGGGGTTTAATGACGTGATCGAGTGGCTATAAAATCAATAAAATGATGTCTGGATGTGTAGTGTACACTAGATAGAGGAGACCTTAACAATTTTAGAGTTCAGTGGATTCGAGTTTATTTCACTCATTTTAACTTTCACAATCCTTTACATGTTATTATCATAAACCTATCCGAATAACTGCTGTCTAGATGCATTATTGAATTGTAATTAATAATTAAGAAGTAATATAAACTATCGTCTAAACGTCAATAGGTTAAATGGCTACATTTTTTACATTATTTACATTATTTACAAAAATGCAAGTGATATTCATTAGCAAGCATTTGTTTTTAGTTCACCTGTATAATATATTAGCTCTTAATATCTTTTAAGGCAAACTATTTCTTAAATAACGATCAGAAAATCCTTGCTAATGCTTTAATAGATTTTATTTCAATTGGTTGCTCAAATTTTAGATAAAATAACTTAATAACTTTCTTTCTCCCCTATTTGTGACATTGTTGAGCTTAACGTTTTGTTGTATACAAATTGACTGATAAGTGAGTTTTAAATCCTAATAGTGTCGTGCATGAGAAAGTGAATGAAAGCATCAGGATATAGATAGTTAAGTTTGGGTGATTAGATGATAACGACTGTAGAATGATTTCCGATACTTAAGATATTACAGTATCATTGTCCTAACCATATTAGCATCTTTGGTTGCGTAATTTTTATACGATTGGTGAGATTGCACGTTATGATTGTCTTCTATTCTACTTTCTCAGATTCATGGTATTTCGTCTATGATTGGATTTCCTGAATGGATACTTAATGACACTGGGCTATTAAATCAATATTCGGAGGTATATAATATGTAAATTGCGCAATAGGAAATAGAACGCAAGATAATTTAAGTTAAGGTTTTCGAGCAATTATGTTTTTCATCAGAATAAATCAATACCATAATGTGACAGTGATGGTTTGTATCTACCTGTCATCGAAGTATCTGGGCTTATATTAGCATTTGATTAAAATATTAAATAAGGGGTTGGACGGGAATAGGTGAATTAAGACAACCATAATAAAAGGCGGCTTTTATAATCAACTGCGATGTAGTTTGTTAATCTATTGAGATTTAGATAATATAGCGATACTTTGGAGTATTTGTTTTTGTATACCTTTATTTAGAATATCATTAATTATGGCGGAGTCTATCACAAATGAATTTGATATATATGGCCATAGTAAAAATGATATATGGGATAGATTCCATAGAGTATAATAAAATTAGCTGAAGTCTAGTTAGCTAAACCTTGAGTTTTTCCGAAAGTGTGGAGATGCTTATATTTTCTTAAATCTATAATTAGTCGAATTTATTATCCAATGTACTCGTAGTTATATCTCTTGCCTTTAGACCTTAGCTTTTGCTTATGTAAGATAGAGAAAATATGGGTTGGCTTAAATTCATTGTCCTTTATACCTACTAGATCTAAACTATCAACGTTAGACCGTAGAATAGGACATACGATGTATGACTATGAATGCTATATGTAATTAAGCTATTTTGGATACGAGTTTAATATTCATTCAATTGCAACTATAAAGCAATGGAAGTTGACAGGGTGGAATACTATCTCACATCAGTATCATGACTATTTTCCATTCTATATAAATTAAGATTTATTGCAGATACACGAGTATATAACGACATTGTAGTATTTGATGATTCATGATCTGCTCGGATAGAGTGGAAATAGCTGGAAAATATGATATAGCGGTTTTGCGATGTTTTATTGTTTTACTTTCATTTTTCAACATACTATATGTACTGAACATGACGATTTTGATAGCTTTGCTATTTATCACAATATTTACAGGTTAGGGTAAAGCAGGATTGTTTCTTTGAAAATATAATGAATGTAAAGGCGTTTAATTTTAAAGCCAAGCTTTCAACCATCGCAAAACCAACCGAAATAGGACGGAGGTAAACTAATCATAAATTGAGCGTTGTAAGAGGATTAAAAAATAACATGAAAATTAAAATTTATAGAAAATGTTAGCATATGGATTTTAGTCATAGTAACAGTCTTCTATTTGTTGCTACATGATTAATTCAAGGTGGTTAATCAATATCGACTCAAATAATGCTTTGTATTATCGTGCCTGGAATTCGATAGGTAAGTTTCTAGTTTAATTTGAGCTAAACTCAACGATTTAATGATAAATGTTAGTCTTTTTGAAATACACACTCTTGTTATTTATGGCAGCTGTTCCTCTTGGACTATTGCAAAAGCCCATATTTAGTCTTTTATATTCAAAGTTAGTAGATCACTTAATTTTGATCGAAGTGTCGATATATGCGTCTATCTTACACTATATATTCTATTGATGACGAGCCCTCTGAACTGATCGAACCTTGACTTTTTCTTATACAAGTAGCGCTGCTAACTATGCTGCATTAGGAACTATAATAGGTCATGAACTTATGCACTCATTGGATCCTACAGGTTTGGCATTAGCTTTCAAGAATTAGTTTATAATGTGACTAGTATAGTTAATATAGAGTTTTTGCTTGCTGTAGAGGACGCTATTAGCCATTAGTACATTAACTTTTCTTTCTTTGTCATCATTTTTTGGTATCGTAGGTATTAAGCATGATCGATATGGCAATATCATGACATGGCTAGACAATGATATTTTAAAGAACTATATCAGTAGAATCCAGTGCTTTGCTAATCAATATTCATCATATAAATTAGATGAGAAACATGTGAGTTTGATTGGGATCATTTTTATTCTTATCAGATCCATTTCACGGCTTTATTTGCTATATATTTATTGATATTCTATTCTTGCATAATTAATTAATGAATGTTTTTCTTATTGTGCTAACAATCTTTCTTCTTGACAATATGTATTTGTTGTCTAGATGAATGGTAATTTGACTGTGTCTGAAAATATAGCCGATTCTGAAGGTTTAAAGCTAGCCTACAAGGTGAGTTGCATGTGGCAGTTTAGCTAATTAATTTAATGTTTTATGTAATTTGAAGGTTTTGCTGCAAAATAAATTACTTAGGCCTATGAAATCAATTTAAATCAAGCTGAAAATTCACCTTGTGGAAATGCAGAGAAAAATGATTTCACAAGGAAACAGTTATTCTTCATACATTACGCTCAGGTTGGTTGCAAAAGTATTTTGCTTTAATGTGATTGATCAGAAAATAGCTTGTCTATATCTCTATTACGCGTATGCAAGATTAATTTAGTCATGATAACATTTATGATATTTGTTTTAGCTTATGCTATTTGTGATTACATTACGTTTTTCGGTGCATGAATGAATGAAATTTAATGTGGAATAGGTTATATTCATCTGATCACAGTTCAATGGCATTGAAGCAGTAATCCTGTATTTTTGAATATGTAGATGAACACTGAAATAAGAATATATTTTTATGGATTTTATTTAGTACAGTTTTAGATTGAGTCTAGCACATGTGTCATTACCGTTCTACGCAGTTCTAGAATGGAGTTTAATTTTATAACGTGAAATAATTTATACTAGTATAAGCCATTTAGCTTAGACTATTCTTGCATGGAACGTTGACTTAGAAGTGGCTATGGCATATTGTCTGTGCTGATACATACGATAATATTATTTTCTGACTAGTATTTGTAACGAGCATCGACATTTTAACCATTGCTGTTGTTTTCAGTTTTATTTAACGAATTCATTTTACAGAGTATGTGCAGGACATCGTTGCTAAACTATTTGCTAAACTTCGAGATGACTGAATTGCATAGCCCCAATGTTTTCAGGTTGATAGATAGCTTATTCGTTAATTTAAAAATTTTCTATCCAAGGCATTAGTCCACATTTGATATTGTAGCTTATCGATTTCTAATTTTTTGTCCAGGGTTATTGGTTCGTTATCTAATCTTCATGAATTTGCTGATGTATTTGATTGCCAAGCAAATTCTCCCATGAATCCAAAGGATAAATGTTTGCTGTTATGAATGTTGATATGACGATGGAATTTATTTTGTATGCATGACATTAGCATTCAAATTAATTGTTGAAAATGGTGATAGTTTTGTTAGCAAATTAGTCATCGCAGTTTAAATATTTATAAGTAGCTCGACGTACAGGGGGTATTTTTGAAGATCTAAAGTCATCCATTGTTCGACTATGGTCCCTTTGGTCTTGCACTATTTAACCGCTGCCGTTTTCATTTTCATGGAAGAAAATGGAATTAGTCTAGCACCAATTTCCTTTGTTTTTATTTCATTGAATGTATCTTGAGACTCAACTAGGTAGTAATCAACTGTTTCTGCAATTTGTGCTTTTCAAATGGATGATTATATTATTGATGTGTTGCAATAGCCGTCAAGTCCACGTTTATGTCGGAATGCTTTAGAATAGTCACATTTTGAGCTAATAATTGCAACGGGTTGTTGCAGTTAGTTATCGAACTAACAACGCGTTGTCAAATTTTCTATTTGTAACCTATTAGATTTGTTATTATACGTAGCTTAGGGATCGATTTGTCCTTAACACTATCTATACTCGTATAATAAATTGTTCATAAACTAAGATGTCTTCCAATTGATTCAGCTATAGCTAATAGTCAATGATATATATCTAGTAGTCTCTCACAGGATTTTAACGGCGCAGTTGTATAATGAATAGGCGTAGTGTGTCGTACTTTCAGCAAGGCCATTTGGGTATTGTAGGATGTGCGTAGTCATGGACGATTGATTTTAGTCTAGTTTTATAACCTGTCTAATGTTCCATTTAAAAGGCATGCCAAGGCCATTTAGGTATTGCGGGATGTACGTAGTTATCTACGATTGATTTTAGTCTAGTTTTATAACCTGTCTAATGTTCCATTTAAAAGGCATGCCAAGGCCATTTAGGTATTGCGGGATGTACGTAGTTATTTACGATTGATTTTAGTCTAGTTTTATAACCTGTCTGATGTCCGCTTTGAAAGGCATTGCAAGGCCATTTACGTATTGTAGGATATACGCGTAATCATCTACGATTGATTTTAGTTTAGTTTTATAACCTGTCTGATGTTCCCTTTAAAAGGCATTGCAACGCCATTTATGTATTGTAGGATATACACGTAATCATCTACGATTGGTTTTAGTCTAGTTTTATGGCCTGCCTGATGTCCCCTTTGAAAGGCATTGCAACGCCATTTAGGTATTGTAGGATGTACGTAATCATTTACGATTGATGATAATCTAGTTTTATAACCTGTCTGATGTCCTCTTTGAAAGGCATTACATTGACTTTAGTTTGTTTTGCGCCTTCTTCAAGGCCATTTTGGTGTATGAATTGGCATCCCTACTTTGAAAGTTGAGTTATAGCCCTAAAAAGCGCTAAGGCTTCAGGAGGCAGTAGAGTCTAGGATCGATTTGGCCAGTTCTATTTGATCTGCTTGTAAGCAATCCATCTTAATACGACAATGGTATATCGGCAAAAGTAAAGAATTATTTCGTCTTTCTTTTACTCTAAGTTTTGACTTTAACATCAATTTTCCTGCATAACAACAGCTCGATCAGTGCTACTACGTAGTTGATAACTCGGTGAGTGAGAGGCCATTTAGGTACCGACGCTGATAGATTTAAAGTTGCGCACGGTTGATTTTGAACTGCTTTTACGCTCGCTCTCTCCGAGTCCATTTTTTAAGACATTCTATCAATTTTAGTTGATATCGTAACCTCTTCAAGGTCGTTTTATTGACTATGCCATTTTCATGATCATCTATTACTCAAAATGTGGAGATCAATGAGAAGAGTTTTACTGGTCATTTCGATGGCATAGGATATCAGCAACGGCATGCTATGCTGTCCACATTGGACATGTTGCTTTGTAGTACTGCATATGGTAAAGTCCACTGACCTGGAACTAGTCTTGTTGTGTGTCTGTACTGTACAGTTTTATTCGACCAGTTCAGGTTAGTCTACAGCATCGACTAAAGTAATCCATGCGCGATTTTCGAGCATGGACTACAATGTTGTGCCACTATCGAAAAAGAAACCTTAGTCAAAACAAGGATTGTAATAATTTATTGCAAGAGGAAATTTACAAGTCGCTGGTTAGAGGATAAGGCCAAATTCAAAAGTTTTCCTACATTTGGCCATGACGGTCCCGAGGCAGTAGCAAGGACTTGGAAGAATAGTACAGTGTATAGTACAGTGCATTACAGTGCAAAGTACTGTACTATCCAGCACCAAACAGTACAAAGAAAGTGATCGACGTCACTGTTGTGACCTCAGCCAATACCAACTCATCATCAACTCTATTCGTCATTTCTCTATTGTTACTTTTGATCACTAGGTTAACGTTATCTAGCTGGCTATTGATTAAATTAGTTGAAAACATTTGGGCAAATTATTTCATTGCTTTCATGCTGCCGCTGACCATTGCTCCAATCGAAAAGATTCCACGTTGATCCATCACCCAAAATTTTGCCTAACTCATGTCCGATTGTGATTATAACCGTGATAAGGGAGAGTTGCTTGGTTCTTCAGGTAAGCGTTGAAATCAGGGATACGATAGGCTTGAAGTTGTTATCAATAGACTCAAAATGATGAAAAGACCGACTTCATTTTCGTTTTCGTTTTCACTATGTTCGTCTTGTTATGGCGATGATGATTGAATAACAGTCGTTTCGGGTCTCTTGGCAGAAGATCGACCGATATCGGTGATAGACAGTACTGTACTGGAGTTTTTTTTTTTGGGGGGGGGGGGTTCTTTGTGGAGACGTTAATAACGTTACAGTCTGGCGTAATAAGAGTTGATGTCTACCTGAAAGTTTAGACAGCCTCCCTTGTAGTAGGATGTTTCACTTGATGTCTTGAGTACTCTACATCAACGTTTCAGTTTAGAGGTATGATTCCATGTATTCTAGGCTAGTCATCTTTTACCCAAAATGACGACAATAGCATGAGTATCAAAGCAAGACTCCGCTTTGAAGGATATTCTTGCGGTTGGATGAAGATATCTATAATAAAGTGCAATAACAAACAACAATGGCTTCATGACCGTGAATGGAGTTTGATTTTCAAATGGATAGAAAAGTTATTTTCAAACTACCTCGATTTCAAGTAATCTACTTGCTGAAGCATCAAATTAGAATGGATACGATTGCTGTCTCTAAAGACGACGGTTGATCTACTTTTGATTTACTCATGCTTTCCTATGTGAACGACTTGAAGTATTCTAGCCTAGCGAAATGAATAGTTGTAATTATAGGAATCACTATTGCTCAAATTTTTATATCGATTCTCCACCATTCCCAATTGATATCATTGATCAACTTCAGCTTTCACAGTCATCAGTTTTTAAACATGATCATTTCCTCTTTCTGAACACATGCAGTACTGTACTAGATAGTATTACACTATTTCACTATGACAAAAATTTTCGTTTCGATTCTCGATCATTCCTTGTTGACATCATGGATCAAGTTCAACTGTTACAATAAGCAATAGTGAGCAGTTTGGAAATACGATCATTTCCTCTTTTTACTTAACACATACAGTAGGGTATTACACTATTTCACTATAACAAATACTTTCATTTCGATTCTCCATCATTCCTTGTTGATATCATTGATCAAATTCAACTTTCATAGTCATCAGTTTGGAAAGACGATCGTTTCCTCTTGCTTGCCACATGCAGTAGTAGACGGCAATATCGCTCTGACCAGCATTGTATTGAAGCTTCATAAATAAATTAGTAAATTATCAACTGTCAGAAATGAAAATAAAGTTATGATTGATCAATCAGGATATTTTCCTACTCTGCTTAGTGCCATCCTACTGCACCTGCCATAGACAACAATACAGAAGACAAATTATAGACTCGGATACACAGATATCTGGCTCTTGTATGGCGCTGATTTCCACTAAAACGATGAACTGCCTTGATTTTTCTCGTTTCATTTTTTTTTAGATTCTGCTTTATCGGTAATTTGCCTTGTGCTATATTTTAATGATGGTGATTAATCTCAGGGCAATGGGCGGTCTGCTTATCCGGTATACAACTTCTATCCATAGTGTAATTGGTATTTTCATCAATATTTCTTTAAAAGTGACAAATCATCACAGGTTATTCAGTCAAGTTTCCATGGGATGTATGAACTCATTATCAGCAATGAGTCATGCCCTACGTCTAATGAGGCAATGGACATTTGAACTGTTTATTAATCTTGTATTCTGCCTAGATTATAGTAAATAAATAATGAATAATCATGACGGCCAGTATTATTGACAATCCAATATACAGTATGAGCATTGTACTGTACTGTATAGTGAGTGTATACTTATGGTGAGGATCGCTACTTTACGCACTCAGTACAGTATAATTTGGATGTCATCAACTTCTTTAATTTGAGTTCCGTTTGTCAACTAGCTTAAAAAATTGGAAGATATAGCATCTCTTGCAGGATTAAGTAGTTTGGCACTTTAAAATAGATTTTATCTTGCAGTCTTTATTCATATCATTGTGGTAAATGGAAATGGAAGAAATTCCAGAACGTAGCGAGCTCCATTGCAGAGCTTAATTAATAATACTTTATTCATTCCCAAATCCCAATGTTACCAATTAATGTATGTATCACTCATTATTTTTTCTTTTGTATGATATTATTCAAAATCATGAATTATTACTGTAGCAGAGCTTACTAGGAAATATGGAAGCGATAATTATATCGTGGCTTGTCCTGTACTTTATATCAAACGTAACTACAGTATATACTGTATTAAGAATTGAGTCCAATGATAAGCTTCGAGTAATAGCGGAGCAAATGGCGTTTATTTTTTTGTTAGTGAAGTAGTTTACGACAGCTGTGATAACATACCGTGGAAGAAAATGTCCAAATAAATAAGCGATGATGTCCAACTTGATGTACTTTACATTCAACGATTTAATATTGCTATATATTTTATTACTCTTACTTTCGAACTTAAGTAAGAAATAATAGCGTAATACTGCTGACTTGTCCACGGACCAGAAGCAAGTGCCTATGTAGTATTGAACGATGCTCTCCATTACTCGGCATTGAGATGAAACTAAAATTTATTGCTACTTCAGTTTGCTACATTTTAGTGTTTTAACAAGGGTCCTTTACTAAGATCCAATTCTGTATTGACTCGTCTCTATGTTGTGATATCGGTCTGAAAATTGTAAAATAAGAAAAATTTAAAAGTTCTCGTATCGAGCATGAATTTAAGGTCATTGTCGAAATTTGTTGTTACTGTATTGAGATTTTTTTTCCTTTTCTACGTAATAATGTTTCTACATTTTTAATCGCGATTTCGTTCGTCTTCTAATAGCTAAGTCTCATCAATAACTCATTTTAATCCTCTATGTTTGATCAAGTTTTATTTTTTTTAATTTATAATTAATTTTGTTTGCAAAGTCAAAAGAAATTTTTCAGTAAAAAATATTCATTGACATCTAGAATATTCTAATCCCTTTATCAACGACATAATTGGGGCATTTTATTTTATTTATCGTGTCAAAAGAATGTCTTTCGTATAGTATAAAAAGATTTCAATTGTCGTTTCAAGTCTCCCTACTTTAGATTTAGCATTAGTTCCTACTTTTGCAGTGACTACTGTAACTTCTGCTCTATCTTATGCTGTAATGAATATAATTAATGGATTGGAGATAATTGATTATACGGGGCTGCAGGCGTAATGTGATTAATTTGTATTGCAATTATACAGATACAAATCTATTTGAATTTATATATACAATGATATAATGATATATCCTTCGAGGATTGAAAGAGAGTATGAATAGTGCACTCAAATAATAGTCATTAAATATGTTATTAGTGGAATAAGTTGTGCTAGCAATTACAAATTTATTATGGTCACGGTAGAATGCCCACTAACCTGATCATGATCAGGTGTAGCCGTGTTGGTTGCTTTTAGGAAATAATGAATTAATCTGCTAATACCATAGTAAAGGTCCTTTTAAGTTATATCGGTTGTTGATTTCTTATAAATATATAGGGCCTTGTGAAGGAACCCAAAACCATTTCAATATGAGTGAGATTGAATTAAATCAAACCGATATATCCTATACGTGCCGTGAAACCGACCAGTTTATCGATGAAGATCAAAGCAATGTCTCCAATGATGAACATATGCCAAAAGTTTTAACTAAGCGTGGCCGTAACCGATCCTACCGATACCGAATTTTTTCCTTTCATCGACCATGCAATAAACGAGAAATTGGCTTCGTCTTTTTATCATGTATTGTCCTTGTTGTATTGGCAATTCTTACTGGTCTCCTTATTACTTACCATCGTAGCTGGAAACATACTTTTGAAGATCATTCCGGACAAGGAAAGAAGGTCAAAATGTGCGATAGCAACCTATGTATTATTACTGCTGGTAATATGATCAAGAAAATGAATCAATCAGTCCATCCTTGCCAGGATTTCTATCAATTTGCTTGTGGGAATTTCTTAGCCAATACTCCGATGCCATCTGGCCATACACGTTGGGCACTCTTTTCTGAGATTGCTAACAAAAATAATTTTGTCATTAAGAAAGCTGTTGAATCGTATAAGTCATTACAATCTCAAGCTAGCCATACAGTATTACCAGCTATCACTAAAGTTATAAATATGTATCAGTCGTGTATGAATTTAACAATTATTGACCAATACGGAGGGCAACCTCTAATTCAGCTGATGAAAAAATTACAACCATGGAAATTAAGTTCTGACCGAGATTGGATTGCAGACCACTGGGATTTTAATCAGGCTTTAATTGAGAGCCATTTTCTCGGTGGAGGTGGATTATTTTTAATTTATGCCAATACTGATCCTGGAAATTCTAGTCGAATCATTTTACAGGTAAAGAAATTGCTAGTGTCATTGACTAAATAAATGAGGTGATAGGTATGAAATTGTTGGATAAGTCCTAAAGTGACATGGAGAATAGTTACAAACTGTGATGATAACACAAGGTGACAACGTGAAAACTTCTTTTATCGTGTCTATAGGCTGCTCAAGCAGGAACTGGTCTGTCGTCCAGACATTACTATTTATCTAATAGTAGTTTACTGGGCAATTACAAAGTATACATGATGGATATCTTTAAGTTGTTAAATGTGAAACAAAGTGCAGGTAATATCAGTCAGATAGTCGAAAAGGTGGTCGAGTTGGAAATTGAATTAGCGCAGGTATATTTTCTCTGATTATAGTAATTGATGATAAACATCTAACTGATACGATATTGCATGTCCTAATGCATACTTTATAACTTACATAACATGCATCACATGCTAATCACATACAATACGATATCTGGGCCAGCGTTTGCAGATGGTAGATATATTATTGAAAGTTCAATGAATACTAAATCAGATAGTACGGATTACAAATAATTCCTCTTACAGTTGTGAGCTCTTACTAATTTTAAAAATAGTAAACATAATTGATAGCATAGTTTTGAACTAGAATTAGGTTGGCTACATTTAACCAATCAAGGTATTTTCTAGTACAATAAGATTTCCGTTACTTACTACGTTAAGCGTAGTAGTATTAGTTACAAGGGATGGTTGCTACATTTAACCCATTAAAGTATTTCTTAATGCAAATAAATTTCAGTTACTAACTACGTTAAGCGTAGTAATGTAGCATTAGCCACAGTGGATGGTTACTGTACTAGTTCACTAGCAGATTCTCCTAGTTACTATTCCCTTTGCACTAGTACTAGACAATGCCAAATACATATGATCGTGTAGACTTTTGATCTAGTTCAATCTGTTATTTACAGTGATTACCATTCTATCATAACTGATTTCGTTAATTTTCTATTTTAAAGCAATTCTTGCCTGCAGAAGAGATGATGCCTGATCAAACCTATCATTTTAATGCTGTTGAAGATTTAATTACAATGTGTCCCGTTGTTAGTATCAAAAAGATTATTATTCATTATTCATTTACAAAATAGATTTGACTGATGTACTTTATTTCAACAATATCAATGCTACATACCTTTAGATTCCGTGGATAAAATTAATCTCCAATTTAACCAGTGCAGCTGTTGTTAATAAAACTGTAATTAACATTGCAACACCGCGATATTTTCAACACTTATCTCATATTATTTCGAAAACTGAAAAAAGGTATTGTAAGATCTTACGTTTTCAAGTCTTAATACAAAGAATTGAAAAGCTGCTTTATTCAGTGTATATTATAACTTAGCACGCAGTACAACCGTAGCATCTTCGTAATTAGCATAAGATAGGCACTTATCTTAATAAGCCCTTCAGTTTTTCGCCAGTATTTTTTTATATTATTTACTTATTCGCAGACCTATTCCTTTAGATTTTCTTGATATCATTTTTATTACAGCATTATGTCAACATACCTTATGTGGAGAATAATCAATTCCATGGTTGATACCTTGTCCAAACCATTTCGTGATGCAAATCGAAAATTTAATCTAGCTTTCAATGGTGGTGATCCGTCTGCAATCAAACCGCGATGGGAGACTTGTATAGATAAACTAAATTATTACTTTGGAAAAGCAACAGGTCGGCTGTTTGTTGATAGCCATTTTCAGGGTAAAAGTAAAGATCAGGTACAGTTCTTATAAATGATATTTAGGAATTCCACTTGAAGACTAATGATCTTGCTATGCAATGCTTTAAAGTATTAATGGATTAATTGTATACAGGCGATGAAAATGATTGCTGGCATTCGTGAAGCTTTTCTTAACAATTTGCCTACGGTAAAGTGGATGGATCCTAAAACTGCTGCTAAAGCTAACGAAAAGGTAGTGTTCGTTCACAGAGAATGTATACCTACGTATAATATAGGCTGCTACGTATGAATTGCTGTCAATATCCAATAATTTCGTGTCATTTGATAGTACATATGATAACAGTTATAGTGACATAACTAGTGTAAATATTATTACCAAATATTGAATAGATAATACTGCAAAGCTAAAATATTGCCCTAAATTTCATGGTAGTTTATTACTATATTTTTTAATTCTCCAGTAAAAATTGATTCGCTTATGTAATTTGTTGGTTTAAATACATATTTCAGGCTCGGGCAATTATCAGCTTAATAGGTTTTCCAGATTGGATTTTAAATAATGAAAAATTAAATGCTTATTATTCCGGGGTTTGTAAACCATTATCATGAAATTGTATTGTATTACTGTTATGATACCTGTGCAGTAGGAAATATCAGATTTCAAAGACGCATAACATAGTTGTGATACAGATAATGGTACTGCTGCTAATAAACTTTCAATCTGTTAAATTGCAGGTAATAATCAATCCTAATGAATTCTTTAAGAATACTATCAATCTCAGGATATTTTTAAATAATAAAGGAATGGCATTGTTAAAGACACCAGTTGATCGACATAGGTATATACAACGCCCTTATGTAGGCTTAGAACACTACTAGTGGAGGGTAACGTTCCGAAAACGAACAAAATTTAAGATGTCGTTATTCTTACAGTATATTTCTTAGTTTAGATTTGGAAAAATGATGAATAATTGAAAAATATCTTTTGATGGGTTATGGCAATAACCAGTTGCTATTATTAACGCGTACTTCTAATAAGTTGTTAACGTAGCCAGACTATAGGATAGCTTCAAGGAATGAAGAAACAAGATGTCTTAGCGTATATTGTATTGCTTTTATATTTAAGGTGGTTTATGGAACCTTCAACAGTTAATGCATATTTTTCGCAGTCTTTAAATGATATTGGTAAGTATTACCATGTATAAAATTTACTGCGACTAGTTTGTCTCAGAGAATTTAATAAACTTTTATGCTACGGTAACGTAAAAATAGATTTTTGTGATTTCAACTTATTGAATCACCCGCAATTTAATTTAACTTTGTTGGTTTATATTTCACAGTTTTGACTTGAACATAGCTTTATTAAGTTGATATTTATTTAATGTGAAGACTATAGTGGAGTATGGTAGTCTTTAATGACGGGATGTTATTATTCATATTTAGTGTTTCCAGCTGGCATTTTGCAAGAACCTTTCTTTCATAAAAATTACCCCAAGTATGTTATTTACTGTAAAATATTAACCCTACATTCTCTAAAGTTATATTAAAATAAATTATATCAATTAACGTAAAAATGTGATATTTAACAGATATTTAAATTATGGTGGAATTGGAGTTGCAATGGGCCATGAATTAACGCATGGCTTTGACTCCTCAGGTTTGTAGGGTTTACTCGTACTTGTTCACTCTATTGCTTACAGTCTTCTTAGACGTTCGCTATTTCGCTATAACAATACGGGTATTAATAGGAAGAAAATTTGATTCTGTGGGAAACTTGAAATCATGGTGGGAAGATGAAGCCAACACTGCTTACGAGCAGCATGCCAAATGCATGATTGATCAATATGCCAGATACAAAATAGATAATATTAATGTGAGTAGTTAATCTAGCTTTAATCCAGTTTTCCAAGTGTATCACAGGGATATTATCGATCGTAGGCTTTTGGGGAACGTGGTAGGCATGTGATAATGAACTAAATTAATCTTAGCTATTGTTATTTTCTAGCTTAATGGAAATCTAACTATTACTGAAAATATTGCTGATAATGGTGGCATGAAACTTGCATATAACGTAAGCTGTATGATAACCTTACAATCTATTCAAAAGTATTTGTTGCCACAGACTGAGAAGTGTTGAGATAATAGCAGTGTTTGAATACTATGTCTTCGATATAGTTAGGCAATACGACTTAAATAATGATAAAATTAAAGCGCTCTTAAAAACTTGCATTTATGTAGGCTTACCAAAAATGGAAAAATGATAATGAGCAGGAAGTACAATTGCCGGGACTTAAATACACTCCTGATCAAATGTTATTTATTGCTTTTGCTCAGGTATATCGTTACTGAGTATTTATTGTCTTCATAAATACTAGTTTAGAGCTGACATTAAAGTAAGGATTGCTATTCGAATTATATAGATATGGTGCACGTTGGAGACACCTCAGACAACTCGTCATTTGATTCTAACGAATCGCCATAGCCCTGGTAAATACAGGTATTGCTTAAATTTCTTAGTCATATCGTAACAAATTTTAAATCTGTTACGATAATCTCTGATTATAATACCGCGTCTTTAGTATAAGTTTGAGTGGATGATAAACTACATAACATATTTAAAATTTAATTGCAGGGTTATAGGTACCTTATCCAATAGTAGGGAATTTACTAAAGCTTTTAAATGTAATGCTGGAACTCCCATGAATCCAGAAAAGAAATGCAGTGTCTGGTAATGAATCCATGCATGAATGCTTTTTGGATATTTTTTATCAGAATATGGTTTGATATTGAAAATAAACATAAAAGATTATGTTCATCAGAGATGGGCCATAGTTATACTAACAATTGTAAGGGATTTTTGATATCTACTGTTATAGTGCATCCTGCTGATATGCAAAAATCTGATTAATTATAATGACTTCTATGTCTTGATAGTATTACATACCTCAAAAATGTCAGAGAAGTTATGTACATATATCCAATAATCTTCTAATATTGATTTTATAAGCTTGTATAACTCATCCAAATCTTGTAGCTTGATTTTCAAATGAACGTAGAAGCTGGATCGTAGTAATTCAAAATGTTAGCTTTAAGCACTGATTAAATAGGAAGAACATGTTATTCTCTTTATGCTTTTTAGATAAAGTGTATTGATTAATTTATTCTTTAAAATGACACTTGTCGTTACAATTAACGATCAGTAGCCGGTTAACGATTTATGAATAACTCATAAGACTAGATCTCATAAGATATTAATAAACAAAGAAATATCTCTAAATTATGGATATGTAAGTGTATTATGTGAAGATACTTCGAGATAGATATTGCATTAGATTTTTATTTAACTATTTTATTGTAACCTAGCAGTGAAGTAAACTGCAATACGTTGCTTCATTTTAGCGTGTATATTCTACGTATGATATAATCTATAAACTAGGCAAAATAGCTGGTATTTATTTTTATACCTTGTTATATATGCTTTTTGGTGAGCGAAATCTTATTAATCATTATACACTAAGACGTTGAAAAAATTAGTAGCTTTCATTGTGGATATGATCGCTAGCGTAATTTTGTAATCTATTAAAGATCACTCATTAACGGATGAAAAATTACAAGAAAGGTGTTATATTAGATATGATGTCATGAAATTTCACAGGGTTGAATGAAGGCTTTTTGATTCAATCTGAGATAGGTATTAGTAACCATAAGTGTTCGATTTTCGCTAAATATTTACGTTTTTGTCCATCTTCAAGTCACACTACATTCAGAACAAGTTTGTAAGATTTATAGCGTGGGTGATTTGTAATCCACAATAATGGTCGAGTATTAGTGTACCCTGAAACGGAAATAAGCATGCAAATTGGCGATAATTTAGTTACAATATGCCTTACAAAAGTAATATACAAGCGTATATCGTCTTTACTGTTGATCATTGAGTGTTGAGATACAGCAGTACCAGTAATTATAATTCATTCATAAGGAAAAAAATGTGCAAGAATCGGAATTAATTACCGGTATTGAATGACGATGGCATACTAAATACCCTATAAGGATTTCCTATTTTAGCATCATTGTACATTTCATCGTATTGTGGAATTTTTCGCGATATCAGTATAATTTTCTTAACGCTAGTATTTAATTAGGGGAGGACTGAGAAAGCGAAATGTAGAATGAGATATAGAGGCAAAATAGATGATGTTTGTATGTATAAAAGTAGTAGCTTATCGTTGCCATTTTGATAGCAAAGGAGTATCGATAGCAGCATACGATGTGCAAAGAGAGATTTATTATCAATAACGATAAAAAGATTGCAAAGTTTATCTTTGCAGTAAATCATGAAAGTATCAACAGTAATAAAGAAAATCTGCTATCAAATTTGGTTATCTTTATAGAACAAATCAATCTAAGAATATTTCATCAAAGTTACTCTTTAAGATGCTGCGTACAGTGACATAAAAAAATTTTGATATTGATTTATTTACATGCTATTTAACCTCAATCCACACAATTGTAAGAATAAAATGGTGTAATTTCGTCGAAGAATTGCTGATAGTGACTTTCAAGCATTCATACTATACAAATAACAATGCAAGGAAGTTCATATATGTGTACCAACTATTTTTTTCCTAGAGACCACAACATTAAGCTGCAGAGATAGGATGATATATATATACTTACTAAGTGCTTTATCACTCAGTGGAAAATATTTCATATTTGTACATCTCGTGAAAATAGCAAACCTCAACAAATTTGCTCTTGTGGACCAACAACTGTATCACAAATTTGCATCATAACACAATCGTAATCTGATCTTATTTTCTATTGTCATTACCATAAATATCTATTCAGTTTAATACAGTACTAGACTTTGACAAATGATAAAAGGCAAATAATTAAAAATGTACATGCTCCATCACGAATCTTATAATACTACGAGCTTTAGTCAAATACGCAAATCAACATCTTCATATTTTCGATTGGAGATTTGGTATTAGCGTGCCAATTAAGGTATGTCGATCTATAAATTCAAGTTTTTTCCACCCTGGACTTTATAATTTCATTGCATTTAGGTCATTTACAAGTATCCTCAATGATTTCGGGACAGAAATACTGCAATTTCCCTGAAAATGATCCAAGAATTTTGATTCTCAGAAATGATAACTTTAATGCACTTGACAGGAAAATCGAGTGGCCTATCGAGATCATTGCAGTCAGCTACACCATCGATAAATTCGGAGGTCACTGTTACAAAATTCTTATGACAAACATATTCCCCTGTGACCAAAGACATTCAAATTTAGTGCTACTTTTAGTTGATAATTAATTATCTATAGATAACAATAAATGTAGGATTTATCAGTGCATAAGGAAAGCTTTACTAGCTTGGAGTAAGCCGATAGAAAACCTACCATTTACTTTTTGAGCAGCAGTACCGCTGACTCGAATCTCGGCAGAGGGTAAGATATCCTTCTTACTTTTGTCCATGCCAGTAGCAACGACTAGACGCTTTATCCGATGCTCAACATGGAATTTAATTAACAGTGTATCACCTTTCTGGGGGTTTGCAGCCCAAAAGTATCCAGGTGATTTGCCGTAACACAACTCTGGTGTATGCTGTTTAAAAACCTTCATTGTTGATGTAACAATAGCTGGTGGATTATCACCTATTTAAAAGATGATATAAAAACTGATGTTACAGACATGATACAAAATCAATAGAAGCAATAGCACTGGCGAACATTACATCATCTTGAAATGATTAGATTTAAAATATTATAAAAGAAACGAAGCAAAAATTTTTCATGATACCTCTGTATTCACGTTCAGTTTCTATAATTTCGAAATATTTGTCTTTAACGTCTTGCGTTTTATTATTTGATGAATAGTATCCGACATGCTGAAATACAGAAGGAGTTCGCAATCTTGATTCTATTTGCATATTTATTGAGTTGTAAAATCGGAATAAAGCATCGATTGGTTGCTCTCGATACATGAAGTAAGCAAATTTAGCAATTAAATTGATTTCTGATACTAGATACAATTTGCCAATTGACCCAAGCTCACAAAAATCTAGTGATACCCATGATCTGGCTTGCTGATTGATAAAGTCTTTAATAGCAGCCAGATAATGAGGCGCGGTGTCTACATCATCATCTAATTGCAAATAATACTTTGCAGATAAATGACTGCAATATGCCATTAAATAAGAGTAATCTAAAGACTGCTTTTGGTGCCATCGAGTTAATTTTTTAGATTTATTGAATGAACCACCTTCGTTCTCTTTGCTGTTATACAAAAAGGCATTAGGATAAAATGACCGTGGAGATTGAATGATTTGCAACAAACCCATCTCAATGTATTTAGAGAAAGTATGAGATAGGCTTTCAGCTCTTTCGCTACGAATCTCAGGATCGAAATCCGCCAAGAAAACAACAATAACTACTTCTGGATAATCATCAGGTGTCAGGTGTCGAATCAACTTAGTAATTGTGGCCTCAATATAATTTGCTTTAATTCTTTTAATTGTTGGGATTCCAATGGTAATGAAAGCTAAAAAATTTATTGAACAGAGGATAATTAGAATAGTGCCGATACAAGTATGAACTGCTAGCTGATTCCACGCAAGAATTACTTTACACTTTCTTGCTTCTTTATGAAAAAGTATTGAACTAAACTCATAACACTTAAAACTATACAATATTAATGCATCTGGTAATGGAATTACTGAATTGTGCACGAATACATTTAATTAACTTGAACTATTGCTAAATTTGGGTAGGGAACAATTTCTATGATCACAGCTAGTGAAATGATTAATGATTGATTCAGTTTGGTAAATTCCCAAAGTATGAACATCTTTACCTTTTCTCTTCTCAAGTATATGCCCGTACATTAAGGCATATTTTTTCTTGACCTTAAACTTTCCATAAGGACACCCAAGAGGTTTTAAACTAGAACATCGGTCTGGGGCTGTTTGACCGGAACCATATATATCGTCGTCTTCTTCATATTCGTCCCCAGCGATTGAGCTTTTCTCAGGAGGGCGGGCTATTACACTTTTTTCTTGGAAAGCGCGTAATGCGCTCATTAGTGCTTGCTTTTTGTGGGAGCATTGACTACCATTGGTGTTACCTGTTATTTTAATTACAATTATACTTAATTAAGATATCCAAAAGATATGTATAGTTAGAATGTACGAACGAAAGTCGTTCCGGTTTCTGTTGCGATTATTTTTAATTAGCTACGTTTATAAATAAACAAGTAATAGCTAATCATGGCCAGTATACGTTAAGATAGTTGCAGAATTGGATAAAATGGCACGATACAATTAATTTGGTATGAGAAGATACTGAAAGGCATAAATAGTATATTTTACAGAACTTGCTGTATATTATCATATTATAAGAGGGTTTATATTGTAGTATTAAGCAATAATGTAATAGAAATTACAAATTTTTATCCTAAGTATATGCATAAAGTACACTTGTTTATAATCAAGGAAATATCTTGACGTCAGTTTCTAAAGATAGTACCATATACTGAATTATAGAATGACTAAAGTCTACCAAGGACTTTGGAGATTTCATAGGGCAGACCATTTTACCTATCGAATACTAAAACGGTGCGAAGAGTGGAATATTCACAAGGAAATGATCAAATTCGTAAACCTGAAAAATTATTTACGATCGATGATACCAATCTACAGTATATTGCAGGTAAAATTGTGCTACATAAATTTTTCAGTAGAATGAGAGATAATTAAAAAGTTAACTTCTACTTCATAAAATCGGTCGCTGTTATGATAGCGTAGCGTAGTCTAATTAATAAATGAGCCAGGAAATGCAAGTCAACGTCCGATGTTGATATTATAAACAATTCTAATTGGAAAAGTTACATGGCCTCAATATTAATTAATTATCAGTTTCAAATTTAAGTAGTCCGGTGAAATAGAAGAAAATAAGTTAGCAATCATTTTATAACACTTCGAGGCATCGTTTGTTACAAGCAATTAACGACGAGTTATTCAGGAAAGAAATAAATTAGTCAGTAAAGTTGAGACTACAGGCTAATTTTGAATAAAATTTATAGGCCTTAATATTAACGATATTGATTTAAAACTTATGGCGATGATGACAAAGCCCTCTATGTGATAATTCAACGTTGTTACTTGTTACAAGCACTTGAAGGACTATTAAGGTAATCGAAATCAAGTCGATACATCAAGTTATAGGCTATAGCCAGAAAGCCATAAGACCATTTTGGTGACACAGATAAGCACTCATTAGTAATAATTTGACGATTTTGCTTTTTAGAACTATTTTTAGAGAAGTACTGATAGTCAAAATATCATTAGTTTTCATGCTGGTATAGTTGGAGTCTATCGAGTCTGACTATCGAAATTGTCGATATGTAACTGTACAAGCTACTTTGCTGGTAAGAAAGAAACCCTAGTGCCACGTTATAATCCAACATGCGCTCAACTAATGGCTGCTGCAAAATCAACCATAACATCCAAGCCCATTATTATACTTTGCATAATATTTAAATATGCTAACATAGAAATAAATAATAATATAATTAGGAGAAAATAATATTATTGCATGGCACTAATTCTATTTTCTGTTAAAACTGATAACTGTCATCAAGCAATGATGAGGATGGATGATTCATCAAAGTAAAGGTTGATTCCAATGCCTTTCCTAGACACATCTAATACTACCATAGTGAATGAACATAAATGCCAATGTTAATTTACTACACATTTACCATAAATGGACAATGAATATGTAAATATTGTATACGTATGATTGATGTGTACGGGGGCGCTCTTACAAAAGTAAGTTTTAGTCTATGGTTTATTGTACACTGACAAGCATACCTAATAGTACTGTGTATGTAATCGTTGTTGTATTAATAAGGAATGTACCGTATATAATCAAGGCGCGAACTTCAGTTAGTTTAGTAGTTCAGATCACAAGGATTGCGACTTTAGTTGTTGATTCTAATATTTACTACAACATCAGAAGTAGGGTGATCAATACCTATACGATTCTCGCGATTAAAGCCGCTTAAGTCTTAAAATATGCTGATCACTTTAAAATTTACGGCGATTACCACGACTGAATAATGATAAATTAGCATTTATTTTTACTAATTTAAAATATTTGATAACATGATATACTGAACATAATGAGTAATTCCCATGATATAGTCAAAGTCATCATTGCAACTGTTATTAAAATATGATAACGATTACGATTACAATTAGTAGTCGAATTTGCTTTCGGTACAGTAAATTCGGTGCCTTATTTTTACTAGTAGCGATACAGTTATATCGTACATTAGTTAGCAAATGTGATCCAAATAGGATTACGATTACGATTCCGTCTCACTTTATTTTCGGGATAGTAAATTAGATATTTGTCTTTACCTACAATAGCTCCAATCAACGTATACCTTTTCTACGCGTATTTAGTTAAAAGCTATTTTGGATTCGTATTTACAAATGTTAAGTATGCATTAGCAAAATAAAACTGCATTGAACTATCAACTTAGTTAAATGTAAAGAGAAATTGCGATCTATTACTGCTGAAATTTTTGACCATTTCTTTACTTATTTCATTATCCTAACGGTACAGTATTATCAAAATAGGAATGCCATCTATTCCGTTAACTAAACAATGTACTTTGATTTTCTAATTTCTAAGAGTAATTAGTTATCATCGCGGAGCTTTTACAGTAATACAGAATGATCAAAATTCAATTCGTGTCGATTAATTAATTAATTGTGCTACATCATTATTATTATTAATTATGATTAACTTAAGCAGTCCATCTACCCTTAAGCAGAAGTGTAAGCTGTGGCATAGATTGACGTATAAAGCGTTTGTAAATCATTTTCATCAACCTTTTACACCATGCTAACTGATACATGATAACCAAAGATGAATTCAAATTGGATCACATGGTGGATTTTACACAGTGAAATGGACAATGACTAGCAACACCTATAGCGAAGTTGAACCGTTGTCATTGATTGCGGAAAAAGGCAAATTTACTGTCGATATTCAATGACTGCAATCTATTGCAACGGCAACCGCAGAGACAAAAATCAATGGAAAAATTTTCTAAGATTAGTACTGATAACTCTACTGCCTACGGTCATGACGAGAGCAAGAGAATTCGTCATTCAATGGATTGCAAGCTGCGGTATCATGGATTAGAATTATTATTTTACCACGACTAGAATAATCGAGTCGATTGGCTGACTAAAATCCTTGTCCTATCGAATACTTTATTCCGTTACTTCAACAACAAAAATAGATTGAATATGATATTGTATATACTGCTACACCAGCAGCCAGTAGAAAAGTATCAAAATAAAATGAACGCTGATATGGCAAAATATATTGCGCTAACAGGCTTGCAATTTATGTCGTTCATTTATTAAACGCCATTGAATTGAATCAATCGTTGTTCGACAGTGAAAACACGAGGTTGTATGGGGGAAAATTCAGTTTAAACGACTTTACTATTGAATTCGACCTATGTCGTCAGTGATATTCCTTAGTTCATTACTTACTGTCGAAGATGAGGAAGACATTAAGGAGAAATAAGGCAGCAATAACCACTACTTTTAAGATATTGCCTGTCTCCATACCAACATTGAAAATGGCGGAAAGAAGTCCTCACGTCAGTCGCAGCCGCTTCTCGTTGATCTACTTGTACTACACTGAAGCTTTGACAGGATATCGACCCACCCTATACTGTCGCAGTTGTACTGCTTCTTCTCATACAGATCGACAGTTGGTGTTGGATTCAGCCATGATTGCCTATAGTTATCTATAGTACAGTATGATAAGTCAATCAGGCTAAGTCCAACGTTCGATGTAGTACTACGTAGCGCATTTAAAACAGTCATAACTTAACCAAGAAGTGTTACTAAAAACGTTAGCCTACCGTACCATATCGATCCTCCACAGTGTACAGTGCACTCGGTACAGTAGTATTTACTGTAGTAAGTCTAGATTTTTACTTACAATGGCTGTCACTCTTGACAGGTGCAGAATCAGTAACCATGGTTGCAACATCTTCCCTTTCAATATTTTGCAGTGCTATTATTATTTAATTATACATTACTACTGTAGTACAACAGAAAAATTAATAATTTGATACGGTATATTGTCTATTAACATGCATTATACGAATGCGGTAAGACTAACAACATTAATTTCTACCTTTATAATACCTTACTATTTATTGTCATTATGCAAATGATGTGATTAAAGTTGAATAGATTAGAAGGTAAGAGCCTTTCGCTCATTTAAATCAACGTGGTGTTTCAAAATTAGAAGCAATAAGACTTGGTAGGTGGATAGTAACAACCCTGACTTTATCTTCAATATTTCTTTATACAAATTGATATGAATATGGCTTGGACTCGTAAGTCTCAAATAATCCGCTCATCTCTACTTTATGTTGTCATTCAGAACGCTATTAAATATGAATAGGACAACGGTTTAAGGGTGGTAACAGTTCATTTTATGCGCTATTATTTATCCTACAATTTGCTGTAGGCAATAATTAAAGAAAGGACTCGCACAAACAGCGTCCCATCTCGGTATTTGGAGCAGGCTTTTATTTCTATATTATAGCTGTCAATGGTGATGCATGTTTTAGACACTTCTACCTTGCATCGACACGCATCCACTAACAGAATGCTTCATCATATAATATATGTACAGTATACCAAGTCAAACATGTGAGGCATACTACCGTATTAGCTGTAAGTGCAGCTACTCGGTTTATCAATGGAGCTTTGAACGTAGTAAGTAAATACAAATATTTAGTTCATTATACTAGCTTGCTAGAAAAAAAAACAGCTAGGATATTGGTAGAGATTCAGCATACCATAATCCTGGATTTTTGTGTATACTGTACATACAGCAACCATCTATTTTATTATTTCAGGTATACTTAATTTAGACAGCGTAAATGTAAGATTAGCACGCAATCCTCATTCAAAATAGATCAATACTAGTGCTTTCAAATATCATTATCTCCGTAACATACATCCAATTAATTCTATTTTATTGGGCAAGCGGATTTATTTTGCTCTCTCATAAAAAGAACATAAGCGATCAAATGACATTCCGTGATAAAAAAATCAGTCACAAATACTCTTGGCCTACATATTACAAACAAATCAATTTTAAAACATATCCTTGGGCGTAAATATCGGACTATTTGGCTGCTTGGCTCGCATATTCATGTTTCCAACAATTACCGTACAGTATTCTACAAGAAAGTTCTAAGCTAAAGTAGTGTTCGATTTGTGAACTAACGAACTGACTTTGTCGACGTACATTACCCGCTAAAGACATAAAGTGAAGCCACTCTATTATCATGCATCGATCTGGACAGCTAAAAACTAAGATAAACTGATTTCTTTCGTCCACTATACTGTCACTCGCTTCCATTACATTAATTTACTACTGCCCGACGATCATCTTACGGATCATGTATTGCAAAATACCGCCGTGTTTAAAGTACGTAAGTTCAACATCAGTATCAAAGCGTGCCTTAACTGTAAAGGAGCGGCCATTATCCAGCTGATTAAGCGTATCATAAAAAAAAATTAACATGACCATTAGTTTTGAAAAACAATCATTTGATTATGACAATACACGAAAAACAATCTTACCGTGACATCTACTAAGTCGCCTGGCTTCAAATCTGATGGAATCGTTATAGTATAACTTTCTTTACCAGTTAAACCGAGAGATTCAGTTGATTGGCCATCAATATATTGGAGTGGTACAATACCCATACCAATTAAATTGCTCCTATGAATTCTTTCAAAAGATTCACAAATAACTGCTTTGATTCCCTATAGGCATATAAGAAAAATTATAGTTACATTTGAAAAATCAGTAGATACAGATGAGAGTAAAATCAAGGTGCAACATAAAATTCGATAACTCTCTTTACTGGATGAAAAGATAACCAAAATTTCGAAATACTAGATGTTAAGCTTTTTAGTAATCCCTGATAAAATATACGTAATTCTTACCAGAATCCAGGGGCCTTTGGCTGCCCAATCTCTAGATGAGCCTGATCCATAATCTTTTCCAGCCAAAACAATTAAATGACGCCCTTCCATGAGGTATCGTTCCGAAGCATCAAATACGTCCATCTATCCAGGATAATCAGTCTAGCATCAGCAATGTAACTGCAGTGTATTGGGAATAATATAATAAAGATACAGATCATAGCATAGCAATACCGTTTCACCGGATGAAATGTAAACTGTTTTAGGTGCAGCCTTTCCGATAAATTTATTTACTAAGCGAATATTGGCGAAAGTCCCGCGAGCCATAACCGCATCATTACCACGGCGGGATCCATATGAATTGAATTCACGCGGAATCAATCTTTTTTATAATATTTAAGAGGGCAGGTAGCATAAAATTAATTATTATTAACTTATATAAACAAAAAGAAGTAAAACCGTACACAATCTTGCAAAGTGATATAACAAGCGACAATGTAGAGTAACAATTACACGTACCCTCTCCCAGCTAGATAACGCGCTGCAGGACTATTTCTGGCTATACTACCCGCTGGAGATATATGATCAGTCGTGACAGAATCTCCTAAATTTAGCAAGACGGCAGCATTTTGAATGCTTTCCATAGATGGTACTTCCTTTGCCTAATGAAAGCAATTCAATTAGCAAATAATATTTAGACAGCTAACACGAATGATACCCAGCTACATATGCGCCATACCATTCTTAAGAAGAAAGGCGGGGATTTGATATAGGTTGATTTTTCATCCCAAGGATATAGCATCGAGTCAGGAGTATCTAAAGCGTTCCATGCTGGACTTCCTTGTTGAAGTCGGTCGTATACTTCGCTGAACATTGCTGGCAAGACATGTTTTCTCTCTACTTCCTACATAGTTAAGAAAATTTCCTAATTAAAATTTACTAGCATTACCTCTTTCTTTTTATCGATATTGCTAAAGTCATACCTGCACTTGTTCTCTGGTAGGCCAAATATCTCGCAAGTATATGTCCTTTCCGTCAGTAGATTTGCCTACATAATGACAGTGGAAAAATCTGATGTTAATTAAAATGTAAACGATAAAGTTGATGCCATACACGTACGGTTTATCACCGTAGATAGTGCTATAAAAAATTATGCTTGGAAAGGAGTTTTCAACAAATTGTTACTAACCAATCGGTTCCTTTTCGAAATCAATATTAACAGTTCCAGCCAATGCATATGCTACAACAAGAGGGGGTGAGGCTAAATAATTTGCTCTAGTTAACGGATGAATGCGACCTTCAAAGTTGCGATTTCCAGATAAAACACCGCAAACAACTAAATCCTCCTAAAATTTTTGAATGAAATTTTATTCATTTAGTGACATTGATGAAAAGGGTAGCAATATAAATAAAATAAATTTTACTTGTTCTATGGCAGCTGCAACAGGATCAGATAGAGGGCCGCTATTGCCTATACAAGTCATGCATCCATATCCAACCAGATCAAATCTATTTAAATGAGCATGCAAATACATCGTTAAAATTTATCTTTCAGGTGAAAGTTCGAATTACAATGAATACGAATTGACAAAGCAAGAAGCCAACGATTTTATTTTACCCCAATTTTGCTAATGGATCCAGTACACCACTCTCTCTTAAATAGTAAGTAACTACTCCCGAACCTGGAGATAAGCTCGTTTTGATATATGGTGCTACGTTTAATCCGCATTCAACTGCATTCTTAGCAAGCAAACCTACAAATTAAAAATTGTATTATATTTCAAATTAGAATAATTATAAAATAGGTGTACATTATGCTCATTTCTTACACACCTGCTCCCAACATAACAGATGGATTACTTGTATTAGTACAGCTAGTAATTGCTGCAATGACAACAGAACCTGCAATACCCAATAGACATTCAGTTGCCTTATTGTTTCATCTTTACAATACATCAGTACTAATTATTAAACGTTTGGTATAAAATTCTACCGTGTTTGAGGGTGAAATTTTCGTTATTGAAAGTAAATTGAGACTCCTTGCATTGCTTTTCAGCTGAAATATGGAAACCCTTGAAGCCGACTTTGTTATCCAAGCATTGCTGGAAGTCTGCCTTCATGTCGCTCACAGAAACGCGATCGTGTGGTCTTTTAGGACCAGAAACGCAAGAAACAACGTCGCTTAAATTTAGTTCAATAACCTGAAATCATATTAATCATCAATGAGTATCGGTTTAAAGATAAAGTCACATTATGTACTACATGTTATATACCTGGCTAAAAATCGGATCTTCATCTGGATTACTATAATTTCTGAACATTTTCATTTCTTTCAGGTATTTTTCAATATATTCCAATTTCTTCTCAGAGCGTCCTATAGTATTAACTCACATCGTAAGATTTGATAGCAGATATGATTTCAGTTAAATACTCATACCTGTCTGTCTTAAGTAAACGATACTTTGGCCGTCCACCGGGAAATAGCCAATAGTAGCTCCATATTCAGGACACATGTTCGAAATGGTAGCACGATCGGCAATCGATAGTTCGGAGACACCAGGACCGAAGAATTCTACGAATTTTCCAACGACACCAATTTGCCGTAAATGCTATTTTTTTGAAGGATGACACTCAATAAACTCTTGTAATCATAAATTATGATCTAATGCGAAATGACTTACTTTTGTAATTGTGAGAACAGCATCGGTTGAGGTGGCCATTCCTGTCATCTTACCGGTTAGCTTATAACCAATAACCTTTGGTAATACCATACTGATTGATTGACCGAGCATAACAGCCTCAGCTTCAATGCCACCGACACCTACAGTGAAATTTTCGTCATTTATAATAGTGGGTTTGATTAGTGGTGCATCAGCTAGAATATATAACATCAACGTATAATGAAAGGTAATTGTAATTTTTTACCCCATCCAACAACGCCAAGACCATTAATCATTGTTGTGTGAGAATCTGTTCCTACCAAGCTATCAGGATATAACATTCCATCCGTGTTAAAGACTGCGCGAGCTAAGTATTCCAGGTTGACCTAAGACAAGATTTAAAGATGATAATAACTATCCTATTAGTGTGTATTTTTAATCACTATAGGTATACAAATGTTACAATATATAATTGTACTTTGTAAACTGAGGTTATAAACCTTTAAATGATTGACAACTTTTGGATAAAAGATATAACAAGGAATAAGATGGAAAGCATAGCTACGTTACAGTAACTATTTTGAATATTAAAGAGCAATGTAACTACCTGATGGACAATGCCTGTTCCAGGTGGGACGATAGTCAAGTTTTTGAACGCTTTCGCACCCCACTACAATTTAAATTATATTATTGAATTGAATTTTATAGTATGATAGAAAAGTTGGTTAATTGGATATAATTTATCAACATTTTAAGTGCATTTGCACCTTCAAAAATTGAAATCTTTCTTTGTTCCGCTCCATTTCCAACTTATGATTCTCTTTTAGGGCATCTTGTCTATGATTGGTGTAAGGAGTCAGATAACTGTTAATCAAGAGCTTAGATTTTGCTATGACTTATTAGTGACTGTTTAAAATTACTTGCTATAGAAGATCAATAATGAAGGCTCTAGAAACAAATATTACACCGATAACATTAGGTATTTACCTTCTAGATACGTCAACCTGTACCGAATGGTCGATTACGAGATCCGCAGGGCAGACTGGGTTAATAACAGATGGATCTCCACCCAGTGCTTTTACTGCATCACGCATCGCAGCGAAATCTACAACTGCCGGTACCCCACTAATGAAATACAAAGTAAAAACTATTTGCATGGTCCCCACTTTTATAATTATAGTCTATATACTGTACTTGAACTGAACGCGCTAAAAGAGTGAATTATTTTTGCATATAATACATATATCGGTTATAATTGCCAGAAAGTAAGAAAAAGCTTACGTGAAATCTTGCAAGATAACTCGAGCAGGTTTGAATGGGATTTCAACATCCTGGTTTTGATTATCCTGCCAATTTAAAATATTTTCTACATCCTTTTCTTTGACTTGAAAATTATCGCAATTTCTAACCGCCGATTCCAATAATACTCTGATGGAGAAAGGAAGTTTATCTAGAAATTGTAATTTGCAAAACAGTTTAGGATTGCGTAAAAGTGGAGAATGAAGCCTGCTAATTTTGTAGCGTCTTTACTATAGACAGTATCTAATCTAAAAAATATTAAATATTGGGTGTATTTCTTTCCGCGGTCAACTTATCCAATATGAACTGTAGATATTTGACCATGGTCACTATTAGGTATGTAACCATTTCGATTTAATGGGCGAAGTTTGGCACAGAGCAAACCATTAGTATTTTCACACAATAATTTCGAATTTTAAAGCCTTACCATATCGTCCATCATTAAGATCTGGCAAAGAGTAAAATTGGAAATTTTCTTCTCCAATTTGAGTATTTTTCAATATTCGGTCAAAGGGATTAGCTGAAGTAAAAATAAATAAATATTTATTTTGTTAGTACTTGATAACGTATTGTCCTGAATAAGTGATAGTGTTGTAAATCGGTTTATACCGTAAATTAATTAATTATTCAACAAAACTAACAGGCCGAAAACATCATATATTCACTGTAGCAATTTTTAGGGCGCAAGGTGCTGTACTCTTTAGATTAACACATGGATAATTTTTGGGCAGTGTAGAGTATTGTTGACAAGATGCAACCAATAGTAGAAGTTGTAGTTTTACGCTGATAGTATTTTGTAGAATATAACTACTTACACGTAATTTATGTATATTGATTGAGTCGTTGACTTATTGTGGATTAGGAATATAAATTAGTTATTTTACTGTTCATCAAGCATCTTTTATTTTATATTGGATAGCAATAGGGATTCTTAAAACATTCATTTTTCAGTAATACTCGTTTAGCCATAATCCAATATAGTACAAAGGTTTCCAGAAAAGAGTAACAACCTGCCCTCCCCCCTCCAAAAAAATTAATTGCGAACTGCGACCCTAAATTATTAAACTACTGATACTGTAATTGTCAGCAATATTTGCTGATAACGCATTTTATAGTGAATAGCACGATTTAAAGTATAGCGTACATTTATACTTGATTGCGTTTGGACATGATGAAGAATAGTTAAATTATCCTATAATTGACGGTTGCGTAATTTTACTGTTTGATTGAATTGTTGTCTAGAATTGGTAACGTTTTCAGACACTAAATGGTTTATTGTATGTCTTCGTATAAGGGTAGAATTTATTGTATCGCCAAACTTCAACATAATACTGAATGTTTATAAGATAGAGGATGGAATCGAATTTATACGATAAAAAAAGTCCTTTGAAGTCCTGCAACTGGATTTGACTCTCTGAATACCTTTGAGAAAATATTAGTAATTTCGCTATATTGCCCTTACCCATATTGATAGGGTATTTCTCTCGTCGTGATCGTTTGTAATCGGATTATTAATCATTGCCACGATATCGAAACCATATCTATGAATACATATTGTTGATGAAAATCTGAATTTGTTGAGCTACATGTGTTGTAGGAAATGGAAACCGTTTTTTCGCTATCTTACTACCTCGCTTGAAAGGTATTAGTATCCACATAATTGTAACTTCGGATCAAGTGTATTTGTAAATGATATAGTATAAAATTTGCTGGGTTCGTCTAATGCACTTGATCCGTAACTTGTATGTTGGACAAAGCTATATACAGTGTACAATTAGAGTGATGTCAAAAAATGGTATAGTGTGTTCTTCAATAGCAAGATGTAAAAATGGGTTAACAAAGTATGATGCATGCGTATTGACGCTTTATTTCTAGGCCGACATATTGATAGATGATTTGATCATCTGTCCTCTATTGACAGCGTCAATATTTCTTCCATCTTACATTCAGGGAGTCCAATCTACTGAATACGAATTCGGGGTTATGACAGTCAATTCAACATTCACAAAGCAGAGAGGATCATTTTACAATGCCATCATGCTTGATGGATCTCAACAGTAAAAACACCCTTTTTGATGATTGCAAGCATGTTGATATCCAATCCTCTTGCAGTTCAAAGCTACTGTAAACAACATGGCTGGCTTTTCTTTGGTTCAGGCGATATGGCAAAAGATGTAGAAGTGTATAAGTAATTCCATGATTCAAACTAGGACAGTACAATTCAACAGAACAATTGGATGTTATTTCTATTGCTCTACTATACCCATCTTGGACAGCGATGTGATTCTATCAACACTGTCCAAGAGAGACTGTGGTCTCCATCTTGACTCAATCGATCGACGTTGAGGGAAAAAAACAACATCTTCTACAACTCATGACAGGTAAAATGAACTCGATTCTTACATCATCGATGTAGATATAGAAGTGTATAAGTAATTCCATGATTCAAACTAGGACAGTACAATTCAACAGAACAATTGGATGTTATTGCTATTGCTCTACTATATCCATCTTGGACAGCGATGTGATGCTATCAACACTGTCCAAGAGAGACTGTGGTCTCCATCTTGACTCAATCGATCGACGTTGAGGGGAAAAAAAACAACATCTTCTACAACTCATGACCGGTAAAATGAACTCGATTCTTACATCATCGCTTAACCCTAAACTATCTTACCTGATACTGGCATCTTGGCAAGCAATGGATGATCGATAGTTGAGCAAGATCAGTGGATACCGCCTTCGAATGTCTACCTTAACAGAAAAGATGGCTTTTTCCTCCAGGAGAAAGGCTTTTATAACTCAGAGAAAGGTTATTGCGTGAGAAAGGCTGTTTACCACCGTAGGTCAAGATAGTTGCCATTGCGCAGTACTGCCGTGCCCGGTACTGTACCGTGATACCTTGAGAGATGTATGACTGGATCGCCTGTATCGTATTAAGAGCTAGACTAGAGTTTCCTTTTTTCCCCTCAATCACTATCAATCTCAACACTCAGTTACTATGAAACGGTACCGTACCGGTTGGATACCATGACGGTACCGTACCCAAAGCGAGAGTTTGACCTTTCATTTTTGTCCGGCCTATCCTTACTGTCTCATACGGTTCTCTGAGCATGCTCACAGACCAGCGTTGGAATGAAATTAAACCTAACCCCGTAAGGTCGAGTTCAAGTTCTAAACGACCAATGGCAACAGCTACAGCATGCTTTCAAAATTTGCAACGACAAGTAGATCCAATGGTCGTTGCTCGAAAATAGATATCACACCCGAAACAGACTCTGTGAAGATATGGATCAGCTATTACTACTGTATTAATAGAAGCAAGTTAGAGCTTTGCTGTGAATACTGGTGTAATATGCAGGCTATCAACTATGATAATTTCAGTTTTGTCCCTATTCGATAATCATTAGAATACGGTATAGAGCTCGCAGCAAATTAAAATGACGATTTTGACTCATGTGATAGCTCAAAGGGTTGTAGCTCGAAAACAGATAGCGTACCCCAAACAGATATGGATCGGATATTACTACTGTATTAATCGAAACAAGCTAGAGCTTTGCTGTGAATACTGTTGTAATATGCAGGCTATTAACTATGATAATTTCAGTTTTGTCCCTATTCGATAATCATTAGAATACAGTATAGGGCTCGCAGCAAATTAAAATGACGATTTTGACTCATGTGATAGCTCAAAGGGTTGTAGCTCGAAAACAGATAGCGTACCCCAAACAGATATGGATCGGATATTACTACTGTATTGATAGAAACAAGTTAGAGCTTTGCTGTGAATACTGTTGTAATATGCAGGCTATCAACTATGATAATTTCGGTTTTGTCCCTATTCGATAATCATTCGAAATTTAGAATACAGTATAGAGCTCGCAGCAAATTAAAATGACGATTTTGACTCATGTGATAGCTCAAAGGGTTGTAGCTCGAAAACAGATAGCGTACCCCAAACAGATATGGATCGGATATTACTACTGTATTAATCGAAACAAGCTAGAGCTTTGCTGTGAATACTGTTGTAATATGCAGGCTATTAACTATGATAATTTCAGTTTTGTCCCTATTCGATAATCATTAGAATACAGTATAGGGCTCGCAGCAAATTAAAATGACGATTTTGACTCATGTGATAGCTCAAAGGGTTGTAGCTCGAAAACAGATAGCGTACCCCAAACAGATATGGATCGGATATTACTACTGTATTGATAGAAACAAGTTAGAGCTTTGCTGTGAATACTGTTGTAATATGCAGACCATCAACTATTATAATTTCAGTTTTGTCCCAATTAAAATATAGTATAGAGCTCGCAACTAATTAAAATGACGGTTTTTGCTCATGTGATAGCTCGAAAACATAGCACACCTCCATCCATCCTATGTCTATGGGAGTGCATGATACCGTTTCAGCTCTGTTGACAATCCAGTCAACATGGAGATGCACCTACTGGCCTTTTCATCGATGCTCTGGACTGTGTTGATAAAGTGCTAAAAAAATGTCTGCTGCGACAAACTTTCAATATTGGAGGTTTTGGCAGGCCTAACTGGCCAAGGTAATGAACTCACGCATTGCGTACATTTCTTTTCTTGTACGCGTGAGCGACAAATAGACTAGTACTACTGTAGTATATAGGGGGTTCCAGTAAATGTCGTACACGGAGTGCTTTAACTGACTCAACTCATACTGTAAAACTGTACAGTGTCCTCTACAGTAGTTGCAGCTTTACTTTAGCCGTCGACCACATTACTATTTTAACGATGTGAACGATACCAAACTGGGCAAGCAAGTATCTACTACTTCTAGCAGTCCATATTTGACTAGGGATTTCTCAACCAATTTTCACCCCTTAAAAGTCCCTGTTCCAATAACTGCCTTCATAAATCAATTTAATTTTACCCCTGCTCACTGTTCTTACAATATTTTAAAGAGCTAGGAGTAAAAATGGATTAAGAAATTGCCCGTTTGGCTACCAGACTACCAAGGTTCTCCTTGATCCCTGTATACAGACAGACAGACAGGTCGAGTTCAATAAATGGATTAGAATGATGCATAAATTTAGATTGTCCGTGTGCAATGTCCGTAACATATTATGATTGTTAAGCTAATATTGCCAACTTCTATTTTTTTAGGGCTTGTTTAGACTTGTTGAACACAATCAGGGACTGATTGCCTGGAAGTCCAAGTGTAATTTGCAGTCTAACAGTCTTATGACTCAAACATACCACACGGAATACGTTGCACACTGGCGAATTTTTGTCATCCTTGGAGGTTGAACTCATATTTTTAGCTGGAAAGTCAAATTGCGATCGGCGGGTGATTCAAATATGGACGTTGCTAGTTCAAGCAAGAGAGCCTTGGAAGAAGATTTAGGTGGATTCTATCACTCTTTTAATAGCCAAACTAAGTCAAATCAGTCATTATATATCTAGAATAAATCAAATAGAATCAATTTGCATGATGGATATTATCGTCATCATCAAGAGGACGTTGACATCATCATCAACAACAACATACATCGCAACACTTGCTTGATAATAATTATTGCTTGCCTATTTGGCTGACTAGCTCACGCATTTTCGTCTTTTTCTTTATCATATTAGAATTAGATCCTAAGCGAAGCCGATCAACAGAAGATCATCCTATCGCTACTTTCTTATCACCATGCCATTTGCTATTATATGCTGACAAACCATCTGAACTATCAGGTTAGTTTGCAATGCAAGTACAGTATGTACAATTGTACATTACAGTATACCCGTATTAGATGATGGTGGATTTTATCTATAGATAATTAGACGTGGATAATTCTATAATTAATCTATTATATAATGATTATCTACGGATATCTGTTCGATACCATAAGCTCTGACAGTACATCGTTATAATGACTGGCATCATGATCATTATTTGCAACCAGGATCATGATAAAACTGCTATCCGACGTACAGTACAGTATATTGCATACAGTAAAACACATCTCATGTCAACTGCTAGACAGGAATATTCTTCAAATGTAATGCGATAATCAGAGATCATGATTAAATAGAGATTTAATTATAATCCATAGGAGTAACTGAAATAGAAGCACAACAAAATATATTATCCAAATTGGAAGATCAAGATTCCAATAAGGTAATGCAACAGTTGCAACTGATCTAATATCTTATTTGCGTGCTGGAGTGTAGTTATATGATTTCCTTCGCAGGTTCTAGCACAGTATATTTATTATGTCTTTGTACAATTATAACCGATATCAATCAATGTACTTTTCTGCAACAAGTTTAAAGAATATGCACAAAAATTGAATAAATACAGTGTAATAATTACTTGATCTACGTAAAAATTTTCTGACATCGCTAATGCAATAGTAAAATTGCTAAAATACGCACATACGTATGTACACTCATTATTGTACGGTATATGGTAGCTATCTGTAGCGAGTTGAATTATCAGACAAACGCAATATACTGTACTGTACAGTATTATTACTAAAAACTACAATCAATCTGCAATACTGCGATGAGCTATAACTCATTGATTTCATAAATGCATGTTATACTACTTTCCTATAGATGGATTGGTTTCTCAGTAATCTAGAAGACTACCTGGACGATCAAATCAGGTAAAATTGCTCTCTTGGCATAACAAATCGACTAATATTTAGTGAACCGTAAACTGCTTTGTAATAAAATTAATGGATAATTCGAATTGCATTATAAAACTATGCTTCATTCTTTTTGGCAGACTTTATTACGCATTAATGCCAATACGATCAACAATAGAAAATTCCGATAGGTATTTGGATAATTTTATCAAAGATAATCAGAGTCATGGAAAGAATTTCCTTATGTCTACCATTTATGAATTAATTGATATCTGCGTTATATTATAATTTCGATCTAGCCATATGCGTAAATACTGTATGTTCATTTTATGTTTGGGCAACATCCTTAAAGCGATTTTATTAGTTTTAAATACAGTAGACGTTACGGGACAAGTACATTATATACAATTATTGAGTCTAAAACTTTTAATTTTTCATTCTTAAGCATTTTAGAGCTTTCGGCTGACTCACCTATACAGCTTATCTTAAGCATTAAAGAAATACAGGTGATACATGTACTGTGCTTTACTAGATCGTACTTGTATCAAATTTAAGTCGATGTATTGTTAATTTATTATCAATTTCTTATAACAATGAAAATTTTTATGAATTATAAAAACAAATTTTGTATTTATGAGGTACCGTACCTATCCACTATTCTCAGTCAAATTCAATAATTTACCTAGCCATCCTTGTCTTTTTGTAATAAATTACAGGATAAAGTAGTCGATGTTTTACTCACAAAATTAATGGAGGTGATGTATGAAGACGACATGTAAGTATAGTATATCTGTTCCTTTTAGATGCCATAAGCAGATATAAGAATATTATAGTTGTAGCTTACTTTACGAAAGATTACTAGATAAAGTTTTTAAAATTACAATATATCCTTGGATCCATTGTACTTTTTTATTATACATTTCCGATAAACATAAAACCCATATTTAGTCAAATGTAACTCTTGATTTACATACCTAATATTTTAATTTATATCTTTACTTAGAGTTATTGAAGAAGCAAATATAACCTGTAATATGGGATTATTGCTTATCCGTCAATTTAAATGGATGAATTATCCGATTGATTCTATGGTAAAGTATTATCCTATACATCAAAGTATATCAAGTAACTTGATATGTTGTAAAATCTGTTAATACTGATAATTCTATTATTGCGTATCTTGGGAATAAATGCATTTAAATAATATAGGATGCCATTAATAAGTTATTTGAGACAGTTAAAGTTTTGCCAAAAAATTTGCAAAAGGAAATGATAAAATTACTACCAGAAATGATTAATGATGATAAACATGAGCAAATTGGAAAACTGTTAAGGTAATATTTATCTCTAAATTAAATATCAACAATATGATTGAAATAATAATTTTGTTCTGAATGGATGACCACAAATTATTCCTTGTTTATAATTTTGTTGTGGTCAATCAATAGCTTTGTATCACCGTGAACGCAATTAATTTATTTAAATATTTTAAACAACTGTCATTTATTCTTCGTCTCTAGACAATTTCAAGATTGTAATGTACATCTAATTGGATCCATCATTGCAGCCTTAGCCAATTTGAATATACACTCTCAAATGGAGACTGAAGTTCGTATATTTTGTTTTTATTACATCTTATCTTATATCGTACTATACTTGTAAGCTCTTTAACAGTATCTAATTGAATCTATAATTCAGATTCGAGAATCGTTAGCCAAGGGGTTACGATCTTTCAATTTTGAAGACTTACCAGACGTACTCCGGTTTATTCTGCAAAGCGTTTCTAATAATACTGCCGCTGCAGTTGAGGTATTCAATATAAACCCTTGATAAAGTGCAATCTGTTTAATATTTGATGTGATTTTACATTGGAGTAACTCGCTCACTATAATCTTAACTTTTCATGTACCTATGAAATTATATGACACTATTAAAAACTATCTTTAAATCTCTTAGTGGTACATTATGCTCTATAATTAATTGATAGCTGCTCGTATTCTTTATTTGTTTCTTTTTAGATTATTTTGAAATTGCATAACCATATCAATTTGCCTAATCGGTCGTTGTTATTAACGACAGACATTAAAGGGTTCGTTAAACTTGAGACTAATTGAAGATATGAGCACAGATATAAGTGCTGTAGAAATCTCTAATTACATTGATGCGATAATCATATTGAACATTAACAGTTTACATTGTTTAAATGTAGAAATCAAATAAATTATATGATATAAAAGTAATGCATATTCAGCTGGGAACATTATAAATTTGGGATACAGTTATCGGTTTATCTTACTAGCTAGTCTAAATATATGCAGCCAAATACTGGATGCTAATTTTTATGACCCTAATCAACATTAGAATAAACAGTAAAACTACACGTAAATTTTTGCTACTGAAAGTTTTAATTTTAGCTATACGTTAATAGTACATTATAACGAATAGCTCCAACTAATACTTATTCTAAATATTAAGTATAGTGCATTTCGAAGGTTCGATTGTTTAGGATGTTAAAATAGTAATTTTATATTTCAGATATTCTATTTAGCGCATTATGTAGTCTTCGCTAGACACATCATATATTACAATAAAACTTAAAAACTTTTTCTGTGTTTTATGTGATAGCAATGACGGATGTTACAGTTCGTTACTTGCTTAATAACTTCATTCATGATATTTGATTATGTCATTGTACAGCATTTAGATCTAAGCGTTGATGTTGTGCAGATCTCATATGCAAACCTATATTATACAGTTTTTACTACCTTTTTTATTTAATTAAATGATGTTGCTAATATTTTTGCATTTAGTGATGCTATTAATTCATGTGCTGAAAATCTACTAGAAGTGCTAGAAACTACTATTCGTTTTAAGAAATCTATTGCCGATGGTTGGATTAAGGTATTATAATTTTTAGACATTTTAAAATAGAAAATCAATCGAATAGCGGTGTATTCCGGAAGGACCATATTTTTTAATATGATTTCGAAATTCTTTGGCTATGTAGGTTATTGATTCCTTGATTGCAACAACCGATCTACATGTTAGTTATCAGCAATATGTTCTCATTATAATTCACATATGCAGAAAATTTGATGAAAAGTAAAATTAATTAATCTTAACAATTAAAAAAACTTCTTTAATAGCTTACCGATATCTTCGTCCTATTTATTGCTCATTCACTGCCCAATTATCATCGATCTATCATCAAAGTATTTAAAAAGAAGTCTAAACATTACAAATTTATTACAAGTCTCCTTTCTTTGTGCTTCAAAGACTACTATCAGGTATGCATTTTTCTCTACGTATGATGATTCTTTTTGGATACAATATATGGGTTATTGCAATGCATATATTTATTTTGATGTTTCTGTACATGAATAGATGATACCTCGCTATTTAAGAAGTATATTGTCCATTGCCGACACCCTTTCTCAATCATCTCAAGATGTTATAAGGGATTTGGGCTGTCACTTCTATATTTTAATATTCTCTATGAATAATACGAGCTACCAGCAGGTTAATTTAAATCCATTAATTATGTTAAAAATTACCTTTTACCTCAATTACGTTTATACTTGGTGAGGGTGAACAGTACACAATAAGATTTATTCAAGCGTTGCAATTAAAATCTTTTATCGCAGGAAGTTATTGGTTGTTTACTAACGCACATTGGCAGTGGAATCGAATATGAAGCTGATTCTGCATTAAACGTTTTAAGACAACTTGCAGTAGAAAATCTACAATCATTAAAGGCATTCTCAGTGCTCATTCTGGTTAGTGAATATTAGATCATCAGATGATATAGTTTTAGTCGTAATTAAAACTCGTTACTAGTAATACTGACCCAAATTTAATTGACAATAGGGTGTTATGGAATTTATACATTTATTAACGGATTCTCAAATTAGGGCATTGTATTTTGTGCTTTGCCGAATCGCTTTCTCTGAAAATTGTAACGATTCCATTCAGGTTACAAGAAGTTGCTGAAAACTTATTCTACAAATTACTTAATAGTATTCTGGTTTCATGAAATTTCTTTTTATTGTGACTGCGCTTGAACGTTTCATTTTTTTAACTCTAAAGTTACTTTTGTTTTTCATGCAGGTATTTAAATGGACAAAGCTAATTGTAAATTTTTTAAATGCTACGTTTATTTGTCATTCTAGGATGATATACACATTATACTTCGTAAACAGTTAACGCACAGTAAAATAAAGTAAGCATGAGCATAGATTCCAGCGTTAACTTTACCAAAATTTGTTATAGAGGTTTTTATTGATTTTAATTCATATCGTAGTAGTATTTATTCCTTTGATGTTGATGATATTATCATAGTTACCGGCTGATGGGAGTTACTGGCGGAACAACAGCAGTTTCATGTCTTGCATCGCAGAATTCTAAGTACGACAGTATTTGGAGATGAAGTTTAGGTTGAAATTACTGTGGTTTACTTTCTAATATTTATTGACTTATTGCATTTATTCATTCGTTATCTATAGTAAAGATCAAACTGAAAACAGTAGCAGCAATGGCCTAGCTGGTAATGAAAGTGCACTAAGTCAGGTATACAAAATATAAATTTGAAAAGCTTTGCCTTCAATGGTCCTGTGTAATGCTAATCCGATGTTTGCATATTTAAATGGCGGATCGGGCACCCGTTGCATTCTGGCTGATCTTTCTAATGAAGCTATTATTTCTAAAATAGGCAACAGAATTACTTGAACTATTATATAAAAGTTGCGACGGCATTCCTGAAGTAGCAGCTTTATTATATGACGAACTTGCAGGCATTATTACCAGCGACAATATTAGTATAAAAGTTAAAGTAATTACGTTTAATTATAATTTTATTAACTTTGTATATCTTGATCGTTGGTTAGGAGACCATAAGCTCACAATTTAAAAAAAAATCTGCATAGTCGTCATTGTAGCTATGAGTTTAGTCACCTTCAAGTTATTTATGTAAAGAATCGTATTTTATGTCTTTACAGACATGGATTAATGAATTGATCGTTACAACATTTCAAGAAAGTTACCTGGTCGATTTGAATGAATTACCTACCTGGTAATTACAGGCAGCTATTTGTACATTTAATTGAATTTAGAGTGAATTACTTGAGAATATTTCTAGCCGGTTGAATAATTGTAGTTTTCTGATTCTGTCAGCGATGAATTACCGACATGTTTAAAATATGGACTAGACAACCCTGAAGATAGTAGTATTGCGGTTAATTTGTTACCGAAATTGGTATCTGAGTTAAAAGGAGGAAGTTTTAGTGAAAAGTAATTAAACTGGATATTGCAATATTAAGTTTAATTTCAGCAATAAGTTTTAATAAAGATAGCTTATTTATAATTGTTTTATTAGCATATCGACATCATTTGCAAGTTTTGCATCTCAATTCCATTTATTATGGATTTGTGAAAAATATCAGCGAGGAAACCTCGACGAAATTGATGCTCTTTTAGGTAAGCCAATTGTATAGCTCTTGCGTATCGTAAAAGTAACTTGTACATTAAATAGTCAATTTACTTTTCATAACGGAATATTAAACTGCCTAATTTATTTTAATATTGGAAATAAGGATGTCCTATAATTTTGGCTGATAGCAATAAGATAGAAACGTTTTCAACTTTGGAAACGGAACTGCAAATTGCAATATGTATTTCTCTTATTTATTGCTTAAACTGGTTCAGAGAAGTAAGCCAGCGTAATACTTTTCATTCTATTTACTTAGCTTATTGATGGTGACTAAGATGTAATAATATCTTGAACTACTAAAAAGTCCCTAATAGTATTCAGCATGTTGTTCATTAGCATTCTGTTTAATATTTCATATGGTAGGTAATAGGAGCTTTTGCTTCCTACGACGATGCCGAAGTGAAAGGGAAAATTTTATCTCGAATTAAAGGCATGACTGAGCTCGAAACTGATTTGATTAATCTCTTAAATGGTAAAGAATAATGTAATTTTGTGATGTTCGATGTTGTTAATATAAAATTCATTTTAAACATTTGCTTGCTAGGCATTTTAGTCATACTTGGATGTATTATTTACTTTGTAGATTGCCCATCGTGTGTACCAGTTATAAAGAAACTTGATTTCTGTGCGTTTAAGAAATTACTTGATGTCGAAAAACCACTTAAGCTACAAATAGCTAGGTAAAATGAAAATAAATCTTACATTACATTCGTTAGATTTGTTGGTTGCCTGCCTTGCCTTACGGCATTATAATACCTTGATGGCTGCGAAGGTGTACTTAAGTTTTAAATTCTTTTATTGTGACTTAATTTTCACTTTTTCTAATTGTAGAAAGAAAGAAGGCAAAGAAAAGGAAAATATTGTAAGTCTATTTCCGTATACTCCGATTATACTCGTATGCAATAATCTAGTTTTTGGTATGCAACTCTCAATGATTTACTTAGCCTTTCAATGACTGTTTTTGAAAAGTCTATGACTCAGGATCTCAAGAAAGCTGCCACTAAGGATAAAGTTACGGTTACATTAAATAGATGTTATTTAAGGTACGAAAAAATTGCATTTCCTTTCATTTTTTGGTCGATTGCCAATCGAACAAATACAATGCCTTCAGTTGCTGTACGACTAGCTAGATAGAATTTAACCATCTATATTCTGAAATTTCGCTAATGGTAGGGAGCTTAGCATGGATGTTTTTAACATTTTATCGTGTGGAAAAGTTACGTGCTCAATTTTAGACTCAGGGTTAAATACCGAAGTAAGTTTTACTGCGTAAATAGCAATTAGTTCAATTGCATCAAAATTATTTTATGTGAGTAAAAACAGTCTTAATTGATAAAGACTATTTGCTAATTCTGATGCCATACTAAATTTAATCTGGTATTTATAGAGCGTCACTGTGATTGATATACAACCAGCTCAGCTAGAACTCCTTTTACAAGATTTATGTATCAAGCTGTCTGTCAAATTTAAAATATATTCCTTAATTCCAGAATCAAAAAAGGTTCCATCTGATTCCAATATTTCGATATAAAAGTTATGCTTTTCAGCAAATCTATTCTTATTTTTATTATTAATACCTTACTTATGATTTGTGCACGTAGATTGACCGTCAAACAATGAGGCTGTTTTCAAGATGGAAGCCCGTCGAAGTTGGAAAATTTTTTGTTCAGCTGATCCCTATTATATGCCAAAATTTAGAAGCTATTCACGCTAGCCTACTGGTAAATTGCGTATTAGTGATTAGTGTAGATATTTTAGTTATAGCCTAGAGGAATTCATAACTCTTTTAAACTAATTTACGAGATTAACTTGTGACTAACGATATTAATCATGCGAATTGCATTTTACATGTTTGATTTTAAAATTATTATTACAGAATGAAGAAGACAAAGAAACTGATGGAGCATCTGATACGGAATCCATCATACTAGATGATGCCGTCAATATACACATTGTATCTAGTTATTCATATTTAATTACTTGTTTGGTCTTATTTCTTGAATGGTAATGGAATAAAGTCAATTACTGTATTAACGGTTATAGAAGCTACTTGAATCAAATCTTAAATTAGTACGTTAACTTTATTCCATTATTAGGAGCGTACTTAGTCAAGCTGAAAATCAACAGATGAAACGAGATGCGTTGACATGCATTGCTTCTAGAACAAATACAATCAACAAAGATACGCCGATAAATGACATTGTAGGGTAAGTTATATTAGTTTTGCCAATTTAAATAATCGACAACATTTCTACTATTAGTCTGTTTGAACTTATCAAACTTTATCCATAATTGGTATGATGCTACCTTACAATCCACTAGATCTTTGATTTTTTGTTATTTGTATATGCAATGTAATTACTTTTTTGTAAATAACAGGAAATGTTTTAGATATTTGGAAAAATTTCTACCATCACTCCCAAGTTTTATGTGCGCGACAAAGTTTATTCGTCTTTTGCAAGCCATAAATGTAATTAGTAATGACAAAGTATTCAATCTTGAATTAGGTGAGTAAAGGCAAGATTAGCATCTGTTCATTAGGAATTCCTAAATAATATCATTCTCTATTAAGCTAATATCACGATCTTATTTATGTAGCTACTATTATCATGCAGCATTTGAAAAGAGATTGGCCTGACAGTTCTAAATTTGCGAAATCTGTTTATAAAAAACAAATTGCATACTTACTTAGGTAATGCTCGTAAATTTCGAAATTGATGCTACTCTGTTGATGTTCTTGATCTTTCTTTAGACTATCAATTTTTCATAATCCAAATATACATTATATTTTATGAATTTTTTCGATTTGATTTCGTTGTAATACTGTTGTTTAAGCGAAGTTGTACGCGTACATTGGAAGTGAAATTATAGAGAATTATCGGATACAATACGAAATCGTTCTTCATAATCCTGTTATTAATTTTCCAATCAGACTGCATCTGCAGGCGTTAAAGGAACCCTTATCTACGTTGGAAGAAATTACAAATGAGAATTTACCTGAATCCGTTAAGAAAATTAAAGAGAAACCTTTTTCCACCTTGACGAGGTATGTGTTTACTTTTTTTCTTGCATATACTGAGTGTGTCTTGAATCAATCTAAAGGTCATAATGTGAAGGTTCTTTTCATTGCAGATCCACATTTTCGATATACTATCAAGTACTGCTTGAATTCTTGGTTGAGTCGTTGAAGAGATTAGTTATGGATGGTAGTGCTTGGCGTGGGGTACCAATAAAATTTACGATATGTTTATGGAAATTCGTCAATTCGATAGTATTTTGCATTATTAATAAAATGTATTATCGGTGACTAGGACGAATTAAACAAATTGCTCCAACTACAATCGCATTGTAACCTTCTTTATTCTATGGTCAATCTGGTGAAGGTATGAGTATGTTCCTAAAAAAGCTATTCGCTTAGGCCTCTATGCTTGACTAAGTTAAGATTGTCAGATTGGAAAAAAGGTTAGAAAATATGATAAACTGTAAATAATATCAATAATGGTCCATTTTATCTTACTTTTAAAAAGGTTCTGGGCAAACGTCCAGTTTTGCTATCGGTCATCAAGGTTTGTATTAATACAAATATAACAGTGCCGGCAGTATTAAATAATTAATTAATTAATGTTAATAGATCTATGGCACTTATTACTGTAATTTGGGTACGATGCACTAGAATAATGTAATAAAAAGGCATAAATTTCTGACCTTACAGGGTAGTCATGGCTTTATCGATGTGTTTCTCCGTTATGCAATGCCAGCATTAGATAAACTATTCAGAGCACATAAGGTTTATATTATAGTTTCTTGGCTTATGATCGTAGCTATGGAATAACACGATTTCCTATTAAATCTTAATTTGAACATGGTATAGGATATTATATTGTCTATATTAAAAGCGATTCAACAGAGTACACGCTACTTACATCATGTATGCGGTCACTCTAAGGTAATATTCGTGAAATAAAAGTTTAGAGTGCAGCAGTATTGATCTATAACATACGCATAATAGCATGCCTTGTTTGCTATATAGAATACAAGGGTTGGCGCCGTTACTAAATTTGTGCCCTTACTAAAGAAGAAGTTGGAGATATTTGTCTACAGGGTCAAGGTATATTTATGCCTTCATTTTCTCATCCAATAGCCAAGTTGCTATGATTAATACCATACTTTTATTGCATTTCATTTATATTCACGTAAATGGATATACGGTATAGATAATGTTAACTGTTAATAATTGCCATGAAGCATTTTGGGTTGGAAACCTAAAAAATAGGGATATTCAGGTTAGAAAGAACTTATAGATAGCGGAACAGGATCAGTTAACATTATATTGTGTTATTTATATAAAAAATTTTGTCATTTTATATTTAGGGTCAAGAAATCTTATCTGATACTGATGAAGTTGATGATGAATCGTCAGTTGCCGATGGCGAGGAATCGCCGAATAACTCTGATGAAGAGACTAGTGACGATGAGGTAAAGAATAAAAGGAATTTGAGAAAGCAGCGAGTTCATCATCGACTGTATTTTCAAAATACCTTTGATTTGATAATGTAGTATCTACTTGCTTGTTAATTTAATGTAAGGAACAAGATAGAAATAATCGAATAATTAAAATACTTTCTTAGGAAAACCACTTAATTAATTATTTTTATCATTACTTTTATAGTAAATTATTCTGAATTTACTATGCACTATAACACATCAAGGTACTGCTTAATTGATTTTTAAAAATTTATCATTGTAGGAGGATTCTAGTGATGCTGATGATGAATCAGGTAGCGATAAATGAATCTCCCATGGATGGATTGTGCTACGCTGAGATTTTGAAGAATAATGACTCGATTTTTCACAATCCTGAGAAAACTACTATATTAGCTAATTGCTAATACTCATGCGAGAGTTGGTTATTGACTATTATTGAATCATACAGCAGCAGACATGTATACTTAAACAATTCACTACTAAATGTCGATCCTGATTTGTTAACCGACCTACCACTATTGATTACTATACACTTATACTTAATAAAATTGTATCATCATTCAATATTATGTAGATTACAGTATTCTTAAAGGTATATTGAAATTATGTTTTTCCTACTGGAGTTCCATAACTGTTTATTAGCAATTAAAAGCATATCTGTGCACCTTTACATATGCATAATTTGAGGAAATTGTGATTGGCAGCGCTTGTAGTGCCCTTAATATCAGCTACCTAATACTCAAATATAGGGATTCAAGTACAAATAAACATTAAAATTTATATCTTATGCTATTGGTGTGCATCGTTGCTTTTTAATCGTTCTTCAAAAAAATCTTATGCTTATTTAACTCCTAGTCTTGGTACAACTACCGTAGCTAACAACTGCATTGTTATCAAGATCTTGAAGAAATAGAATTGCAAATTTAAAGTGTTCATCATTGCTTCTCTTAAGGTTGATGGAAGTTGATTAATCCAATTAGATGGGAGTATAAGAAATGCCTAATCGATAAATTAAGAGCTCCTACGGCCATTATGCCATGACCTCCGAGATTGCTGCCGTGATACTGGGACAATCTCACCTAACTACAGTACAACATAATACTAGGAGAAAATACGCAGTATAACTTGAGCCTTCCATGAAGCTCAACAAGTGTCCACCTGCCTCAATTTAGACCCAATTTTAGCAGAGGACATGATAGTAATAACCATGATCCTTGTACTCAGTCTGTCTATTTTTTTATATTTCCGTATACTTCTCCATCATTAAAATTATCGCACTGGAAGAGACAAGAAGCTGCAAAATTGAGCAAGATTGCATATTGGAAACTTTGTCTTCAGACAGATAGAAAGCGCTACTAGCTGCAATCGCTCGCTGTACTATCCGTCCTGAAGGGATTGTGTGTAAATTAGTTGTCATATCTTTTCAGCTGTTTAGCTTGATAGTATAGGACGAAAAGGTCAAGAGGGTGACAATCTATTTTGCACACGGATGCAGTACGCAGCAGCAGCAAGCCATCCGAATTTTGATAGTACAGTGCTTGATATGCTGGATAGAGCAAATCGATATGGTATCGTACATCTCTCTTCGGTCATACTAGATTATAGAATAATTGCGTTCAAGTATATTTCTATAGAAATCATTGTAATACAATCGCAATAGTTTGCTGTCACGCTAAACTGTTGCTTGTTCCACAAGTATCCTCACAACAGGAAAACGACAATACGAACAGACTGCATTCTGATGTACTGAATCAGTATGTAGACTCTCATACAAGCGACCACTTGCACACTAGTTCTTCTCGGTTAATTCATTACTCCACTCTCCCCTCGAGGAAGCGATTTGCAATATGGGAGACGGCGAAGAAATCCAAGAAAATAAACTACATCGAGGCCGAGCTTCAGGACGAAAAGCAGATAAAAAGAAGCAGAAACAACGCCATGATGACGAGACTAGTGCTCAACGTAATCCTAAAGCGTTTACTTTCCATTCAGCGGTTAAAGCAGCTCGATCTGCTCGGCGCACGCTGGATATTGAGACCAAGAAGATGCACCAACCGTTGGTGGATCGCGCTCCATTAGAGCCTCCACCAATTATTGTAGCTATTGTAGGGCCTCCAAAAGTGGGCAAAACGACGCTACTAAATTCGTTAGTTAAAAATTTTACCCGACAGCAAGTTTCACATATTCAAGGACCAGTGACTGTTGTTTCAGGTTGGTCATAATCTGATAGGCATGCTCCTCTGTCGCTAAGCGACGACGACCCATTCCCTGCAGTTGCAATTTTTGAATGTTGTTATCCATTTGATAATACTATTAATTGCTATCTGGATTTCGATAGTAGAGTACATAAATAAATTCAAGGCATTTCTGTTCATTTTAAATAGGTAAAAAAAGAAGATTAACCTTATTTGAATGCGGCAACGATATCAATTCGATGATTGATGTAGCTAAAACTGTCGATTTGGTAAGCTTGTAGTAACTTGGATGCATCGTGATAACCTGTGTTAATTTCGTATAACCCTCTCAAAATTAAGTTGACCTGTGAATGAATAAAAACTTAATCGGATTTTATAGCTGAGGGATAGACTAGGTCGAAATGATATACAAATAGGCTGCACAAGTGCAGACCTTGTATGCTGCATCTAAATACTCATATATTGAAAGGAAACTGTCATGCAGATTCTTCAACATGACATCAAGCTATACTTCCAATATTCCATCGATCAGTAGAGTTTATCATACAAATTTATAGCATAAATTTACTACAGTTGCATTGCCTAGTACTGGAATGAGAAAATAAGACAGCTATATAATTGAGAGCATAATGCACATTTGCATTGATGCGTTTCCCAATCTACGATTTGCAACGAAAGAAATAGAATTGTAATCGTTTAGCGTGGCTATATTCTGACGGCAGAATTATTAAATAAATGACTCAACTAGCTGATAATTTGATTGTAAAATAGTTATAACACATACTTTTACAAGTTGCATTAGAATGAAATACTATCAAACTCACATTGTTATCAGCTCGGCCGTCTCACTGCTATTGAAAATGACTAACTTCCTGTTCTAGCTCTGCACACAGTAAAAGCACACTAGTGACAATGTAGCAAAGTCAATGCTTATCTTTAAATGATTTCAGTATATGGATATTGCTACGCCAGTTTTGTACGCTTTTTATGCCATAAAACATTTGCAACAAAGTTACCAGATCAGTTTAGAATTTATTCAGCATGTAACTGAAAAATTTCTGCTTACTAGGTACTACTACTGATTGACGCTAGCTTTGGATTCGAAATGGAAACATTCGAGTTCTTAAATATCTGCCAGATTCATGGTTTTCCCAAGGTTATCGGTGTCTTGACTCATTTAGACATGCTAAAGAATACAAAAGCATTACGACAAACCAAGAAAAAACTAAAGAACCGCTTCTGGACCGAAATCTATCAAGTATGAATTTTTATGTTACTCGTAAAACTACACACCTTTGAATACTTTAGTCCTTACCTATAATTGATCACTAACTTCGAGACATATCAACGCACAACATCTATGAGAAGTGTGATAGAGATTAAGTTGTTATCCACAGTATTGTTCACTATGATCGATATTTCTTAGGGGGCAAAGTTATTTTATCTGTCCGGATTAATGCATGACTTATATCCCAAGACCGAGATTCATAATCTTTGCAGATTTATATCCGTGACGAAATTCCGACCGTTGCAATGGCGTTCTAGTCATTCTTATGTTTTCGCTGATAGGTTAATAGTTGTCATCATTTCATAAATTTAATACTAATTAGTTATTAAAGAGCTACAGTGTATACAAGCTATTCTTTGTATCAATCGTCTAGGCTGGAGGATATTACCTATCCTGAATTGATTCGAACTGATAAGAAATGTAATCGTAATGTTTGTTTATACGGTTATATCCGTGGTACTAACTTTAAATCAATACATAATGTCCATATACCAGGTATGCATGTAAATGTACGATGTTTGCAAATAGCTTTATAGTAAATTAATAGTTAAAGTTATAGTCTTTCCAACTTTTCCAAGGTTGCGGTGATTTTGCTATTAAGAATGTATACGCTTTGCCGGACCCGTGTCCTTTACCTAGTAATGAAAAGAAAAGAACCCTAAATGAGAAAGAACGTTTAATTTATGCTCCCATGTCTGGAGTTGGTGGCATAGTTTACGATAAAGTTAGTTTCGACTTTTAATCAAGATCTTCTTCCAAATAGATTGTTCAACCTAGAATAAAATGATTTAGTTTATCCTAATCTGTACCATATTTAATATCAGGATGCAGTATACATTGACCTTGGAGGAAGCAGGCAAGCGGTTGACAATAGAGCGATTGGTGAAAATATTGTACGCTCTTTCTTTAACATCGGATTGTATGATAGTATTATGCCTCTCCTGAATAATACTAATAAACAGTTTTACACGCGTATTAATGATAGGTTAACAGTTTACAAGTTGAAAATCCATTAGTTTCTGCTATTATTGAAAGTAAGGCTACAATTGACGAAAAAATGGCAAAGAGTCAAATATCGCTTATCAAGGTAAGTTCCATATTTGATTTATTGTTAGCACGGCTAACCTGTGCATAATTTACAAAGCATTTTAAGCAATTGAATTATATGGAAATTTAAACTCATGCTTTAGGATGCCAAGCCTATTCCTTACGAAAATTTGCTTAGGTGAACATTCTAGCATTATCAATACATTTTAAGATATTTTTATCTACGACAAAGTTGAGGGATATGGCTCACACAAAATTATTATTTTATGCTATATTTATAGTTATAATAGAGACCGTAGTGCAGAATCTGATCAGAGGCACCGTCGCAAAGTAGAACTAAATAGTGATGATGATGTTAGCCTAGATAGCGATTCAGAAGATGATGACGATTCAGCTATCATTGCGGATCATTCCGGTAAGTACGATTTTTGAAATGAATTCCTTTATATGCGCGTGTTTAATGTTTAAATTTGGCTTTGAAGATAAATAAATCTTTTCCGTTTTGATTATTTTCCCGTACTTGAATAGAATCTAACACCGAAAACGTAATGGATGTAAGTATGGCTTTAAAAGTAATCGTAAGATATCAAAATTTATAGTACCGTGCCAACGCCTTTAAGAAAGTCAACTTCGAAAAAATCTATTTGACACATTAATGTTGTAGGACCCAAACATCGATGAAACACTATCTTTTGACTCTGATGGCGACGGTAATTCCTTAGACGAATCAGAAATGTTCGATGCCTCTAAGCTCCACTTTCTTGATAAAGATATTGGCGGTTAGTATGGAATTATCATTCTCTGTTGAGTTAAATTATTGCTTGTTGCAATTATTAAATAGTAAATTATGGAAATACGCACCAGTAGGCGAATTAAACTGGAAAGAAAATCTTGCCAGAAAAGCGAAGGAATCATTTTACCAGCGTCAGTCACAAAAAATAAATTGGAATCGATTAGTTTATGGATCATCTGGTAAATTAAATAGTACCCTTGTAGATTACTTTTATTCGTTCTCATTGTTAAATTAGCAAATTTCAGTCTTTAATAATGTTGATTTGAATGTAGATGGAAATGATGTAAAAATAGAAAGACAAGGTGATGCCCTCAAATACAATCTTGATAAAGGGGAAAGGCAGGAAGTAGGTGAAATATTCTTAAAGAAAGATTCGTTGAAAAGGAATCTAAAAGATCAAGATGGTTTGGATTGCTCTCAGTCTAACTATACAAACCTAGATTGCTGGAATGATGAACAGGTTAAATATTTGTCATAAGGGGTTTTAAAGTTCATAAATGTAATTACAGAATATATCACCATAATATTAACTGGACTTATCCTTGAAAAGTACCATAGCTGTATTTGACATTGTTTGCATCTGCTATAAATGATTGATAATCTTTACATTAGTACCGAGAAAGCATCCGTGATTGTTTCGTTAGTGGCGATTGGCATGAAGAGGACGCTCAGAAAATGATCGATCAAGATGGTATGTTTTCATTTCATTCGAATTTCAACCTACTTTCTACAGAACACGAATAGTAAATTTTTAGGCTACATCTACAGTACAATCTGTTAATCATTGTGATAGGACAATTAGAATTATATATACCTAGCTAGCTTTGCAATTTAAATTATCCTGGTGTAGCTGATCTAGAGTCGGAAGTTGGGATGAATGTGTCTGTTTCGCTATATTCAAATACATGAAATTAATGTAATTGCGTTTATAGATGAATTATACGGCGATTTTGAAGATTTAGATACTGAAAATGTTTCTGCTACGAAGACTGCAGAATCTTCCGATGAAGCAGAACAAGACGAAGTAATGGATGACTCCAGTGGCCGACTGAAAAAAAAGAAGAAACTAAAGGCCACTTTTGATGCTGAATATCTTTTAATATTACGATCTTAAAATCTTCTACTAGCTATATACTGACTTGAGCTGTATGATGTTCCTTAACTTTACGTATATATGATGAAGGAAGTAATAAAACATTCTATGAGACAGCTAAAGCCGAAATGGCTGCTCAAAGTGAGGTACGCCCAATAGACTGTAATATAGCTCGCCAACAGAATTTGTTAAAAAAATTTATCTTTGTAGTTACAATATTAAGCAGAAATGATAATATTATATGGATAAATTTATAGTTGAACCGTAAAGAATTTGAAGGGTTAGACGATGAATCTAGAATTCAATATGAAGGCTATAGACCTGGATCATATGTTAGGATTGAGGTAAATTAGAAGTTGTCAATTTATTTAGCATAGTTTACATGTATTGCATATTTTCTCACAAATTTTATATCGAAAATTGCACGTCATCAAATAACATGTAAAACTATTTCTTGTGTGGCATTTAAGATATTGCTGCCATATTATCTGCTGTTTTAGTAGTTTGAGTTTTCAATTTGATAATCTATCTTAACATTTGCAATTAGCTACAAAGTGTATAGCTATTTGCTCATAATTTATCCGCGTGATTTTAAGGTTTTTTCTCATTTACTTGCAACAGTTACATGGAATGCCATGTGAATTTATCGACTACTTTGATCCAAAGTACCCAATCATCATCGGAGCCTTAAATAGTGGAGAAGAAAACACTGGCTGCGTTCAAGTAAGATCGAATTATGACACATATTTACCTTTACTTTTCAATTTTTTGGGCAATGTATATTAATAAATATGTTAGATAGACCTTAGAATATATATGTAAGAACCTAATGTCGATTGTACTACCATAATTATGTCATGCTTTTGTGTCTGGTGTACGCATTAAATAAAGGTATATTTGTATGCAAACAGGTGAGAATAAGAAAACATCGATGGTATAAACGAATTTTAAAAACGCGCGACCCTGTAATCATGTCGTTAGGATGGCGGCGCTTCCAAACCGTTCCACTCTTTTGTATGGAAGATCATAATGGAAGACAGCGACTACTTAAATATACACCAGAACATGTTCACTGTACGGCCACATTTTTTGGACCCATTACAGCCCCTGGCACTGGTTTTCTAGTAATTCAAACCACTAATGATAAAGTCAGTCATTTTCGTGTCATGGCGACTGGAACTGTGCGAGAACTTGATAAAAGTGTAGCTATCGTAAAAAAATTAAAACTAATAGGAACCCCTCTAAAAATATTCAAGAATACTGCCTTCATAAAGGGTATGTTTAGTTCTACATCAGAAGTAGCTGCTGCTGAAGGCGCAACGATTAGAACTGTTAGTGGTATTCGTGGTCAAATTAAAAGGCCAGTCAAATCGCCTGAGGGTGTTTTCCGGGCTACCTTTGAAGATAAAATTCTGTTAAGCGACATCGTATTCTTAAGAGCATGGTATCCAGTTGATATACCGCAGTTTTATAACCCAGTTACTTCACTTTTAATGCCGCGTGGTGAGAAAACAGAATGGCAGGGTATGAAAACTGTGGGACAGTTGCGAGCATTACATAACATAAAGCCGCCTCAAAAGTCAAATTCACTCTATCATCCTATAGAGAGAGAGCCAAAGCATTTCAATCCATTATTGATACCCCCATCATTGCAAAAAGCTCTGCCTTATAAGAATAAACCAAAATATACACCCAAAACAGCTAAGAAGTCTTCCATTTTATCCCGACCGGTTAGTACCATGTCTAGCAAGGAGAAAAAATTGACTACATTAATGCAGCAACTCCGTACCATTGAGAAAGATAGACTATATAAAAAGAAAGTTAAGAAAGAGGCGGAAAGAAAGGTCTATATGAAAAAGAAGGAAGCTGAAGAAAATAAACGACATAAGAAGATGCAAGAAAGACGTCAAGAGTATTATCGTAAAATTGCTAGAGCTGGAAAAGGAAAATAAACTAAAATAAATTTGTCCAATCTATTGTTAGTCTAAAATTTGGATGTTATTTTGTATACGTTGTAAAGCAATTAATATGAAGTAGAACGTATAACCAGAAATTACACATGATAATCTACTCAGAAAGAAAGAAAGGGAGATTTTATTGACTGAATACTAAATTTGCGAATACTGTGGTTCCATGTTCTAGGATGTGAACTCTAGTGAGCCATGTGTGAATCTACAAAAGGAAAGTGTTTAATAACATTCTGACTCTGTTATTAAGTTAAAGACGAAACCATGTGACATATTTGTAAATAAATCACACTGCCTTATTTCATGCTAACTCTATATAGTGTAAATAATTGTCGTTACAATGTTACTGTGCTATGACTGGTTACAACCAGAAGTATCAGATCAGTTACCTTTTTTTGAGAGTTTATATAAGGCGTTATGTCTGATAAATAATCTAGACGTAATGATAATAGCTTTGCTTACAGGCAGTTTGTATGGAGCGGTATATTATACTCAATTTATTCTCTTTGGAGTCTATTATCACCAGTAGCTTGTTGATTACATTAATGAGAATTAGTTTGCAATCGTTAATTTTTACAGAAATCAACATAAATGCTAATATTCTGGAATTACGAGTATAGCCTCTCAGCTTATCACTAGAAAGTAGAGCGGTTTTATGCTGGTGAAGTTATCTTTGTTGAAAACTGCAACTTCTTTTGCTTCTCGAATTAGACTATGAGAAAACTTCCAGATATAAACGTATAACAGTAACTTTTGCTAAACATTACTAACGATAACCGCTAGATTCTCTTAATACATTTATTCATCGCCTCAGTATCTGCTGCCATGACCTAGCAGCAGAAGCGAGCTCCGATCACATAGTCAATAAATTAAAGCCGATTGTCAAGATATAGAATAGAGCTTAAATTAGTAGTTCGATAAAGTTTACGTTTTAATAATTTGATAATGAATTTATAGACACATACAGTTAATTACGGTCCTCTAATAACGGAAGCTGTCATTATTTTGATTTCTACAAGAGATAAGATACCACAGTAGGAGTATATTGATGTAGTGATGCTGCACCCCGTATTGGCTTATAAGGATAGCTATATTTGATTGTGTTAATAGCTGTATTTGATATATTTAGGATACTACGAAGTGTCTTCTCAAAAATACAACAAGAACTACAGTTTCTTGTAAATTTCACTTTATCACATAAGACTTGTTTCGTCTTACAACTACCAAGGACTATCTAACTGCAATCAGACTGTCGCTGGACTATTACAGTAGTAACATGAAGTACAGTAGCATGAGGGATTAGAATATTCTGCTATGCTGAAGGTGTCTAGGCAATCTAAAATAAAAAGCTACGCTTCCTAATAAGATCTATAACCAGCTGCTACAAGTGGTGACTCATACGAAGAAAATTAGAGAAATTATTAATTCGCTTGTTATTCGAGATATTTCTACTCAACGGAATTTAATTTACTACGATGGCGAGCATGCTTGCAGCATTATATCATATTTATAATCAAGCATAGGTGCATTATTACACTTATATTATGCAATTCCGAAAAATTTTAAACTGCAAACAAGATTACCTATCTTTATCTTAAAATATGCTTGTAATACGAGTTTTTATATTAAGAAATGAAATAAGAATTGCTGCCAAAATAAATGCTATATATAGCACTAGCATGGTATGAAAATGTTTTTTTCCGAAATTACATATCCAAGAAATTTTACGACTTATGGCATTAGAATTTTGTAATCATTGACTGGTATTTGATATTTCAGACATTGATAATATGAATTTGTGAGAATCAATTCTACTTACTATTAGTAGCTATAATGGACCATAAGCAATTATCTTAAGGTGTGATAAACTCTTTTGAAATTTGATTGATAATAATTTGGAAAACGGTTATAATAACCGATGTTTACTTAGCTTAGCTATAATTGATGTGATTATGTAATGAAACTAGATTTTCAACATTTAGTCTTGAAGAGATATGTAGTTACTGTAGAAAAATGATCATCACTTACCGTCACTAATACTATGGACTAAACATCGAGTAGAACAGGCCTAACTAACTTCATACTTGCAATTTTAATTCAGCTTTAGAAGCCTCGGCTAGTTACATGCGGTAAGCAAAAATATCCTTCTAGTAGCCAGAATACTGACATTACGAATAAATTCAGAAATAAAATACCAGTAATCTGGTCTATTTTTTAGCACCATGGAAATTACTACCTTAGCCAAAGCAGTAGTATTCTTCTACACTGAGGAGAATTCTAAAGATATTATGAAAGAATTAATAACAGAGACAAATGACATCAAGTTGAACGCCCAAGCTAGAATCAAATATTTTTATTAGCGCTAATAGAAGAGCATAGAGAATAAGAGAGATATCTAGAGAGAAAATCCAGATTCTGAAACAAAACTATTTTGACCAGGAAAAAGGTATTTATATCATAGCTTGCAGACTGGAAGATGGTAAAATAATATTGGAAATACTATCATCAGAGAAAGAGGGCCTCTAAGCTTAGATACGGAGTCTATTTATGTATATGAATAAATAGAAATAAATATCAGTGATTATTACTGCCGTTACACATAGTATGCGTAATATTGAAAATTTTATCTCAAAATATCTAACTTTCGATTGTTAAGAACTAATTATTGGACAGAAATACAGCAGGTATTAACTGACTAAAATTCTGAAGTCTATAGCCTTACAATATTTGCTTTCGTCTACGTACTCTATTCGAAAATAACAACTAGATTTATAGTTTAACTACCTTATTGGTAAAAATCAGTTCAATGATAAAGAGTTAATCTATAAATTATCAATCGTTGCCGTTCTAGGCGAACCAACGCCAGCTGGATTTATCGCTGGTGCGTTCTTGCATCTTATACAACGACCTATACGATGAAGCAATCGGATCATACCTTGACGATAGATGCTATTAGTAGCCGCATAAATGATAGGATTAATACAACAATTTATCACAATTAATGTCTTGGTAATGGCATGGACAATTGGCTCATATTTCACAACACGTAATTGAACCAAGGTAAAGTAAATTTCGTTCGGTAGCCAACATAAAATCAAGGCAATAGCTGCAATACATAACATGGTTGTAAACCGTCGTCTGATTAAAACTCGCATGGAATTACTAACACTTAATTTAATATCCCTGCCATCAGACATTCTTCTAGCTACATCAGCAAAACTAATCATCGTAATGATAACCGGGAGAAATATTCGAACGGATTCAATAATCATAAATACAATGTTAGCCGATGTAATGTCATCGCCAAATAAGCTAAACCACTGACATGGTGGGAATAAATTGGGGACGAAACGTTTTTGTAGAATGCCATCAATAAGAGTTATGGGCACAAACAACCATATACAAGCGATACAAAATCTTGCACGATTTTTAGTAAATATTCGCTTGTATAGAAAAGGACGAGAAACAGCATACCATCTCTCTAAACTAATGATTGCAATAGTATAGACGGAGATAAATCCAGAGGTAAAAAATAAGACACTAGAATCAATCAAGCTACAGAAGAAAGATCCTATAAAAATATCCTTTGGATAGAAATAGCGGTCAACAGGGAGGGCATAACCCGGCATAATAAATATTATTACACCGCTAATAGCATCGGAAGCAGCTAAACTGACAACGAATTTATTAGGTATTTGACGTAGCATAGGGCGATGAATAACATTTAATGCAATAACGAAGACGTTACCAATAATAGCAGAACTACCAATAACCGCATAAATGATATTAATAGCGGGATTAGAAGTTGTGTTAACAATTACACTATCATTTCTTTGTAAAATATTCATAATGGCTAATAGAAAGAAAATACTAACTTATTGGAAAAGGTTTTGAAATGGAAATAAGCAATGGCCTTTCTTTCTGTATGAAATTAATGAGTCGATTCTCGTATCGAATAATTAAATGGGAAACAGAATTTAACGTACCTTCTTTATATTTAATCAGGGCTATTATAAGTTAGCTTTCGATTATTCTCAATTATGACCGTGTCTATTTGATCTTGAAAGGAGAATTACAGGCTATTACTTAAATCTTTCTTTATAACAATTTTCTTTTAAAGTTTCAAAAGTGAGTAGAAATCAGTGTAGCTATCAATTCTCTTTTTGACCAAGATGAACAGTAAAGGTTTGGTTGAATGAGTTTGACTTTAAAATTAAATTTCCCTATTGTAGAAACCGCTTAATCAACAAATAAAAATTTTCAATGAAAGATCAAGCTTGGATAAGACCAAAGTTCTGTCTTTCTATATGAAACTGATGAATCAATTTTCGCTTATAGATATATCCCAAAATTGAAATTAACGTTTCTTTACTATTGATTAGATTTTATTCATTTATTATATATAGTTTTGGCTGATATTGATCCTGAAGGACAACTAATCGATCAGATTTATTTATATATTATTGTACCTTCGGTGGATTTTGATCTCGAAGAATTACTGAGTATAATTCATCCCAAAACTGAAGTGAACTTCCTTTAAAATCAATCAGATTTATTTATTATATGCTGCTTGGTTTGATTTTGATCCTGAGGAATTACTGAGTAAATTTCATTCCGCAATTGAAATAAGCTATCTTTAGGATCAATCAGGGTTATTTAATACATGTAGACTGGAATGATTTTGATCATGAAGATGAGTGCCGGTAAGATTTATCCTAAAATTGAAATACAAGGCTAGCTCACGTTTTTCTGAAAAAATTATCAAATGTGTCAGAAGTGAATGAATGCCAGTAGTACTATTAAGTTTTCTTGAAGATCGAATGGACATAAGGAAATAAGCTTTAGCTGGGATATCGAATATCGAATAAAATTTAAATTCTTATTTACCAAGTCTCTTCAAAATCATTGTCAAACAAGATGCAAATCTAGGCTTAGATAATGCTAAAGTTTGTTTCTGTCTGTCTACAATGACTTAACCAAATTTCTTTTCCAATATTCCTAAAGTAAACGGGATATAAAAGTTGAAACAACTTTTTGATAGCGACCACAGCTGTGATTTTATAGAGCTCTATAGAGTTAGATGATTGTGAAATAATGGCCGTATATAGTTAATCTTGAAGTGAGAATACCTGTTATAACTGATCTAAACCTTTCTTTCCAAAATCATTAGTTAAAATGTCAAAACTGAACGTTAGCGTGGCTGTGTATTTTCATTAGCATCAAAATGAGAAGAAAAGTTTTCATTGAATACGACTGATTTCAACCTTGAAAACTCGATAGAAATTGAAATTCCTTGTTGACAAAATTACTTACTATAATCAGCCCGTGCAAGCGAAAAAAGATTCCTGGGCAAGCCTTGAACAAGTACTCGTTTGTAATTGAAAATGATTATCAATGCAAGTAATCCAAATATTTGATTAATTAAGAAGATACTGCGTCTTACAAGATAAGCTAACCCAAAACAATTTTTTGATTCTTCAATATCTTGGTTTTACTTCGATTTTAACAGTTGTAGCTAGATTATATTTCCAATATATATAAAATCTTAGCGAGTAATTTGTCGCTCCGCTCTTATATTTGTGCAAATTTACCACTCTAAGAATTCAACTGGAAGACGCCGAATATAAAAGTCCTTATGAACAGCAGCAATATCCAGTTATTTGTTTAGATTTAAAAGCCAGCCTTAACAAGCGATGAAAGTCAACAAATAACTTAAGTTTATTAACATTAAGATTGCATAACGTAATTTCATCGAAAAATTTTACTAATTTCCTTCTCTTAATCTTTCATAAGCTTGGTCTTTTGGCCTTTTTATTTTACCAATGCTTTGAACGTCGTAACGAATTTGCCAAATCGATTCAATCCGATTAAAAATTCGTAAATCGTAAGAGTTTTATAAGAAATATTCAAGCTAATAATTTCTTCTAATTTCTACGTTAATAAATTATGAGATGATTAATTATAATTGCAAAGGTTGCTGCGGTTGTGATAAAAATGGCGAGAAAAAATGGATCCAACGAATGGAGTTGTTAATCGGTCTTGCTGTGACTTACTTCCTTTCACCTGGAGAGTAATACAAAAAAATCAAGTAGATTCTATCTTTTACCTGGTTTTAATCATTTCAATGAAAGCGTGATCTATTTTATCTATTAATGTCAAGTAATTGATATAGATCATATTCTTTTCGTATGTCAAAAATAAAATAAATTATCTTATTTGATCAAGATATGAATAGAGATAATTGTAAGTAGACGATAGGCGTATCTTTTACAATAGGTCTTGCTATTACTTTCATCATTTATAAATAGCTTTGTTAGATAATTAAATTAGCCTATAAAATAGGCTACAATTGAGTATTGTAAATCATTCTATTTTTTTATTACCATAGAATATACTCTGTCTTATGAATAAATCAAACCTTTGAAAAATCTCAAACAGAGAGCCAGTGGCAAACGTCATCTAATTGAATTATATTTTATTAGTAAGACCCAAGTTTCTTAATATTTGATTTGGCAATCTTTTTTATGGTAAAGAATAGATATCTAATCTGTTACAATAGAGATATATCTATTTATGTTATTTCATTATTTAAAAATGAAGATAGAGAATGAGAAAGTCCTATTAAATCATCCAATGATTCGCATACCTAATTAATGGTTTGCAGTTCCGGCATGTTTATAGATTCGTAATCTTCCCGTAAAGCTTTGATATAATCATCTTCAAGATCCGGTGGATATTGTTTGAATTTGCCTCATCGTCCTTTTCTTCTGAATAAGCCTAATACTAGTATAGAATATCTCACTCTCAATTATCTTAAAAATTCATAAAAATTAAATCAAAAGGGCCACTCTTACTGCTATAAAATTTTAGTGAAGCTGCTAAAATAGAGCCCCAAATTTTGTATTACAATTTTTCCAGTTCTTCCCTTCAACATTTCTTATAAAGTTGCACAAATCTTATTCTGTTTCTGTTACTTTTTGGACAATGTAGGCGGTAGATAAACATTATTTTTCTTATTCTTGATCATTAAACTCATTTTCTGCGTGGGTATTATTGACATACACTCACACTTCTATACATTATCGATTTAAAAATCGATGCCATGATAGGATAATGTCGTGTAGGCCGATATATTATTAATATAGCAAAAATGGGCTAATACATAAGTTTTAACATGTGTGAATTTCTAGAGAAATGCCTCTAGCAAATCCTTAAGTCCCTTAGTTTATATCATATAAACAGTCCTATTTTAGGGATCACAATAAACTTCAAAGAAAATTAGTCATAGACATTATTTCTTATTAATTGCCAATAGACGGTATATTTCATTTTCAATACTTAATAAATCATCATTTGCTACGGAATATTCCACATTTAAAGAGGAAGTAAATTGGAGAGTGTTGCTGTATTTCAATTTTATTGATATTATGTTACACATATGCATGATAGGAGCATTTCGGGCTTTAACAATATCTTATGCAAGTATATTCCATGTTTTTATAAAGTCGAGAATTTACCAGCATTATTGAGGCAATTTCATCTATTTTCCTTAAATAAACAAATCTTGTATTATCGTTATTTCAACAAAGACAGAAAACATAAAGATAAATTGATTCTAGCAATATTCTAAGATTCTAACATCCTGTAGTGTTATCCGAAGGAATCTCTTGCCGAAGATAAACCGAAGAATTTATTTTTCTTGTTTTCCTATCAAGTATCTTTCCTTTTCTCATTACTTATTAATACCCTATTGTATTGCATTAATTTTATAAATCAAGATCATGATGGAACAGCAGACTGTAGATTGACTTTTTCATAATATTAAAAAAACAAGTCTAGAATTCCTTTCTCCCGTTTAGGTGAAATGCCTGCAGGCAAATCTAAATATCGAAAGTAATTTTCTGTCTGCGACTTTATTTAGCTAGCAGGCCGCTAATAAAAAGTAACCAAGGACGCTTATATTTGTTTCAATATCTTATGCTAATTCTCAACGTCTCCTAAAATTAACTCGTTCCTTTTAACAAAATTCTATAATCATATTACCATGTGAACAAAAGTACAGTAATCATTTTGTCCATCGACAATAATCTTTACTTCCGTTAAGATGACAGCATAAGAATCTAAATGTGACTATAGTAGTTATGATTACCTAGTCTGTAAATAAAGCCTGATTCACCATTTGTTATTAGGATGAGTACAATAATGCTAAAGAAAATTTTTTTAATTATGTACTAATAATCCTTCAAGGCAGTGCAATGTATGGAAATTCTTTTAATTATCTAGAATAACAGCATGGTTGTATCTGTCGCAAAAGAACTAATATTAATTTGACTTTACCCTCATTTTATGACATCTTCTTTTGCCAGTTCATCCTTGGAATGATTTTTCTTCATCAACGATGCCATAGCTATTAATAATTATAGTCATTGTGTAAATGAAATTATACTAGAGCGAAAATAATCATCGTTTACCAAGAGTATAATACTACAAAATCAATTTAAGAATGCCGACAATTTTTTCAATTCAGAGAGATATTTGTCGCCCTTTATTCCGACAATAGTTGCCATTTACATTCAAAAACGATTGATTTTCAATATTAAGAATTGATTAGGGAACTAGCATACTTATTTGCAATATGAGGATGTCGTTTATCTTGAATTTTCCCAGCAGTTATTGATCCAGGCAGTTTTAGCAGATATAGTACTCTAATCTATTGTAGTTGCTTTATGCCTTCTCTAGCCTTCTCCATCAGAATTCTTAAATAAACAGATAGTGTACATACATGTCGCTAAATAAAAGCCCACGAACCAATATTTATTGATTAATAAATATACTGCGAAAATTCTTTATTTTTATAGTTACTAGTGCAAACTCCCGTCGCTTTACTGACGGTTTACGATAATGTGCTCATTTAACAAGCTTTTAAGGTCAGTATTGTTGATTCATGCACTAATAAGAATAGTTGCATGATAACCTTCCAACTTAAATTAGACTCTATGGTATAAACTGACTATATAAGTAAATTTTTTCTTACGTATATTTAGAATTGACTGAGATTTACACCTTTAACTAAAGGGAACTACAATATCTAATTGCAATCTAATTCTTGATGTTTTATTAAGGACCTCTGATCTAAAATACCCTCTAGCCGTTTCTTAGTCAGCTTCCGTCATAATATTAACGCTATACATCCACTAAATCGAATGCCCTTGATGCTTAAAGCTACTACTAAGCATATCTCCATTCTTCTTCCAAGATCATCATTTGACTAAGGTTTAAAGTATATAAAGCGAACTATAATATCTAGTAGCCCTAAAAAGCTTTGTCGGAAAGGACTAGCAAAGCACTATTGGAAGAGTTATGTAATGTACTTAAAGTTATGATGATTAAAGCTTGTAGATTTATGCTTGAATATAGGTGAGTTACAACATCAAGTAGTCCGCTATAACAGTCCAGACTATTCTCCAGCCTACAGTAAATTATATCAAGGGTATACTTTTGAGGGATATAGTCTGGAGTTGATACGCGACATAGCCTTATCTTAGGTGCATTATCTATTTCAAGTTTTAAGACAGCAATAAAATCGCCAACTTTCGATATCAAGTTTTACTGTTTCTTTTATTAATTGGCATACGCGCAATATCAAATTCTATCCAACAGTCAATTTATAATTGTAGAATAGATTATATCAATTATCGGGTGCTCTATAAATTGCTAATTTGCCGCAGCAAAAATTGTAAAAGGTTATAATCCACTAAACATTGAATAGGATATAAAAATCTTAACCTCTCTGATAATACAATTTAATTCATCGGTAAATCTAAAAATGACAAGCTCCTTTAAAGCTATCATGAATTCTCGGAATAAGACGGAAAAATAAATCAACATCATAAATGTTATTTCATGCTGCAATTGCTAGAAGTGAATTATAAACGTGATCTTATCATCTGTTAAAAACTGTCTATATTGTAAATAGCAATTACAAGTTACGTCCATACTACATAACATAACAAGCGTAGTTAAATTGGTATAATCTTATCACCGGTAATATCATGGATAACTGCTATCAGGTATAAAAACAAAGGGAATCGCTTTTAAGATATTAATAGATAAAACATCAGTACACGACCGCTGGATAGATTAAAATCATTTTACCGATTGAGATCATTTTTAAATTTATCAATAGAGCACCATACTGGTACATATAGTATTGGAAGCAGTGTTCAGTTTCTAATTAATATGCCTCCAACTACGAGTATTTTGGATAATTATAATGACCGGTAATAAATAAATAAAACCAAGATAGAGTTTATGCTATTAGGTAAAATCGTATCGAGTTGTTGCATCATCTCTACTGCCTGTGCCAGAGTTGATACAACGCTCTCCTTTGCAATGTTCGGTTCCTATCAAGGCCGTAATAATTCCAATATAGTCAACAAATCCCTCTTCAGAATTGGTCTTTAGCTTGTGAAATCAGGGAAAATAGCTATGTAAGGCAAGATATTGAGAAAGAGTGGATAACTAAAACCTTCAGTCTCCAATCATATGGTGAATTTAACTTTTGTTTCGCACGCTTGCTTATGGAGGAAGGTAATATATAATAATTAAATGTTGCTAAACTCAATTTAAGCATGAATAATATGCTGTTAATCTGTTAACTTATGACACTAAGGTAAAACTGAAATAAAACGTAATTAGAAATATTATTTAGAATTGATAAACATATCAATGGATTTTTAATTGAATTAAATCACGTTCATGGAATGATTAGAATAGTGTTTCATCAATCTATGAAAGAAAGTTCTGCATGTTTAGAATAACATTAACTGTAAATTCCGTTTAGCTTGAGTATGTATTTTAAGCGGAGAAAGGATAAAATTAATAAACGGAAGAAATTATATAAAGTGTAAATTAAACTGATGGGCTAAATATCGTACGGATATTAGCAGTCAGAGTTGAATTCGAATACAAGTTATTCATCATTGCTAAGCTAATAAGTGAATAAATGTCCATATTTAAAGGCTAGTTAAATCATACGCACTAGCATTGGTTAGATTGGTAGGACTTCTGCTAGGCCTGATCGAATTGATTGGTGCTATTGGTGTCTTTTTACCCGTTATGCAGCGACTTATTTGCCTAATTAATTGGATCATGCCACGACGGTAAGTTACATTCGTGGCCGCATAAATGATCGGATTAACACAGCAATTTGTCACAATTAAGGTTTTGGTAATGGAATGAACTATTGGTTCATAAAAAGCAAGACGCAATTGGACTAAGGAAAAATAAATTTCGTTAGGCAACCAACATATAATTAATGCCACAGCAGCAATACCTAACATAATTGTAAATCGCCGTCGAACCTTAACACGTTTAGCGCTACTGCAATTTAATTTCACATCGCTCTTTTTCGACATTCGTCGAACTACATCAGCAAAGCTAATGATAGTAACAAGTGCTGGAAGAAAGACACGAATAGATTCTAATACCATAAAAACCAAATTAGCTGAAACAATATCACCCCGAAATAGACTAAACCACTGACATGGAGGAAATAATCTTGCATCGAATTTTTTCTGTAAAACACCATCGACAACTGAAATTGGCACAAATATCCATATGCAAATAATAATTAAACGGGTTCGATTTTGCGTGAATAATCGCTTATAAAGAAATGGGCGAGAAACTGCACACCATCTTTCCATACTTATAATAGCAATAGTATAGACCGAGATAAATCCAGAGGCAAAAAATAAAGCATTAGAATCAATTAAACTACAGAATATTGATCCTAAGTAAACACCGTTCGGATATGGATAACTATCAACAGGAAAGATATAGCCTGGCATGATAAATATTAATAAACCACTGATAGCGTCCGAAGCAGCTAAGCTGACAACAAATTTATTCGGTGCTTGATACAACATTGCGCGGTGGATAACATTTAATGCAATAACCCAAATATTACCGATGATCGCTGTACTACCAATAATGGCATAAACAATGTTAATAGTTGGATCATATTCATACGTTGCGTTAGCTTCGATGGAATCATTTTCTTGTAAGACATCCATAGCACAGTGTAGAAACAGTAGTGGAAACAGTAGACGATAGCTCTAAAAGTGTATGGCAAATTGTTAATGTCTTTTATAGAATCATTTAATGAATGCTGATTGATATTAGTAATGGATGAAAACCAATTGGCGTAGAAGAAAATTTCTGTTTACGACCGGAGCTGATCCAAATGATAATTATCTTGCGTAATTTTAGTCTTGAAGGTCAAGTTCTTGATGTCTTAAACCCTTCAATAAACGAGTTTAAATGATACGAGCAATGATGTAAATTTAGTTTTACAGAGCCTTATTTATGTAGAGTAGTTTCAAGTCTTGAAACTCAAATTCTTGATGTCTTAAATCCTTCAACAAGCTAGTTTAAATGAAATGAGCAATGATGTAAGTCTAGTTTTATTAAGCCTTTTTATGCAGAATAATTTCCAAGTATTTATCGTAGAAGAAATTTCTGTATGCGGCCGGAGCTGATCTAAACGGTAGTAACTATATCTTGAGTAATTTCAGTCTTGAGGCTCGATTTCTTGATATCTTAATCCTTCAACAAACTCGATTTATAGATATCTTAATCTTTCAACGAACAAGTTTAAATGAGATTTGCAATTGTGTAAATTTAGCTTTACAAATCCTTTTTATGCTATTACAGTAATTTCAAGTTTTACAGAATTGTCGAAAGCAATTTTGTTTCTGGAATTTTTTCAATCCTTGAATGCCAAATAGGGTTTGGATTAGTAGTATCACCCTCGATTAGGTGGATACGATTGCAATCACTGCTTTAATTGGAAATGACCAAAACGAATAAATTTGAGTAAACGATGATAATTATAATAGCAAATACGTAATATTCAATTCTGCTCGTGCAGTAAGTGTTTGATCCTTTATCCAATGGCGATGAAAAAAGTATCTCACTATCGCGTTATTCGACCGATTTTTTTATCAATTCTAATTGAAGAGAATTGCTTCAATTCTGATAAAATTATCTGAAGAAAAATTTCATCCTACAAATGGAGTTAATCAGTCTTGGCCTTATTGAACTTACGTTGTCCTGAAAGAAATAATAAAGAAGTAAATAACATTGACTATAATCCTTTCATAATCATTTTAGTCTAAATGCTTCAAGTGAATTGATAGTTCGTAGCGATGAAAATGGATAGATTGAAATAGAGTCAATTTATTCGTTCCAATTTAATCAAAAAATGAATTATTTTGCAAGTCTGTAAGAGAACGCCTTGATACTGTGATTTAAAGTGGACCTTTGTTCATTTAACATTAGCGCATTTGGTTAAATAAACTAGGTTATTGAATAGATATTATCCTTATTATCCATTCGCTTATTTTCAATAACCATGTCATAATAGCTGCATAGTTGATTAATTCTAGTTTCTTTTCAAAATTTAAGTTACATTAATGAAAATATCGATAAAGTATGAGGAAGATAGCTACCCAATCGACACTTGTCGCTATATAAAGTCAGGTAGGATTCTTGCTATTGTAGGCCTATCTGCTCAACAATATCTGCTTGCTACTCTGCAACGTTAGTGAATTAATGGGTAATAATAGAATTACCAGCTTGCCTAAATATTTTTTTAACGTTAATAACTTAAAATTCATATAATGCAGATCGAAGGATTCAAACTCTCTTAAAATCAAGTAAAATTGGCACTGAAATGTTACTAGTCTTAAATTTTTCATTATTTTGAGAAATTCAATTCTAGAGTGAATCCATTAGACGTATCTCAAGTCGAAAATTTTCCAAGGCTATTTAGCTCGCATTCACTCACTATTCCCTATTAGTTATTCCTGCAAAAGTTAAACGCTTTTTTTTCGAGCTGGATCGACCGACGCTATTGCTAGCAGACGTAACGAAACGTTCATGATCATAGATGCTGAAATATCGGTCATTTTTACAGGAACTGAGGGGTTTGAACTCTTCAAATTGAAAAGTTAACAGAATGTCATACACAAATAAAATATCCTTATATAATGTGAATGCAAACTATAGTAGCAATTGAATTCATTGCCTTTTCTGCTGCATTTTCTCTACAACAACAACTTACGGCTGATTAAAAATTAATGGCGATTTATTCTAACAATGGTTTAAAATTTCTCTCTGTAATGTGCTATCTTAAGTAATTTTAGAAACAGACTCATCTCTTGCTTACATAAAATAAAGGCCAATTGTATTTAATCATCATTCAAATTCTTATTTATTGACCATAGGATGGAATACACTGTACATCGTCTCTGGCAAGCTATCAATTTTAGACAATCTTGCTACTAAATTGATAGACTTAGTTACAATGGAATGTTGATCAAGTTAATCATTAAAATTCTATAATCTCATCACGCTATTGCTACACTTGGAATTGTTATCCCAATATGATTATGTTAGATGTTTAATTAGAAATTCATCAGTAGCTGCTGAAAAATTTAAATATCAGAAAGCATGTTAAAGCACTCGAAATAAGTGAAAATAGCAGTCATTTAAAAAGCAATTCCCCATCTTCTTATTTACAATTTGATTAACAAAAACGAAAGTTGTTCCATTAAACCATAGCGTTCAAATAACATCATACAAACATGAAACCTCTTGAAACATGTCCCCTATCGATCATCTCTTGATATTTGATCTGCTAGAATTGAAGCTGTTATTATTGGTAAGGGTAATCAATGATTTAGAGCTCTCTTGATAACACCTATACAGCATTGAGCTCTTCATAACAACGGTCTGTAAATTATTTTTCGTAATTTAATCGACTAAAATTGAATCTTTATCATTGCATTGTTATTTTGATTCAGTTCGATTACGTTGTCAATATATCATGCGAGGAAGAATATCTAAATTCTCGCTAAATGAATGTATTTATGCGCCATATAATAGTAGAAATATATTAGAATCAAGATCAAGCTACTGAATGGCTTGACAGACTAGATTCTTTATGACTGAATAGAATTAAATAATTGATCAGAGGTTCCCTTTGACCTATTATTACCTTGCAGTAATTTAAATTGGACAACTCTAACATTCCATAAGTAAGACAATGATAAGAATACAAGATCACGAAAAGAATCAATAAATTACTACAGCAACTTTATCTCCTTCCTCTATGAAAATAAATGCTCTATCCATTAACAATCTACTACATTGTAAAGCCCATACGAAATCTGCTAAACATATTGTAGTATGGATTAATACGTAATTCCACCATACAGTTAAAATTATATTAATTGCGTAATGAAGGACAGGATGTTTTTTTACCGACTATTGCATTATTGCACCACATTAGTATAGTATGTTGAACTTGATTTACTGTACATGGAACTTATTTGATTTGATTACTAATCCATTCCATCAAGGCTAGCTCAATTAGGATATCAAGATTGTCAAGGCCATATTAACAAAATTAAATACTTCTAACTTTTTCTGTTCTATTATAAATCCTAAAACGATCTAACCATCAAAAATGATTCCAAATACTTCGTAAAGTTCTGAAATCAATATAACGTTTTATTCAAGCCTTCCATCGTCTTTAAAACGCCCTTAATATTATGGATTACTTCTAACAATCTTAGAATACAAAAATATTACTCGTTCAAGCCTGTTATCTGCTTCTGGAACTGCATTCTTTCAATGGCTGTCTGAACTAAAGATAGTTACTGTATTGATTAACCTCGTTGATGCGGATATGACGGCATGATAATGATTTATTTGACTCTTATGTGTTAAATCATTCCGTTTTGTTTTTATACTGTTTGCATAGTTGCCTTCAAGGCTGATTTTGGAAAACAATTTTTAATTTGTGTCGTATAAGTTATCGGTTATTAATATTTTTGGTGCGGTTAGGATATTGTTTACATGATAGATACCGTAGTAAAGTCACGAATGGAAAATCTTTCACGATATAAAATCAGGTAAAGTAGAGAATTAAATTGTCTGTATTATTAAGGGCTTAATGCGCTACAGAACTTCATGGCAAAATAAAAGCCCCATGACACTGTATTAGTAGAGCTAACTACGAATTGGCATAATTGATGGCTTAGACCTTGAATGTAAAAGGTGCACAGTAATAAAATAGAATAAGGAACTGGTTCTCTTTAAATATTAGATATGTATTGCTAACAACTATTTGGTATAAGTGATGGCTTAGACCTGGAATGTAAAAGATGCACAGTAAACAAAATAATATGAAGAATTGGTCCTCTTCATTTATCAAATATGTATTATCTTTGCTGTATAATGGAATCATTACAATAAAATTTCCCATATTGTTGCAGGTGGCTCCAAAGACTATAAATGATAACTAAGACTTTACGTGAGTATACGCATATAAAAACTTTCACACTATTTTCATACAGTCATATCCATACTTTGTTTATCAAACAGAAATTTGATATTGGATTAGGCGTTTATTGTCATACACTACAAGCTCTCTAAGTGACGCGAACTCTTACTAGTAAAATCTTTTATGGTATAAAAATTGAAATAAAGAAACAGATTTTCATATTTACGAGAGAGCCATGATCCTTTTCTTCAATGAATTATAAATTATTGTAAGCGCTATAAGTGACTGCTAAAATGTAGCTAGAAAAATCTTTCATGGCATGAAAATGAAATTGAGAATCAGATTTTATTTTACGAGATAGCTTTGATGTTTTTTAAAATAAATTTATTAGAATCAAATCTCGTGTGATATCAGAGAAACTGCAACTAGTGACGAAATAAGTGATGAAGTTTGTATACGCGTAAAGAAAAATTTTAGAACGCCTCGTGTAGTAGTCGCATAGGATATTTGTTTATCGTAACCAAACTTTTAATTTACTCATCGATCAGAGCTGCTACAAAAATGACTTTTTAGCTTAAAATGGATGAAATAGACAATTACTTTTTTTTTTCATCAGAATAGTTTGATCTACTGCATTACTTCAAATTGGGATGATTTTAATGGCTACAATTTCAAAAGACAATACTGCAACGGCTAAGTCAAATAAGATCAGCTAGAGTGTATTGTGATAACTAATTTTAAATACGCTCTTTCAAGTCGGATTACGTAGAGTATTCATGTTTAATTATTTATCCCTATTTATACTATTCTTGATTCAATAAATGATTGAATCCAACTGCTAAATAGTTACTATAGATTTTGGTTATCCTTTGCTTCGGTAGATAAACAGTAATCATCTTGTGTATCAAGTATCTCAACTGTGAAGATAAACCTAATTTTTAAATTTTTTTCTGCGGTATTAATATATCGCTACCAGTTTTAATTTGTGATTAATTATGATAGGTTACAGAATTAATGGATATAAATGAAAGTGAAATTGGTCAGTCAGTAGAATGTAGTCTATATGATATTATATCAAGTCATGGACAACAGTTAAGTATTAATTTACCAGTTTTTTTCCGAAAGCACATATAGATAAGTCATAAATTGTAAGCAATGGATTAGCAAGTAATAGAGCTGATCATGGTAAGGACTGCTACGAACTAAAAGTACATAGGCGTTCTATAAACATCTTTAATAATAATCAATAGTAGCATAACGAAATCAATACGGGTTTGGATTCCTGCTAAGATCGTATAGAAAGTGCTTAATTACTGTAAACAAGCCAATTAACTAGTGAAATAAAATTCATGGCTAACTGTACATTAGTCATCCAAAGCAGAGCGTCTTTAATTATTGCATCCTTGTCTGCAAGCCAGACTAGGATGCCTGCTAAGGTTATCTTAATTAATTCTTAATACTGCATTTGGGAATCCACTATACATCGATTAAACGGTGATTAAACTGCAAAATAAATTTTTTACCAACTGCTGGTATTCGTTATAAAAGATAACGTAGTAACTATTATCATCGGAAGCAAACATCATTGCCTTGCGTGAACACGATTGCCATTAAGCGGAAAATGATCGTGTTGCTTTGAAATAATTTCTATAGGATTATGACACCTAATTGAAGCTTACCATAGGCAAAGTATCATAATTACAGGTAATTTATTAAATGACTTACTGCAGAGCAAGCGACAGTAAAACCTCAAAGAGGATACTTTCTCTTATGGCATGATGTCTACTGATGTTTTAGATATTAGAAATGATCATAATAAATAAGGGTATTTACTGACGACAAATGGTGGCAACTGTAATGATCTGAAGAATAACCTTAAATCGATAATAAAAAAGTGAGCCATGGTAAGTTTTTTCTTTTCGAGAAGACTAATAAAACAAAATCTTAAAGCGAATATTTTATCTTATGACACGAGCCTAAGGATTATTCTAGAAATTAGTGATGGCTATAACAAATTTAAGGTAGTTACTACCGATAGCCAGAAACTGTAATGGTCGGAGTACTAACCTTAAAATTGATCATAAAAATGAGGTACGGTAATTCTTTTTTTTCGAAAAGATTAGCCAATAAAATAGTGATAAATAATAGATGAAAATCAATAGTTAAATTACACTCTAGACAGCTAATTAGTTCGTTAGAATTACAGCAAGCTGTTATTTCCGCTCTTTTAACTGATTTAGTAAATTAAATACACTTCCCGAAAGTGGCTAGAGCAGCAATAGCTCTTTGAGAATAAGTACGTATACCTATATCTTATGTTGGACTTGTAAATCCTAGTAAAATATACTAATGAAAAGATAGAACTGTTTTATAAATTGCTTTTAATCAGACATTACCATCGTAATTTAATAATGATCACTTATATGATGAATAACAGTCTAGAAAGAAATTATTTATACAGTAGATCATCATTAAGTAGGTTTATTTTCACGGTACTACCATACTGCAGATAGCTGTCTAGAAAATCACTTTTATCTAACCAATGAATCTCAATAGCGAGTGCTTGTGCGAGAAATAAAAATAAAATCATGAAGCAAATTTCAACTGTTAAAACATCCATTTGCTCATTATTTGCTAGTAAATCTTTATGATATACGGCATGATACGGTTTAATAAATTATTTTTGGGCCTCTCTTACTTTTAAATTTCAAGCTATGCATATAGATGCTTTCTTGATATATATATATGACATTGCTATTAATAGAAATTAGTGCCACAGTAACTTTATCCTTAGATTTACATTACTCTATCAAAACAAGCCATAATTGCGAAGGAAGAAACTAAAAAATAGGCTTACAGTAGATAATGCAATGATACAGTTAGCAACAATGAAACCGATTTACAGAATCATCGTATTGTCTAAGGAATCTCTTGATTTTAATTTAAAATAATTCAAAATAAAATTTGAAATCAATTTGTCTCAAAGAGCTTTAAATATTTATAATGAACTTTCTTATTTTCGTCTCAGTTTCGAACAATAGTTTTTACCGATCCACAGGGTGCCATTTAACAGAATCAATTTATTACGAAACTGTATCAAAAGAACGCTTGATCAAGTGATAAAAGAGCATTTACTGTAGTTTTACTTACTTTAACCAGTTTTTATGGTAATCTATCAAACGATAAATGCACATGTTCTTTCGATAGTCAATGCAGTGTAGTTTATTTATCAACGATATAATCTACTCCTTCTAATGTGCTACAATAACTAAAGGATATTCTATCCGATTTACTAAGGGACTAGAAATAGATCGAAAGGAAACTATCCAATAAACAGTTTGAGCTCTCTAAGGGCGATTTCAAACAGTTGAGCGGTTAATGTGTCTAATTTATTGGCAAAATAACTTTTAACCCGCTCGTATTCCTTATAAATTTAATTCTAATGACCACTGCTATTGGTTGAAAAGTTTTTTCAGTATGGTTAACGTTGCATCCTCCTTAAAATAAATGAAATTCATGACTGCGAAACATAGCTTATGTGAAGTACTGCACCCAATCAATTCCATCACAGCAGAAAGTTTTAGACAACTGCGTCTAGGCACAAGATCTATGAAAGACTTAAGCAGTCTGAAATTTAAAATGTAAAAGGTCAACAGAATTAAATATAAAATTTATTTATCCATCCGTGGGAATTTATGACGCCGATAGCGCCGGTACTACGGAAATCAAGTAACATTAAGGTGTTCACCAGCAATTCGTTAACAAAGCATCGATCGAATTATTCTAACTAACTCACGATTTATTTAATTATATATTCCGGTCAACGGAAGTATAGAAAGAAAAGGCACATAAGCCATTCTCTATCAGAAAACTGAGCCATCTATTGGTCCTAAAGTAGTGCATAATATTTATCAAGATGTTGATTACGGCAGTTATGGGCAGTTAGCTACTGTGCTGTGCGGCTGAGCATCAATTTTAAATATTTTTTAGCTAATTTTATTTGGCTGATTGCCTATTAATAGTGTCGTATATTAATTAAAAGTCACCATTGCTTGAAAGATCAACTTTATTCTAACGCTATTCTGATGTAAAGTACTTCCTTCAATGTCCTGAACGATTTAAAATTTAATACAATTATGTATTAAAGTAGTGAACACGTTTAAAAGAAAAGGAAAGGTTTCTATTAAATTTATATCCAGATAAAGCCCTAAATAGTAGGATGAAACTGCTTTGACTATTCACATTATAGTAGTCATTTCCCCAAATCTACGGAATGCTATTTCAAATATGTCACAAAATCTAGTCGAAATAGTATTTTAGTTTTATGGAATACTGTAAAATGTCCAACCAAGTCAAGAAAGCAAAATTGTAGCCAGCTGACATCTGTTACTATGCAATAATGTCTACTAACCTGGATTGCTGTCTTCCTTAACTAAAAGACTTGCAATTATAAGGTAATATAATATCCTAATTACGTCTTTAATTGCAAAATAATAAATTTACACAGTATTAACAATTCACTTCCTATGTTATTTTTAGATGGTATCCAAAATATATCATCTAGAATACTTCAGTTTTTTTAATATTTCGTAAACCCTAAAATATTGCCAGCAGTTGAAAGAATAGTTGGACGTTAAAAGTCAATGGGAGTGCTTTAAAAAACAAAGCCTGGCAACAGAATGAGTCATGATATATGCTAACACATGTGGTAATGCCTACAGTATCAACTTAGAGCCTTCCTTGTCTTGTAAACTTATTTACAAAATTTACCACTCTACTTGATGAAGATTGATTACAACCATGAATTAATTATTTTCTATCATCTTATAGTAATATTAAAACAAGTAACTTCATCGAAAAAGAGAGTCAACAATTTAACAATTTAAAATAACAGTCATAGGGTTGGCCAAATGCTTTAGCGTCTTGTATTTCTAATTCGGTAAAAATTTTTCATTTTCATATCAAATTAAAATTCCATGACGTTAAAACATCCATATGAAACCCAAAAGTCGAATTATGTAATAGGTTAATATAATTATTGATGGGAACCGAATTAGTAATTGCTGAGAAGAAAATGAAACTCACCTTGACTATCAGCAGATCCACCAGGTTGTTGGTGGCGATTGTGATATTAGTTTGCTTTCCACACCACTCAATTACAATTTAACCTAACCTTCCACAAACTAAGGATTAATAATTTTAATTTATTATTATTCTCAGGACAAGAATGATAAATCTAAAATAAGTCATCATATTTTAAGGTAACAATAAGAAGAATGTTCTCATTCATCGATGATTTTATTGTCTAATACTAATTGTCTTGTTTACTAATAGTGCAACAATATTTTTACCTATTCTCAGTTGTCAATAAGAATAGGTAGGTTGATTATAAATCCATATCTTTTACTTCATAATCACAGTATGGAGTAGAATTGCTTGAGGCTATAATACGTCTGAAATGAAGTCAACCATTGCTTCATCTTTGTGGTTAGAAGAAGAGCTTTAACTAGCTATTATTACCCAATTAACGGGTTTTATTGGAATAGAACAATATAGTCATTAAAAAAATGCTCTATATCTAGAGTCGAACTTATAGTAGACTTTCTTTTTATACACTCTCATTATAGTCTATAGTCTATAGCTAATCAACGAGAATAGAATTAGATCATGATGACTACTTTAGTCTAGAATAACTGCCCCTAACAATATGTCCTAACCCTTGTGTTCTTATTATAATAGAAGTCAAAAAATGGATATCAAAAAATGTATTGCATAATGATGCTAATCTTAGCTTGTATTTCTTTTTTCATCAAATTAATGAGTATAGGAGAGATTTCCTATTAAATAGTAACATAACGAATCGCTGAAAAAGGCAGATTAAGTGTGGCTAACTTAATTCAAGATAGTTTGCCAGAATTTGTTCAATCTTGCCGTTCCCGTGATTTGGTCACGTTCTAGGTCTATATCATCGTGCTCTATTGCACTACTTTATGTTCTCATGTCCTAGATAAATGCATAGAAAAAATAATAGTATTAACTAATATTATCCTCATAAAATAATAATGATTACTTTATTAATAATACCAATAATGATGACGGTACCAACGAAGGTAAACGATAACCTACGTATAGTTCGAAAGCATTTTTATCTTCAATTTAGAATTTTGAAAGACTAGAGGCCATTATAAAATTGTACGACTCAACCAAAGTCTAATAAATATTAAATATTAGATTCAATAACTGCTTTAATAGCCATGAACTGCTGCGGCAATTTATGTATCGTATTATTTATTCTTGCTAATAAATACTATCCGTTTTCTTGTCTCAAATGATGGCAGCCCCCGATATAAAATATGTATTATATGAGTAAATAACTCGATGAACTACTAATTTTCAAATATAAGTCACTTCATCACTATTCTAAGTGCAAATTTCAATCCATTGTCAATTAGTATCCGTTTCTTGCCTCAAAACCAATAATCATGCCTTACCATGGGCTACTAAATGACCAAAATGACACAATTTTGAGAGTGCGGTAAGTCTGTATCTAATGTACTCGTACTGTAAAACAACAAATAAAGCAGCTGTAAGCCACACTTAATTACATATAGCTAGAAAAGAGAAATGAAAAACACAATAGTGTTGACATAAGTTACCATTTAGGTGTGATTTCGTACAATAACTTTCCTAGTGCTTTGATCAGCATTCTGTAAAGATCAGATATGGGTACATTTTTAGTAGACATCTTTATGGAAGAATAAAAAAGCCATGCCTTATGTTAAAATAGAAATTGAAATTCAGTGTATCTTTTTTTTCTATCTATCAAAATTGTTCTAGGTGTTGTTTATTATATTCAGATGTTAATGATATCAATGGTATATTTATCGTCAAATATAAATTCAAATTCAATTTTCGTTTACCTTCATTATCTACTTTGATTGGCTAGAACCTATTCTAAATCCAGTTACTGCATCTAATGAATTAGAATACACTTGTATTTTAATGAATATAAGAGTTCCCATGGCAATAGCGCAGTATTTGTAGCTAAGTAATATCAGTGTAGATTTACTTCGCGGTATTTATTTATTCAGTACCAGAGGACTGTTTGTACTTAACGATAAATTTATGTGAAAATTTGTGATAGTTTTCCTAAGAGATTAGATTCACTACCGTATAAGATTATACTGTCAGTGTCTCTAATCGATTTGGCACAAAAACATTTGAGATATAGCTATACTGATGGCTAATTTTGTAGATTTTCTTGATCATATAAAGCTTTTCACACTAAAATTTAGCTAGTGATCGTGGACTTCCAGTAAGCGTAGGCTTCGAAAACGTGATTATTAAGTAAAAAATGGTTTAGTTCAATCTTTCCGTCTATCGTCGACATATTACACTGATTAAAATCGTTCCTGATATCACATAACATTAAATACAGTATCTGCATCTTAACAGTATACACTTTATTACCATTTCGTTAAATTATGATTTCGAAAATCATAATCAATATATAGAAGCTATTTCAATTCAATAGTCATCTTAAATATCATATCAATTTATACCAGAATCATATAGAATCAGCCCTACTTTTGAATACTATTTTTCCTGCAAATATATTAGCAAGATCATTAATAATAAATATTTGAATTAATAATTTGTAGCTTCTTTGTTAACGATAATTTAAGATTAGGCAATTCTGGTACAATTATATATCGAATAGATTTATGCCTGCCAATATAATTACATAAGCATACTTTAACTTAATTTGTGAGATATCCGCATAGAGACATTCTACATTCTGCAAATTCATATAGAGAATTCCGATTCCGATACAGATAATTACATAATATCTCTAATTTGTATAGGATGAACTTATAACACAACATGTATCTATATTCTGTAACGAGGCAGCCAAGACATCGCTTTGATAAATCCATATTATCATGCAGCTACTTCATTGATACCTCGATAATAAAATTAAATTGTTGGTTTCTTATAAATGACTATTAATTACTTCATAGAATCTAGATTTTACGATTTAAAATACACCAACTCTAGTACTCATTTTCAATTGGGAATTGGGAATTCGTAATTTATATGAAATTTTTAGGCCTAATTCGTACAGTAATAAACTAATAATATACTGTATAATTTATCTTATAAAACTACTATAAATATATTTAAAATATACCCGAAAGACAATTTTTATCTCGTTATTAACTACACGGAAAGCTTCGACAGTTTCCGCATAGTCACAAAGGCTAATAAAGTAAAAGAAATGTTACCCAGCTTGGGCTAGCAGAATTAAGGACAATTAATTACAATGATAATATTGTATGCTTCAGCTAGGACATTTCATCATCTTATTGTCTGGTTGATTAGTTAAGAATCGGTTTTTTGAGGGCCATACATATCATCTTTTAGCTGCTTAAGATATTCCATCGTCTAAATCCATCAGAAATAAGATGAGCTTCTAGCAAAATTAGCATCAAATAAATAGATGGTTATATCCTGTATATATACCTTTTCTATAGACTCTTCCACATGCTGTATTCGTTTTAGAAATCTACATTTTAGATAGTTTAATAAGGTTATATATTTGAACAGTAAAAAACTACTATTATTATCATTCATAACACTGGTATTCATGTTGTAAGTTATAAGAAGAAAAATATCTTATCGACATACTCTGCTTTTTCCTTATTTCTTATGATTTTTTGTTGATTTAGTAGGTTCATCCATTCTTCTTGAGTTGTAGGAACTTGACATTTTCCGTCGTCATTATGCAAGCTGATATTTAATAATAGTTGATTCGTCATAACACCAAATAAGATACTACATAAATGTTTCTAAATATGATAACTATACTCACCAATTTACTACCGATGACATAGATGTAAAAGTGTTCGTTTGTTGTTCGACCAGGTAAACGCGATAAAATAGAAATACTTGGAGTAATAAGAAAATTCCAATCCTATATGGAGTTATTTATTAGTTGAAATCACTTTGGGCCGAATTCTAGTGAAATTTCTTACAATGTAGTTACTATAGCCTTAATTTCATATTCAGATCTTTCATAATAAAGCCTGTAGAGTCAGAACGTAGCCATTAATTAGCAGATATTAACTAATTAAAGCATACACAGATATAAGAACGTACTTATTTGGTAAATAAGATATCATCCAACTTTTCCCCCTATCTGGCGAAGCTTCTATGATGAAATCAATTAAATATTGCAATTTTATCACAATGGTCATTACTTTATATGCAATAGGTATTGCTACCATGCCTGTAAAAGAATCCGTAGTTGGTGCTGTAGTGTCACTGTCGTTCGAGGTTTTATTATCGCAAATTTCAGGAACTTCTTTGGCTAAATGCTTGATGTTGTTTTTTAACTTTCTTCTATTTCGTGTAACAACAGAGCCATTATCTATGTCGTTTTCAACATGTTTATCTACAATCGAATTATAATTTATATTACTACCTTTGTAGATATTGCACAGAAAATTTCTACGAATTTTATTTATTATAAACTTACGGAGAACCTTCAGTGTAGCATCTAATCCTTCATAAACGTTCTTGTCAATTAAAGCTAAGGAGTACAATAAATAATAACGGTTAATTTTCTTAACATAGACGATAATCAGCTGTAAATTTCACGTATTTTATCGATAGTTCAGTCTAGAGAAATATTAGCTTACATTTGACAATCGTCCACACTGATTTCTTGTACTTTATACCGCCAGACACCCTGTAAGGAATAAGTCATTCAATAATGAACATTAAGATTTCCACAAGCAGATAAAAATGCTACCAGTCAAAAAGAACATCGCAACAACCTTAGACGACATTTGTTGTGAGATATACGTGTGACTATGAAACGTTCTTGCGTGTAAAAGCTTTCACCATAAGGTATTGAGGGCGAATTATAGACCTAATTGAAGCCGGAAATATAGCATATAAGTACACGATTGTAGCAATACTCGTATAATCGGTGTGGAAGTGCTAATTCGTTTTAGATATTGAAAGTAACATTTATCTGGTACTTTTATCACTTACTTCACAATCTACGATATAAATATGTCCCTTTCTGCTAAGCTCCGACAATTTCTGCATAAAGCAACGATGACAATTAATTTCCACTGCAATTTCAATTCTATACATACCGTGATTGGTGTGGCTTAAACAGCAATAAAAGCTGCCAAACTTTCTCAATATCTCAAAATTACAGCGATATTTTACATAATTAACCTGTAATTCATTTGTTACGGACGTTTTCGGGCCTATTGAATGATTTAAAGTTATCGTGTACTTTACACTCCTAACTTTTGTACCATCATCTTGCTCATGCCATACATCATCGACAAAATCTAAACAAATTAAGTCCCAAAATTAATTAAATCAATAAACAACAGTCTTTTTAATTGTTCCCTCTGTAGTTATACAGCTAACCGAAAGTCTTTCTTTCATTTATAAATTTATAATATGTTTCAGATCCGGTAAAGATTGTTTTAAATAAAGTATCCACATTGACTGGATAAACCTATTCAAAATAAGAAACAACTTATTACTAAAGTTCCGAAATCAGAATTACAAAATAAAATTAAAATTTACCTCATCGATAAATGTTTTGGGTAATGTATCGGGATCTTCATATATAACTGATACAAGTAGAGATAAATATTTCTCTGTTATTTCATATCGTTATATTTACGAACAGCTGTAATCAATTTGTATTTCTATGCAACATAATTCAGTACTGTAGTACAATATTACCTTCACCGGGATCGCACATATCAACATCAATTTGATCCGTAGATTCAGCTTCAGAATAGTCACTGCTTGCATCCGTTTGACCCGCAGAATACAATGATTGCTCTTCTTGCTCTTTATTCTGTGATTTCGTTGCGTAAGTAGAACAGAACTTTCAACTTCTGAGCATAGTTCACAAAGCACAATAAATCTGAAAACTTCTTACGGTAGCTGATAGGTAGGCATTTTCGTTCGCATCAGGAGTATCGTCTATTAAAGAATATGATAAAGATATTTATTTTAGCCATATTCCCAAGTACAGTACAACATAAAGCGCTACAATTAGCGAGAATGAATAATAAAGCGATGCTACGTTACCTTTATCAACAGATAACGTCTCAGCAGACCTCGACTTAGTCATGTGTTTATTGTCTTGATCTTTGTCAACATCCACTGTTTTATCTAGACTTCTTAACTGACACAATAAATCAACCGCATTCAACCCATCTTCTTGCATAAGTGCATTTTGCCAGATACGAAAAATTTTCATATAGGCGGTTTCACGTGATGAAAACGACGTAAAAAAATACTAATACAAAATAGAAAATAAATGCACATCGAAAAATTGCTCTAAATAACGCACAAATTGTAAGACCTATTTATGTTATTAGGAAATTGAACTATATCTAATACTTTATCTTGTTCAGTTGCTATAAGAATTGCATTAGGAATCACTTTAGCCGTTTTCTCTCGCAGTATAGATTTGATATCCGTTAAACGTATAGTAAACTAGATTTGTTCAAGAGTAGAAAACGCATATGAAAAGAAAGCACAAGTCATTGCTAATGAAAGCTCTATTAATCACATACAGTAAATTTTTTAGGCAATCCCAGAAGATCGCAACCATGTTATGAATCTAAATGAAGGCATAAGCAAACACTTACACAAGTCTCCCAGCCGAAAATGTTAGCATAAAAGCAAAACCAATTCTGTGACGCATAAAGGCGTCCATGAAGTAAAATATCTCTCTGAACGGCACAAGAGTGATCTATCAAAAGTTTATAAACAAAAAAATATACAATTCAGCCATATGTCGTTATGTCAATTAAGTTTAATTCTAGTAATAGATAGTCCAAACTGCTATGCTTAATTTGCACTTCCAAAGTATTTACACTATGATAAGAGCACGATATGTAATCATCACGAATCGAAAGCTGATGATGTCAATTGACAGATATCATAAAATACAGCTAATGCTATTTGTATTCACTGTATTTTACTTCAAACCGGAGTCAAGAAATACTTATATATTTCTCCTACGCCGGGCGGCTGATCAATGATATGTTACATTTTAAAGCAAATAAACAAATAGATTCACCAATGTGAGTCTACCTAAGCGTATCACTTTAAAATGGTAAAGATTGCTTAAAAGCTACGTCACTATTATAACTCAAATAATTCTAGGAGTACTTTGGATAGTACCACAAATAGATGATTGAAAGAAAATAGTACCATAATTAATAACCGATAAATCTTGCCACTGTAAACTCTACGTAATTAATTCATTATAAACATGATTTATTGAAATCTTACATAACTACGCTACTCTTATCATACTTGTCATAATAGTTATCAGAGATTGTATTTGTCACTTTTGCTTCACTAAAATTAGCACAACCTGCATTATAAATCTAATTATACACTATTACAAATATCAATAATAACGTCAAATTAATGTACTTAACATACCATACTGTAAGTTTACCTGTTAGTAATTTCTCAGTATCTGGAAGATCACTAAACAACTTATGGAATTCCTCATACCGTGACCAATAATTCGATGATAAAGCCTATAAGTAAAAAATTCATTCGATGTTTTTTATTTGCAACTTGATCTTAAATAATTGCTAAGTGTAAGCGATAATAAACTTTAACAGGCAGAAAAATATGAAAGTATCTGATTCACATCAGTAGATTTACAGCAGACACGATACACTTTTTAAGAGCCATTTAGTTTCATAAGTGCGTAGCAACAAATATAAAAAAGACAAGTTGGTAATAAAAGTAGCGATGCAGAAATATTAAAAACCACCTAGTTGCAGGTCCTGAAGAGACAAATTTTGGTGTGTGCATTTACAATGTTACAATCTAATTAATCTGGATTGTACAAATGCTACACCAAATAATCATTTTACAACCTGCTATACCTGATGTAAAGGCGAAGCCACTGGAATCCAATCTTGTAGCGCTTGCTTTTTTTCCTTATTTATCTCTTTCTTTTTTCTGAGGTGGCGATAAGAATTTAACTGCGTTAATGACATTGTTTTATCTAATAACTCTTCACTCTAATGACAGTAAAGAGTTATCCAGCAGCAGTTATACTATAGTAACCGAAGGAACATACATTTAATAAAACTATTATTGTACTCATAAAAGTTAGGTGTTTTATCTATGTACGATCGACAATTGTGAAGCTACAACGATATCAAAATCAGCCTTATTTTAAAACCTTAATCATACTGTCAACCATTGAAAAAAATACAGCGCACAGACTAATTCCGTTTGCTTCCTCGTTGTCGTGAGGCTTGCTAAACTGATAATGACGGTCGAACTGACAACGCAATACGATATATAGGATCATAAATAGTGGGCGGCTAAATCATTGTATAACTAATCCTTAGTTTTATTACTTAGCCGTAATTTCCGTATTGTTCGATTTGCTGGATGTCAAAGGAGTTGGTGAAGCTCTATAAAAGGAAAAAAGCAGTACAGCAGAAGTGAAAATGCAATGAAATTTAAATAATTGTGACAAAGTAACTGGCACATCCGTGTTCCAATTTGTAACGTATATGAGCTAAACATTAAGTTAATTACCCAAATAGAGTTCATTTAACTACACTTTTACTATTTGATATTTGTATCACTACTTTCTGATATTATTTAAGATTGCCATCGGAACTAAAACAGTTCAGCTTTATCGATATTAAAATTACAACAACATCTTGCAGCCAACTAACTTCCTATTACCTGGCATTGACATCAGACATAGTAGATCTAGTCGAGTTTGGGATAGCTGGTGAATTTCTGCCATATAAGGATGAAAATGGAATATTTTAAAAATAGGTTCTCAACAGCATTATAAGATACTATTTGTTATTTGTGAATCATTGCAATTAGGTTAATGAGGTAAAATAACAAATCTTGTTTCAATTGTCTCGATATCAACTGTTTACCAATAGCCAATATAAAATACTTCTTTTATTAGCATCTACTGTAGACAGAGCAGCTGAAATATATCCTATCAGTTAGGAACTACTTTGAGTAAACTAATAATTGTAGTACTACTTCTTTCTTACCCCAATGCTCCTTCTGGTGTATTCGATTTACTGGACGAGATGGTAATAGGAGAAGAATGTCTACATTAAAAAAAATCTATAATGAATACGCTGCTGAAAGTGTGATAAACAATGCACTGAAAGTGTAGTATCTAATATATCGAAAATACACCGGAAAGTTTTATGAAACATTGATTTGGCCGTCAATATCGGATCACATTCACAAAGAAAACCCAGTTAAAAAATGTGTGTTGTTAACTATTGAGTAAAGCTGTTGATTACTAGATGAATCTAGCTACGAGACTGCATAACATTACTCAAGCATTACGTATAAGATTAAGATATATGAGAAACTGCGAGGAGAATAATGAAACGAAATATTATTTCAGATCTTTTATCGGCGTTAAATATTTATAGAATCAATTTTAATTAAAACGAGTCAATTGCAGTAGAGTAGCCGTACAATCGCATAAATAAAATTTGAAGATGTGTCATCTATACGAAATATAATCAAGTCAATATGTAAACGACAGAAGAAATATACTAGGAGAATTTATTTATTCAGTGATAAAAGACGATCGATGCCGGAAAATATGACATTTTTACCTAGATGAAGTTTTATTCTCTTCGTCATCAAGGCCTGGGATATTCAATAATTTTCTATTATAACATTGAAAAGAGATAGATTGATAAAAGTTAATGTAAAAACACAACTACTTTACGGTTCAAATTTTCATTACAGCAAGAAAAAATTACGGTATACGTACATAAGGCCTTGTATATGAATAAGCAATCAATAATTAATATCAGTCAGTAAAGTACGTAAGATCAATGATATTTTATGCTTAGTTGTAGAAATTTGAAAAATTAAACTCTATTTTAAAGCGGGTGAATTATATTGACTTCTAATCTGAATCTTCAAAGGTAGACCAATAGGTCATACAATACGACTGCTAAAATAGTCGTGACTGAGGCAACACTGCCTATTGCAGCTACTTTTGACATCGAATTTTAATTATTAATTATTGGAATTCGAGATAAAGAAGTTTATTCATATTGATATTTCATAATTTTTCTATAACATCCAGTTAATGCTACGAATTCTTTTAATATCATTGTTTCATCGGTATAATAGAGGATTTAAAGCTTCTCTGTGTCTATACAGCAAAGAGACAACTGAGTTATTGAAGCCCGTTGCTAAATTGGTTCAAAATGCCAATCTTAAAAGCAGAAAGATTCCTTCCTTACCCAAATGATCTGATTTGAATTTCTTACGTTATAACACTGAGAGTTTACTAATAACCCTTATCAAATATATCTTATTCCCTAAGAATACTGTAAATTATTGTTGCTAATGTTAGTAGCATCAATACTATTGGCGTCGATTACAGGATGCTGTATATTGGTGCATGAATTAACATAAGTAAGGCATTTCTCGCAGAATGATGATTCCATTTCATTATATGACAATATACGATACTAAGAGTTGACTAATCATCAAGTACATCTAATTCTAATTATTTGAGAGCTGACTTGTAACCCTTACCAACTATAGATATTCAAATATCATTATTTAAGAATAAGTTACTGTTACTAATGTTGCCAGTATCAATCAATACTGTTGCAGCATGTTGTATATTGGTACAAGAATTAACACAAGTACTTCTCGTGAAATGATGATCCTATTCCTTTACTTTACAACATAGTGAAAATTGGCTAATAACCCTCATCGAGAATGCGTGTATATCATTATTGATGAACAAGTTACTATTATTAATAATGTTGGCAGCATCAATGCTGTTGCAATATGTTGTAAATTGATGTACGAATTTGCAAAAGTGAATGACTTGTCGTACAATTATGATTCCATTTCTCTGCATTATAATGGATACATTAAGAGTTGAGTAATAGCTCTCATCGAATATGTATACTCGTATATCATGATATATTTTAAGAATAAATTATTGTTACTGATGTTGGTAGCATCAACGCTGTAGCAGTATATTGCAAATTGATGTAAGAATCAACACAAATGAATGACTTGTCGTAGAATTATGATTCCATTTCTCTGCATTATAATTGATACATTAAGAGTTGAGTAATAACCCTCATCGAATATATGTACTCGTATATCATTATATATTGAAGAATAATTTACTATTACTAATGTCGGTAGTACCAATGCTGTTGCAGTAGATTGCATATTGGCGCAAGAATTAATACAAATCAAGCACTTTTCGTAGAATTGATTCAAAAAAACTTTAACCAACAAGGCATAGCACCAATCTAAAATCAAATTCGTACTTTTAATATTGATCAAGATTAGTGTAAGATGATGATTTTATATCCAATATACTTCTATCACGCCTGGATGATTTGATTCAATTTCTACGCCTATACTTGGCAATATTGAGAGTCCATTAATAATCCTCTTCCAGTCCATATCATTATTTTATGCTTTCATCCAATAATGATTGAAAGAATAAGATACAGTTACTAATTTTAGTAGCACCAATGCTATTGCACTATCTGATATATGTATTAATACAAGAATTAATATACAGTAAGTCAAGCACTCTGATGTTATTGATTTACCGAAAATTGGAACCAATGAGGCGTATTACCGATCTAAAATGAGATCGTTTATTGCCCTATTCTTCAAGATTAATGTAGGTAGGCAATTTTCATGATGGATTGTCATAGTGAAATACAGGTTTTATTGACTGTTGTCTGTTGACTTGACAAATTTATGAATCTAATATTCCTCCAATTTGACAACAGCACTGAGTAAAAGAAACTATGATGATCAAGAAAACTGTATTAGACAATCCAGCTTAAGACAATCTCTATAGCAGTACCCTTAGCAATATCGTTAAGCAAGTGACCAAGAAATGTATGACTAATTTGGAAAGTAAGTGAAATCTTTATTTACGGTAATGTCGTTCAAGAAAGACTGCGTTATGGATACGTTTACTAATCAGCCAATGGCCTAGTCTTGTCAGTAGTGTAAATTGAAAAAGGAAATTAGAAATTTGCCAATGAAAGAGGACTCGAAACTATAGAAAAATTTCTTAACAGACAAATGGAAGATACTACAACAACAGATATTGATACTTTCCAATGGACTTGAGAACAACAAAGTAATGAATGCTAGTGAACAACATGATTGTAATCTAGATCAAATGGTGAAAATCAACAGAATGCTGTAGTGTACAGTATGTTCTTATTTGGCGTGTCTAGAGTTCTTTCCGAGTCAGTCAATAAAATGGAGTTGGGGTAAACTAGGTCGAGATTATTATTGACTTTGCCAATCAGATCGATACAACAACGCGTTCAAAGTACGGCATAGGAAATGCTCATGAATGAGTATTTCTGGAGTCTGATATTTTTTCTATTTTTAACTGTTGACCAATTTTCGAGAATTGCCTATCTTTTACTACAGCCGTATTAGGGGTTGATTTAAGATTCCAATCTGTAAGAGATGAATCAGCTTAACCTTGCATTCAGATCGATACAACAACGCGTTTAAGGTGCAGCATAGGAAATGCTCATGAATGAGTATTTCTAGAGTCTGAAATTTTTTCTATATTTAAATGTTTAAATGTTGACCAATTTTCGAGAATCGCCTATCTTTTACTACAGCCGTATTAGGGGTTGATTTACGATTCCAAACTGTAAGAAATGAATCAGCTTAGTGACAATCCCTGCTGTTTATTGACATCATTGCTAGTTTTGTAATCGAGTACAAATAAAGAGAACTAAACCCAATAGGATACCACCATTAAGCCCGATTGACTTTCATACCGTATGGGGAAAGGATTTGATTTGACGTAAAATGATTCCTATTCCCATTGATTTTACCTTGCTATATTGAAGAGAGAAGGGAATGATTGTGATAGGATCCCAAGTATCCTGGACAATCCACGTAATATACGATCATTTATTTGATGAAAGCGGCTTTTCTATCTTTCTACAGAATTTAAACGGATCTCATGGGAAAAAGGGAATATAATGAGAAATGATCAACAATGACATCGCCTATAAAAATAAATGGTATCCCATAAGGAGCCATTAAAAATAGACTACGATGTCGAATCTATCCAGAACTACTACAAGACAGCTTTCCTAGATCATTGTGTCCTCCATCTTTCTTGATGAGTCTGTGCCCATCTATTGACTTAACTAACAGTGGAAAAAGACTCTGATAATGGACGTAACTGCAAAACGAGGCTTAACATAAGACTGGGATCCTGCAGCAAGAAATAAATGAAGTTGAAGTGCCATACAACCAGTACTAGAAAAGATATTCTACATGGTACATTTATGTGCAATGTAGAGTAACATGATGACGGCCGTCGATCATCATGACTAAGCTACATTGTAGTACACGTCTATCTGTTTCGACAATTGTTAGCAATACAAGTTCTTCTATCCCGTGTACTAGGACTACAACTTAAATTTCCAAAAGTCATGACGAATACAAGAACATTCTGGGGGCTAAACACATATTGCCATCATGCGGAGCATTTGCCTATCTCCCTCCGATGAATATATATATATCTAACAGTACCGTATTGGATTGTAATTTTATTTCCAATCGAAGCTATTGCCTCACTAAAATGTCATGCCATGATTACGATGATATCCAGGATTTGCAGCCTCCTGTTAACACCTATGTCGTATCGTAGATGCCTCAGTTTGAATCAATTTTAGCATATTAAGATTCATTACCGTTCTTGTCTTGCTATCTGGCATTGGACTAACCTCCTATTTAAATACACGTCCAGCATTCAGGAGATTGATACTAGATATCATACTGTGTCAATTGAAAGGTCTTTTAGCCATGTGTAAATGGATCAATATATCTACATTTATTCATGGAATAGAATTTGCTTAAGGCTACTATAATGTGTCCATTTTGGTCATAGAAATATTGTACCCTATGTATTTGGACTAAAATCGCATTCCGAATTAAAAGGAGTGAAACAGTTGNGAAAAACAATCCAATGATAGGAAATAGAATTTGAAATTATTTCCATGGACGATCGGAAGAGGATCATTCGACCAAGATGAGACCGATATGGAGATTTCATTTCAACTGCCATAGATTGTATGGAACTAAGATGAAATTAATTGCAAGACTATTGACGGTAAAGACATTTGGATCAAGTCAATTTCACTTGACTTGATCCAGGTAGTTTATGGAGAAGAAAAAATGAAACAGAAAATGATGGCAGAACGAAAACAAATTGCTCGCAAACAATACTCATGGGTATCATCAATATGAATATTTTGCATCCTGCCAATACAATATGCTATTAATAGCCAATATATCTATATCGGAGAATGATGTCTGAAGATCTAATTAGCTGAATAGAATGCCAGCTCAATTAATATTGAAAAAAATTGGTGGATGGGACTAGATGCGACTCTACTTGAATGGAATATCTCTATATACTGTTCGTATCGGCAACATCCAGGATTTTATCTTTTCTTTCCAATTCCAAGGGGGGGGGGGGGGGGGGAAACAACTTGGATTATACAGGGTACCTATTCTCATCCATATTGAAAGTTGGCCATCGTAGTCCATAGTCTAGTTGAAGTTAATATTTTGTAATCAGTGCTTGAGAAACAGTATGACAATTTAACATAAACGTCTGTTAATCATGCATGATCCATTAGTAGGCAGTTCCCCTAATCAGATTTCCATCGTTAACATAGTTGTAGCCGTAAGGTTTAAATCATTTATACTAGTAATCCAATGAGTAGTATACAACGAAATGTGCATTCGCCAACGCAGCAAAGTCAATAAAAACACAAGTGGAATAATAGCAATTCTCAACGTAGCCTCGACAATTTCATGAATGTGTAGAGTATTACTGTAGTATGGCTTAAGGATCCGTATTATTATAGCATCAGATCACTTTCAAATTGGCAAATGATAGTTGATTAGTTGATGCTATTAAATTATTGACATCAATTTTATCCAGCAATGTCATAACTCCATATTCAAGTACATGTTGAAGGTATTCTATTCATTCTAGTGGTTGGTATGGAGTAAAATGGGTTACTCACTGCTAAAGGAATCTACACAGTATGTCGAGTCCGAGTCTAATTGGTACTCTAAAAAATACCTTAGGATCGACCATACTGTCGATAGTGTAATCTATTACGGTGTAAAATTAAGAAATAGCAGGCGTTAAGGACGCCATCAAAAATGAGAAATGTTATCATAAAGCTGATTACTGAGTTAACATCGATCGATATTATCTTCCTATATTGAAAATGTGCGTAGGCATTTTCTGCCATCAAGAAACATGGAGTCGATCATACTCCTCCTTGACTCCTATTCTGCAGACTAACGATCTCCAGCGCAATTGTGATTGGACAATTGAATGGTAAAATACTCTTCCTTTTTACCCCCTATCTCACCATAAGCGATAAGTAGAAGCTATTCTTCTTTCTATTATCCTCTCCAAGTTATTCGATCCTCATTTTAACCTCAATCAAACCTTGATCAAATGGTCATTGAAATTCTACTCCTATCCACGTTGAGAGATTGGCTTGCTGCCATCTGTGAATCCATCGATGCATGCACTAACTAAGCCAATCTCGTATAGTTTGTCAACATTACTCGTGTCTCTATGTTACAAAGTAGAGTGGATAGATAGCAGAGAATAACCAACATCAGTTTAAACTTACTTAGAGGCTACTTCTCCACCTGCATCATTGATGGCGTAAGTTTCTTTTCGATTGGCCGATCGACCATGTTTGGCTTTAGAATCCATCAGCCCGGTAGTGGCAATTTGATTCACTGTCCAAAGCAATCGTCAATCCCTCCACTGTAATTTTTACATACAATTATGCCTAGTACGGCATACTAAGTTGATTAGACCATGTAGTGGACAAAATGAAGTTAGCATGAATCCAGCGATGGAAAAGACAGCAAAGCAGTTTAGGAAGAAGAAGAAGAAGTTGCCACTTCCATTGTTGATAAGTTTTTTTGTTTTGGCTGGCGATTGATTGACTGACAGACAGAAAGACAGGCGGAGAAGTGGATGCTACAGTTCCAAGTCCACAGTACAGTGTACTGTAGAGCACGGTACCAGCTGCTGTAGGCTACAGTGTACAGTACATATGTTACAGTACAACGTACTGTACTCTACAGTACAGTACTGAAAGTATCTTGGACTGGCTTGATTTAACAAGCTTGCTCTGTCAGCTTCAGCCAGCTGGACTGCCAGACTGTACTTCTCCAAATATGCTATCATGACTATTGCAATGGTGGAAGCTCAAGTGAGTGCATGAGATGAAAATGGAGCAGCTTTGACTATCCGCCATACTGTACTTCTCCAACATGAAATCATGACTATTGCAATGGTGGAAGCTCAAGTGAGTGCATGAGATGAAAATGGAGCAGCTTTGACTATCCGCCATACTGTACTTCTCCAACATGAAATCATGGCTATTGCAATGGTGGAAGCTCAAGTGAGTGCATGAGATGAAAATGGAGCAGCTTTGACTATCCGCCATACTGTACTTCTCCAACATGAAATCATGACTATTGCAATAGTGGAAGCTCAAGTGAGTGCATGAGATGAAAATGGAGCAGCTTTGACTATCCGCCATACTGTACTTCTCCAACTTGAAATCATGACTATTGCAATGGTGGAAGCTCAAGTGAGTGCATGAGATGAAAAT